TGAACCGTATGAGTTGTTGATCCTAGGTTGTAGCTGTTACAACCCGAGTCTGCAGGTACCTGCGGCTCGCGTTGCGGAAGTCCCTCAGGATATCCTCACACACCAAGAGTGGGGTGTCAGCAGCAACTGGAACAACTGCAGCGCTATCATTCGTACAGCCTACGACGAGAATCCCGATTCAGAGATCCAGAGTATCGAAGCTGGCATCCATGTCTATCGCCTCTAAAATCTGAATAGCGTTTTTGACGATATCAACAAGCATAACAAAGACTGGCGAGATATCATTCCATATATCAGCTCTCTCTACGTCCCGTTCGAGTCCTGGAGTTTCGCTGAATATGGATCTGGGCGGGGATGGATTGCAGTGATTGACGGTGAAGTAATTCGGACTGGTCGTCCGGCATTTCATTTCTTGAACCAATTCGGCGAACCTGTCCCAGCTGCCGAGCGCCGTCTACCAGCAGAACACGGCTTGATGAGCTGTGTGCTCGAAAATGCACGAACGTGGATGGACATCCCGGATCAGGGTTGGACGGCACTCGTTCAGGTCACGGACAGCATGATGGCTCCAATGGGCCTGGGCCCATCGCAGGAAGTTCGGGATGAGTTGAATCGAGTGGCGAGAGAAGAGTGGGAGGAGGCCGAAGCAGCTGAGCAGCTTGAGCAAGTTGCACTGCATGAGTCTCAGGATGGCTAAATATTACGGTACGACGTTCCATCTTGAACTCACACAAGAACATGCTTAGTAGTCGATTATCGTGTCCAACGCATGGACACTCAAAGTCAGGCTGTTTGGATGTTGCGATTACGGATCCGGGAAAGTACCTGAGAGCCTCCTGGCGGTTGCATCATAGGGGTTAATGGCTTTTCTAAGGGGACCCGATTTGGATTCAATAGATTAATACAGGGCAAAGAATACCGTCTATACGATCTTTCGGCCACGAAGCTTGACTTCTCCCATGGCTTGTCCCAGACCTTCAACCACTGTCCTTCTTATATCCCAGCAGCCTGGCCTTCGTCCTTAGAGTTGGCCTCTATCCTTTTAATAACGCCCTTGGTATAGGTCGCGAAGGTCTTACTCCACGTGTTCCTCCACCCCAATTAGTACTAACCAACACACTTTGCTCATTCACCTAAGGTACAACGTGACTTGTGTGACATTACCACAACTCCGACGACGTGTCCGATTCAGTGAACAGAGCGATTCACATGCTAGTCATGTTCACATGCTAGTCCTATAAAGTGAAAAAAACACTCTAGACGCATATCAATTGTAGGTGCTCTAGAACCGTAAGCTTTCGGTAGTAGTTTTCGACAGTAAGAGAGAGGTTGATTCAGCCCTGATCTGTGATGTCTGAGACATTGGTGTTTCTACGCGTGCCGTTTCCCGAGTTATTAAAGTCGAAGCGGATTCTGGTCTCAAAGAGGACACTGCTGCGTTCATATGCTTTATATCATTGAGCCACCACAGACGGTTGCATCGTATTATCAGAAAGCCAGCTCTTTTCACAATAATTCGACTGTTGAGGAAGCTCATATCTAGAGAAAAGCAGAATCGTGGTGTCTTTTCTCTAACGCAGAACCCAATCTCAAACCAAGCAAAGTAACAAGCCGCATTTACGCTGTCCTCTGTCACTTAAACGGCCCCCTAATAATATCACCATTCTCCAAAACTCTACTCTCCTTGGGACTATATAAAAGGTTCACCAACGCGGCCGGACGTGGTTGAAATGTTCTGCACAATGCGTGTCCGTTCTCCCGCGAGTGAATTTGTATACAACGTCGGTGGGAAGCGATTGAGGCTTGTGTCCTAGGACGAGGTGAAAGTACCAATGATTCTCCTATATCAGTATGGGCGCCTCTTTCATTAATACAACTTACCGTGTAGTCTCTCTAACACAACCACCCACTCCCATCCCCAGCTTCAATTCGCAGTCAAGATTTCATACAAATCTCCCTTGCCATCAACCCACTCGAGTTTCCGAACCAACTTTCGCCCCACCACCACCACCACCCCCTAATCCTCTACCTGGTACCTCGTTTTGTTCAAATCTCCCTCTTCACGATGTCTCAATCCGGTCTACTCAACCTCCCAACCGAGCTTCGACAAGAAATCACCAGACTGACCATTACGGATTACGGTCATCTCAATGCCAACCCCAGAAGGATTCGAGGTAGCAAGCCCATTGTGGGGAGTCTGTACCCTTCTCAACAAAGATCTCGATGCCGTGCTCAAAAGCTGGGTTCCAGACCCCCGAGATAGGTCTATCTTCAAGCCTATCACTTCCCCAACAAGCATTCGCGAGCTAGTCACTCTGAATGAGCACTTCAGAACGGTTGCCCATGCCTCAGGCCGCGCCTGGCCCGATATCGAGGAATTCACTCTGCAAATCTTCAGTGGCCGAATACCGAAATTGAACAGATATACCAACGACGACGTGTGGGAGACGATCGCAACTCTTATTGATACTCAATGGGACGATGGTTTCGGCGACATCCCTCCGTTCGTCAAGCATCTCAGGCTCGATCTGACGCCTCCGCCTGCCGCAGTCGAATACCTGAACAAGTGGGATGAAACAGCCGAGAACATTAATTGCTCGAGTGCTAAACTAGGACACCCTCTCCGCGGCCACGAAGCCATTCCCGGTTCCCATTATCGCCAGAAGTTTTGGATTTACGTGTTCCACGTGGCTGAGGATCTGGTTTTAGGTATCCTTGAGAGCCGGAAGGACGATCGTCAAGACCTCCAAGAGTTGTGGGTATTCCCAAGTGGCATGCACGTCGGCGACCTGACGATTGAAGTTGTGGGAGAGCTCCCGATGAGCCAGGCGGACGCACTTGTTCAAATGCGCGGTACCGAGATCTACTGGCAGAGTATTTGCTCTCAGCATTGGAACGGCGTCTTCATAAGGTTCAGTGAGAACCTCATCGCTGCGTCCAAATCTATCTTCGAGGAATCTATCCGACCATTCAAAGAGGCTCGGCAAGCGCGTATGGCGGAGGTATTGACGGAGGTGAAAAAAGTAGCAGAAGAACTTCTCGCTAAAAGCTGCGCAACACTAGCAGAACAGGTAGTGGTTAAGCTGGGACTTTCAAAGAATCAGGGTGAGAACCTGCGCAAACCGTTCAAGCGAAACGCTGGAGAGATTTGCGGAGGTGATCAGTAGTCGACTGGGGATGCCTCGGGACAAGGAGCGAGGAAGAGTCGGTTCAAGACGATTTGCCACCGCTCGTGACGTGTCAGTGTACTATTGTGGATCTGGAAACAATGGGTCACTAGTTCAATCTGGGTAAACCTCTCTGACACCGTCTGATGTGGCTCGGTTAGGTTTCAGATCTGTCAAAAGGACAGATTTGAAAACTCCTTGAGGGGCGAAAGCATGTTAAGTCACCACAAGCAGTGGCAGAAAGCTTTAAGCGAACTTGTGTCCTGGTGTCGGGGGCGAGAAAATGTGAAAGGCTGATCAAATTCTTGTCTTTAATAGAAATTATCCGTTATAAAAACTAAAAATATACTGAAGCACCGTGAGTAACAACAAACAGCTTTTGAAGTCTTGATCAAAGCTGACCTAGGATTGGATCTTGGGCTGCCGTGCTAGACGTCGGGAAGTGGCACATCTCAGTTCTAAAATTTTGTAAGTATATTAACGGTCGAAATTTAACTAGTTGGCTCCTACATGTAATCAATATCTTTTCAGACCCCTCTAAGTATTCTAAACCGTGGTCGAAAAGTGCCATAATCATTCATTTCATGTTTTTAGAATACACTGTATATGTCCCGCCTATGTTTATGGGAACTTCTGCGATCACTCTTTATCCGCCGACTCTCCAGAAGCAGAATTTGCTGTCGGTCTCCATGTCAACACTCTGCGGAGGCCAGATTTCATGCTACTCATAGTATCCGATCGATGGAGCCTGGGCTGAAAACCTAGGATTGCGGGGTCGGGGTGAAGGCCGTCATCGCGGTGTGCTTCACGAGTCAGAAACGGTCTATCTTACAGCTTCTATCAGATAGGAATCCAACCTCGCTGGTAATCCTCAGGCGTTATCCAGGTCAAGGTAGCGAGAGACCACACTCTTCGCTCCCGTTTCGAATCTTCTGAAGCGCTGACGAGAGCCTCAGATTCCTAGTATTGTGCTGTAGAGTTGTATATGGGGTCGCCGAATCCCTCTGGTGGAGGTACGCCAGGCTTCTGGTTCCTGCGGCTTCTTCGTCGTTCCATAAGCCTTATCTCGTCTTTTAGGGCTTGCTCCCTTTTTTTCTTCTTCGGCACCCGACCTCCGTTCGTAGAGAGGCATGTTGAAGTGTATGGTGAAGAGATGTTGCTTGTGGTGTGATTCGGAATGTCAGTCTCTCAGCTGGGGGTGGCTCCCTTTTTGAATGCGGGCGGGCTGGCGTGTAGACAATATTTGAGTGGCAGGTTGGTCTTTTGTGCCACGTGTTGCGTCAGTCAGCATAGCCCGGGGCTGTGCTGTCTTGTTGAATCATAAAGTTTTTAATTGCCTGGTTTTGATGGAAGGGGCAGTAGGTGAGTTAGCTGACTCCAAATAGCAAACGACTTCGGGATAAGTAAACCATGGCTATCGAAAACGACGTTTTCCATTGCCACGTTCGTATAGTTCAGTGATTCCAGAATCAAGGCCGTGTTACGGACAGCGGAGAGGCTTGCCACTCACGTCTCCCAACACTAGCTTCTGAGCACCAGCTGCTCTAAGAGGGTGGCGCCCCGCCCAACGCGGTGTTATCAGAAAGTGGCATTGCCTTTCCCTGCCACTCTTAACCGCGATGATGTGCAACGTCTTTCTCTCGGCCCCTATTCTTCATCTCTCAGCCTTCCGTTCTCGACATCACTGCACACAATTCGCCATCCTGATCTACCGCCTCTTGCTGTACCCCGCCGAAAATCATGGCTTATGCCGTGTGCCGGCTTTCCAACTTAAAGATCATGCCGATTGTCCTAGCCCATTACCGGCGCTTGATCTTGCACCTCAACACGAGCCTCTAATGCGCCGAAGTCATTCGAACCACCAGCTTACTTCGTTCCTATATGACGCACAAGATGAAGGAATCAGAACGACTACGACTTCCCACATGCTCATTTAGCGCCCGGTGCTCAGATGAGTAGACACCTGAGCACATGGGTAACGAGTAACACCTTGAGCAATCATGTGCTTGCGCAGCGCAGTTCGTGAGTTGTCGCGGCGGGAAGTACATACAAAGCGACACAGCTGAGAGTTCAAGTACAATGCTCACTGGTGACCTTTCGAAGAGCCAAAACCAATGATTCAGCCTTGTGGGCTGCACAATGCTGATGGTCCAGAGTGTTGCCGCCTTTACTGACTGTGCGCCGGATCTGAACCCAAGGCGCTTAGGTTATCGATCACGTAGTCTGATATGGAGAGGTGTAGCCCCTAGAATGAAAGTTGAAACCAGAGATATCTTTCAGCATAGACAGTCCATCCAAATCGAGCGGAAATGGCCACTCCCCTCAGCTATCCAGATTACAGTCCCAGAATTTCATGAGAAGACTGCGCAGCAACAACCGCCTCCAACAGAACGGCCAAAGTTTCGCCGGATATTCAGGAGGGAGCCGTTCAAGGAACCCAAGTATGATATGAAACAGGAACATCCTGCCAGATATCTTGGCTACCGCATATTCTCCAGATGGGTTGCCTCGGACTAGACCTACTTCATTGTCCGGAAGTTCCCAACGCTCAATGTTCAAGTAGCTCTCGCTTTACAAGATAGGGTTGTGCAATTGGAAGAGGAGTTGAACAAGTTGGATCAAGACTGTATTAAACAATATTCTCAGTATGGAGATAGCAACGATTCCGACGCAGACCTGATACATAACGGGACCTTCCGAGAAGATGAGAGTACCGCCAGGGTTGAGCTGGTCGATAAGATCGCTCAAGCGCTTGAGCGTTATAGTGAGTAGAATGGACACTCTTCCCAGTCAATTGATACCAGTCCGCGATAGATGACCTATTGCGCAGATCGCTTCGTGAACTCTTACGCCTAACTATCACGACAGCCTCTCGCGCGAAAAGACGACATCGACAACGTTGCGGCCTGGTTTGATAACCACATCATTGCAATCGACATACGAGAGTGGGACTACATCACCCACCGTGAAGAGCTTATTGCTGTGCAACCCAACTCGCTCCTGGTTTCGTGGCATCCTAGAAATGACACGCTTCCTCAAAATACCATGGTTGAAGCCATGCTTTCTACGCACCCCACTTGACGACAAAATCATCAACGATGGCCGCGGATATTGGCAGAATGACCGCAATTTGGAGGCTTTCTCGTTTTGGGTCATCGCATTCGTTGGACTAGGCATGCTCGTGGGCCCGATATGGATACTTGCATTTATTGTGGACCCTTTGAAGCGTCTTGGTGTGATTACGGGGTTCATTGCACTGTTTTTCATTCTTGTGGCTGTGGCAACAACGGCAAAAGTCTCGGAAGCGTTGGCATCGGCGGCGGCCTATTCGGCTGTGTTGATGGTGTTCATGCAGATAGGGACGATTAGGGCTCATTAGCACAGAATAGCCTCGTTATCCAAGCCGCAACCACTCCTCATACCAGCCCTGATTTCCAGCTCTTAACCACTCCACTCGAACCCATCCCCTAAATCAATACCTCATCTTCCTCCATCCCCATTCCCACATCCCTATCAGCCAGCATTCACGCACTTCACCATCCCCAAAAGCACACACACGCACCCACATGATCAAAGCCCTCTTGAGCTACTCGATTGATCCAACGCTACTTCGAAATCTAACCACCGATGCAAGCACAATCGCTAGGTGGATGTACGCTCAAATGATTACCAACCCGCCGCTCGATGTCGAGTCCCATATAGCAAAACGCCGCATGCAATGCCAACCCCATTCTCCGCTCCGCTTTACGCAAGAGCCCACCATATGCAACAAAAGAAAGTGTCTAGTTTTCATGAACCGTCGTAAACCCCCTACCTCAGAACTGCCGTCCCCGGAAATACTCCCCCGCCTCCCCATCCTCCCCGGGCGTCCCCCGCTCATACGGCGTCCCCCTCCCCATCGGCGCCGCACCCCCGAGCAAGGCCGTCTCATCCCGCACCTGATACAGCCCATACTGCCCGGCCCCAGCCACCGGCACATTCTCAAATCCCCTGTGCCCGCGCTCCGGGCTGGGGCTATACTCCCTCAACGCGCTCGGCGTCGAGTGATAGCCCTTCGGATACTGCACGCCCACGTCCTCCGCATACGTGCGCTCCGAATCGCGGCTCTCGCTCCGCCCCCTCTCGCTCCCGCCAAATTGCGACAGCGAGCCCGGCGTCCCGGGCCTGATGACATCCGCCGAGCGGCCGTACGCCTCGCCGCCGCCGCCGTGCTCCTCGCTGAACTCGGGGCGGTCCTTGAAGTTCTCAAAGTCGAGCTCGGTCTCTTTCACAATCTCAAACGGCGCCGTGGCGGCGGCGGCGGCGGGCGCGGCTTTCCCCGGCCGCTCGTGCGACATGCGCTTCATGGCGTAGACGTCACTGTAGCCGCTGACGTCCTGGCCGTCGTCGTGCAGGCGACCTTTGTAGAGTTCCGCGAGCAGGTGCTGGCTCTTCTCGTGCACCATGGGCACGATGAGCTTCTTGTACAGGGCCGGGTTGCCGAAGCGCACGCCGACGCGGTCGCGGCGGCGGGATTCCTTGTCGACGGGCAGCGCGGCCTCGACGCCCTTGTGCGACTCGCCTTTGGTGTAGAAGGCGAGCTGGTCGTCGAAGGTGCGCTTGCAGTAGATCTTGAAGCCGAGCAGCATGAGCGGCAGCGGGATCATGGCGGCGAGCATCTGCCAGCGGTAGGGGTCGCCGTGGGAGACGACCATGAGCACGACGACTAGGTTGGAGAAGAAGGCGGTGAAGAGCATGCGGTTGAAGAGGACGCGCCAGAAGAGGCCGCCGGATTCGGTCTTGGTGACGAAGACGTACATGAGGAGGTACTTCTTCCAGTAGGCGTCGATGCAGAAATAGAGCGCCGTGACGAGGAGAACGACGGGCTGGATGGGCGCGAAGGCGAGGGTGACGGTCGAGTAAAAGAGAAAGTAGTTGTAGTAGCTGGCGTAGTCGAAGGGGGGAGGCGCGGTCTGCGTGATGAAGTCGCGAGGAGTTGGGCTGCCAAACTTCCTCCTGAACGAGCCCCAGGCGAGATTGGCAACTTGGGCCAAGTCGATGGCCGCACCGAGATTGCGTTGGAGAAGCCATGTAATCCAGAAGGGGGAAACACTGCACAGAGCAACCAGTGTGTTGACGAGTGGGTGCAGTTCTTGGAAGGCATCCATGACTGACTTGTTCTCCTTATTAGTCTTCTCTATGACGCCTCCGATGAAAGCCCACAAAGCCGAGAAGAGGGAGAAAACGAGCAGATTATTAAAGACGAAGAAGGAGTACAACTTATTGATAACATGGCGTTCTCGGGAGGTTTTGGTCACATCTCCAGCCTGTATGGACAGGCGTCGAAAAATTGACGGCAGGAGATAGTAAAACAGGGACGTGATCGCCGGAGATGCCACACCCTGCACGACTGCCCAAAAATTGGGGTTTTGCTCTAGTTGCGTCTTAAAACCATGCCAAACATTTCCTAGATTTGACAGATTCGTTAAAAAGACCGCAATCAGAGCGTTGGGTGCCATCCAAGCAAGGGTAAGCAAGGTAATCCAAACATTGTTGATAAGCCGTCGCCATCTTCGAGTCTTGGGATCTAGGGGTAGATTCTTCCAGATGATATCGTTCGGCCTAGGAGCGAGCCTGATGGTAGTTCCCTGAGGGTGCTTCCTCTTGGCTAGGTAGGCGAGGCTATGGGCGGACTCGATGCTCTCATAGCTTGCAAAACCATATGGCATGGCATCGCGCCGATCCACAGACTCGCGCACAGTCCGGATTTCTCTCTCTAGCCTCTCAATTCGCTTGGCGAGATACTCAATCGCATCCACCTTAGTATTCTTGTCCACGTATGCTTCGTCCTTCTTGGATGGCTTGCACGTCGGTCGTGTCGCTGGGAGCTTGTTGGGATTCTTGAGGTATTTGGCCAGAACCTTCTCTAGCTTCATGACAATTTCTTCGTGTTCCTCGATCATATTAGGCAAGTCCTTGACGTTGCGTCCGATAGCAGCTCGAGGGACCTCGGGGGTTGTCTTGAGGTCATCGGTGATCCTGACGATTCCTTCGTCGGTTCGTAGGCTTTTTGGGATGTCGGTGACCTATGAAGAGTTAGCGTGGGGCCTTCGAAAGCAGAGTGTCGGCCAAAAGACACGACGACAAAAATTTAATCGCTTTTGGGGAAGGTACCATCAGTGTCCGCGACGACAAGCTAGTCTGGTATTCCGGACTGTCGAGGTATGCCCGCCTTAGCCTCGTTACCGCCTTGTAGTTCCTCCACAGGAAATACATGACCACGGTGTTGAAAGCATAAGCACAGCCGACAAAGGCCCAGAAGATGCCGCCATACATGTACTGTGGCGTCATCTTCATCAAGCCTTCGACACTCCAGCCACTGGTGTTGTACATCTGCTTCCCGCCAACCACATTGACAGGTATGAGGATACCGCAGCCGACGAGCGACAATACGAGGAAGATGTTCCTGCACATGTTTGTAAAGCGGAGGAAAATGGTCGCATCAAGCCCGATCTTCTCCACCAAAACATCCTCTTTCATGGCGAGAGGCCCAATCCATGCTAAAGGGGAAGGGCCAAGCTCTGGAGGCTTGTGTTTTGCATCGGCAAAGCGGAGACGGGGCGCGTAGACGACCGAATTGAAGGGTCGGAGGAAGCAGAAGGCGAGGGCAATGAGAGCGGACACGCCTAAGGAGGTCGCGAGGGCGACGAGGACGGATTTGGAGGTAAGCTGTATGTTCATTCCTACGTCAGCCAGATCACTAGCAAGAAAACAGACGGTAACGTGCCTGGCTAGCAAAGGGATTGGACATGAGCCGCAGGAACTCGTCCTTTGGATCATCGTCCCGCCGGAGGAGCGTGCCAGCTAAGCTGGACGCCATAGTAGCGACTGTTGTGTGTATATGGATGCCCCAAGTGGCAGACGATAGGCAATCGGCCGATTGAGTGTGTATGCGGCCGCGAGGGCAGGATTCCCGAGCAGCGAACGGCGGTGGAAAAGATCTGAGGCCGGTCTAATCAATAGATCTCGGCGCACCAGACGTATTAAATCGGGAGAGAGTAAACGAGAGAAAAGGGAACAAAGAAAAAAAGGCGTGTACAAAGAAGGCCCAGGAGGAAGAGGGTGGGCGCGCACAAAGAGTGAAAGGGTCGCGGAGTCGGTGGTGTTGAGACAATGGAGGTCGAATTGCTGGGCAGTCTGGCGCATCTTCACTGGCTGCCGGGCGCGCGTCACCGAGCAGTTGGCGCCGCACCGTGAGCCGAGCCGGGGGTCGAGAGCGTATTTTTAGCTGCGAGGGACCAACCCGCGCCGAAAACTCGCCCTAGTTTGCAGAGACGGTGCAGAGACGGTGCAGAGACGGTGCAGACGCGGTGGCGACCTTCGTATCGCATTTTACCGCCGGCCCGACCGCCATGGAACCGCACCGTCGCCCACCAGAGCAGCGCCGATAATCGTTCCACTCGAACAGCCCGCTGGTGGCTGGTGTTCAGATCCCGTGAGCGGCGCTGGACCGCCATGGCGGTTCTGTGGCGCCTGGCCCGTCATCAGGGGCCACGTCTTCACATGATGAAACGTCTGGCGCGTCGTTTCATCTGATTGCTCAACCACTCACGTGTCTGGAATGCAATTCTCACCATGTATTTCTCACATTGCGTTTCCTGGCGTATGAACCTTCTCAGTCTGCCTTGATTCCAAAGTTGTTCTTATATGGTGGGTTCCTTTCGACCCAAACTTGGAAGGGGACATATTGGTTCTGTTTTGTCTTGGGATTTTTTTCAATTCTTCGCATGTGCTCAGGAATGAGGATCAGTACTCAGCTCCAGTTGGCGCGTGGACACATCTGACTCTCGACATCTCGCTCTGGGCACGAATTCAACAACCATTTCCCTATTTCATCGCTCTCGCTTGCTTTTAAAATTAGCCACCTAGTATTTAGTCATCGCCTTCCTTAACGTTGCCGACTGCGCCACACTCATACGCTGGCAGCTCAACGCGTTTAGCTATCAGAATCAAGATAGGGAGCTCAAAGTTCTTGAAAATGTTTGAGGGTCTAAGTCAATATTCAAGCGACATCCGTGAATCGTATTATATTCCTCCCTCTCCCTTCCCTCAAACATGCTTACAAACCCCTAACCCTCCATCCTCAAAGCACCCAAACCCCAACGCGGCCCAAACCAACCTCCTTTAAGCGATTAGCGTATCAAACGCATGGATATTCGAGATCGGGCCGGTTAGGCGTTGCGGTTGCGGACCTAGAAAAGTAGCTGAGGGCCTTCAGACGCCGGTATCGCCGAGTCAAAACAGAGGGAGGCACTCTTTAATTCGCGGATATAGTACATCAACATGACGTGTATTTCGCGCGATTAGCGTCTCTGACGCATGAGACTTGAAATCAGGCCGTTTAGCTGTTGCGATTGCGGATCCAGAAAAGTAGCCGAAGGCCTTCAGATGCCGGCATCGCGTGGTCAAAACGGAAGTAGGTGCTTCTACTAGCCAGGCCCCTCCTCACAAACAGCCCCGTCCGGCCCATATCTCGTGGCCGAGACTTGCTGGACTGTTGAAACTACGCTGCATCGGCTGGTAGCTGGCGCTGATAGCGCAACTTGCATGGATGCAAGAGCAAGAGATGTGCTAGCAAACTCAAACAGCATGCCAGTGGCCATTCGTGCCACGTGCTGAGTAATAGACTAGTGGGGAGTTTCCTACAACCACCCTGGTGGGCTTCAAAGCGAAGGCTTGCTGACGCGCAGACGCTATTGTCCGATGATCCTCTACGGGAAGGAGGACAGGGGAATCCAACGTCTGGTTCCAGGAGCTGCGAAACAGTCATCGCTAAGTAGGCTTACAGCTACGGACTGCCCACAACTTTAACGTGCAGCAGTGGAATGGAAGAGTGTCTTTTCAACACGTCTAGTAGCAATTAGCGTTACGATTCTAATTCCCTCGGATTAGCCCACGGGCACGTACTCAGCAAGCTCAAAGAAACACAGAAGACAGGGCTACAAACTCACCGGATTCGTGTGCTCAATACCATTCCAACTCCCCATGTCCCAAGCACCAACCGAACACCAGGGCTTCGTCTGGTCCGTCATGGAGAAGTCCCAGTGCGTGTCTCCAGCACCAATCGTCACAAGCCGCTTATTCCACGTGTGCTCGGCGTACGATGGTTGAGGAACATACAAGCGGCCGCGGAGTAGACTATTCCCAAGCCCTGCGCGTTTCCTCCTCTTCGGCACATCCGTGGAGAAGGTGACGGTGACGTCGTAAGGAAGCTTGCTATCGGCCATGGGCGCTGTCACGCTGTTGCCCCATGGCACGCTGCCGGAGTCGAACGTGTAAAGCTGTGTGCCTTGACCGTCGTAGATTTGGAGGGAGCTGTAGACCGGCGCCAGCCAGGGTTCGTCGGTGCCAAACCACTCTTTGATGTGGATCTTGCAGTTCCCTGGCGCGAATGGCGGTGGCGGTTGGGTGTTTGTTGTACCGGGCGATGACGGTGCGCTTTGAGCAGCAGATGATGGCGGAGGAGACGTGGAAAGCGTCTGTGGACATTGCGAAGCTGGTGGTTGGGTTGAATATCCGCAATCCGTAACCGTTGTCCCGGCTGTCGTTGAAGTCAAAAGAGGTGCCGGTGTCCCTCCGCAGTTGCAATAGTCCGCGGTGCACATGGCCCCTCCTCCAAGGTCACTTGCAATCATATAGGCGCAAGCTGGGACACCTCCTTGTCCCGGGACTGCCGCTGACGACGTAATCATTGCGGTCAAAGTTGAAGTTGGAAGCGAAGCGGAAGTTGTAGTTTGACTAGCAGTCGAGCTCGCACTCGCTTTAACGAAAGACTCCATGTCGCTGATGATAACAGACCACATTGAAGCCTGATTTGGAGGAGATATCTCTGAAGAAACCGTAGTCGAAGTCGTTTGAATCGAAGTAGTCGCCCGCGTAGAGGTAACGAATGAAGACAAGGTGCTTGCAGAAGTGGGCATCGAGTTCTGTAAGAGCAATTAGCGAAGCTGAATTGAGAGGGGAACCAAATGTCCCTGTGACTTACCGAAATATTACACGCAAGTGACTCATCTCTTTTGCGGTGAGGAACAAGCTGGGACAGAGAGGCTGGCCATGTTTTTTCGAGGATTGGGTTCGGGTTGTCTTCTAACCAGATCTGGTAAGCTGCCCACTGCTGAGCTGGGCGCCCATCGCAAGTGTCAAATAAAACTTCGTATGGATCATACTGAAAGAGGACTTTGCCCTGAGGCCAAGAGAATCCAACGGGGTTTGCTGGGTCTACAATGGCCGGGTTTGGTCCCAGCCGGGCGTTATAAGACACAACTTGCCACCGCGGCGGATCGTCAGGCGTCGGGCTCGATTCTCACACAAATATTTCACGGATTTTGGTGACTATCTGCCCGACTTGACCGGGATATGCTAGGTCGGCTGGTTCAGCAAACGCAACCTTTCTTCGCGGAGCAACGATGGTCACGTGAGGATCGTATTGCCGGTCAAATCGCGCTCCAGGGGCGGACAAAAGATGCAGCCCGTCGGTTTTTTGTCCATTGAAGACGAAGCCCCACTCCAATCTATTGAGAACGTCATTTTCAAATTGCTTTTGATCAAAAGCGTATTGGGCAGGGGTAATCTCGTTTCCGTCCGCATCGTGAGTGGCTGGTATTATCACCTTGGTGAATGCTGGAGCTTCCCAAAAGTGTGATATCCAGACGCCTATACCAACGTTAGAGAGTTCTTTAAATTTAGTATTTAACACTTGAGTCTTTTGTGTTCACCTTGCTGCGACGTAACAATAACTGATGTGCAACCGTACAGGTTGATCACTCCCATTCTTCCTCGATTCCCTGAAAGTAGGCTCGTCAAAGCAGACGGCACGCCAATATTGCCATTACCAGAAGGATTAGGAATGCTAGGATGAGGAACAAGTATGGCTTGTCTCAATTCGTTATAAAGGTACTGTGCTTGATCGATTCCCGGGACAGGCAAAGTATGCGCGGTCAAGTTTGCAACCAGTGAAGGACTTGAGCGTTTTGCACTGCTGGACTTTACCCTAGTCTGATCATCGGAGGCATGGTTGTCGAGATCTATTGAAGGAATTTGGAAAGTTTGCAGTCTTGAAGAGGCGGTAAGAACCGAGCGTTTGTAGAGTTCAGAACCTATTGGCAACGCTGTAACGGTACTTGGGGTAATATATGCCATAGATAGAGAATCTGTTAAACAGTCCTGGCATCCTTCGACTGGACCGGGAGGGGGCGCTAAGTCATTGGATAAGCACTCGGCAGAGTTTGCGTCGCAAAGAAATGGCTGGCTCGACGGGGTTATGGTGACTATAGAGGAGGAAATGGTGGGCGAAACGCTTGTGCAGCCTTCGACAATGACGGCGGAGCAGGTACGACTACAGGCTTTTCCGCGGTTGACATTTTGGGTGTATGTGGATGCTGTTGTAGTACACACCGCATTGCAGTTGGTGACAGTCTGAGTTCTTGTGTAGGAAAAGCTTGATGATGTAGTCGAAAGACTTGATGAAGCAGGGTCAGTTGTCGATTCAGACTCGTCGCCAGGGTCGTCCTTCAAAGCTTCTACTTCCGGCTTCAGATTCTCTAATTGTGATTCAACCGATTTAATGGCGTCTGTCAATTCGGCCTCTGTCCCCACGGTGCCTTTTTTGATCGCATTGCTGATGTCTTCTACTCCTTCCGTCACGCAGCTGACAGCATCGGCAATTGTGTTGAACAAATCACCAAGTATTGATCTGCCATACAAGTCTCTTCGAGTCTTTCCTCCACATCCACCGCCTCCAGACTTGCCTCCTGCGCCTGGGGGACGTCCTGGAAGGCTGGCGAGAAGAGCCGCACCGAATGGTAGGACCCCTTCGATGGCCTTGGTAACATCATTCACCTCGGATGACTGCGGATTGTCTATCCAACGCTCGATCAGAGGGTACAGAGCTGAAATTTGGCCGGAGAACACGCTTGCGCTCGCCCATGCGGCGGTTCCGGTTGGGTTGAGTATGTTCGTGACCGGCGATGGCAGGGCTACAGGAGTAGTAAACGCGCCACCAAGCAGGACAGGGACAAGGACAGCCTTGCCTGATATAGTCGATGTAATTGTTTGGACTACCGGTCCGTTATTGGGGGCCCCAGTGATGAATGAAAGCGTGGAACTGGCAGTGATCGTTGCCGGGTTTGAAAACGAACCACTCTTAACACCAGATGAGGACGTGTCTTTGAAGCTGCTCGCTGTGCCAAGGGGCTTTGGAAAAGACGTGGGCAACGGGCTCGCAAACTGTGTATTATCCACGGATTGGGAGGAAAGGTCCGAAGATGAAGTGGTCGATTGTGAAAATACAGATTCTGTGTCGCTTGTGTAAACTCCTGTCCTTGCATTAGCAATTGTTGATGTTATGGACGACGAATCCACGTAAGCTAAGCTGGTGGTACCTCCTTGCGATGCAGTTCCTAAAGGAGGACGCGGAAGAAACCCATCGAATGTAGAGTTCTGAAATGGCGGACTTCTAGAATGAAAGGATGACATTTGAGATGGAATTCCGGTGGACCCTAGTTGTCCCACCTGCCCTGAGCTTTGGAACGGCAAGGTTAACACAGGGAGATCCTTCGGTGGCGAGCTTCATAGGCCCGGCGAAGGCATTGTTAGAGCTGAGAACCAGTAGAAGCAAGGCAGGCCTGAGATAGATGAGCTCCATTTCTTGAGTCGAAGGACAGAACGAGTAATCTTGAATCTAGCAAAATTAGAGGAAGTATATAGACGATTATGGAATGAAGGCAGCAGATTGTAATGAAATGGGAAAGTGAGCGTGAGAGTAGTAGAGCGAGCGGGAGAAAAGTAGAGTGAGCGGGAGAAAAGTAGAGCGAGTGGGAGAAAAGTAGAGCGAGCGGGAAAAAAGTAGAAGGAGCGTGAGAGAAGTAGAGTGAGCTTGGTAGGTTGCAGAGCATATCAGCTTGGGGAAGGCATATTTATGTGAAGCTCACCGCAAACGGCACCACCCATACTTCAGCCTCATCCTAAGCGCGTTCTTCAGGAGATCTATTAAGATAGCCGCTAAGATCATTTTAACCTATGGGGCGGCGAGAAAATGAGCAACGCCATTTGAAACATCTACATACCGACCGGACCTTTGCCGCCCATAACAGACCCCGGAACGAGGCATAGACAGTGGCACCTAAGGCACAGCCGGCTCTGCATCAAACAAGACTTCCCCAAATGGGTTCGAGGCGTGGCCGCCACGGCATGCGAGAAGAGCATTATCCCTGGGGCAAAGTGGAGTAATGAAGCAATGAAGCAGTAGAATTAGCTTCTTCTTTGACGGGATCTGAGGCTCGACGGTCTAATAGCCTCGGAATACATATCGTGCATAGCATCAAGCTGTCTCAGGGTCGATATATTGTTGCTAAGCATCATCCAAAGGCTGCAGAAATTCCGAAAACAACGCGACTCCAAGGAGCTTGGTGTTTGACTTCGAAAATTGATCCACTGGATAGCATCGAAACGGAAGCGGCACAGGATCCAACATCTGTGCCTCATGGTAATCTATCAAAGCGCCTTGGAGGCGAGTAGAATATCTGTAGGATCGCGGCGCGGGCTGAGTACGGCGTGGTGAACTCGCTTCATGCGATTGCTACAGTGCAGCTGCAAGAGACACCACAAGAGACACCAGAGACATGGTTGCAAAAAGGACGAGGTTTTCTTATGGGGAAGTATACAACGTCTGTCTTCTGGGCTTCGAAGAGATTAGTATGGTGGTGTTGCGGGTATATATGAGGTTATGTCCCAGGTGACGTTGGCCGGGAAGTTGCTAGTGCCAAGATGGGTTCCCAAAATGGATCGGCGCCACACCGGGCGGCTAGAAAGGTTCCACCCCTTCGTCTCAGAGTTCATCACCAACGCAGTGTTGCGGCACAGCAACCCTCCATGCCTCCATATGCCAGTCCTCCGAAAATGCAGCGTGGCTCCTCGTGTTCCTCCCTTAGTATACACTCATCCTCTTTATCAACTCTTCGACGCTGTCTACCCTAACTCTAGCAACCCGAACTACAATTAACTTCTTCTCGCCGCGATGCTTATGGGTATGATGGAGTACGCCTGGACAAAAGACGGGTTTTGGATGCCCGTCTATCCACCGAAACCTGTCCCGAAGGAACCGCTTTCATTCCTGGAGGCATGCCGGCAAGGAGACATCACTCGAGTGAAGGCACTAGCAAGTGAACACGACCGGGACTCCCTCACAGAGGGCCTCCGGGCGGCACTCAGCGAGGACTGCGTCGAAATTGCCAGCTATCTGCTCGACAATGGCGCCGTCCTTGATACTCCTGCGCTGCTTGCCGTTCGCACTGAGTTTGGAGTCCAGGTCTTACTGGATCATGGTTGGGACATCAACCAACCCCTGTCCAACACTTCCGGGGTTACCATGTTGACGTCTGTGTCCCTTTTCTTCCAAAGAACCGCATTTGTTCCTTAATTAATCGATTGTTACAAGTCACCTGTTGCCTCGGGACCGTTGGGATCTTGTCAACTGGATGCTTCACCACGGCGCGAGACCAACCTTCGGACCGCGCTTCTACCCGCTCGAGGGGAGCGACCCCACCTGCTATCGCAATTCCGGGGCGTCGCTGGAAGCAGCAGCCATGCACTGCAGTCCAGTCCACGGCTCTGAAATCCTTCCCATGCTCGTCAACGCTGGTGCCAAGGTCAAGAATAGCTGCGCGCTCCACCGAGCCGTCGAGTACAGCACCCCTCCGGGCGCGCGGCTTCAGATGATGAACTATTTCGTCTAGCTAGGCGCCGATGCGAATGCGCTCGGATACGTTCCGAACTTGCCGCATAAGGGCACCCCGTTGCATTGCGCCGCGATGCATGGCAGACTCTTGGAAGCGAGATGGCTTCTCGAGCATGGCGCAGATCCGTCCGTGTACGATCATGACGTTGGGCTTCCGGCGAGCTATTGGAGTGAGCTGCGAGGGCACTCGGACATTACCAAGCTGATTGACCAGTGGTATTGGAGTCGGGGGCTGGTGGACGTTGCGGACGGGGAGAAGAATGCATTGGATGAAGGTGGAAGACTTGGCCGAGAAAGCCCAGAGGCATTGGCGAGAAGGCAGATGGCGGATTTGACGTTGGTGAGCAAAGGTCCCGAGGAATAGTATTGGTATGGATGATGGCGCTATTAGGTCCATAAGGAAGTCTTCTTGGGAATTCGTGGACGCACCCTATGCAATAAGGAGGGTTGGACATGTCTTTAAATCTGTCCCGGCCCATTAACACGAGCACCAAAGTACAAGTTGCCATTGGTCGGTTGGAGATGAAGATATCTAGAAACAGGCCATGGAAGGAACAAGAGGGTATTTTCGTTAAAAGTCTCAAATTAGATGAGTACGACGGTACCACCGTCAGAAGACCCTCAACTACCTTCCCAGGTCCGCAATCCCAACTTCGAGTTTCTCCATCCTAATCCAGAAAACCTATCCAAATCGAATACCCTTTGAAAAAAAATCAGCTCTATGATACAACCGTCAGGGGGCCCTCAACTACTTTTCGAGGCCCGCAATCACAACATCCCTTTGACCTGATTTGAAGCTTCCACGCGTCGGACACGCTAATCGACTCCTAAACAAGCCTTCGCAAGAAGGACTAAACGAGCCGACTCTATATCAAGTTCCTAATCGAGCCATTTAGCCCTATGATACAAGCGTCTGGGGGCCCTTAGCTCGTTATCCCAGGCCGCAAGCACAAGTTTGATGCCTTGGCCGCGCTTCACGTATCGAGCTCGGCCTGCGGCTTTCCTGCTTTTTTCTTTGGTCCTCCCTCCAGGGCTTCTTTCGACCCGCTCCAATACCCATCGTCCACCCTCTAAGACGTATCAAGGCCAAAACCGTCAAGTCTTTTCCAGGAGAAACAGAAAAGAAGGGAAGAACTCATGCTCGAGGAAATCAGATCTTTTCTATCTATCTTTATGTAAGACATTCAGCGACCGTGCATTTTCTCAACTCATTCCAATGCTGTAGTCGCAAGTTAGATCACGTGAGTTACGTGCGAAGCTTTGGAATTTCCACCGCTCACGTATAAAAGCTCGCCTACAGGCTCAACTTCTTCTTTCACAGTGATGATGTGTTTGATTTCTATCCGCGGGTGGCGGTTGGGCTGGGCTGGGAGTTCAACAATACCTATCTAAATCCATAATGGTGCTGTGGTGCAAAAGCCATACCAACTTACCGTATGGTTGGCGTGGAGAAGCGTGGAGGGTCTCCAGAACGGTTCAGCCGGGAAAAACATGGTCGAGGTTGGTCAAATCAACGCAGTGATCACCACTCTACGATGTTGATGTCGTTGACTCCATATCTTATGACAAATTGCCAGCAAGCTCCCATAATGTAGAACACTATCTCCTTTCCTAACGTTAATTGTCCTTCCCGCTCAACTGTTCAGTCATCACTTCAAGATTTACCCAACGACCTACGCTTATGTACCATCCACCTCCCCACCGCCACCGCCCTTCGGGGTCTACATGCACATGTGCTGCAGTGGCGACTAACGGTATGCCGCCGTCCTAACCCAAAACACTCCTTGACCAGGGGTTTTTAGTAGGGCTTCGGCCTGAGGTTTTTGGAGATTGGAAATGGGTTCGATTCGCCGGAGTGTAGTGGAGACTTTTTTGCTTTCCATGATGCTACATGCTAGCTAGGAGATTAAATATAGGGGAGCAGTAAATCGAAGAGGGCATTCTTGACAAGATCGTCGACGAACGGCGATGTTCATCAACGGACTATGTTAATTCTCGTTATCGGATTCATCTGCCTCCATCGTACTCCCGCCCCTCTTCTTTGATGTTCAAACTCTCGCTCCTCCACACCATACGCAGTGCGACTGGGAGTTTTTGATCTCCAGCCCGTCCCAGAGCATTTAATGCGATGCTGCGACGTGTCAATCACATGTTGCAAGTCACTTGCAAGTTTTTGCAATTGCCAAAGTCGCCCACCTTGTTTCCTTCATCCGGTGGAAGGGCGAGGGGCTTATATACCTGGAGATACTCGGTATGCGGGCCCTGTCACGAGCATGCCACGTGCTTCAAAGAGAACGGGTTGAGCACTGGCGGAGAGCGTGATATTAACTGCTATTAGTAATCGAGAACTCAAGCTTAGTAGACGTCAATCTTCTAGCGCTATTTTCTCCAGCCCTTCATCCTTGTGTCGGGGACTATAGCTCGCTCGCTCGCTAAAAAGACACCGCCAATCCGAGCTTATTTCCACCCATCCACCACCGCCAGAGATGACCAAACCCGGCAGCCTGCCCATCAAACCGACATGCTCTCCCCCTTCGAACTCAGAGAGTCTGCACACACAAATCCTCCACCCTCACCAGGCCACTCCCCAACCCCGCCGCCGCCCACCCACCGACTCTAATATTCGGATTCCACGCCAACGCCGTAACCGCCTGCTCCTCCTCATAGATAGTCGGCGCCAGCGGTCCCCCATCTGAACCAATGTTAACATCTTTAGGATTCAAGGGCGAGTTTGGATCTGAAGCTGAGGCGGGATAGGCGTGCCCATTGGGCCGCTGCAAGAGTTGCTGGGTAGGTTCGTGGCCGGTTATGAAGCGGGAGAGGGGTTGGGAAGCCGCGTCTTGAGGGGTGAGTGGAGGAGCGGATGAGCCGGCTGCGTTGCCGTTGATGCCGGGTGGCTTTATCGGCCGTCTGTACTCATATTGGAACCACACCTGCTGCCAGCTCTCACATTTCACGTCGAGAGCTCGTCGGAGAGGGTTGTTCGTCGTGACTTCGCCACCTGCGCTACCAGTCATGAGGATCGGATGCGCGGTACCCACCGCTGCGCAAGTCACGAATGATGGGCAGCGGAGGACGAGGGTGTGCATGTAAAAGCGGCGCAGTCCATGTAAACGCACGTAGAAGTTTTCGTCCGTAGCGACGAAAGACTGGCTATGCTCGTGCCATAGCAGCGGGCGGCAGAAGACGCGCTGGCGGGAGGCCCCCGTAGTGTCCATTGAGGGACTACGCAGGTCGATGAGGCGCATGTGCCCGTCTGAGCAGAGGGTGCTGAGGTAGGAGGGGCGGGAGGGGTAGGCAGAGGCGATGGCGAGTATGTAGGAGTCTTGCATAGGTTGGTAGAACCAGGGGACTGCGTCTGCGCGCGGATCAGAGGTAGATAGGGTGGTGGAGTCGAGAGTGTAGACGGCAACGGTGCCGATGGCGGTGCCGGCAGCGATAGTGCGGGAAGAGACCCAAGTTAGACATGTGAAAACTGTGTCTGCGGGGCAGGACTCGAAGGCGGAGTGGGTGATGTGGAGGTAGGTTGGGGATGTTGATTTTGGATAGGTGATATCGAGGACGCGTAGTTTGCCGTCGCCGAAGATGGCGGCGAGGAGGCCTAGGTGCATCGTCGTATGGTCGTCGGATTCGTTGGAATCTGACATGGTAACTGGACACCATTTCAGCTCCTTGATATTGGCCCAATCTGTACAAATGGCTACTTCGAGATAGGGCGGAGACTGCGAGTCCATAGTGCCATCTTCCAGAGCTTTGAAGGCCCATATCTGGATGGAGGCAGGAAACGGTAGCTGGGGAGCGTATGCAGGCGACTTGAAGTTTGAACCCTTCTTGATGGATGGATTCTCTTTTTTTACAATTATGGCGAGGTAATGGGTAGATCCCTGGACGATTGGCGCCCATTGAAGATCCAGGATTTTGGCACCGAGGTTGAGGATGAACCCGCTTCTGTCATCTTCGAATGGCTCTGATATTCTCACGCTCTCCCCTGTCTTGAGCGTAAATAGCTTTTGCTTATGCGCGGGTCCTGCGACGAAGTTGTGAAAGTTGCCCTCTGTTTTCGGCATATATATCTGAGCATCCCCACTGCTCAAGAGCTCGCTTTGCTGTCCAGAGGCGAAAGCATCCTTTCCTCCCTTTCCAAAGTACCAGTTTCGTGTCTGGTTCTTTTCCTTCTCTTTGACCCCTTTTGAAACATAGAAACTTGGCCCCATGCCACCGATTCCATCGTCACCAGTTGTGCGTGAGGGTAAAGTTGGATTCCAGAGCCACTTATCTCTAGTCTTCAGAACAGGCTCAATGTCCTCCTTAGTGGGGCCGAACATGTACAAAACTCTTTGCTCTTTCGCGCTCTTGGTTTTGAATTCGTTAACTCCCCGAGTATGCGTCCCAGATTGAACTTCGGTGCGGAATGCAACGCCCTTGAGGTTACGCAATCGCAAGCCTATGACAGCGCGTCGGCTTGGAACACGATGCCGTCCGAGTCGCTCAATATCAGTCCCAGTAAGCGGGCCAGGCTCCAGGTCGTCTAGAGCAACCTCGTCGTTGCCCGGCTCATCGAAGCCCTCTTGCTCAGAGTCAGACGAGGGAACAACGTCGCCGTGAAGCTCCTCATCGTCCTCTTCTTCCTCGGGAGCATCGTCTAGCACCACAAATTCGACGTCATCCTCCGATTCTTCGCGTGGAGGCGCCGACGTGCTGCTAGAGCCAGAGTCACTCGATGCATATAAAGCTTTTTCTAGACCTTCGAAGGGGTCAACCGTGTATTTCTTGTTGGGCTGCCGGGCTCGCCCCGATCTCCGCACGTCTTCCGCCATTACTGTGGATGTGAGTTAGCCAAGCTGTGTTAATGTGACGGTTTTGACCTTGTCGTGGTCTTTCTGATCCAACATCGAGATTTCATTGTTGTGTGATATTGGCTGTGGCTGGTGAAAGGTTATCGGAGGAGCCTCGGCGGAGTTGAGCCCAGTGACGTTCAACACCACGAGACGGCCTTTCCATTTCACATCACTACTCTGCTTGCAACTACATCCACTATCCCCATAGCCCTCATCTCCACACGAGTGCAATTATAGAACCTCCATAGTTTGTCACCTCTTTTCAGGGCCCATGGCCTCTCTACCGCCTCGCCCAGCCTCCCAGAGGCGCTCCTCTCCCCGCGCCGACGAGGCATCATCCTCAGCCGACAGTCACCAGCCGCTGCCTCGTACCGACAGCGAGGCCCTCTCCACCACCTCAGAAGACTCCCAGACCCTCCTCCTAAATCGCCGCCAAAGCCATCGCGAAATAGACGCCACCGAGCTCCAACAGAAGCCAGCTCCACCAGTGGCGACCTCGCAAGCCAAATCGAATGACGAACCTCGCAAATGCTGGATATGTTTCAACGACGAGACCGAGGATGATGCTATGTCCTCGGAATGGCGGAGCCCGTGTCCATGCGTTCTCGTAGCGCATGAGAAGTGTCTCCTGGCATGGATAAACGACGTAGAGAACGAGAAGCGAAGCAGCAAGATATTATGTCCTCAGTGCAAGACAGAGATCCAGGTTGCCCGACCGCGGAGTCGCATAGTTGATGCGTATAAAACCCTCGAGCACATGGGCCATTTGATGCTCGTCCCCAGCGTGGTCTTCATCTTGGGCTCGGCCGGCTACCAAACAGCTCGCATGTTCGGAGTACACGCCGTCAATGAGATCTTTGGCGTCCAGGACGGCTTCCGCATACTCCATACGCTTTATGATACCCCAGATCTCCACGAGGAGTCTGTCCCTCTACGCATCCTCAATCACCTGCGCGACCACTGGCGACTAGCCGTTGGCCTTCCCGTCATTCCCACAGTGCTAATCGCATCTCGGACCTCCTGGGCCGATAGCATCCTCCCCGTAATCCCCATCATTTTCTTTGCCAACACTTCTTCCCCTATCGAAGGGCTGAACAATGGCAACTGGCCTCCCTCCGCTGCCCTTACCATTTCCCTTCTCCCATACATCCGTGGAGCCTACAACGCCTACTACGAACGAGTCTGGGCTCCCCATGAACAACGCTGGCTCAGGGAAATATCTCCCCATACTGGCGACACCCCGCCTGAGCCCCTAGACCCAGACAACGCCGACGTTGGGGATATTGTTGTTGAAGAGGGTTGGGGGGATCAAGGGGTGGTTTTGGACGTCGATATTGACTTCGACGTCTTCGCAGACTGGAATGCCGGCGGTGCTGCAGACAACAACCTTGCAGACGAGAACCCTCCGGTGCCTATCGCTCGTGGTCCTGCGCCTCCTCTAAATGCACCACCACAAGACGGCGACGCGGCGCCAGCGCCTCAGATTCCGGTGGCACAGCCCCGACGTCGCCTTAGACGCACGGGCATCAGCCCGACTGCGCTCGCAGACACGGTTATTGGCGCATTGCTGTTCCCGTCTATTGCCGCACGAGTAGGCGAAGTATTGCGGTTCGCGCTCCCGCATTCCTGGACTACACCTAACGGCAACAAGGCTATGGGATTATTACAAACAAAATGGGGAAGGAGCATCGTGGGCGGCTGTCTTTTTGTGGGAATCAAAGATGCGGTGTTGCTGTACGTCCGTTGGCGGATGGCGCAGAACATGCGGCAGCGGAAGGTCTTGGATTGGACCGACGATGGAAAAGGCAAAGCAGCGGGTGGGAGAACCAGGGGAAGAGCCACCCCATAGGTGTATGAGAAACGATATTGCATTACACGGCGTTTGCGCAAATTTTGCTGGCTGGATACGCCTGAGCGTTCCTCTCGGTCATGGCATTGAGTTTTGGTTGGGTAGTAGCGTCAGCGGGTTATTATACATGATGGGCTACGGTTCTTATGAGCGGACACTCTAGAAATGTACAGCTAGTTCTAGGCCGCTATGTTTACTAGACGACAATTTTCTTTCACTGTGCCAATACCGCCTGAGGTGGCCCGACTCGGTGTCAGGCCTGCCAAAGCAGTTATTCGAACTTCGTGATTCAGACTTCATAACACAAACCGTTTACTCTAAGCCTGAAATACGCCCTACTAATCCTGGTACAAGAAGTGGCTACGATAGGTAGACGCAGCGGGCTCTCTGCGTCGTATAATTTTTCTTCTAAGCGGTCAATTCTGTAAATATTGTTAATATAAGTAGAGAAGTAGTCTACACTATGTGACTGAGTTATCTCATCTATTTGCACTTTTTATTACCATCCCTCAACCTGGAACTCAAACACCCGATCCACCTTCCCGCCCTCCACCGGCTTCCCGATCCCATCGAACAACGTTCTCTCCACAAATGTCAACATTCCCTTTTTGTCCACCAAGATCAGCGACTGCTTTTGCGTCCCATAGATCCCCGACGTCGCGTCCACAGCCTCATGATCCACCGCCGCCGCAATCCTATCCGACGGCACCCCATCCAACTCGACCCCCCCAATCGGCGGCACAAAGATGCTATGCCTCAGCTGATTCAAGTAAACATCCCACTCCTCCCCATTCCTTTGCCGCGGAAGCGTATCCACGCTCAGCAGCCCAAACAACCGCTCCAACAACTCCTCCTTGCTATCTCCTCTCTCCACACTCTCCTTGACAGCAACGCGTACCGCCTCCTCCCCCTTGACAACCTTCGGCCACGACGCATCCCCATAAAATGAATTACTCAGCGCCGTCGTCTCATGCGGGGCCCCCGCCACCCAAATCAAGCCCTCCACATCCGGCGTCCGATTCGAGATAATCGCCAACCCGCCCTTCTTCTTCCCCCCCTCCCCTCCTCCCTCCACCACGCCCTTGACCACGTCCCGCACATTCCCAAATAGCAAACTAAAGCCGCCGACCCCACGCACTCCATCCTCCGCGACCAACCGCGCGGCGAACTCGGCGGTGGTCTCGTGCGACTGTGGATCTTGCCGGAGGAACAGGTTGACGATGGCGCCGCGCGACCGCACGCCCTGGATCAGCGCGGCGGGGTCGGCCTCGCGGTAGTTGGTCAGGCACGCGATGCGGCCTTGACGCGTGACGCCCAGCCAGGTGCCGTGCTCGGCGCGGTGCAGGTCGTAGCCGCCGAGGACGTGGGCGTGGGGCGGCGGCCAGAAGGTGGAGGGGGCGGTCGGGCGGTGGAGGTATTCCTGTAGGTTGGGGCGTGAGTATGGGGGTTTTGAAGGATGTCTTTGAGGTTGTGGAGTGATTTTATAAGGGGTCTCGTGAGTTGGGGTGGGCGTGTGCTGGGAGGTGATGTTGGGAGGTGGGGGAGGATGAAGAGGTTCTAGAGGGGCGGGGAAAGAAGACGGCAAAATGATGGCAAGGTATCAAAGGAGGCAGAGGCCTAGTGAGAATGTGGTGGTGGATGCTTACATCGCGGTTGTTTAGGAGAATGAAGGGGTAGTCGGGGTGCTCCGTGGTTATGATAGCGATGCACATGTTTGCGAAATCCTCGCCAAAGCGGCTTTTGAAACAGAGTATACGATGATAGTATCTTTCTTAGAGTATAATAGGTTTGGAATACTTGCTCGAAGGCGAGGAAATTGAAAGTGTGGGAAAGCAACTGTGTAGATGTACAGAATGGCGTTGTGGTCTAGAATACAGCGACGTCGGCGAGGTGCATGAGATGCAGTGTGCAGATAGCGGCGGTGAGCACAAACAGCACAGCTTTATACGTGGTTCCTCTGCGGTGGCCAGACACCAGATCTGTGAGTTGTCATGATGGGGTGAGTAGGGTGTAGTCGACGGCATCGTGTCTAATTGCCACTGTACGTAGCTAGACCTCGGGAACGGAGGTGTCGTTGAGAGGAGGTCAGGGTCTCGAGGCATTGGGAGGGCTTGATTCCTCGCCAACTGGGCCTTCCGCGACGAACAGCAGAACACAAACCGAGACAAAGAAATGCGATAGCTTCTTCTCTTCGACGTCTATGAGCAACAGGTAGAAACTGAGAGACAGCTTGCGGTAGCTTGTGAAAGTCACGTGTCAGTTCGTTCAAAATTCGCCTCTTTCTCTGAACCCCGCCCTTGACTCGGTCACCATCTCCAAAGACATCCTCGTGATCTAATCCACTCAACAGCATAGGGTGATTTTTGGTCCTGTGACGGGCTGTCTGATATAATATAAGCGCTATGCCAATGTCTGCGCTTCTTCGCCATTACACCGTGCACCTGCTCAATCTGCGAGGGAACGAGGCTGTCGGAACCGATCCTCAGTTCTCGCGAACCTCCCTGGGTACGCTGCCAAAACGATAAAGGTCGCGGGCGTCCCTAGTCGAAACCAAGGTCCCCTCTGCGCGGATGCCCTCCAAGTTTAGGAAGAGGTCGCACTTGATTTTGGCGTTGTGAATTGCACGTTTCGGATTGCTTTGGATGTCAGGGTACAGAGCAGCCTTTATCCTATTTCGATTCCCTTTAATTATCAGGATCTTCGTCGCGTCCTAAAACGATCCCGTCAGAGCCCTCTTACATTATTAATTTCCCAGTGTCCGAGTTCCCTCGCTACCCGACCCTGATGTTGGAGGTCTGAAGACGGAGCCGCCTTCGCGTTTTGCCTGGACGAGAGAAGACTGCTTTGCTTCGCGCACGTTATGCCTTGTCGAAAGCTGGAGGGGACCGTTTGGCAGGGGTGCATTTGCTTCAGCCTTATTGGTGCAAGGCGTAACAACACAACATCTCCCCATGCCTCCGCGCGATCAAAGCAAAGGCCCCGTCTTCACGCCGGACGAACGATGGCCATGCTTACGGTAGGGTCCAAGGGTCCGCCGGAGGATAGCCCTGCACTCGCCCCGAATATCGCCCTGAGCACTGACTGGTGCCGCATAGCCACCACGTTGCAGCCATACAGACGCCAAGATCGTCAACAGAGCTTCTTTTTTCCGACTGAACTAGTCCTCTACCATGTTAGTATGCGTTTAAGGCCCCCAAATCACGCCAAGCCAAGGGGGCTCGGCTTGGATAAACCCGGTATCAGCGGCTGCCCTTTGTAAGTGCTCACATTCCTTATATACGATGGCCTGGTACATGCATGGTCGTGGTTTGGCTTCCTTCGTCCTCATCCTGCGTCTCCGTGCTATTCCTCCAACATGCGGTCCACCATATTTCAATCGTTGCTAGCCATTGGATCTTTGCGATCGGTGGTCGCGCAGTACGCTTTTTCAGTGCCGGAGCCCGCTGTCGCAGATTTCAACTCTATCAACGATGTGGTCCAAGGCACCGTCGTGAATATTGTTTGGCTTGCGAACTGTAGGTTGCAATCGCATGAGGCCAAGGCATTCCACTAATCTCTTTCGCTGCCAGCCACCTACCAGCCCACATTGACAGGCCAACAACTACTCGATAGTAATGGAGATATCTCAGTATGGATAACCTCGTACAACAATAACGACTACACCCATTGCTTGACTCGTAAGTTTCAATCTTTTCAAAGAACAAGTCAATTGCAACGACTGCGCCCCTCTTTCTAGGACTGTGCTAATCGCCCTTTCTTCACAGCAAGCGCGAACTCAGAATCAGGAGGTTCATGGGCTTGGAACATCACACTATCGGACGACGACATTGATGCCAATGGAGGAAAATTTGTCTACCGCCTGAAGCCCACCGTCGCAAGCCAAAACTCCCCTTTCAACATCACGGAGGATGAGTGTCCATCGCGGGGTTTCATCATAAGGAAGGCGGCCGATGTCGCAGCTTCATCGTCGGCGTCAGTGGCGGCGGCAGCATCAGCGGCTCGAAAATCAGCTTCAACCGCAGTTATCACCGTTACCAAGTCAGGTAAGCCTAAGTCTTAAAGCCATCGAAAACTTCAAACCTGTGGCCGTTACTAACTTCGAATCCAATACGATAGGCCAAGCTGCTGCGTCTGCAACGGGAAGTGCTGCTTCAACTGGAGCCTCAACCGGAGCCTCCACCGGAGCCGCCACCGGAGCCGCAAAGACAGGTTTCCCAACCAACACCAGCATTGGAACTCCTAGCCCCTCGAACGGTGGTGGGCTGTCCGGAGGCGCGAAGGCAGGCATTGCTATCGGTGTTATAGCTCTTGTAGGCATCGCCGCCATCGCCGCATTCTTCCTCTGGAGACGTCAGCGCAACAACGCAGCTGGCACAAAAGCAGCAGAGCTATCCGGCACTACTCAGTACGCTCCGGCTCCCGCGATGAACGATAAACACGTATACGGATACATGGACCACCCCCACAACGCGGCCCCCGTGGAGCTGGCAGACTCACAGCATCAGGCTCCTGTTGAGCTGCCCGCGTACAACAAATGAATTTGGCCTTGAAAGGTTAGATTAAACACGTCGCTGAAAGAGGATTGTGGAGTGTCGGATAAGGATCTCGCACTCGACGATGAAATGGACAATGCCAAGATGCCCTTAGCAGGAGATTGTTCCAAAGTCTTATGACATTTAACTATATTTATTTACGTTCTTATCTCAAAGATTTACCCCAGAGATTTTCTATGCCGATAAGAGTTGAGTATGTTAGCTCAGGAATTGAAGAAAGTCCGAAGCGGCGTCTCGTCCTCACTATTCGTGGGACGGTGGTACAACGTATCGGTACCTGCATATCGTCGCACCCTTAACCCACTCAAATCTCTCCAATACCGTACCAAAGTTTGCACACTCGAAGGCGTGATAACTGGGATTACCGATTGCGGCAGGTCCATTCCAATTCCGATCCCCGCCGAAGGCCCGATCTCCGCTGGAGAAAAGCGGCATGAGTCACGACCCCATTGGACAGCCTTAAATCCTATATACAACCTCAAATACATTCTCTCACTCCCTGCGTACCATTCCCTTTTTTTCTCTTTTTCAAGAACAAATCAATTCGTGTAATCGCGACTCTACTCACCATGGCACCTTCAGCCTACTCCCCAGAGCAGATCACCCAATACCTAGATTACATTGGCCTTCCCTCTCACTATCATCCTTCGTCTCCATCTAGACCTCCCCTCAGCTTTGATTTCCTTACCACTCTCCACGCCCATCAGATTGCTGCCATTCCATACGAGAATCTCTCGTTACATTACTCAGTCACAAAGGAGATTTCCATAGATCCACAGGTCACGTTCAAGAAAATAGTGACCGACAAGCGCGGACGCGGGGGCTACTGCATGGAAGCAGCCATCTTCTTCAATCACATCCTGAGGGCACTGGGATTCGATGCGTACACGGCGGGCGTGAGGATACGGTACCGAGAAAACGGAATACCGAAGGGTGATTACATAGGATGGTGAGTGACTGCTGGATCAACTGGTGATATCTTTACTGCACAACAAATCCCTCCGCAATCCACCAAAATTCGAACTTCTATCCTCGACAACTGCCAAATCCATCAAGTCCCTCCAATCCACCACTAACACACCCCAGGACGCACATCGTCAACATCGTAACCCTCCCCGACTCCACCAAACATGTCCTCGACGTCGCCTTCGGCGGCGACGGCCCCACAAAACCCCTGCCCCTGCTCCCAGGAATCGTCACGTCCAACATCGGCACCCAAGAGCTCCGCTTCGTCCACGAGCCGCTGGCCCAGCAAACCCACGACGCGGTCGCTAGCAAGTACTGGATTTACCAGTACCGCAACGCACCCACCGCGCCCTGGAACTCGTTCTACGCGTTCACGGAGCTGGAGTTCTTGCATGGCGATTTCGAGATTATGAATCACTTTACGAGTACGAGTAAGAGGAGTTTCCAGACGTATACCGCGTTGGTGGTAAAGTTCTTGATGGCGCGAGAGGGAGATGAGGAGATGAGGGCGGAGTTGAGGGCGGAGGGGAAGGGGAAGGGGGGCGTGTATGGTAAGGTGATGTTGGTCGGTGGGGATGTGAAGGTGAATACGGATAGGAAGACGAGGGTGGTGAAGAGGTGTGAGACGGAGGCTGAGAGGGTGAAGGCGCTGAGGGAGTGGTTTGGAATGAGTTTTACGGAGGAGGAGAGGGAGGGGATTAGGGGGCACGTTACTGAGTTGAAGTGATCAGGTCGGGTTTCCTAGCTGTGAACTATGGTATTGGAAAGAAGATGTAGATGTTCCGTGGTAGAAATGGTACTTGGATTCTATTTCATTTCGCACTAGGCTATTGTCGACATCGACACGATGTTTACCTTCATCAGATTCGATCAGCATGGACACAATCCGATTTCTGACCCTTTTGCACAGTTCCAGAGCGCCTGATCAAGCGTGTTTCAACACGAATTGCTGGCGATCGGGAAGGAAAATGGATTATCAGACGTCCTGCCTTTGTACTCCTATTTTTATCAACCTAATAACTCTGCCAGGGCTTCAATCCGGTGCGGTGTGATCGGCGAGCACGAACTCGAGGCTGTCATCACAGCGAGGAGTATAAGATCCAAGTTCGCTCCTTAGCGCCGGACGTTCATCTCTTTTTTGCCAGTCAAGTGGGAAGCGTAGGTGGAGTGTGGGGTTGATAAAATAAAAGTACTCGTGGACACGACAGGGATCCGTGTCGATCTCCCGCAGAAATGTGGCGGGTCCCCACGCGAGCCGAGGCTTGGCGGTGGCTGGGACCCATCTCCAGCCTCATGTTTTCATCTCAACTTTACTGCCAGCCATCGCATTTTGCGCCCCGCCATCATGGAACTTCGTATATCAAACCCCCCAGGGAAGGCCTTCCTTCTCTGTCTCACCACAAGACAACCATTTCCCGACATCCACAATCCCCCCCTCCAGAATCGAGCCTCCACGCCTCCACCTCTATCCATTCGCACTGCGCATTCTGCTTCTTCAAATCCTGATCAATCCTCCTGGCCTCCTTGACGATTCTGTCAACATGCGCTTCACTTCACAAGCCGCTCTCGCCCTACTATCCTTACTTCACCTTACATCTGCCCTTCCTCTCGACACCGCACCGCGACAGAATGCGCCTCGACGCGCAAAAAACTACTCGATCGTGAACGTCGACGGCGGATCTGCGACTCCCGTCGTGACTGTTATTCAGACAGTGGTGGAATCAGAACCGGCCCCAACCCCAACAGTCGTCGCATCGACCTCCTGCATACCCACCAAGTCCAGCTCGACCTCGACATGGGGAAAACCCTTCACTCTCCCTCCATACTCCGACGCCACACCGTCTACCACCTCCACAAAGTTGAAGAGCTCTTCATCCACATGGGGAAAGCCCTTCACGCTATCGCCCTACTCAGAAGCCACCCCGTCTACCACCTCCACCAAGTCGAAGAGCTCTTCGACATCCACGTGGGGTAAGCCCTTCACGCTACCACCCTACTCAGAAGCGAACCCGACCGCTTCGTCGACATCTTGGGTCCTCCTCAATACCTCTTCTACCTCCGTGACGCCCTGCGAATCGATGTCCTCAACCACAGCCGCAGGACCTTCAGTGGTGACCGTTACAGTCGAGGCCTCTGAAGCCGCCACCTCATACTACGACAACGGACTGTGGCACACCAGATACCCCATCCGCACCTCCTTGAACGTGGTCACTCAGGCCGCGAGCTCTGCCTCACCCACCTCGACGGTAGAAGGCCCGCGGCTAGAACACTACGTCGGCAGCGGTGTTTGGGAGACACTCTACCCTCCCCCCTCTTCGACGCTTTCGGAGACACCCACAAAGTTCGTTACGACAGGCGCGTTCCCGACGCTGAATCCGACGGCGGCGGCGTACAACCATACGCAGATTCCGGCCTGAGGAATGACTGAAGATGCTTCATGCGATTGGCGATTGGAAATTTGAATTTGAACTTGATTAGCACGTTTTGCGAGCGAGCATTAAGACGACACGACTCTGATTCTTATACCAATTTAAGATTGGGCTTTTTTTGTTATGAACGGATGGCTTTATGGGATGGGAATTTGGTAACGGCCGGATACACGGGAAAACGGGTACAGAATGACTGGGATATGGGCATTGGGATGGAGTACTTGTATACAATTTTGATGCATGGCACATGGTATACGACCTATAATTATTAGCGACATTGTAGCAAAGAAATTAAATCAATAGATTACATCATACGGCTTGATTTATACGCTCTGGAACGTGACACCTTAGCTAGATTTCCTGTCATAGGGCCAGACATGCTTCAGATGTGCTAGCATGCGTTCAGCTTGCCAGTACCGGACCCCTAATCTAGAGTGTAGTGAATTGAAAATCGAAAATGGCGGCTTATCGACATCTTCAAATCCATGAGCTGGAATCCACGCTGCGGAACCTTACATCCTACTTCTTCTCCCTATCGTATGGCTAGAGATGGCTCAGATGTGTGCAACATGCTCAGACCGACCCCTAGATTGGAAGTGCCGTGAATAAAACATCTAAAACGACCGCTTAGCCGCATCCTCCTACCTATACTCTAGAATTCGTGCTCTAAAACTTGACATCCGACTTCGCTTTCATTTCGTAGGTCCAGACATGCTTCAGACATTTTAGCATATGTGCAGCATGCTCAAACCGACTCCCTGAATTGAAGCGTAGTGAATAGCACATCGAAAACAACGGTTTGTTGGCATCCTTCTACTCACAGTCTGAAATCTACGCTCTCGAACTTGACATGCCACCTCGCTTTCCCATCGTATAGCTAGACATGCTTCAGACATTTCAGCATATGTGCAGCATGTTCGACCCGAACCGCCCCCCCTCCCTCCCAAATTGAAGCGTAGTGAATAGAACATGAAAAACAACAGTTCAGAGGCATCCTCCTGCCCACGGCCTGAAATCCATGCTCTTGAACTTGACATCCTATGTAACTATTCTTTCATAGGATTAGAGGGACCTCAAGAGCATAAGCTCGTGTGCAGGTTAATACCCTCCACCCCTCCGATTTGAAGTGATGAGAATGAAGCATTACAAACGCCTACTTTTTAGCATCCCGATATCCTCCGTCTAAAACCCACGCTGCAGAACTTTACGCCCTAGATAAGCGTTCTTTCATCCGGCCAGGGGTACCTTACAAACACCAACACATGCGCATCCAGAACTCCTCCACCCCTCCAATCTGGAATGCAGTGAATAGAACATCAATGCCACCAACTTATCAATAGCTCAGAGGCGTCTCAACACCCCCATCCACATCCATAAACCGCCGTCCCGAAACCCACCCTCCAGAACTTGACATCCCCTCTCTCCATTTCTCTCATACAGCCAGGGGTGCCCCAAACCCCCACCCACACCCACAGCACCTCAACCCACTACCCCTAATTCAGCGACTACAGGAAGTCACAGCCATCACTCACAAAAAGCACTAAAAGCACCAAAAGTAACAAAAAAACACTTTTTCATCCCCTACCGTAGCCCCAGGGGCCCCTTAACCTTAAAAACTCCCAAAATGCACATCATCCTAGTCATAAAAGGCTCAAAAAGCCCCATAAGCCCCTTCTTCTCCCACTTACCCCTTCACAATCGCCGCCACTTTCGTCGCCAGATCGTCCGCCTCCGCCCTCGTCGCCGCCTCGGCGTACACCCTCACCACATCCTCAGTGCCCGAGGGCCGCGCAAACGCCCGGCCCTGGCGCGTCTTGAGCACCGCGTCGTCGATGCGCGCCTGCATGCCACTCGGCGTGACGAGCTTGCGCTCCGCATCCGCAGTTGTGTAGTCACCGCGCCTGGCGACTTGCACCTTCAGCAGGCGGTTCGGGAGGTCGTTGTAGGTGGCGAGCCACTCGGTGGGGGTCCACTCCTTGTGCGCGAGGATGACCTCGACGAGCAGGGCGTCCGACAGGGCGTCGCCGACGGCCTGGTTGATGAGGTCGATGACGGCGCGGAGGGTCTCGAGGTGGAACTGCTGGCCGGGGGATCTGACCTCGTGGGCGGCGATGGTTTGCAGGGCGTGCTCTGAGAAGATGACGGTGCCGTGGCCGTTGGCCTCGAAGTAGACGCCGATGTCGTAGGACTCGGCGGCGTGGTGGAGGTGCTTCACGCCCGTGGCAGTGCAGGTGATGTTGAGCTTCAGGTCGTTTTTGATGTAGTGCGTGCTGGCGCCGTTGGCGTAGGCGGTCTGCACGACGCCGATCTTGAGGGGCTCTGGGATGGCTGCGAGGCCGCTCTGGCGGACGAGATCGCCGATGAAGGAGGCGGCGAGAGTGGCAATACGGTCGCCATCCAGAAGAGCAAAGGCACTGTTGGCTTGCTTGAAGTAGTAGACGACGCGGTCGGCATCTCCATCCAGGGAGCAGCATCTGTCGCTAGGTCCAACCTTGGAAGATGGGGGAGCACGCTGGCTGGTCTTGACATAGTCCGCTCCGCACTACGGTCGGTTTGAATCAGTAAAAGCATCCTAAAGGTAGGGGTATTTTCTTTTCCGTCAATTTCATACCTCAACGTTCAGGCTGTCCGGCTGGTGCACGTTGTCGTTCACGACAGTGATGTCCAACGCTCCCTTTGGAAGATATTTGATCAGCTCCTTCAACTTCGGACCTCCAACACCATTGGCACAGTCCACTGTCAATCCTCCAATTGGTTTCTTGTTTCCAAGAGCACGCTTGAAGGCGTCTGAGAACTTCTTGTAGTATCCTTGCTCCGAGGGCTCGCCATAGGCTTCCGCGGTCCCTTCAGTGTTGATGCTGCGGACCATGTAGTGCAGCTGGGGGGTCGTCAAGATCTTGCAGTCGGTATATTCAGCTCCAATGGCCTTGAGAGAGGCAACGAGGCATCCGACGAGGCGGGAGCCTGAGGCGCGGGTATCACGGGCGAATACCACGCGAGCAAGAATGGCAGAGTCGATTTTAAGCTTCGCCTGGAGCTTCTTGTATTCCTCCAACATAGTTTCGTCGCTGTCTGCGTTGGCAAGAGTCGTGCAGTATGCTTCCCACTCATTCTGTTCGATGTCAGCTTGGCGCTGGTAATAGTGCAAGTCTACTTCGAATTGGACAGGAGAATAGGGCGTAGGGACAGGTGGGGGAGCCTATGAGGGCTCTTCTTACTTTCAGCATAGCGCCCTGTAATTATGGTCAGCATGTGTGTGCTAGATGTCCATGGCATGACTTACGGATGGCTCGACTAGCTTCACTCCATTGTCCGCCGGGGGATTGTGAGACGCAGTAATCATGAGTCCAATTGTCTGTCCGCCCAGGGATTGCGACCGCAAAGCGGCAATAAGGCCACATCTGAAGACGACAGAGTCGAGGAGCTCGCTAGAAGAGTCAGTCTTGCTGTTGCGCGATTTGAGGCTGACGCGGGCCGTCGCGGTACGGGAACCTACGATTTCATGCGGAACTGTGCAGACCATATGTCAGTACCCTTCCAATGAGGAAGAATGCGAGGGAACTTACTCCTGCCGTGCCATACTCGTACTTGGTGCCTGCAGCTGGCGGGAACTTGGCGGAAGTCTCCAGGATAGCTTGATCGGTGGCAGACATCGCGAAGGGATCTCAAGAGGAGCTGGGAGAGAACAGAACGCTGGACGGCGGAATTGAGGAAGAGAAGAGCAGCTTTAAGTGAGCGGAACTGCGGCTGAGGGGGTAGTCAGCTCTGGTGAGGAGGATGTTGTGATGATGGAGGAGCTCTGACAGACAGAGCCGCAGGTAAAGTTCTAGGGCTGACCTTTCAGCTCCCCCGCTAACCCCTCCTGCACGCCTCCGAAGCATCACACCGCCACCGCAGGGATCGAAATGGATCCTATTCTGGTGCCAGGCGAGTATCTGGAGGTGGTATGACCGTTAGAGCCTTTTACTGTAGCATTGTAGGTGGCAACGAGGACGAAACTTGCGCGGACGGCGCCTCTATCCACCCCTAACACCCCTCAACACCACGCACCACTCCGACGCGCATCCTCAAGCATCTTCATTTCCCAAACAGATGGGAAGCAAACAGCTCCAGCTGCGGCTTCCGTCTAGCAAACTGCAGGGAACAGCGTGCAGTGGGGGACACTGGAAGGGAGACGCAGGCTTCATGTCGCCGCTGATGTCTCTCGCGTTCAGCTTTCCTGGGCGGAAGTACAACGAAAAGACTCACGATTATTGACTCGAGGCATAGCTAGAACCCCCTGTACATCCTCACGGTCCTAGGATTCGCAACTGACGGCCGAGAGATAGGGCGCGCTGCCACACAGGACCAGCTCCTTACAGGGCCCTACGAACGAATGCTCATCCATGATACTTGTCCCACATCACACTCAGGGCATAGTCAAAACGCGCGCACAACACAAATGGACCTACACGACTCTTGCAAACAATATATCCACGGACAGGGGCAGGGCCGACAAGACAGCAGGGCCCGGTGATACAAGACCAGGGCAGTCGAGAGGGCAAGACAGCGACGTTCTGCGAAAAACACATTCGAAGCTCTCTAAAGAATGTGCATAAGGCTGCTCTGGCTGGCGATTCCTGGATACAGAGAAAAAGTAGAACCGTTCGACCAATCTACAACAGTGGTGGGTTGCTTGAAGGGTGTTTGCAGGAAGGGAGAACAACTTAGAGCAATTAGGAGTCAACTGTCTTCGTTCAACGAGATACAAAATGATTGGGTAGGAGCAGATAAGCGTGTCTAGATGTAAAGGGCCTGATCGTAGCGCAACGGGCTCTTTACAATTTCCAGTATTATGACAACGAGTCTCACACGGAACGCAGCTGGCCTTTGATATCTCAGAAGGGCACCTTTTTGCTCCAAACAGAATCTCGGACCCTGAAGGTATCTAAGTATAGAGCTAGATCAAAAACTTCCAACCTCATTCGACGACAGGAGCCAGCAATTGGTCTTTCCTGGTGCTATTTCGACTGCAGAATGCCGTGTCGTCTCCATCTCCGCAGTCCTATCGGCATCATGCCATGCTCGCCAAAGAACTGGGTAGACTTCCGAGCGAATCGATGTGCTCACAACAACAACCGATCGGTGCATGCGGGGAGGCGGGTCCCAGACTTCCCCACAGTGCGTGACTTCCCCACAGTGATCGGCCTACGCCGACGACATTCATCCTTACGGGGAGACTGTTGGGCATGACTCTCACCCCATGGAGTTGGGATCACGAGTCATTCTAGCCTCGCCTAGGAAGATCTGTTCCGGTTCAAGCTGTGCAACAGTGCTTTTCTATTCATATCATATCTAGAAACTAGCACCTACAGGGAGTACCTGAACAGAGGGCTCGCGTCTCCCATATCCATAAGCTCCGCCTCGCTGTATTTCTCCCTTATGGCATCTACATCCATTTCATCCCTCTGCTTGTTGATTTTCGCGCAAAGGAACCGGAGGATGACCGCTGACAGTATCGCAAGGCATGTCACCCCGAGCGAGAGCCCGTAACCCAGCTGATAGCGAGGAGCTTGCCTTTCAAGATAGATATTGGAGCCGATTCCGCCTGAAAGATTGGCGAACGTAAGCTGGATCGCCATTCCGATAGCACGTTTCCAGGACCCTGCGAGGTTGTTTGCTTTACCACTGATTAGCATTGCAGAATGAACTTCCTGTGGGGCACGTTGACCTACCATTCCACGTAAGGGAGCCGCAGACCGGCGCGTAGATGCCGGCAATGGCGGGAAACAGCATTCCGTAGGTTGCTCCGGGGTACTTGGGATGAGGCAGAGCAATCAGAGCGATGTAGCCCAAGGCTGCTACACAGTATGGCCCTATCACAAACGGTGCTCGAGCGCGATACTTGTCTGCTAGTATGGCACAGATGACTGTGCAGATAAGGGCGAAGGCATAGACGGGAATCGTGAGTAATTGCTTTAGCAAGTGTTAGAATCAGTGGGAGTCATGTCTAAAAGCGTAGACTTACCGCATTTGATGCCGAATACCCCAGCTCGTGAATCACGGTAGGTAAAGTGAATATAAGTCTTGCGAACGATTAGTACTGACAGGTCTACAGGTTGTAGAGGTCTGAGCATACCCATAGCCAGCGATAGGATTCGCCCAAAGAATAAAGGTCGTCAGGTACACCTTCACATCCGTCGCAGCTGCCCACACGTATCTCCACTGGAATGCTTCATTCGTGTTTACTCGTCCAGTGCTTCCGCTATCCCTACTCAATCTCTGGACCAGAAATCGGCGATCCTTTTCGGAAAGGAAACGCGCTGTTTCTGGGCTATCTGGGAGGACGAAGGGGAGTACGCAGGCTACAACGACGGTTACGATGCCCTCAAGAATGAAGATCCTATAAAATTTAGTCCCCTTTGCCGGTCAAGTGTTTAAGGATGGTCATGTCATACCATCTCCACCCCGCGAGACCACCAACTCCGTCCATTTTAATGATTGCGTAGGCGAGCAGTCCAGAGAAGGCACCTGCTAATGTGGCTGCGGAATAGAAGAACGCCATACGGCCTTGTAATTCACGACGGCAGTACCAGTTAGTCAGAATATAGGTTGCTCCTGGAAACAGGCCAGCCTCCGTGAATCCAAGGAATATCCGGACAGCGAGCAGGCCCGAGTATCCTTTAACGATGCCCGATAATCTGCTCCTGTTAGCCCTAAGCCCGATTAATTCAAGCCGCAAAGACTCACGTCATGACAGTTCCCCAAGCGATCATCAATATCGGGATATAGATCGATGGCCGCAAGAATTTGAGGACAATGTTGCTCGGCACCTCGAACGCCGCGTACGGGAAGAAAAACGCGGTGAGACATAGGTTGAATTGCGCGGGCGTGAGCTTCAAGTCTTTTTCTAGGCCGGCGACCCTGGCGTTCCCGACTGAGATTGAAATTAGAAGAGGTCTCAATTTTGATATGAGACTGGCGGATAACTCACTATTTCCACGATCCAGAAACGAGAGAAGATAGATGATACTTAGAAGCGGAAGAAGGCGCCAATCCACCTTGCGCAAGATCTTCTTCACTTCAGCTTCGTCGTATTGGATATCTTGACCCAAGTCTCCTTCTTCTACTCCTTCTATCATTTCGACATTTCCCTTCAAATCTCCAGGATATACCGTTTTGGAAGCCATAGCGTAACCGTGGAAGTTGAGAGGTGCTGACTAGTGAATCGAGAAGTTGGGCAAAGTATGCACACACATATTTTTATGCGGAGACTGCTAAGTTTAAATGCAAATGACTTTAGAAGGCGGATCGGCAAATCCTGTATCGGTTAAGGGTATCCCTCGCATCAGTTGCTCGGCGAAGGCCGATATAGCATGGCATTCACCGAGCTGTGACGGCTACCCGCACCTGAATCCCGGACTACCGCTCGTAGTGTATAAAACTTCGCTCACAATACTAAACTTGCCGAATCATGGCTGCCCTACGATGACTGGCCAGCGAATGCCCCGGCTCAAATCCGAAGCGGACTTGGATTTCCCCAGATTCGAGATTTCCCCAGAAAAACTCTATATCAGATTAGCGAGACTAGTCCTCCCCAAAGATTTCAGTTTCCCTCATGTTTCTCCATCACCACCTCCGCCACCGCTGCAATTCCCACCACCTAGAGTCTAGATCCCTTCGGTCAATCTAATAGACCTGCCTCCAAAGCGTTGAATCCCGGGCAACTCAGGTAGCGTATTTCCCCCGCATGTCCGCTTTTAGTTTGCGAAGCCATCAGTAGCCGTATTACGGCATAGTAACGTTTGTAACGCCGTTTTATGGGGGCTTCTCCCCGCCATGCCAAGAGCAAAGCCCTAGGCTTGCCCAAGCGCGCCAAGGCTCCGTCTAATAGCAAGGTTTAAACCTACTACCATAGATACTATTACAGAAAAAGCTCGTAATACCGTTCACCTAATGTTCCAGGGGTATGAGCGTTATAGCGTGTGTGAACGTTACATCGAATGTCACTGTCCGCCAAATACTAGAACGGTAACCGGAAGGTTGAACGGTATAGCGTATATTGACCGTATATAGCGTGAACGTTATAACGAGCTTTTCTGTATAGAATATAGATCTAGTTTTCAAGATATTAAAATAGATATAAGTGCTTGCAGCTTTAACAAAGCTATTTGAATAGACGTGCGCCTGGCGGCTGACTTATGTGCGATTTGCTGCTCTTTAATTAGTTGGTTAATTGAAGGAACCTTTGAAGCGGTAAGGATCAGGTAGCCGCCATAGTCAGTGGCCATGGATTCGGCGATGGCCGGTCCGAAGCGTGATGAAAGGTCATCGTGTTGAAGGCTATGGACTCGATAGATCCTTCCTTTCCTTCGACGAGTTGTAGTCGTCACGTTCGCTATTTTTGCTTACGTGACGAATCGCAATTGCGATAACTAGGCGAGGCTCCATCGGAAAGGATTCACTTCGGGGGACTATCGGGCCAACTTGGGGCTCGCAGCGAGAACTCTATATCAGCGGCCTGCTGCGACGTTGAATGTGCGAGCTGTTGAGGCTATACATCTGTCATCTTCTTCGAGGGGTGATGATCATGTTCACCGAAACATTCTGGTCCCATGGGTACGTTCGGTGGAGGCCACAAAGGAGGCAAGAGTGCGGAGTGGGAAGCAGCTTGGCTCCATCAGCTTGTCACGTCCAGGACGTGGCGCACCCAGTCTTTTATGCAAGCTTTCTCCTAGGTATTCTCCTTTCCAGAACCTGTGAGATCACATCCAATGCAAATCCCCACTCGTCTTTGACGACGTTTTCATGCAGCTCATCGTCAATTGTCCAGTCCTCATCCTTGAGCAGTCCCTGTCGAGTCTGTTCTTCGTAGTCCATATACTCGCACATGAACAAGCAGAGTTCGGAGTGTCTGCGCAGCGAGTCTGTCGATGCCGCTTCGAGCTGCGCGGTTTGGAGCGGAGGATGATCAAAGACGAACACGAGCTGCCGGATCATGTAGTACGAGGCGGGAAGCGAGGTAAAGACCAAGGTGCGCCGGTAGTTGCCCCCAGGAAGGCCTTGGACGAACTTGTTCTTCATGGCACATGCGCTCGAGGCGAGTTTGGCGTTGCGCAAGAGGCATGGCAGCTAGAGGCAGGGCGATGGGCGCGGACTGTCCGGCGCTGAATGGCTCTGGGCAGGCGGGAGAAAGCGCGCTTCTGTCACGGCTAGGGCGACGGCGTCTTCGTAGGGTGGCATTTCCGGTTCAAGAATCGCCGCAACGATCTGGTCGTTATTATTGAGCCAGACGCTATGAAGCTTGTGGCTGCAGCATGAGAGCCGTGCTGCCGCTTGAATGGTGGGGGCAGCACTGTATACAAAAAAGAGGAGCTCGTTTGGAAGATTCGTCAATAAGGCCATTGCGTTTGTTGTTGATTGTTGTGCTCTGTCGATTCGCACATGCGGATTTAAGAGGCCGAGCGGCTAGTCCAGACTCTTCTAAGCGTGACTAAACCTGCTCGCGAATACCAACCCCATTAGCTACATACGTGCGCTTCTTTGACCTCTTTCTTTTCTGGCGCTGATTTTCCATGCGTAGCTTCTCATTTTCGCTTGCAAGCAGCACAGCGTTTAACATGAGCTTGGCGATCACGTTGGTACGCATTAGGCGGTTAGCCTTCTTTCAGTCTGACACTAAGCTAAAAACACCTTCCTCCACGTAGAGTGACCTTTTGGGCTGAAATGAACTGCAATCGACTCCACACGCTTTCAATACCTCTTCTACCGATGTTTATGGTGTCTATGGCTCTTTACCGATACTCCCAACGCCAATTCTATGGCTAATAACATCGTTAACCGCCTGGCAAGCTTCTCGAATGGTTTCGCCGAATAAGGGGGAACACTTTCAAAACGCTCCAAAACTTGGCCCGGGGCACCCTACAACACCTCCTCAAAGAAGACCAGCGCGGAAAAGCACACAACTATGAATGGACCGTTCCTAGCTCTAATTACTACAGCAAGTTGGAGGATACATTTTCAGCAGTCGTTCTCCCCAGATTAGTTAACACTTCGACTGATAACCTCCGGCACTTTTAACCGCCTTCACTAAACAATGGCTGGATATTAAGAGCGGCAGTGTTCCACTAGCATGCCACTCGACCCTACCAGTCTGCGGAGTATCGTAATAGTCGAACGTCCAAGCCGTCACAGCACCGTAGCCCCTAATATGCTTTAAAAGGCCCTCACTAGACTACCCGTAATCACTGTCGGCGAATCCGCCTCCATAAAAATGCCAACGATAACCCCACCAGTGGGGGACCGCGTAGCACTCTCCTTGGGGGCTGATAGGCGGTGGAGGACGATTTTGCGTCGGTATGATGGTGTATTTAACGCCGTTGTTGTCGGACATACTACCGCCATGTTTCCAGTTCATCACGTTGTTATCACCTGGGAGACTGCATCCGTCGCTGTTTAGGAAACGAAGATCAGTTTCTGAGTGGTGAGGTACCAGATAAAACGCGGACTTAATTGAGCACACCCATGTAGTACCTACATTCATCCTGAAAAATCTGGTAGTTACGCGGACCTGCTGGCCATTCGGTCGTGAGCACAACACGATCCGGCGTTCCGTCACTATACGTCTGCGAGAACGTTGATCCCGAATTTGCGATACGGCCCGGCTGTGCTGCAGACTTGGCGCAGAAGTCATTGACGTTACCCTGAAGAGTTATTTGATCTAGGTAATTATTGGTGTTGACGTCGTTGCACTGTTGATTACCTGCCTGCCCCTTGTCCCAGATTCGCCTCATGACAAGAGGCTCGACGTTCAAGGTGGCATTTGCAACCTCACTTCGGTATGCAATAGTGCCACCATACTTCAAGTTCTCGGGGTTCTCTCCTGAGGGACTTGGGACACTGCAGCCATCTGTAACAACGTCGAGTCAGGCCTCGCAGCTGTGTTGGCCGATATTGGCATTTTCGTCCCAACTAATGGAGATGTTCATGTAATCAAGAGAGTTGGCGTCGAAGACCCCACTGGTTGTTGCACCACTTGAGCCCTTTAGATTACGGGGATCTGTAAGGCATGACGGTGAGCGTGTGCGTCTCCGGCGTTGACAGTGCTGATTCGATGAAAAACGTCCCTCTTACCTGCACAGAAGCTATGGACGGCCCAAGTGTCCGACGAATCAATAATACATGCAGGGCCTCCAATCTGAGGCCAGTCTTCGCCAGTGTTGGATGCGTTGATTGGTGGGAAAGAGGCAATACCTTCGGGCGATTGTGTGAGCTCCTATGATTCTTCAAGGCGCCGCCGCCTACTGGAGGCGAATCCGTATTTACCCAAATGGCAGGGGAACAAGGGCGTTTCTGCTCACCTTGAGACTGTGCATTCAGTGCTGACATTTGGTATAAAACCATGTTTGCAATAAGAAGAGCATGCCCGTTCTGCGTCGGATGAAAAACTCTGCTCGTCTTGTCAGATATGATCAATTTCTTAAGCTTGATCTTCTCTACGATTTTGCCGTTCGCAAGGAGGACGTGTGTGCTGTTGGCAACCACTGTGCCAACGGAGGCGCTGTTTGTAAAAGCAGTACCGTTACCGAAGGAGCACTTCGAGTGGTTGCCGAACGACATAGTATTCCCAAGAGACATGATGGTGCCGAGATTAGTACCGTTGCTAAGTGCAGGCGTGGTATTGTTGGCAGGCGAAGGTGGTCTCCACGTGAATGTACTGTTCGCTGAGCTAGTCGAGTTCTTCGTATTGTTGAGGCCACGGTTGAGGCTACCGGCGGCAAGAATGTGATGCTCGCAGGAGATGAGGCACACATCGTTGGACTAGCTCGCTGTGTTCCTTATCGAACACCTCTGCGTCGAGGTCATCATTCGCACTGTCGTCTTGGAGGCAGCGAGATCATTATCATCCAAGATTGCTTCCTGAATCAAGGCGCCGTATAGGGCGTTAAGTGTTCCGTTGGCTGGTTGGATGTCGCCATCGTCATTGTCGGTAATCTGGTGGCTCTTCATCTCGTCATGCGGCCAGTCATTTTCATCTTTCGGTAGCCAAGGTGAATCAATGCTTTTCATCTCGTAGAAGAACAAATCTCGCCGGTTTGCGCCGTTGCCGCTGTTTTCGTTCTGACCTGGTTGGCAGTACCTGCTGTTAGTCATACCAACGTAGTCATCATAGTCTATGAAATGCGCCTGAGGACCAGCCCTTGCAACCGCAGTACGAAGAGCGTCGTTCATCAAGTCGACGAGGTAGTTCATGGCCTGTCGCCGGAGTTTTGTGAGATACTCCCTAGTGAAGATATTCAACCATATATGCCACGAAACGTTGTCGCAGCTGTTGTCGGTAGTGTCAAAGAACTTCGCGTAGCCGACATAATAGCTGTTTAGAGTCAGAGTTGTAGCACTAATTCGGTAATTACAAACTTGCATGTTGCCGCCAGCAGCGAGCTTTGACTTTGCGTTATTGATCAAACTATCTAGGTCAGAGGCGAATTTGCCACTTTGAATGGTGGCTTGTAATTCTCCAAGTTTTTTTTCACAGCTAGTGTGAGACAGGCGTCCCCAGAAACTGTATACACAAGAGTTGAGGATATCCGCCCCACGGACTCTAGGGCGAACGCCCTAGAGTCCTACGTAGCTCAACGTACCGCCTAGCTCAACGTACCACCGAATCCCCCATACAAAATGCGATACTTTGCATATATCTAACACCACAACTACAAAAGGGAATTATGTCTAATAAATCTAGACTAGCTTCAGATACCTTACTTCTTAGTTTCTAACTAGAAAATTTAAAATATAGATATATTTCCTGAAATTTCTATATATTTTATAAGGGCAAAACTTATAAATTATATAAAGTAAAATATATAAAAAGACTACGTGGAATAAAGCTCTAGTAGTCTTATTAAGATACTTTATTAGTAATGCTAATTTATTCCTTAGTGGTCGTTGTGCTAGATATATGCAAAGTATCGCAGTTTGTATGGGGGATTCGGTGGTACGTTGAGCTAGGCGGCATGGCTGGCCACTTTCGATGGCAGGTTTCCTACCATGGAGAGGATGCTCTACGGGTTCTGCCGAGACCTACCCGTCTGGGCGATATGGAGGCCTATAGAACCCCGGTTGCGCATCTGGAGTAGTCTCAAGCCAGAGCTGCGGTTAGCCTTGCGAGACATTCTTGACTTGGAAGGCCCCGATTTCGAGTGTCGAAGATATGGTACTCTAAGGCACGGGCTATTGGCTGTCCACGACTATACGGGAGAGCCGTTTCGCATGCGCCACATGCAGGTGATCCCCGAACCCTCCTTGGAAATGGGCACGTACGGACTTTTGGAGCGATTGTTCACTACTCTGGATAGGATTTGTTCGGTGTCGCCTGAGTGTCTGGAGTTGATGGCATACATCTGCATACAAGACCGCCTCAACGGTACGGCTCTGGATATTTTGGATCATGTCCGCCAATCCAGAGACTCGTCCTTGGCTAGTTTTGTGTTGGGTATGCTTACCGCACCGTCGGAGAATGCGAGAATGGGAAGTGTGATGCGCCTCATTCCACTTCTAGCACCCAATGACGGAGGCGGCAATGACCCGAACCAGTTTTTGAGAACCCATTTTTCATCGCGCATAACCACGATCATCGAGAAAACTTTAGCAAAAATGCAAAACACGTTCTGTGAACAGCTCCAGAGGGGCCGATCAGCTGACGGTCCTGGGATGAAATTACACGCCTTTGGAGTGGGCCTGAAGCAGAGTCCTTGGACAGTGTCACTATTGGATGAGCGTTGGCAAGCGTTACTTACCCAGTGGCCGTCGAAAGAAAATATCAGCGCCGCCTTTAGTCTGCGAATCGATGTTGCCAATGGTGCTCGAAGAAATCATTCCACTCTAATTGAAACGATTGACAGATATTGCATCTTGCATCTTGCAGGTCACGTTGACCCAAGCAACCTCCAGGACAATCTGACCGAAGGATTGATTCAACTGTGGAGGCTTCCTCCGGATTCCGAACGCCGAGCGCTGGGTTTGGCTGTGGCTGAACGATTGAACATCCCGAGTTCGATCCGACATTCTTGCATACTACGAATATGCAAGACTAACGAAGACTCCATCGATGCCGTGGGAAAAGTGCTTAGAGAGGACACGGATATGTCCTGCGTTAATTTCGCGCGGTTGCTGACGCGCAGAAACTTCCAGCGAGCGGGGAATTTTGTATGCTGGCGAGACTTTCTTCTTTGCATGATCCAGGAACGCAACGACACCATTCTCGACAGTACCGTGACTCAGCTCCCACTCCAGTCATGGTTCGAGTGGCTCGAAAATCTCCGGACGATATTCGATGTGGATGGCGAGGAGGCGATTGAGGGGGTGAAAATGCTTGATAAAAACCTCAACCGCTGGTCACGGCGACTGCGCAGAAGCTACATGCCTGTTCTTGTGGATATGAGCACGAATATGGACTCCCGACCCCAGATGCGGGAGATCTTGCTGGGCTGGAATAATGAAAATATCAACATTTCGATACTCGAGCGGAAGAAACGCGGTGAGTAAACTTCAAAAGTGCCACCTTTTCACCATTGCTGACTCTCCCAAGCACTAGAAACTCGCCCAAATGAGGCCATTCCAGCATGAATGATTGCGGATCATGGATAAGTTCAGGCTCGCGGTTTCAACTATGTTTTCGTGCCCCGTTCAGGATGGACGGAGTGGCAAACGCGCCGTGGTACTCCTAACTTAAAAGTACGACTGGACTCATGTACTGTACTTCGTTTGAGTCCTGCCTCGAGTTGTACTACACGGTACGGCATATGAAGGAACACCCTTCATCGCTTCCGGGGCTGAGGTTGAGAGAGCCAGTGCAAAGGCTTCTATGGACGGAAACGGAGCAAGGTAGCTATGTCTGGTGTACGAGGTGTATGGGTCGAGTGAGGAACAGAAGGATGACGATGGGAGAGTGTAAATGAAATTGAAAGGGACGAGGTCAACGAGGCTGGAGATGACGTTGTTTGCCAAGCCGGATCGGCCGACCTTGGGCCGAGGACCTCCGCACGTGCACCCCAGCCATTCCACTTTCATCTCAACTCAAGCGTTAGTAATTACGGGGTGTCTAGCGGCTGCTCCTCATCTGTATGCATCCCCGCACACGTCGCCCGTTCTCTTCGCTCCTTTAAGGATTGTGGTACAATATAGGTAGCATTGCTACCATGCCATGCTGCTGTCTTGCTGAGCCTTCATTGCATCATTCGTCCACCCATAGGTCTGGCTAGCATGTGCTTGGTCTCTCATTTGCATCACTATCAGTCGACGAATATATGTCGGAGGGGTCGCGGCCCTTACTCTTTCAACCGTCTTCTTTCTGCTTTTTTCCTACATCGACTCTTTCCCCTTACTCGTCCAGCACTCATGCGCCCACATAAGACGCAGGCCTTCTTAGTAGCATCGCTTGCGGCAACTGGACACTGCCAATATTGAAGTTATCAGCAAGGCCTTGATCTGAGCAAAGTCCAATGGACCGTCTCGAACCCAAATTCAAGCATCTCCGTGCCAGGCAAATTTCCATCGCAAGCTCATCTCGATCTCTACGCAGCGAAATTGATTGATGACCCTATCTACGGCCTTAACGACTTCAATCTCCGCTGGGTTACGGATTCAAACTGGACGTACACTTCGGAGCCTCTGGGAGGCCTGAAGTGGGATTGCCATCGCTCAAATTGGCGAGACTCTGATTCAACGTGGCTAGTTTTCTATGGTCTAGATACGTTCACAAGCATTGAATTCGGCGGAAAAAATGTGGCATCTACCAACAACCAGTTCCGAAAATACTACTTTAATGTTTCTGCCATCTTGGACGAATGTCAAGGCAGCCCTATTCTCGCTATCAATTTCGGAAGTGCCACTCAGATCACGAACGCCATTGCTATAGAACCTGGGCAAGAGAGTAAGTGTCGTTTATCAAACCGTGAAACTCAATACTAATGACGCCTTTGTAGCTTGGCCATTATAAGTCCTTCGCTTCTAATTACTATTTTTTTTAGATACAGAGCACTAATATCTATAGCGGCGTTGAGGGCCTTTTCGAGTTTCTAAACCGCTAATTTATTCAAAAGAGCAATCCGACCTTGGTTGGAGTTAGGGTCTAGTATTTGCGCCTGCGGGACCCTGGCTGCCAGGCTACCTAATTCAACTTAAGGCTTTAGACATCTACATTCGAAATACTCTTGTAGATATCTATTGCAAAGGGCAACTTAATAATTTGCCGCCCGACCAATCTCGTAATTAGGTCGTGAATGCGAGCTTAGACTACATTAGGAATCTTCCGTTAGATGCGAAATTAACGTATAGTCTTAGAGATACTAAAGGCAAGATTGTCGACAAGGGAGCTTTTCATAACATCTTATCTAATAGCAATATAATCTCTAGAAGTATAATCTTTTAAGCTAGTTTAGTATAGCTCTAGTAGCCGAGAGAGTGGAGCGAGAAGCAGGGTATATGTTCTCATAGAGGAGGTTCGAAGACTGATTACATAAGGGCAGAAAGGTACGCTAGTTAAACTGGAAACGGAGGACCGCCTAAACCTGAGGAGGAGTTACCTCGAACAACTTTACAAACGAAAAAAGCGGCGGCACTGGGTATTGCTAGGAGGGCGATCGTGCAGCTATGGCTGATGATGCTGAACATATTGATTGGGAGGGAGTTCTTGAATTCGCTGCTGATGTTGAAGTTGACGTTACGCTCCATGCTCATTGTGAGGAGTACGCCGACGTGCTAGTCACTGGACGCAGACTCTAGGACTCCAGACCATTGGCACTAGCAACATAGATGTCTCTCTCGGGGTTTTCCGAAGCCTCTAGCGATGTTTAGGTTGATTTGGCCCGAGACTTGCGTGCACAGCTTCCGCGGCACTGGTACTTACACTACCAGGTGTATTGCCCGTTTTGACATGGGATCTGACTGGCATTTGGTACGCTTCCGCCGTCGTCTCTGCACGTATAGACCCAGGAGTAGCAGTCTCTGGATCCGGGTGATCAGTTCACTGATCAGGTGCAGTAACCATGCAGGACGCCGTGATGCTACGGAAATTTGGGAGCACTTACTCGCCTCCTGCTGGGCACTGGTGTACTTGGTGTACATAGGGCTCATATGCGCAGAGACCGCCTTTGGCGCTCGCGTCCGCTGACGATGCATTAGCTCTGGTTTGAAAATCTGAGTTCAATAGTACAGCGACAAGCTATGCGTAAGTCTGTGCACACCCGTTTACCACTGCTTGAGGTGCTCCCGTGGGATTTCAAGAGTCTAGCCGCCATGTCAAGTTTCAAGCAGTGCAAATCACATTGCCCGTTAACTCACTAGCTGCTGACTAGCTGGGATAATCCTCACAGTGGTGTCAAGTGAGCAAGATCGGAGCCGAGTAGTGATGAATCCGTGTGCCCAGGCTTATAGCCTAGTACTGTATAGAGGCAGCATGCGCGTACTGCTATACGTTGACTAGACCTCTATTCAGTCAGCTGTATTTCATTCGATTTCACTTCACTGGACTTCAATTCGCTGTACTCGTGGAGAAATAGCCAACAGAAATATTGAACTTTAATGATCACGTGGGAAGAACCCTAGGCCTTACGACGATGCGCGCTTAGATGAAAAGTATTCATCAAAAACTTCTTCCACGGTTGCGTTGAACTTCCTCGCGCCTTCCTTCTGTGGCGGCTTCTTAACTCGGGTAGGGTTTTGCCGGGGGCTTGAAGATTTCTGTAAGGGGTTGAACGAGTACGGACTCTTGCGTCGCTCTACCTCTGGTGTAGTTCGCGCACTAGTCCTACAGTTTGGATTAGCATTATAAGCATTCGCGAGTAGCACGAAGAAAAGCACTCACTTGCTTGGAGGTGTGAGAAGTGGTGAAGGCGTGGAATCATTCACTCCAGCTCTAGCGCTGTCACTAGTCCCACCAAGCGACGAAAGCAGCAGCGAACAGAGGTTCCAGCCCAACGCGCTGTTTTGCAAGATAGTGCTTTTAGCGAAGCTTGAGTCTTTCAACACTTCAGCGTTCTTCCTGATATATTTCACTAGGAAGTCATTGAATCGTCGATCTTCGACGAGACTCGATTTCTCCTCCGTAGAGACCCTCAAAACGGTGAGGAAGGTCTTGGTATCGTGTGTAAGCTCTTTGATCTTGTGGAATGATCCGACACAAAGCTCGCTCAGTCTGCCATCATTTTCAACACGATCAGCCTCCAATGGCGCCTACTCAGATTGATTTGGGAGTGAAGTTGGAGCTTACCCAAGACACGTAGCAAACTTGTACATGTTCAAATAAAACAACACATCCTTAGTCTTTCTTTCTGGCGGAGCAAGAATAGCTATAAGCCCATCCGCCGTCGACTTCAAATACTCTACTGTCACGCCGACGACCTCGGGATCGCTCCATGGGAAGTAGAGCGCGTCGCCTTTCCGTAAAGAAGGTGGCGTGTAGCCTTCCTCGATCCAGCCTTTGATGATTGGCGATTTTTCGAGCGCAGATTGCGGGACGCGGAATGGTTTTTCGTGGCTTCCAGTGCCGGCGATGATTATGCCATAGGGTTCTTCGGCTGCGGGTTCGGGAGGCATACTGACCGGAGCGGGTCTCAGATATTTGGGAGGTGTCCTGGTACTCTAAAAATTGTCTAGTGTCTCCGCAAGTTGCGCCGTGGTATAGATGCGGAACGTTATATGCTGCGGAGCAGCATGCAGCCAAAGACAACTACTTCGAAGTTATCACTGAATGAAGGACTACTATTAGTAGCAGAGGGCCCAGGATAGCTTTAGAGGGAGAGAAAAGCGAATAAGAACAGTTGCGCCGTGCACGTAGCTGACGGAGGACATCTCTGCTTTTGACCAATGTCTTCGTTCTGGGCAAGGCTGAAACGAGGGGTGTTATGCCGAGCTTCTTGGTGTCGGCGACCCTGGACGAATATACAAATCGGAAACATGATAGGATGGAAATGCGCCACCTGCATCCAGGGCGGCTACTTGCAGAAGCCTTCGCCTTCCCAGGGAAGTACTAAGCCTATTTTTAGTTTTTCATGCACAGAAGCAGCTAGCATCCCTTTGGGAGTCAAGAATTTGGTGCAATTTTTAAAGCTGGCGTTCGGCTTGCAGTAGCGCGTAGCCGACATCGCCGCTTAGCAGGCCCCCGTACAAATCAAAGACCTGCCGACGTTGAATGCATAATTATGCACACGCCGCTGTCGTTGGCCGCTGAGAGAGGGCACGAGGCCATAGTCAAGCTGCTGGTCGACACGGGCAAGGTCGACGTCGACTCCGACGACACTGAGTAGGGTCAGACGCCGCTGCCGTGGGCCGCTAAGGGAGGGCACAAGGCCGTGGTTAAGCTGCTGCAAATAAACATCACATAGATTATTTTACTAAACCTCCTCTCGACCCACCACCCACCTTACTGTCCGACTTCCTTATATACCTTAATATTAGAATATTACTTAAATAAAATTTGCTTATAAATTATAGCTTCTAAATTAGTTAAATTCCTTCCTAGCTTTAAAATTAATTCTGCTAAGAAGTTAATACTGGTGACAAATTATGTATTAATGTTAATGGATAACTCCCCTACTAGTCGGCTAGCTGGATACGTTTTAGCGCCATGTGTAGCCCTGCTTAGCGAGCCTGGCCAAAGTCTTTATGCGCGTTAAAGGGTGAAGCCGATTTCATTAGCCACTGTAATGCCTGAGAAAGAGATCCTCCAAGGTTTCGACCTTCATCCCACGTGCAGTGAATGATTCTTGGAGCCTCTTGATGTTTGGATCGACTCTGATTACGTTCTTGTAGTCCTCGAAGAACATTTCCCTTGCGATTTGCGGATCCCAATTTTCGCTTTGGTCTGCATTGTTGATGACGACAATCAACCGAGGCAATGTAGCGCGATTCAGTGTGGATGCAGTTAATGTGGATGCCCAGTTCAAGATATCTATTATGCTGTTTCCCAACGTCTGTGGCTCTTTCACCACGAAAACAGCCACATCCGAGAAATTGTATAGCAGCCTAGGGAATAGCTTTTTGATAAAGTCCTCACGCGTTGGTTCCTTTCCTTTATCCGCATCAGGTGACAAACGACCCAAAGTCCGCGTTCGAGTCTGGCCAAACATGAGTCGGATGACTTCCTCCAATGCTGAGCGCACTCCTCGTCCATGGGATCTGTTTCCAGGTTTTTTAACCTGTTGGCTTTTATAAGCAAACAACCCGGCAGGATTCGCAGCTCCGCCATCGAAGCCCTCGCAGTCAGCGTAGAAGGTAGGTCGATCAAGTTCGGACAGTTCTCTCTCAGGCAAATAATCTCCATAAAGGTGGACATCTCCGGAGGCGGATACCAGACTATTCCTCTTCTCCACCACAGGAACTTGCTCAGCCTTGGTTTCGTACTTCGCGTCAGTCAGCCACGGCTTTTCTAGCATCATACGAATAAGCGTGCTCTTGCCAGCCCCTGTTTTGCCAACGAACGACACAGGCGTGGGAAACACGTGTCTACGTCAACTCTAGCTTGGTGCTCCGCTACGAGTCAACTGAAGCGCGGGAAATCATCGAATCCGAATCCAGAGTTCTCAAAAGCGTCTTCTGTGATTGAAAACCACAAGGACCGCAGGTCTTGCTCATGCATGAGAGCACGCTTCACTTCATCCCACTTCGGATGCAGAATCTCTTCGAAGTGAACGCTACACGTGTCAGTGGGCGCCTTGTTTCTCGGAGAATACCTGCATACTGCTTTGAGTAAGGAACCTTCATGTGATTAGCACTGTCTGGATTCTTCTTTTTGTGGCCGGATCGCTTCTTCCAGCAGCGTTCGCAGTACCTCTGGGTACAAGCACCACAATACCACTCTCCGGGTTCTGATTTAAAATCCTGGCAAAGGCCATCTGAGGTGGAGTCCGAGTCCGCGTCTTCCGATTCGGGAGGAGACTGCTCCTGCGCCGTCGTTCTAGTCGTGGTAGTTTGCGAGTTCGATATGGCTACTCTGGGATCTCCATCCTCGGAACCCGATTGCTCTGCCCCAGCAATCCATGGGTTGTCTTCAAGCGCTTGTGAATTTTCCATTACAACAAAAACTCCCGCTAGGTGTAGAGCGACTTTCAAAAAAGTGTTCTCAGCTTGCAAGATGTCTCCGGCTTTAAAGGCCGCTTGACAGGACTATAGCCGCAAGGCGCCACACTAGCTGTCGTTCTTCATACGCCTTGTTTTCAGCCCTGTAGGGCGCATGTGCGATTCTACCTTACAGACGTCATGCAGAAGCAAGTTTTTCAGCTGCATGTCGAAACATAATGAACTGTCAATACAGCGATAGCGCCTGCCACAAGCCTGCAGATGCACTCTGCAGTTATCTCAGGAACCTCAGACCCTCTACGAGGAATTGTCTTGCCCGTCCTGCGGTGGGTGAACGTATGCCCGTGCACGCTTATGAATTTTATGCTCGTACACGTGATGCGCACGGACGGGCAAGGAATTCCTCGTAGAGGGTCTGAGGGAAAATGGTCGCAGTTTGTAAGGACGGTTTTTTTGAAGCTTTCACGGTCGCATTCCACCATCACAACTTCTTTTACTCTAAGAACATAGGAGCTGCTTTCTTATACTCTTAAGAAGCAGCTCCTAGGTTTTTAGGGCGAAAGAAGTTGTGGTGGTAAAGTTCCATCTTAAAAGCAGATCGAAAAGTGAGCTCGACCAGTTTCAAAAATGAACTTTCTCTTTTCAACGCTGTACTTCCCCCCCTAATAGACTAGGTAGTAAGGCATGAATATGTGAATTGAGTACTCAAGTACCTTAGCATTCAATTGCATCAACAACTGTGATGATAACTGCTTGGTAACACCCTTTTTTCGTCCACTGAAGAAAATGAGCCTGTTGAATTCCGACCTGCTTTACACCAAACACGCGCCCATTTGAGCTCAGACGCTTCACAGAGGATTTTGGGTGTTGCAGGGGTGTTGTAGGGGGGGGGGGATGGTAGGTGCTAAGTTATGCAACCACCACAAATTCTCTGCGGAGCATCTGAGGTTCCTGAGATAACTCTGCAGAGACATAGCCTCGGACTTGGCTGATTCTGGACCAACCGGGGCGGCGCCAGAGCTTACTGTACGAGACCCACTGTGCGAGAGCACCGTACGAAGGACTTCGTTTTTTTGAGCACTCAGCGAACACGCATCACCAACTTCCAACTGCACGAGTAGACCATCCACCCTTCGTACGCTCCGGAGCCACCCCGTGGACCAACGCCACTAACAGGGCATGCGTCAGGCGCAGATTCAGCCACACACCCCTTCGTCGCGCTGAAAAATGCACTCTTGAGGTGCTTTCGAGGCTATTTCGAGGCTCTTTCGAGGCTCTTTCCTATAAAATGATTTTGTTGTTCAGCGAAAGGTCAAAATACGGACGGAGAATTCGACGAAAATCATCCTGCTGACTTTCTCCAAAGACAATGACGAATGCTCACTACGCGTCGACTGAGACTACCTTACAGATACCCTGGGACGGCGCCAAAATGCGGCTTGGTCGCGGCTACGCTGCAGATGAATGTCAGGCAGTCCAATCTCCATTCGAGAACTACACCGCGGTCGGCCAGGACGCTGATCCAGACGTTAAATATGAGTATCTTATGATTAGCAACGAGGAGGAATTGCAAAGAGAGATCAGCTCCTTCCTCAGCGCTAGTGCGTCCGTGCTCGATATAGGTATCAAGACAGCCTTCGAACAACTGCAGCGCCTTAAATGTAATTCGAGGGCGATGACAGCTGTTCTTCGTTGCACCATCACCCACGACCCGACCAATTATGGCGCACCTCCTCTGTTCAGCCAGTCTGCTGAAGCGCTCTTGGATTCGGACCCGGGTTGTGCGGACTTCGAACGAGCCCACGGGAGCTACTTTATCGCCGGATATATCAGGGCTTCGAGCCTATCCGCCATTTATACTTACAGCGCCGCAGACAGAGATTAGCTAGATGAGTTCAAGGGCCATTTGAGTGTAGGGAAGGGCATTGCAAGCGTTAAAGGAGCAGCCCGGCATCAAGAGTTGGCCAAGAAGCACAATATACAACGTAGCGTAAGCCGGCAGACCACTGGAATCGCGCCATCGAGCCTCAAAATAGGCCCAGAAACGGAGGATATCGAGACCATCTTCAAGCAGTATGCTGCGTTCAAGCCAAAGCCCCAGATCGCGCTATTGGAAGCATTATTCTCTCATCGATCGCCGGTTTTCGCGCACGTCTGTGGATCTCCTCGAATCGGCGGAGACCAAGGAGGGAGTCCTGGAGGCTTTGCGCATCCAGAATAAAGCGCAAGATTGCAGGCTGGCAGGGACGGAATAAGTGCGCAAGCAAGCATCTAATATTGGCCGTGGAATTGTTGCGCTTCGGCCGCCTGCGAAAGCTTGGAGGGAAAAGTTGGAGCAGCAATGGAATAGGCCACAGAACTGCGAAATGGCCTTAAATACGTGGATTGAGCGACACCAATTTATTGAAAAGGCAGAGCGTAGAATAATGTGCGCCAGGACTGGTTCCGGTCTGCGTACGCCATCAGCGCTTCCCATCTTCATACTGACTAAAACAAGAGATTTCGAGAAGCCATGAGGAACGAAGGCTTTCGACTTCGGTCTCGTGGACGCACACAGTGGAAGTATTGGAAATGAGATGCAACACTCAGGGCTTTGAGAATGCCGCGTGCATGGAAAATGCGCGCAACAGCAAAAAAGTCAGATACAGATTTGCCCAATAAACGCTATCATTATAGGCTTCCGGATCTATAGCTTCTGAACGATGGGACAAATGGCCCATTTCGCGTTTGTGGAGGCGGTGTGCTGGAGGACAATGTTGACTTGTGTTTCAAGAAAGATAATCGCGGTGGGAATTGGGGCGTCGAAGGGTGGTACGTGGACAGTGGACTCTATGCAGCACGTCAGTAAGTGAGAATTAGAGCACATTTTGTTAGGAAGCAAGTGTTGAGTTGAAATAAATCATCTACATAAAAAATCAACGGCACAGCGCCTGGTCCGAGCGATGACGCGTGATACAAACATGACGTGAACGCGTTTCAGCGTTTTGCGGCACAGCGGCATCCAAACGACCAACAGCAACACATAAACAAAAGCCCGTCATCACCTCATCAACCACACCTCTCGCTTTCAACAACTCAACACCTCCAATCCCACCCGCCGAACTCTCGAAACAGCGCGAACCCAAAATGCCACCCAAACGCAAAGCCATGGCCGACACCAGCGCCGACAGCTTGAACAGCCGGAGCAATCACCCAAACAAAAGAGCAAATCACCACAAAGCGCAGAGCACTACCCCCGCCAGCTCGAAAGAAACCGAGCCGTTGAAAGAGTACGAACCATCCGGCACCACCAAACCCAGCTACGACGGGATGGGGCTGCCAGAGCTCAAAGACGAGCTGCGGAAACGACGCCTTAAGATTTCCGGCAGCAAAGGAGACCTCATCAAACGGCTCAATCAGAACGACCACGAGCGATCATTACCAGTGAAGCAAGCCATTGAAGCTGCTGCGCGGAAACGCAGGGAAAAGAACCCGCCGCCGCAGGAGGACGACTCGGACGCCCAATTCGACCGGGATATGATCAGGGAGAACAAGGTCCTCAGGAACGGGCCTACGGGAAACCCGGTTTTCGACGACTGGGGCTATGAGTTGAGTTACGACAAGCTTTCTGGCTCGCGCACGACGATGAACAAGAGGACGATGTTGGATAGGCAGTGGAAGTACTTTGAGCGCATGGAGGCTGAGGACGAGCAGAAGAGGCAGATCATGTTTGGAGAAGCCCAACCGAAGGAGATGTTGGATTCTAGAGCCATGGATTGGCAGGTTTCGCAGGATCTGGAGATTCCCATGCACAAGGTTGAGGTTTGTGATTATGAGGTTTGGCGCGAGATGGGGTTCAAGGCTGAGAAAAAGGACTTTGTTGAGGGGCAGGTTGATCCGGAGGTGGAGAAGAAGATTGATGCGCAGGAGATGGGCAGTGATTTTCGGAAGTAGGCCTCGTGAAATGGCAACTTCATGGATGAGAAAGGATATCACACGTTATCCAACTACATCGAAACAAGAATCGAGAGATATGTAGTGTACGGTGACAGGTCACAAGTATGTAAACACGCATTTACCACTAATTGGGGTACTCCCGTAGAATCTCAGAAACCTAGGCGCGGTTTCAAGTTCCAAGTAGTGCAAATTAGGCTGCTTCTTGACTATTTGGCTGCTTACTATCTGGGCTACTTAGGTACTCCTCACATTGGCGTCGAGTGAGCAAAATTGAAGCCAAAACAGTGATAACTTCATGTGCGCAAACTTATGACCTAGTACTGTACAAATTGCTACCTTTCCTGCACATATGACTCCATCTCAGTGACATGCATAAAACAACCCCACCGTCCATTTAAATGGCTACTCCCATCATTCCTCTGCCTCCCTCACTGCCGCCCACTCGACGTCCCATCCTCTGGTCCCGGCAACCCCTCGTCATCACTGGGCTCCGCATAATTCTGCTTGGACAAGCCGCGCGTGCGATCCTTAATGATGTTGGACTTGTCGATCGCGTCTTGGTCATCACGAACTGCTCGGGATCAGCCTCTATAAATATCAGGGGGAGGGGATGTAGTAGATACCTAGCTGCTCATCCGAGTCTGCGGTACCTGCATCGATGGGGTCGTTGACAGGAGCGTCGTCGCTCTGGACGCGGATCTCGTTCTGCCCGGTGCGGGACTTGTAGGTATCGTCGGCGACGTCGGGGGTGTATTGAGCGTTGTTGTCGGACATAGTGGGCAGGATTGAGTTGACAAGGGTAGAAGAGTTTGGAAATATGATTATATATTTTGATATTGATATTGGGAAATCAATTAGCTGGATGATATGGATATGAGGATGGATATGAGGATGGAATAAGATGAAGAATATATATAAGAGCTTCGTGTATGCAATCGTACGTCACCTCTTCGTCACCTTAAAACCATAGTCATGACACGATGATATCGAGAGTAGGATGAAATAGGCTAGGCGCCAGAGCTGACAGGAAATGGGGATCTTAAGGCTATTCGGGAATCTAGATGAGATTAACGCGGAGAGGGAAAGATAGTCAGGGACGAGATCGATGCTCGAATGGCGCATATCTACCCGGGATCGTGGCTTCGATCTGAGTCGTGAGGCTGCTTTGACAACGTCATGAGTGATAGCGTTGTCTTGATTGCTTCAGCCATGCTGTTAGATCTTCGAAACTGATCGAATCACATCTCATCCAGGTCTTCACGCTAGACATGAAAAAAGTGGCACACTCATCAAGTACTCTACCTGTGTGTACACCTGTCTGCCACTGCATGAAGTGCTTCAACAATTTTCCACATAGCCCAAAGTGAAGGGCTTCTATTTCGTTCCAATTACTGAAAATTTTCAGAAGCACCCCAAGCAATGGCAGACAGGTGTACACATGAGAGCTTGTTCTGGAATTGGATTAGTGTGCCACCTTTTCCATGCCCCGCGTGGTCCTCAACAGTGCACTTAATGTTTCAGGCGGAAAAGTGAAACAGGGTGTAGAGGGTATCCTGGGTAGTGAGAAGTGGTTGACGCGCAGAATCGTGATGTCGTGATGTCGCGACTAGAGTCATTAGCGTGCCAAGTTAGGTCATCATGACCCTACGACTCAAGCATCGGTGAGATTAGTTGAAGTTGTAAGTTTAAGCCACTTGATGCCTATGCTGCACGTCTATGTGCGGTACCCATGTTACATCATTGATCTTGTCCTAGTCGATGTACTGGTACCTATTATTACAGTGAAGGAAAAGAAGTCTGATATCTGCAAACTGATCACGCTCGGCATGAGCTATGATTTCGCAACGCTCCTGCAATGCCCTCGCTAACTTTGCATATACCATAGAAGTGACTCGTCTTAGCAGATCATGACATCGAACACCACAACAACACACCACAGCAGTATTTGATGCCGAAAGATCCGCGAAGCACGACTGACTGGATTTCCCCGTGACTCGGAAGAGCTCACTCTTCAGCCGTGGCCTTCTTGGTAGCCTTCTTCGCTCGTTTCTGGGGGGCTGCCTTCTCCTCTGCAGCACCGGCTTCCTCTCCCTTCTTCTTGCGACCGCGCTTCGCCTTGGCAGGGGGTTCAGCTTCCTCGATGTCAGCCATCATCTCATCAGATTCCACTGGTTCGGCCTTGGCCTTCTTCGAAGCCTTAGACTTCTTCGGCTTCGGGGCACCCTCGACCGCAGATTCCTCATCGGCTTCCTCGTCCTTGACAGCAGCTTTAGCCTTTGAAGCGCGACCTTTCTTCGCAGCGGGGGCCGCCTCTTCGGATTCGTCCTTGACTTCCGCCTTGACGGCCTTCTTTGAAGCTCTGCCCTTCTTTGCAACAGGAGCAGCCTCTTCTTCGGATTCGTCCTTGACTGCATCCTTGACAACCTTCTTCGAAGCCCTGCCTTTCTTCGCCGGGGGAGCAGCCTCATCGTCGGAAGCTTCATCTTTCACCTTCTTAGCCTTGCCTCTCGACTTTTTGGGAGGTGGAGCCTCGTCATCGGAGTTTTCTGCGCCCTTTGCAAGGCGGCCACGCTTCTTCGGCTTTGCTAGTGACTCGGCCTCGGCCTCGGCCTCGTCGTCCTCGTCCTGGAAGCTGTTTAGCAGGACATCGACAGAGCGTTTGAAATTACCAGTCCAGCGCCGTCAGACGGGCTTCAAACGCGTTCCAAGGGCGTTAATCATGACTTTGTAAAACTTACTGCATCACCCTTCTTGCCCTTCTTGCTCTTCTTGGGCGCCTTCTCTTTCGGTTTCTTCACTCGGAAGCCCTTCTCGCCGGGCCGATTCACCTCGACGTCCTAATTTGACTGTTAGAATCTTCATTGAGTAGTAAGATTGTGCGCGAGGAATGCCACTGTTAGAAGTGCCCTACGTCACTGGCAAGAATTGCAGAGGTTGAGTGGTAGATGCCGTGGTCTTGCAGTCGGAGTTTGGAGGCCAGTTTGCGATACACGGAAAGGAAGATGGGGAATTCTTGAAGAGGTTCATGAGATGTCGGGAATACTTACGCCCTTCCAGTCTTCGTCGTCGACGTGTCCCTGCTCCAACGCTCGTCTAACCTTGGCTTGATATTCCTCTTCAAGCTCATCATAGCCATCGACGAGGTCAACGTTGCCCTCGACAGCTTCTTTCCAATGTTGGATCTGCAAAGGAGTGACACATCCCCTTCGACGAGGTCAGCCTCGCTCGTCTTGTAGAGGAGAACGTGAGATGGGAATCATTTCTTACCAATGCTTCCACGTCCAACTAGTATGCTCCTTGATGGTGATGAGGGAACCGAATCGGAATTCGCCTTGGTCGATCTTGATGCCTTCTTTCTTGCATTCGACGTTTTTGCAGCCTGCGCGCCCTGTGCTGGCGATTTCTACCCACGGTTAGTGGAATGATGGCATAATGAAAGCCGACGTATCTGCGACGAAGAGATGTCAAAGGCTCAAGGGCTTAAATTAGAACGTCTCATTTTAGAGGGTTGTAAACTAGAAGGGCTGGGAATTGAACGATATGCTTGTTGCTTTTGAGCATACGGGTGAGTATGGAATACACCCCTGGGCTATTCAAAAGCGACGCGTTCACGATAGAGTGAAATGGATAGCTGGATCTTACCAACACGATATTGGCCGGGCATGATGTGCTTAGCCTGGTGGTTGAAAGAGAGATGTGGGTCGCGAGAGCTGCTAGAAACCATTCAACAACGCGTAACGCGCAGCAAAGTAGGGCAGGCAGCGGCTTACTACTCACGTTCGGGGCGGCACTGTATTGCCAAAGAACTCTAGCAGCTTCAAGAGCTTCCAGATGCTGCGAGCAGTGTCCTTGTCTGGTTGGTGAATAGGCGTGCAGGTTGTGATGTGGCTGAAGAGCTGTCGCGGAGACTCGCGCCGCCCGCTAAAATAAAATGCCGAACGTCATAAAATCTTTTGGCTGTACGGTCCCCCAACTCCATCACCACTCGCTCTTCAATGCGCCCTGTACATATATGCTTTAGAACCGCCCTGAATCGAGCCTTTTGTCTTTCTCCCCAGATTGCCTCAGGTGCCTGGGCGGTCCCTGAATTTCTCGCCCCCGCCGTTGCCACATCCCTTCACGCGTCAAGACGATCAATTGCGCACTCTTCTCCACGGCATTCCTCTCGACGACACTCTCGCGCAGACAAATCTGCTGCTGGATCTCACGAGGCTTGCGAAGAGCGGAACCCCTACAGTGATCCCCGAATACCACCCGCAACTCAACATAAATTCAAGATCCCCCTTCCCGAAGATGACCTACGACAGCATATGGAAGCCTGGCTCACAGCCCTGGAGCCATTTCTACCAACTGAATTGCGTCGCGCTGCGTCAGAAAAAGATACGAAGCGGCCTCTTGCGCAGGCTATCGACTATGCCAGACTTATAACCGAAGCCCAGTCTTCCTCGCAGGATATACTGAGCCATATGGGCACGGTCGAGGGACGGTGGAATGTTGTAATATGGTTGATTAAATGCCTGGTGGAGGAAGGTTCTGGCTTGAAGAGATTGCGCGGCGACCCGGAGACCTCTGACCGTGCAGCCTGGAAGGATACTTCGTTGTCACTGAAGGAATTGACACAATTTCCAATCTATGCTGAGAGGATACGAAAACCACAAAGGCTCAATCAAAGCCTAAAGGAGCTCACTTCCGCCCCCGAAACAATTCAATACCTATCAAACATCATGACGGCGGCGCTCGGCCAGGTTTGGCGCAGTCTAGGATCTATGATACTTGTGGCGGCAGAGGAACCAGTACCGAACGCATCTACAGTTATGTCTCATGTGTTAGAGATTATAGCCTATCTCCACCACGTCGAGATGATTCCTCAGGCTATATACCGATACGCGCCGGCTCGCGACCCTTTCACCCTACAACAGCCCCCGACTCTACACCTGCTGTCCTCGAGAATCCTTACATCGCTTTCTGACGCAACGTGGAGAGCCCACGAGGCGTCATTACAACCTGGCAAAACACCAGTCAATTCTCAGTATTTCATGGGACACGAAATACCTGGATCCCGGATTAAAATAACGGTGCCTCAGGTAGGTCCAGAAATATGGGTGGAGCTTGTTCTTTGGTCATGTCTTCATGGTGGCTGGATCACAGATGGTGTGGCGATATTGGAGAAGCTCTCATCTTATAGCGACGACAAGCGTTGGTCTGTCATCTGCTGGCGGGACATCGTGGCATCATCGCAATCCGCTGAATCCCTCCAGGAACCCAAAAACTGGGAAAGATTGGCGGCGGCATTTGAGTACCCAAATCGGTCGTATGCATCAGATCGAGGAGATCGACGCCTTGTACAACGAACTATAAGTAGCGAAGTAATTGCTGCTTTTGTGGACGGCTTGACAAACACTATGCGATTAGGGGTGGGTGCTCGAGGCAATGCTCCAGAGGATATTTTGCGGCATATCAAGAATCTCAAGCACCTCCTGGACCAAAACAATTTGAGTCTCGGCACGTCTTCCTGGGACGGCATAATCCTCCGACTTCTAGAATCACATGGAATTGTTCCAGACAAGCGACCCTATGTCCTCTTAAAAATACTCGACTTGAGCCAAGGTTTTGGGAAAGAAATTTCGTCAGCCAATGTCGCACTAGAGTCATCGCTAGACCAACTTAGTCCCAACTACGTCTTTGAAGGATCAGCAGCTCCTATTGGGCTGCTCCACAGAACGCTACGAGCTTTCATCGAGGCGGGACAAGCTGTTGGAGCCACGATAACTCTCAACAAGCTGCAGGAATACACGGACAACAACAAGATGGGTTCCATGATAGGTTTTTTCCAAGCCTTGAAACGTCAGCCTTCCACACCCGAACACCCTTTTGGAAGCACTTTTGCCCCTGTCGACTTCCCTGGGTTCTATCCTCAAATACCTGTTCCTCTGCTGGCTGGTCTGCTTGACGTATTAGCCAAGACGCACTTGTCTCGCATCTGTGAATGGCTCTTATTCTCGGACGATCTAGATGGCCCATTGATCCCACCTCGGATGTACCGAGATCGGAGAATCACTCCTTCGATTATTCGGTATGGGACTATTTCCAAAAATAAGGAGTTGCTTTTGAAGGTAGTAGAAGCAGTTGCTGTTCCCGTACCAGGAAAGCAAGGTGGTCTTGCCCGCCTTCCAGCAGAAGTTTTGTCGGCATTTCTTAACAGCCAAATCGAAGGCCGCCAGTGGGCATCCGTCACTTCTATCTGCCAGTATGCCGCCAGCAGCCCTGGGTATCGCCCTAGAGCTGAGACGCTCGCAGTGTTTGCCAGCAAAATGCTCTGGGATTCAGTGTATGCTTCAGACGCAACGGAACTAGAGACCGATAACACCGTCAAGACCCATTTCGCGAACCTCCTACACTTGTGGCGTCAGAAAATCAAGGACCACTTAGATGCTGAGCTCAACACCATTCTTGGCATTATTTCTACTGTACATCCTGACTACTCCGAGTTCTGCGAGAGCTTCTGGACAGCCGTTGGCCGACAGCCTACCGTTATTGGTACTTCGGAGTTCAACAAAATCTTAGAAGGCGTAGCTATAGGTTACGGTTCTATTGAAGCGAAGCGTATCGTGGATCTCTGGTGCAACGTTCCCCCTGGTCCCGCATACTGGCCCTTTCGCTCGCCTGGAGGCTTGCCGAAGATGTCGAAGTTCAGGCCGCCGAAGAGTATCGAGTACCACAACAGACCGCGGGATATTGAGATGGATAGATCAGCCAGTTTCCGAGGGCTCAGTTTCCGAGGGCTTGTGACTCCCAATATCCACACGTACCGGATTCTGCTGCGGAGAGCTCGGCATGAGAAGAAGCGCAAACAGGGAAAGGGAACGGAGATGTCGCCGAGCGAGCACATGAAACTCAAGGAAATGCTGGCGTCGGTGGCGTATGCGCTGCGTAGCATGGGGCTTGACCTGGAGGAGATATCGCATGAATTGGGGGTGTGGTTGCAGAAGGATGCTGAGCTTCCGGTTGCTGAGTTCACACTTCCTGCGCTGAGCGGATGGAAGGAGGAGGAGCTGGGTGATGTATGAATATCTACTGTTGCATTGTAAAAGTTATGTATACTCAAGAATCTACTGTACGAATATGTAACTGAAGATATGTTTCATATTCAAGGCATCTCAGCGAATTCGATATCACGTGCTGTGTCTTTCCTCAACCGCCCGATTGGAACCCTGGAACGACTCACTGGATTATCCGCCTAGGCTTGTTCCTCGAATCTAATTCTAGGCCACGACCGCAGCTAGACACTACGTAATGAGCTCTCACTACTATCAATACCCAAAGATTCCAACGCACACGACAATCCTTTGTGCGCCCAGCCGTCTCCATTGCGCCCCTGTCCAATGCGAAACAGCCACGGTTGCCCAAAGCAGAAGGCCGCATACCCAGCAACCGACACGTCGAGTTAGGCGAGGCGGAGCGGATTTGCTGGGCTGGGCGAGGTGGAGACCTGCGTGTGAGTGGGGATTTTGGCGATGCAGCGAGGCCTGACGCATGCAAGCCAAAGCTGACATGGTCCCAACCCATGAATCTACCATAACTACGAAAAGCAATTCTCCAAACCTCGAGATGTGTAGGAAGATAGGTAGGGAGCAGGCAGCTAATACAGACTGGTGAAACAGAAGACGCTTTCTGCCCCGCGGTTCGAAACGGCAGGCGGCCCGCGACGAGAAGGATGCAAGAATATGCACATACACCGCCTTTTTGCGAGGGGCCAATGACAGCATGTGACCTGGGCGCCGGCGGGGCATGGTGAGGGCAGCCGGCGGCGTTGACGTCGCTGTTGAGGCGATCCTGAAGGCGCCAGGGGAGGAGTCCGGAGAAACGTAACAGCGCGGTTACAACTGTGCCGTTATAGCTCTCTGAACATGTTGATTTGGACGAGGATGAAGCCGAAATAGCAGCTTTGGGAGCCTGGAGTGTGCATGAGGCTGACGGCGGAGCTCTGGGCGCGCTGGTGGCGCAGGGTTGGGCGTTTTAACCTCGGGGATTCTGCCGGCGACGGTGGTACAGCAGCTGGATGCGCGTGCGCCAGGCCCACGAGCGGCTAGCATGGTGGGGAACACTCCGATCCGCCATGGCGTTGCAAGACGTCCGTCTGGAGAGGCACGCGATGATGGCGAGACGGTGCGAGACTCCACGTTTTGATGAGACAAACGTGGTTGAGTCGCATGTTCCCGAGGCCCAGGAGCCATTGTACTGTATATGCATGCCATCACGGCACGGGCAAAGTGTATAGTAATTGCATGTGGCTGGGGTGAGTCGCTCGTATGACTCTGCTGGCGCTTCTCACCGCTAGGCGCAGCGCTAGCCCCTTTGCGGCTAGGCCGGTGGGAACATTTTTGAGCAAATCTGTCGCCCGCCATCCTCTCTCTCCTCTGCAACCACCCCACAGACAACGAAGTCGCACTACAATTCTACTACGGATTATCACTCAAGCACACACTACCCATCTTCGTCGAGAACAATGCCGCAGGCAATCGCTGAGCTGTAAATCCCCACTGGAGGCCGCACCTGCGTGTGGCCTCCAGTCCGGCCCAGCCCACCGAGATATTCAACGACTCTACGACGATTCAACCCTCAAATTTGGGAGCAAACTGCTTCTGGCCCGCCCATTGAGACGAAGAATCGCCAGTCTGCACGAACAGTGTAGTCCGCCCGCAGCCGCGCGTTTTCCGCTGTTCGACCGGCCTCACTCCGCATATCGACGAACTTTACGACTCGAATACCCTACTCCAAGACGTTCGAGTCGCACAGAACATACAACCATTCCAATTGATCGTCCGTAGACGCTCGCCCTCTTTGACAGAATTCCCCCCGTCAGCTCTCTCTCCCCGAACCTCCCACCCGCACTAGACTTCGTATCTCCAACTCTCCAACCTAGAGTCCGAAGAAGGACCCCCTACTACATCCATACACACTTCCTCGCCATTGCTGTATCAATACTACCCCTCTACCCTAATGGCACACTCCCACATTCACAGATCGACACCAGTCGACTTTGGCGGCCATCTTATACACGAGCATGAACCGACCCATGACGCAATGAACGACTCTCCAAAGCGAGACCAGCGCACGCCCGCCTCCGGCAGCGTAGCGCAGAAAACGAACGGCGGCCATGATGGCGCCCAGTCCTCCGAGGACCAAGAAAATGACGGGGAAGAAGCCGACAGTAGCGCGGACCAGGATGTTGACGAAGACGAGGAAGATCCGGACGTAATGGCCCCGTCCTACAGTATGGGCAAAGGCAAGGGGAAGCGCCCAGCTATTCGTGTCGAGCCTGTTGTTGATGAAGAGGACGACGAGGAAGAGGTTCCTCTCTGGGGGACGGGGCCCCCAGGCGGTAAGAGTCTTTTCATCCCTGTTCTGGCTCGAGAGAAGAAGCGCACTTTCAGCAATGTGAGCATCAACTCTGTTCTGTTCGACTCTGAAGAGACGAATGGTTTCCCGAGGAGGAAGATTCCGAAGCGCTTGAGCAACAGCAGCACCAGAGGATTGTTGACATATAAAGAGCCGGTGATTGAGGCAGAATCGGACTCTGATGTTGTTACTGCATTTGAGAATGCTATTGACAGTGGTGATGAAGAAGCCCAGGCGGGCGCTGAAGAGCCGGGATTTGACGACGAAGATTATAGCGGTGTTCTTGAAGTCAGTGATGATTCAGACGTCGAGGAGGAATTAGAGCGCCAGGACGAACAGTGGCTCATTGCCGAGGCGGAACAAATGCCCGGTGCATATAGTCTCGACAGACGTTTCAGTGTGGACAGCGACGCGTTTAATTTGCTTGAGAGCAATCTCCTTGCAGAAGACATTCCGGACGTTGACTTCCACGATTTCTTCAGTCGTCCTGACACGCCTGATGCGCCAGCTGGCCGCAAGTACTCGTCCAGCTCTACCAAACGCGTTCGGTTCGATGATGATGTTCATTTCTCCGACAGCTCAAGCTCAGATGATTCAGACGCGGAGGAGTCCATGTTCCCAGATCTCTTCATGCCTCAAGACAAGCTCGATCCTGACTTTCGTATGATGATTGAGAACGACGAGGATGAAGCTGGAAGTCTCGCATCGGACGGTAGTGAGGCCTCTTACTGGTCTCTTGGTGATGGTCAAGGTTTTGCGGTTCGCAATTCTGCCCCTCATCATGCTAATATGGACGACGATTCCGATACCGAAACGGGCTCAAGCGGTTATGATTGTACGATTGTGTCTCGCCATTTCATTAATATTGCTGACACCTTCTAGCTGATTCAGGTGACACTACTGATGAAGAAGATTTTGAGCCGATGCCAGTTGTACAGGCCCCGCAGTCCGTTCTTCGCCGCCCATCGTCCTCTGCCAGCGATAAGCCTGCCAGCCCGCAGCCTTTTCAGAGATCTTCGAGAACCCGCTTCTCTGCACGCCAAGTCTCCTCCCGCCAAATCTCATCCCGTAATTTGGCCGCTCGTCGTCCGGCCGCTGGCCAGCATGGACCACCACGTTGCGGCGTTTTTACCCACGAGGATTGGAGCAAGGCGATTGCTGTCACCAACCGTACCACCGAACTAACTACCTATTATCGACCTCGTCGCCAATTGACCGGTCGACATGCCAACTATGATCCAAGTAGCATGTCAAGTTCCACTAACAACAGCCCGCGCACCTCCATTCAGGCCTTCCCTGATGACAGTGACTACAGTGAATTCGTTCCTCACTCAATGGTACCGTCGGACATAATGCTAAGTGGCGTCTTTGGAGCTGCCCCTAACAGCATCATCAACTTTGGTGGACAAGTCTTCGGGCCCCCAGAGGCCTTCTACCCCTTTGTGAACTTCGATTCGAACGGAGAATTGATGATAGATGATGATGACGACTCCGACTATTCCGACGACGACGTCGACATCACTGATCTTGTAGACTTTGGAGACGACCCCGACGAGACTGATGCAGCAGAGGAAATCGACGTCCCTGCTACTCCAGCAACCTCAATGATCGCTTACGCTGGATCTACTCCTGCACAGCCTTCGTCTCCTAGCCACGCTACCACACCGGTGCAGCATCGACGAAATGCCTCCGATGCGATGCTGGAACATTTCGACCGCGCAGGTGGCGTCGTTACGGCGTTCCGCAACAACCAGAACCGGTTTCGAGACTTTGCTCGTCTACCTTTTGATCCGAATCAGCGAGCTTCTGCGTCGAGACCGGTTCGCTCGGGACGGTCGGCAGATACACTCATCTCGCCTCTGAGGAAGAAGGGATCTATTTCGAAGAGAATTGCTGGACCGCCCCTGTTCAGTGGCGTTACGAAGGCGAGAAGTGAGACGCCGCATCGGGTTGCGAGAGGTCCGTCTGCTAGGACGTTCGCTTGAAAAACCAACCTACTTGACACTCATCCAACCTTAATACCATCCCACACCACTACCCACGCCACCCGGCCATTCTCGAAATTCGTCCTCCCGCCGGAGTCCATTTCTTAGGAGTACGCTTTCGAAGGAAGATTTCACGGAAGAAACGAATATCACGACGAAACGGCCAACGATTACCAAAAGCTTTCCAGGACGTCATGTCATGTGTTGCTTACCCCAATTTCACTTTTTGCTTCATGTTACAAAAGTCTCCTTTACCCTGTTTTTGTTCTTTTTCTGAGTCCCATTTGGCGGCGCAAAGACGGCTGGCGGCGCAAAGACGGCTGGCGTCGGAGCTTACGCGAAAGATGGGGCTTGTTCAATTCGAATTGTTGCGACCCTTTTTAGTCCTGACAGGCAGCATCTCCCGCAGCGAAAACGTGTGCACTATACGGCAATGGCACATTGTGAATCCTGATACGCAAATAATACTTGGCGAAGCTGTCGGTAGTCTTGAAAGCACATGGACTCTCTTATGTAAAGGGGGAATGTTCGCGACGGTAACTTTTCTTTTGTGTTGTTGGTTGGTATCTGCACTCTTGACTCTTTTTCCATTTCCTTTATGTCGTTTGTGGTTGGTGTGGTTTTATTTGTTTCCTTGCTTTCTTTCCTTCGTATGGACCGGGACCTACCTCTCTTCACGATTTGCTACACCTTTGGAAGAATCGATGATTCGCAATAGTAATATGATAAGGAATCATGCATTTTTGGGGCTCAGCGACAGGACTTCAACTCGCATTGGTAAACTCGAGGGGATGGCTGGGTGGGTGCGGTTGGGGGCGGCGCTTGAAGGGCTTCTGCTATTCGGAGTCTTGACTGGCTGGCTGGGGCCGATGGGCATGGTATGGCGGGGATAGTGAGTGAGTGAGTGTAGGAGTAGGTCTGAGTAGGTCGAGAGGAATTGAAAGAAATTATTTAAATTATGTGTGTTCTGTAGGTGATATGATACGTTGGTGTGCTCAAGGCACTTTTTCAACTGGTGGGTACGGTTTCATGAAGGCACGCGTGTGTACCAAAGACATATGAGCACTGGGGTAAGGGCAGTGGACTCCAACATCTCGCTAGGGATGAGTGATTCAATGCACTATGCTAGTCATATTCTACAAGGCCCATGACACTCGAACGACCAGGTTATGTACACCGTACTGCTCCATCCTCCACCACCGGAAGTAACTTCTACAGAACCTTGCCAAAGGCCTGGGCACAGTTGGTTACCACCGTTAGAGGTGCTTCGGCGCAGTTTTGGGGAGATGTGAAGTCCCTAAGCAGCTTCAATTAGAGAAATTTCATAAGTTGATAGTTAAACTACTTGCCGCTGTTTGGGGCGCTTCAGCACCTCATCAATGAGGGGGACTCCAGGGGTTTACGTGCCCGTCGGGCCGACGCCCGAAATTTCTAGATGCGGTCGTTTAATATTGATAACGCACGGAGATTATAGCTCCGGGGGTAGCATTATATTGAGGCGTGGGCGTGCTGTTTATTCGATGTGTTTGTTTCATGATGAGGAGTCGAAGCTCCGTTGGGCAGCCATCTTAATGTACATAATGAGGTCGGCAATCGGGATGTATGGTATTTTCTGATTTGATGCGGGATGCAAACTCTTTGACTTTCGAAAACGAGACAGAGTGTACGAGATATCTCCACGAAACCCCGTCCCCTAGAAATATTTCTAAACATCTCGCAAGTGCTACACAGATCGATGTCCCTTATCGAGATAGATGAATAGAAAGTATGTACATCCAAGCCTTGATCCCCAGCCAAATCTCGCAAGATGAAACTTTTTATATACACATCAAACCCAGCGTTTCCCCCCCTTCCCCTCTAAACCCGCAATAAATTTTAACAAACGAAGAATATATCTGCCCCCTCTTCCCACCCTTCCATCTCCAACCCTCAAGGCTTCTGATACCACTTGACCGAATTAATCAGGAAATACGCATCCGCAAACGCAGTCGGGTTATCCCTCACATACGCCTCACACGTCCCGACCTTTGTGCTCGCATAGCACCCCGTCCAATCCTCCTCTCCCCACGCCCCGCCGCTATAGTTGCTCCCACAAAGATCGATGTTAAGCACCGTCGTCATCGACGCAAACGCAGTCTCCATGTCACAGCTCGCCGGCTGCCAGTCCAAGATCGCGTTTCCCCACCCGCTCGGCTCCGGATTCCCCGCCGTGATGTCAGCCGGGATCCTGTCGCGCGGGAACTGCCAGATGCGGATCCCGTCGCTCTCGACCTGCAGCGCCCACACGCCGCCGTTGTGGGAGTTGAAGCTGTCGCCGAAGGTGCCGGTGGGCCCGGTGATGTGGCACCCGCCGTCGGCGAGCGCGCAGTCGAAGGAGGGCGCAGTGCCGAGCTCGGCGGCGTTGCGCACGGCCATGGTGCAGGCCGGGCCCGTGTACATGCTGATGTCGTCGTGGTCTTGCAGGGCGACGCCCTCGACGATGTCGATTTCCGTGTAGGGCAGATTGCCGTCGTTGTTGATGACCCAGCTGCCGGGATGTTAGCAACGCTCCTTTCAAAGATGGATGAAAGACGCATGAAGGAAAGAGGAAGGGAAAGGGGGGGAGGTAGTGGTGGTACGTACAAAGCTGGCCAAATCCCACAAGCGCCTCCGGGCATGTGCTCGAAATCCCCGATGAGCAGTCCGTTGTTGAACGCGGTCTTTGATTCGAGTCGCACGCTGTCTCTGCCGCCGCTCGCGTCTTTCGAGGACGTGTCGACGCCGAGGTAGACTTGGTTATTTTGGTACTTTGCGAGTCCGTCGGCTTTCGCGGTGGTTTCGTCGACATACTTGACGAAGCCGGAGGTGGGGTCAGTGTCTGTGAAGAACTTAAAGTTGTCGAAGAAGTTTGTGGCATCCCAGGAGGCCGCGATGGTGTAGCCTGAGGCGGAGTTGGAAGCGGAAGGGGTGGATGCGGCAGCTGCGGCGGATGAGGAGGATGAAACTGTGGATGCGGACGATGAAGAGGTGTAGGCGGATGGCGAGGGAGCGGATGGCGAGGGCGCGGATGAAGAGGGGGAAGGGTGGTGTTCAGATGGCGAAGCAGTAGATACAGATAGCACAGAAGTATATAAAATCGGCGAAGATGCGGACGAGAGCGGTACAGGAACAAATCCAATTGGTGCAGAGGCGAATCCAGATGATGCGGAACCAGTAGCATACAGTGTAGATATATTGGGAGTTGAGTAACTAGAATGAATCCAGTGGAGATGGGAGTGGTGGTGCCTACGAGCCTGCGCAGGGATGGACGAGCCTAACAAGAGAGCAACAGTGGACGCAGCAGAAATGGAGGAACGCATATTAGCAAAAAGAACGAAGAACGTGGGTAGAAATGTTAATTCAATTGCGAGGTGAGAGAAAGAAAAGGAGAGTTACATGGAAGAAAGACGTCCGTGTATATACGTATGAATACGCATGGCTACCTAGATCTACTTACGAAATGCTATGGTTTCATTTTATGGGCAACAAGGTAGGCATTGCGCCTCGCGAATCGTCAATTGAACCAAGTCGTTCCTTTGTGGGTTCTCGAGGACTTTGATAGGCTGATGCAACGGACCATCAACGTAGCATTCCCTCATTGCGCTCGAGGGATTCGCCTATAAGGTGGTAGAAGGAGCGTATATCACCCTGAATTGCGGAGGTTCATCTTGAAGAAACTATGCGCAGTAATCTGCGGCCACGCCCAAGCCTTTTCCAGGAAGCCCCCAGTCATATTACGGCCGCTCGGTCGGCAGCTCGCTCGTCACGGTCTGCGGGATGAAGATTCGGCCAGAACTGCATGGTTATGAGACAAGGCCCGTCGTTTTGAAACTCGGCCTGTACCCATGACTTTGGTTAGAGTTCCGGGTTAAGAGTGCTTAGAGTGTGGTCGATGCTTTTCTTATACGCCTCGCCTGTTCCGTTGTAATTAGGCTTCCCATTTGTTTCAAGCAGTGATCGTTCGTTTCAAGAAGCATTGAGAAAAGTGGCTGTGGTTCGATGTAACGACGGCTGAGATCTCTGATGCTTAGGTCTGGCCATCAAAACACCACCTCACGTGGGGAGAGGATTTGAATGAGACTTCGATGTCCTCTGCAGAGCAGCTTTATTATCCCCAGATGTGGACCACAAACTGGGTTTGTTATTGGTTTCGCTGCTGCTGGATTAGCTCTCCAGATGTTTGGTGCATTGTCACTACAGTCCTCCGCGCACCAACGAAAGCAACCGCAAGATTCCACCTGCCTCTTTAGGCATGCTCTCGACGTCCAATATCCGGAAACAAGTCCGCTCTGGGAGGTCACCATAAAATCCTAGCAACCCCGAATAAGTAGCCTACGTGCCTACTTCAGTTGCAGTCGACCCTCACCCACTTTCAGCGGGAGATTGTCGAAATAAAGCACGTGAATATCCGAAGATCGAAGCACAACGTAGGATTTAGTAGTGGAAGAATTGTGATATGTCGTCGCGACACGTAGGGCTATACAAAACGGCATCAGCGTGTCTCCCACGTCAGCTCAAAGCCTCGAACTGACGACCCAAACTGCACCCTCTCGTTCTCTAGTTCTGGTTCGGGCAGTGGCTCGACTTCACACATATCCGCGAGCGGGAGTGAAGCGAGAGACTCAGTATCTGACTCAGTCTTGGCAATCGACATTTCGATATTTGGCTTCAAGCTGAATGCCTCCATTTGCTCGATCAATACAGCAGGTTGCTGCACAACAGCTGGGCGTGCTGGAAGAGGGAGTGCATCTTCCTTCTCCATATCCGTCATAGTAATTCGTCCATTTCTCAAGACATATTCGTCATCCGAAGAATCAGACAGTGCATCGAGAGGTTCCGCCTTCGCCTTCGATTCGGTAGGTACCACCGTTCTAGAGCTAGAGGACTGCGCTAGCGGAGGACGTGAAGATGTCTCTGGACTCGTGAACTCGAAAGGAAGATGTTCCTTCGGCTCCTCACTCTGTTCCTCCGGCTTCTCAACCTGTTCCTTTGGCTTCTCAATCTGTTCCTTCGGCTTTCCAATCTGTTCCTTCGGCTTCTCACTCTGCTCCTTGTCCCGCATCTTCAATTCTTCTTCCTTGCGCTCGACCACCTTCAATGCATTGACTTGCTCCTCAACCTGCATCGCATCAACGTCTTCAAACCCAATCTTCCCCAAAATCGAACCAACCAGATACCGGTACTTGTCGTGACCAGTGATCAGATCGCTCATGTCAACATTCCGAATCCCATGCACTCCTTGTACAGCCTGGAGTCCCACAACTCCGAGCTGGATTTTGCTGGTTCGAGAGAGGAATCCCAGGGCATATGTTAAACTAACAATATAGTCCTCTTCGCTGTAGATATTCACAACCCTTGCTGACACGACTGCACGGATCCTCCGCTAAGCACTACTGCTAGAAGGCGTCGGAGACCCCATAAGAACCACCGACTCGATCAAACCAAAAGCGTTTTGCTCTGCCAGCTCCAACAAACAAGAGAAGATGACTCGAGCACCCAGCGAGTATCCTACTAGAGTGACTGGCCGTTCTCCCTAGACTTTGCTAATGAGGGCGTGAGCCAGGACCTTTCCCGCTTTGTCGCTCCTCGAAACAGCTACTGAGAAAGGGTTGTCTAGCATGCTGGCCATTTTCAAGAAGCCAAGCGGCCACAGCTCTGCATACAGAGCGCCGAATAAAGTGCGACGAACGATTCGATCTTGGCGCCCTCCCAGGCATAGCTTTTGAACACTTCGGTCAGTGATGTTCCTAGGCGAAGAAGTGCATCAAGCTCCCAATGGAGAGCGAATGGTTCGATTCCGGTGCAGTGTAAGACGTCCCAGGGTATAGTAACGTCTGATTCAGAGTTGAGCCACCCACTAATACCAATAGCGACGTGCAGTCTGTGCTGTTCTTGCTGTCTGGAGTCGCGAAAAGACATCTCCTCTGTACGACATTGACTGGCAGGCGTGTATGAAGCTGGGACATCGGATCAGTGACTAGTTTCGAAGATGACGCACACAGAAGTGCGCAAGTCAAGACGTAGTAGATAACGGAACTCACATACCTCGAATAGGAATAAACTGAAAGTCTTCCACCGCTTTCGCATACTGATCCATGATTTTCCCAGTCATCTTCCCGCCGTAAGCCCTAAACAAACTCCCAACAAGCACCGTGCTACCAGCCAGAGCACCCAGGTACCCAGAAATGACCGTAGCCCCAAGGCCAAGCCCACCCATTACAGTGCCAACACCACCGGCCAGCAACGGAGCCGCCAGGCCTCCAGTGACGCCGATCAGGACAGCTCCGCCGACGGTCGCGAGACCGACCTTCCATCTGCGTGCCACAGCGTCATCAGATGCCTTCTTCTTCGTAGACTCATCTGCGTCCATGTGCGAAGCAGGGGTTGCTAGAAGCCCTTCCGCAAAAGATTTCTCATGAGTAGCCAGAACTTCCACGAAGAGACAAAGACTACTGGAGATATACAGCAGAAGGACACGAGAATGGGCGGGATAGTGCTCGAGACTAAGCAACAACAGAAGCAAACAATGAAGTATGGAAACGCGTTTTGACTCGTCAAACTTAGCCAATGTCGTAGATATGGCAGTATACCCATGCGTTCCAATCGCAGGCTCATTGCTAATAGTCTCACCGGTGCTCTCCCCCTCAGCCCAGTTCAGGTAGTCTATGTTGCGCTTTTCCATCTCCGCCGCTTCAGTTTCAACCTTACGTTTCGCCTTCGCCCGCCGAACCACCTCGCCCCGCACACCGACCACGTCGCAGATCCGCTGCATGACCCCCGCGCGCCATTTATCGAAGAACGTCAAGGCAGCACGTCGGAGACCTTGTGTCTGTGTTGGCGAGATCTCCGCTCTCTTTGTTTCCTTGCATGCTCTTCTGCCGTGGCCGTGCCATCTTCGGGCGTACTGAAATTTATGAGGTTCTGTTCTGCGTCAGCGTTGGGGCTTGCGATGGGGATAGAGACTGTGGGAGCCGAGACTGAGGCATCGAAAGTGGAATCGAGGTTGTTGCGCATGAATTCTATGCAGAGGAGGACGATAAGAGCGAGCTCAGTGCGTAGGCTCGGCGTGTCTAGAATGGAGGTCAAGGAAGCTTCCTCGTTTTTCTTCTTCGGTGATGGGGCTTCATTGGAAGCCCAATTCCCATTTTGGAGAACATTATTGAGAACGTTAGCCTTCAGTGGTTTTAGTCAAGACGTAGTCTCAAATGGAAGGTTGACGATGCGAGAGACGCAACCCTAGAGTGTGTCGAAACAGCAGTCATGCTGGGCGGAGGCTGCGCCGCAATCCTTCAGTAGGCGCCAACACATACTTAGAAGGGAAGAGTGCACAGCGAGAGAGGTTGAGACCTATCATAGCCTCAAAGATATGGACATAGATTTTTGTGGCGAGAACATATAGTTGGCTGTTAATCGATGCTCTGCAAGTGTGCATGAGATGTGGTTCTAACGACGTGGCCCGTGCACAGGGAGGAGGTCAGAGAGGTACTTCTCTGTGTCCCACCTCTAAACCTAGAGTATGTTGGGTCTAGTCAATGCCTTAGGACTGACGGAGATGGTTCCGAAAAACTGGAGGTCGTGATTCAGGTCTGTAGCATAAGGGTTGAAATTTGGGTTGAAATCTAAGCGCGCCAGTTGCTGTTTCTGCTAGAGGAGCATGTATTGAGGGGTGCTTCGATGGATTGGAGGGGGTGGAAAAATGGAGGTATTGTGGGGTAGATATAGAGGGGGATCGGAGAGAAGGGGAGATAACATCGATTTGTGCTCACTTTGCGGTCACTTCACGGCCACCTGACTAGGTTTGCGAAGCATAATCATCTACAGTAGCAAAAGAGACTAGGTATTGCGTGCTACTAGGTAAACCCCCTAACCAATGGTATCGATCATCCATCAAGCTCATTCCTCGTCACTTTCGTAAAGGAGACCAAAGAAACCAACCCATCCCGACCCATGTACCTCGCCTCGCCGCCAACTCCCTGAAACCTATCCCGATTCTACTCGACCTCAGGTCGAGGCCGAAGCAGCGGGCTTCTCGCTCTCATCCTTGGCGCCCGTCTTGCCCTCGGTCACCTCATGCACGCCAGCCTCCTCCACAGACGATTTCTCACCCGTCGTGCCAGCTGCATGCTGCTTCTTCAGATCCGCCAGACGTCTTGCCTCCGTATGCACGTCCACGACCTGCTTGTTCCCCTCGGTGTACAGACTCGCGATCTTCTGGCCTGTGGGCGTACCCAGCGCCTTCTCGAAGTAAGAGTTGATGCCACGCCATCCCGTAACTGCCTTATCTGTCACACCCAGCTTCGTGTCGACCGCCTGTGCCTTCTCCGTCGCCTTGAACTTGGTGTCGAATTGCTTCAGCGCCGAAGTGAAGCGTGTGCTGATGCCGTGCTGCTTGTCGAGGGCGATGGCGCGTTCGATGGCGTTGTCGGAGATGACGTAGCCGTGGGCGAGGTACTCGGCGACGATGCGGGAGCGGGGCTTATCTTCCTGTTCGAGCTCGTGCTCGTGCTCTTTCTCCAGAGCGTCTTCGGTCGTGACATGGCCGGCGGCAATCTGATCGATGGACTTGGCGGAGGTCACAGAGACGGCGGTGGGGCCGAGCTGGGTGTTGTCGAGGAGGAGGGCGGTTTTGGCGGCCGTCTCTTTTTCAAAGGTTACGGTTGCGGATTGGGAGTCTGCCGTGGGGGTGACGGAGAGGGAAGAGATTTTGCCGCTGGGAGATGTTAACAGTTTGTTCATGGCTTTAGTTGTACTTTTGCGAATCTGATGGGATTACATGCAGAAGACTTACCAGAAGCTGAAGAAGTCTCTGACTTCCTTCTCGCTCGTCTGGCTGGAGATGTTCTCGACGTGGACTGTGGTGGCCATGACTACGAGATGGGGGGATAAAGTTTGATAGTTGAGTGTGGGATTGGACGAGGAAAAAGGTGCGTGTCTTGTGTAATGTGTGATGTGGATGAGTGGTGTGGTCAGGCAAAGGAGTTGTTTATGAGGAGACGTGGTGTTGAAACGAGGGGCCTTGGGCAACGACTGCAATGACGTTGCAGTTGGAAAACGCCACAACGAATGACCACGACACGCGGATCCTGTCTCAGCCACTCCGGGGCTGTGGCTGTGCGTATGTCTTCGCTTCCCAAGACGGCTAGCATGCTTGGGGAACTGTTTGCGACGCTCTCTGGACTTCACATGCCACGAAGAACGTCGCAAACAGGACAGCTGGGCTATGGAGTTCTGGGATACGAGTCGCCTTATTATGTATGCGCATGGCTTTATCTCTTCATATTAGGGCTGGGGGACGCGCCATCTGATTGCACCAGGGAACCTTGGTGATGCGACCTAATCTGCATCCCAGATCATATTACGGTCGCTCTTCCAATTGCTCGAGTGAATCATAAGATAACAAAGGCTTGACATATCAAGGAGTTGGGAGATACCACTGGGCCCGACTTGAGGAGAGGTCAAATGGAACTATTTTCAAGCCTTGCGTGTAGGGCTAACGAGCCAATGAGCGTCGAAGGTTCATAGAAACTCGTGATCAAGCCCGCTTCAGAATTCTCTGCAGCTTGTCAAATGCAACGTCCAACGCCCACGAATTAGAACAACTGCACTGACAGGTATCACTGAATTGTACCGACAGGTGTACGGCAGGCAACTTTCGAAGCTAGCATTTCCTCCCCGCACATGTCACCAGCCACATGGTTCGAGAATCTTCCGTTTCGTAACAGCAACGGAGTATGGTAAGTTGAGCCGAGATAAATGAATAACACCCGGTAGACGTCGGTCATGGCCTTTCAAGCATGCCTCTGAAGCTAGTCCTGGATAGAAGCAAGGTCTTTGCCGACGGCTGTCATTATTCAAGCATGGATAAGGGTCCATCTTCACGTCTATCCTTGCGCGTCCCACGCGATATGGAATCGACAACCCCGCTGTGCTGGAGCCATGCATAGGGCAGCTTGCATGTGTACATGTATCAGGTCGCGATCCCAGGACATGGCACAGCTGCAGACTTCGGGAGGCCTCGGCGTGCCATTGATAAGTGCTGACTCGCAGTAAACAGTAAAGCAGGAATCCGGACTTCGAATCCTCCCGTCCGGTGAGGATTCGGGCCGCTTCGCGAGCTGCGAGATACGGAAATCCCAGCGCACTGGGGCTGCGAGCAAGTTTCGCAGATAGACTGGACAAGGAGCGACGAGGCGACCTGGCCATATGGAGATGGGCCGTGGACCCCACCTCGATTGCAACCGCTAACGGCGATCGTCGCTCCAGGCATGGCGGATGTGCCTTGGCCTAAATGCAGGTGCTCAGCTTTGAGAGAGAGAGGGGTCGGGCTATCTGACCGCTCTTCGACGATGAAGAGATTTCGCGCTCCCCTCGCTGCTCCCAACGCCCGCAAGGCATGCATATGGCCGAAAAGCACCTTTTCCCTTCTCCTGCTCTCAAACGGAGCACTGACAGAGAATAGACAGCATAGAGTTACAGTTGCGGAACGGCGCAGAGCCGCCACATCATCTGCAGCCGAAGCAAGGATTTTCGTCGCCCGGGGTATGGGCCGACATCGGGTGGGCCTATCAGCTGGTGTACTAACTCTTCGCCTCCACTCGGAGACAAGGTCCTGGCGGGCCAGTGCATGCATCTAGCGGCGCCTTGACAGCGGAAACACGGCCGGCGATTTTGATATCAAAACTCTAGCGATGCGAGATAAGCAGCGTAGACAGGCAGGATGCAAGCAGCGCAACGTACCGGTGAGTGAAGGTTAGGATATGAGCAGTGGAGTACGATAGAATGAAAGAGGGGAATGCAGCAGTTGTGGCGAGGGCGTTGCATGCGGAGAGGGGGAGCTGTGGAAAGGAATGCATGTCTGAATCGGGCAAGCACGGGCCGTCGTTCGGTGGTCGTGTGCCGGCGTTGACCTGATAAACTTCTTCGTCCACCCCGCCCACCACACTCTTTCACTTTACTCCATTCTGTCTGCGTCTTCCGTTTGCAGCTCTTCTTCTTCAATTTCCGGGGTTCCCTAGGTCAAACGCAGCGAACGCTCATATACCGTTCCGCCGAGCCTGCCCGCTGCGTGTTGGCACAACCGTAAGATCTATATCAGGCTCCCAGACCATGTTTCTCACTCAAACAAGAACCCCCCGAGACCCGAACAAGTTTCCTACCGTCCAGCTCTTCATCCTCGGTACGTTTGCTCCAGAATCCCAGTCAGCATCGCGAACGGAGAGCCGGCCTGCACTAGCACCTGTCGCGCCACATGTCTCCTGCAGCCGGAGTCACACCCTTGGTCACTCCACCCCCTCACGATAATGCAATGCACGAATATCAACTAACTTAGTGTTCCAACAGCACTTGTACGAGTTGCGGAGCCCATTGCTCTCACCTCCATCTTTCCGTATGCCTGGAAGCTCGTCCTCTACTACAATGTCACCGGCGAAGCGAATGCCGCTCTATACGCTGGCATCCTCATCTCCGCCTTCGCTCTCGCCGAGGCCTTAACTGGCATGTACTGGGGAGGTCTATCAGATCGCATCGGACGGAAGCCAGTCCTACTGCTAGGATGTGCCGGGACCCTGCTGTCTCTCCTCATTCTCGGCTTCGCTCCCAACTTCTGGGTTGCACTCGCTGGCAGAATTCTTGGCGGTATGCTAAACGGCAATATTGGCGTCATTCAAACTATGGTTGGGGAGTTAGTCACTAAGCCTGAGCACGAGCGTAAGCTTTTCTATCCTCATCTTCGTTCAATGTCTCTAGACTAACTTTACCTAGCTCGAGCCTACGCGGTGATGCCGTTTGTCTGGTCAGTCGGAACTATCATTGGGCGTGAGTATACCAATCCTTCTGCAGCTAATTTCCATGCTAACCCTGCCCAGCTTCCATAGGCGGGTACTTCGCCAATCCGGCCGAGAACTTCTCTATTTCCCCGCATAACATCTTCGCCAAGTTCCCGTATCTCCTTCCTAATCTTATCTGCGCCGTATTCATGCTCGTTGCTATCGTCGCTGGATATTTCTTCCTCGTCGAGACACATCCGGACATGCAACCATGGAGCACTCCTGAAGATCTGGACAACACCACGGCTGAGACGCCTTTGCTTCCAACCGCAGGAGCCACAGCTCACGCCGCTGCAAACCTGACCACCGAGTCCTACGGGACGTTCGACGCTGTTGATGTTCAGCGGGAGGAAACTTGGCATGTAAAGTCTGACGGACGTTCCGCATCCATATCTTCTGAGCAGAATGGGAAGGTTTTCACGAAGAATGTGCTTATGCTAGTTGTCGCCTTGGGTATCTTCACGTACCATTCTGTTAGTCCAGCTCCTTATCAGTCGATAACCTCTGATCAATGACTAACACGTTCAAACAACCAGATGACTTATGACCATCTCCTCCCTATCTTCCTCCAAGACCGACGAATCGACGAGCTTTCAGTCAATGCCGAATCTTTCTCGCCAATGGCCGGCGGACTCGGGCTTTCTACCCAGCAGGTCGGCATTATTATGAGTTTCAATGGCATCATTGCGCTCGTCATCCAGGCCGCTGTGTTCCCACTAATGGCCGCCTGGCTCGGAGTGTGGAAGCTGTTCATTCTCGTCACCATTGGCCATCCCATCGCCTACTTTATCGTCCCGTACCTTGCCATGCTTCCTGAGTCCTGGGTATACCCTGGCATCTATATCTGCCTTACCATTCGTAACTTCTTTTCCATCGTGGCCTACCCGCTCCTGCTCATCCTTCTCAAAGAGGCCTCTCCGTCTCCGACCCATCTCGGAAAGATCAACGGCCTCGCCGCAAGCACCGGAGCCGCTTGCCGTACCATGGCCAGCCCCATCGCCGGCTTCCTCTACGGCCTCGGTATCCAATTGAATTTCACTCCAATTGCCTGGTGGGCAAGCGCGGTGGTCGCCGTCCTTGGAACATTTCAGGTCGCCTTCGTGAAGAGGAAGCACAAGCGAGAAACCCATATCCATTCCGCAGCTCCGTGCCGCTTTATGCCCGCCGAGGAGCCCTTCAAAACAGACATTGTTCACATTACGGTTGATTCTTCCTCGGATGACGAGAATGAAGCCGAAGTCTAATCCTTGCTTAATGATTGCTTGCTTTCGAGTATGTTCTATATCCAGAGCGTTGATGAAGTCGAAAACGAATAAATCTTCAAAAACTTACGGTCATGGGGGGTTGCTTTCAGCGTGGCGTTTCTAGGGTCTGAATCTCTCACCTTCTGGTTATTTTCTTTCGGCGTATAGGCCGGTCTCTCTTTCGGCGTTAGAGCGTGCTCTGAGCATTGAGTGCACGACTATTCTTTTATTTCGCCATCATTATTATACTCTGCGAGCGACTCTTTGGCTCGTTCCTCCGTTTCAAGGGCATTCTGAGCAGGGTTCATGGCGATTATAGGTACCAAAAACGGATTATATGACAGGGGAGGGATGTGGACATAAGAACGAATTTAAACTATACAAAATTCGTCGGATCATCTAGTGATGTGCTTTCTTAACTATCAATCGTTACAGTTTTCTACCATCATCAGCCCTAGCTCGCCCCGTGTACTCCTTTTGACACCTGATGTCTAGCAGAAATGGCAAACATGCCTGTTTGCTCCGGACCTGAGGTGGCCGATTGCTTTCTGGGCTTGCGGCCATCTTATTTACGACAACGTCGCACACTCCTACACGTCTCTCCCCTATTCCTCCTTACTATGCACGTGCTATGGCCTCTGTTGCAAGTACAGCACAAACACATTACTATATCACGTGCACTACCCTAGCCGTACGTGCAGTATTTTAGTCCACGTGTTTGCTCTTATTCTTCTCCTATATAAACTCCTCTAGAACAAGGAGTCCACCACTAGAAAGAAAGCGGGCGGGCAGCATTGGGATAATGCGACACTCCGTCATCATTTCCGCAATGGTCGTGCTGTCTTCTGCGAATGGAGTTGGATATGCTGCTTATGGCGCGGGGGAAGAGGAGCCGGAGAGGGGGAGCAAACCGGGGCTATGATTGATATGATGGGGGTGGATTAACAGGACCTCCTTTACTCCTCCATGGAGTTTGGTGGTTCTGGGTGTTGTGGGGCTGGGGATGGTATGGTGGTGGTGGTGGGTATCTGTGAGGTCTGCTAACGCAGACTACAGTCATAAGATTTGGTGGTGAGCAGCACAAGGAAGTGTAGGTAATCACTGTCGCTGTATGGAAATGGTGCCAATCATCACTTTCCTCCATCTCCACCTTCCCTCTTTTCCCAGTTTCTATGTAACCCCCTCTCTCTCACTTGCCAAATCAGCTTCTCAGCTCAGCCCCAACACCTTCCCAATCAGATCCTCCCCGAACTCCAGCAGCGCGGGATCGATCACCGCGTCCTCTTCCGCTGCCTCCCGCTCCTGCGCCTGCTCGACCGTCTGTCGCAACCACAGAAAATTGCAGATGTTCTGCATGAAGTCCTTAAACTCGTCGTGCAGGCCGATGCTGAGGCCGAGGCGGCAGAGCTCCGAGGTGAAGAAGCCGCAGCTGGAGGGGCGGCGGTGGGTGGAGGCGGCGTGGCCGGTTAGAAGCGTGAATCACAGCCAGGAGTAAGCGCCTGTATGGTTTAAGGGGAAGGAATTGAGAAAAGCTGGGAAGAATGAGGGTAAGGGGTGGGTGGGAGAATGCGAAGGGGACGGAGGAAACGGAACGTACACCCATAAGTAAATATACGGCAGACCTCTCCACGCGCTTATGTTGACAAAGCGTAAGATCTGGAGGAGCGCGGTGAGATCCTCGTCGTTCGCAGGGTTGTGGTACGGTACTCGTAGCGTTATGACGCGGAAGTGGATGTGCGCTGCCAGTTGCACCGCGCGCGCGACGAGGGTGACAGGGTCGCTCTGGTAGATGTCGACGGTAGTGAGTGGGATCCAGAGGATGTCGGAGCGGGCGGTGGTGAGCGATGCAGAGTGGTGTGAATGGGACGAGTCGTGGAGCTGCTCGATGGCGCTGAAGGCGTCTTGAAGGAGCTGGATCATTTCAGGAGTGGCGAAGCGGGGGTTTGTAGGTGTAGGTTTTCGAAACACTCGCAGAGCATGAGAGGCGAGCTGGGGAAGTAGAAGTTTTCGGGGTAGGGGATGGAAGGGGTGCGAAGGTTAGGGGGGCCGAGGACGGTGAAGCGGGGCTTGTGGTGCGTGGTTGCTGCGTTGAGGATGTCGTTCCTAGGAGATGTTAGGATTGTTCTAGTTCCGGTACAGCCCTAGGTTATAAGTCTGGGCACACGATTACACCACTGCTTGGGCTCTACTCTTGCTCGTTCGACGCCGTTACAAGGGGCGGCTCAGCTAGTAAGTAGGCGGCCAATCACGAGGCAGTCTCCTTTACACTACTCCAACTTTTACATCGTGTTCGGAGGTTTAAGAGTCTGTCGGGGTAAACCAAGCAGTGATAATCGATTGCGCCCAGACCATTGCCAAGACACTGTAGGTGATTATCGGTGATGGAGTTGGAGCGCACTCACATGACCAACATCTTCTTTAGTCGGAAGTCTTCGACGAAGTCCATCCCGCCGTTCAAATCGAGTATCCTGGCTAACCCGCCGAGGTGGACGTCTGCCCTATCGGTGCCACGGAGGATCTTTTCGATCGCCAACTATTAGCATTCTCAAAGATTTCGGCTTATGCAGCCCTGAAGACTCACCTCCAGGAGGGACATAACTATAATCGATCCAACCGTGCTCATTGCAACTGGCTCCTCCAGGGGACACACCAGACTAGCATTGAGGTTGTGATACACGACTGCCTGCAAATGAGGGAACTCTTTGATGGGTGCGTCCGTTTGGACATCTATATGCGCGTTCGAGAGAATCCACGCTGAAAACAGGCAGGTCTCGCTGTATTGTCTGCTCTCCATGCAACTTTGGTAGAGGGGGATGGGGAGTGGGATTAGCTTTTAGGTTTTCGCGTGTAGTAAAACGAATGAATCTTGAAGAAATGAAACATCTGGGTGGTCGGAGTTAGTGCTGCTCTTTAGAGATACAGCTGGATGGGAAGGAATCATTTAAGTGGTTGAGGACGGCGTTGTTAGTGTGTCAGACTACATCGAATGAAAGACTCAATGAACGTATAGTTTTCGACGTTTGAAGCTATTGTGCAGAAAGTGTACGGGTCTGACGCTGCTACTGGTGACTGGTAACAACTAGGCTGCCGGCCTTGCTGACTTGAAGCATGCAGTGTTCTCAGGGGATAAGCTTGGTTCTCCTGAAAGAAGTTTGCGGAAATCTCGTAGCTGGGAATACTGAGTGAATCGGTCTCAATAAGCTGCATGTCAGGGCAGCGGGCAACATCCGCGATGCAGTCTGGTACCCTTCCACGAGATCTCGTCGACATACGTCTGGGAAGGTCTGATCTAGGCTGATGCTTAATCCGAGTAGGCGCTGAGTCTGGGTCATCGTTGATAGAGAACTTAAAGTAGCATGGCTTTGTGGCAGACGCTTTTTCTGAAGTATGCGTCGCCGGGGGGATTGTGCCATAATCCGATGCTCTTTCTAAATTGATATTGGCTTTTGATTCTTTCTCTCGGGTCGAAGATAGCCCTGGATGAAGTCTCCGTTAGTTTTCGTAGGGTGGGCAGGAGCATCATATTGTATATGCTCCAGGGCGTTACCCTTGTCCGTCTCCTGAGCTCCAAATTTGCCAGCGATGTCTCCCAATACGCTGTCCTTCGTGTACCACACCAGCTCGACAAAAGACCTAGACCATGAGACTAAGAAGCTAGTCCGATCGCAAGCGACGATAGACTATAGGCGTCGGCAAAGAGAGGAGAAGCGAGGTAAGTGATTTTGTAGTATGCTGCTGAAATATTGAAAATGCAGGTAACGCTCGAGTCAAACTAAACTGTGCACGTGGAATGGCGGGCCCGAGTACGGTCGGGCTGGGATATTATCTGAAGATAGTGAGAGAAGATTATCAGGGCGCTGAGGGACAGTAGAAAGGATATGATGTCGAGCTGAAATGCTAGAATGGAGCGCACTCTTTCAGCATGAGCAATGAAATAATTACCAACGTCTTCAAGCTGATAACGGACATAACATGCACCCATGCGGTATGAATAGCCCTAGACAGTGACAAGCGGCATAGGTACTCGGGCCTTCCCAACCCCCTCTGCACAGGTACACCCGAGACAGAGCCAAAGGTATTCTAAGCTTAGTGGGACCCCTCAAGGCTTAGCTGAATACTACCACACCTTGAGGCCCCCCAATCAAATTGGGAGCGCCTGAACTGAGATGACAGTGCAACGGGTTTGACCAAAACGGTGCATAAGCAGATTTGGGGTCCAGTAGTATGGGGCTGATTGGAGCTGGCTGGCGGTTACTTGATGCATTGACATTACCTCCCTCAGCCCTACGATGCGTGCAAGCGGTTAAAATGATGGTACCTGCAAAATCACGTCCGAGGACAAGACGATGATTGATTACTAATCCTGTGGTGTGTTTCTCCGGAGCCTTGGAAAGATCGGCGAATAGACTCTGCTAGCAGCTCGTCGTGCGTTAAGTTGATGCGGGCTGACCCCTGTACAACAAAACGGGCAAGCTGTGGACACATCGCAAATGTTCCCCATAATTGCATCGCAGCCCGCAGCCGCCTTCTTCGATTCCGCAGAATGCGCGACCAACCAGCACTCCATGTACCGAGCTAGAGAGCTTAATTCGACGCGCATAAACACCATATCCGAGCTAAAATGCTAGCTACTATAAGCATGCAGTACCTGTAGCGGTGTCAGTCTTTAAATACTGGAAGGATTCAAGCTGCTTCAAACCAACCGAGTCCAGAGATGTGGAGCGCCTTCCTCCCGTATGCATCGAAGGTATAGAATCGCTTCCAGAACTGAGCCGCCACCAGAACCCCCGATGGATATTCTATAGGGCTGAGTCCTCGGCTTCTATTCGTCCGCGAATTCATTCTTCGATCGGCCCGGTGTAACGGCTGCACCGTCTCATTCGGTGCTGATGTAACGTGGAACGACACCATGCGTTGACTGACTGTGTCAAAAAGGTTGATATCCGAGGGCCCTGAAAAGTCACTGAGCATTATTAGGACGCGAAATCTTTGGTCCATTCGTCTGTAGAATATCTTGAGGCCTACTCTTAGCTTTCGTCTTTACGGCCAAGATGGAACGGATCTACCCCTTCCGGCACGTATTTGAACATATACATTTAGCGTCATGAGCTGTGATTTGAAACTTCAACCCAGCAATTAGACTGTGACGACTGTAGATCGGCTGCAACAGTAATCATTAGCCGAGCCGCGTCCTAATGCATGTTACACGCTGTGACGCGAGCTGCAGTGAGTTAGGGTACCGATCGAGGCAGCAGAATACACAATGCTAGTGATGCTGATCTTGGAGTCCTAATCTTGAGGCTATAAGCCCTGCTGTCTGACAAGCTGATCCATTTGGCTCCCTCTTGGCGAGGCCTTTGACCTTGAGCGGCGGCTGTGTATTGAGTCGACCATGTCTTGTTCTCGATGGGTGGCCCACTCGATTTAGAAAGCAGCTCATTGCACTGCATAGGTATATAAGCTTGGAGCCAGAGACTGACGAAAAGAAGAAAAGTGAAAGTCAAAATACGGTAGATGAAAGACTCAAGGTACTGTTCTGTATCGAACAAGAGGAGATGTGAGACGGAGGAGGTAGGTCGCTGCCTTCGGACCTCTACTAGCTACGTGATTGGCTGCTGGATTTCGAACATATCTGAGCGAATAAAAAGATAGTTGAGTATATGTCTTTTGAATCCTTCTGCTGTCTCGTCCCATCTTCATCTTCATCTTCTCGTATTTCGTTGCGCTGCTTCCCACAACAGCCGCTGTGTCGAGAGGTGCTACTTCATCTCCCGCAAGCCATGCTCTACCAGCAGCTAACCGCCAAGGCAGACTCGGACTACCACGGATTCCGCAGGTAATGCCTCAGGCCTCCACCTGGTGTTGGATCCCTCTTAGCATTAGCGAATACGAGGCTACCATCGACGACCTACTCCTCGTTATCCGGCAGAGTGGATACCGAATGCTGATGCCCCCACGATCCCTCCGGCGCCATTGACGCGTGAGGCAGGAGGGATTGCTAGCCCCCCTTGCTGCTGTGTCCAGTAAAACCTCTGTATTGCGATACGGCTTTTCGGAGGGGCCGTATCACGGTTCAGAGAGGATCACTGTATCAAAAGTCACGTGTAAGTGGCTTGTAAGCCAATGGCCCCTAATACAGTAAGATCAAGGAAGTCCTAGGGGTATTAGAGGTGCTACGGTCCCTGGTTAGCAAGTTATTACTACAGAGGTCCATACAAAACTGGACCATTCGGCGAAATATATCACCAAGACCCGATACCACACTACTGAGGTTTTACTGTATCTTCAACCTCCGCACTACGTTACCGCTATCCAGACACCACACCACCTCCAAGGTCTTCCATGCATACGCGCCTCCGCACCGAGCTCTTCTGGAAGCCTTCCTAGACAGACACGGATGAGCAACATTTCCAGTGCATGGCGTCAATACAGGCGTGTACTACCTAGGTGGTACGCAGCGCTCCGCAGGCTGAGGGCCTACCTTGAGCGGCCACTCACTGAGGCTCCAAGGCAGCGCTGGAACTACGGCTTCGCTGTTAGTCCTCTAGCTCCATGATATCATGAAGCCATTGCAAGGCTCGCTGTCGAGTACGCTCAAAGCCTGCAGCGGATTCCGGTGCTGTCGAACTTCAGAGTCTTTGGCGATCAATCCCATGGTTCGGCTGGTTTCCCGGCTTGGCCCTGATCGGCGCCCATCACTTGCGAACTTCCCCTTGTGCCCTAGACAACTTACAGTTCTGGTCCGTCTCTCTCGTGCGACCGTGTGTAACGCCTCACATCCTACAGCTCGCAAGTGACCAGATGCCTCGCATCAGAGACCTCCCTCAATACCACTTGCTTGGATCGACTACTGCGTACGTTTGCGTAAAGGGGCAGTGCCGTGCAGTGGACGCGTATCATCTCGTCATGCCTCTTGCGTGAGTACTGCCGGGAATAAAATCGATTCATTCCCGCTTGAGTAGGTCGTCAGACCTGTGCCACTCTAAAATGGCAGGATCAACAGGCCTCCTTGCATGGTCGCGTGCTGCGGTTGGTTTACCCTCCAACATTTCGTATCCTTATCTCTCGGCTACGCGAGCAAATGAAATGCCACGAGTTGTGGCCGTATACATATATGTATCGACACGTCCCTACCAGCCAGCCTTGTCTATCCTCTTGTGTGCATCTTCGTGCGACACAGTTGTGAAAGAATCTATTCAAACTGTCTATTCCTGGTACCTAATTTGTTGTATGTCGTTATCAGTTCACTATTTCGTTATTTACTAACCCTGAAGTGGATACGCTAGACCGCTCCAGGCCGGCTATCGTTCGAAGCTTTGATTCAACCGCTTTTATATGCTTTCCACTACGCCGTAATAGCACCCGCAAAACACCACACCATCGCCGCCAGTATGGATCCTACGGGGTCTGATTCTCACGATGAGAAGGGTGCTTCGAAAGAGGAGCAGCCCATCAACTTTGAAGGGGACCATGGCGCTGACACGGAGCTTCGCCGTCTGCTCAGTACCCGTCATCTGACCATGATTGCTCTGGGCTCTTCAATTGGTATGGGTCTATGGCTTGGATCTGGAAAGTCCCTCTCCTCTGGCGGTCCAGCTGGTATCTTCATCGGATATGTCCTTGCCGGGTCGATGATCTGGTCTGTTAGCCACTCTATCGGAGAAATGGCCGTTATGTATCCGCTCCCGTCTGCATTCGTCCAATGGACTGGGAAGTTCGTCGACCCCTCGGCAGCTTTCGCTCTCGGTTGGGCATACTGGTTCTCATACTGCATCACCATTGCCAATGAGCTGCAGGTAGGTCCTGCGTAGGTTCTCATTCTCAGACATCAACACTGACTTCCTCGTCAGGGTATTGTCACAGTCTTGAGTTTCTGGACCGACAAGGTTCCCACCGCTGCATGGATCACTATCTTCTTAGTCGTGATCGTCCTTATCAATGTCTGTGCCGTATCAGTATTTGGTGAAGTTGAGGTCGTGGCTTCTAGTATCAAGTTTGGGTGGATCTTCGTGGTCATCATCTCTATGATTGGTAAGTCTCAATTGGAAGACATATCAACTGCAGTCTTGATTAACAAATGATAGTCATATCCGCTGGAGGTGGAAAAAACCACGACGCCGTTGGATTCCGCTACTGGAACGCAGAGCCCTTTACCCATGGCTTCAAAGGCTTCCTTAACGTCCTTCCAACCTGCATCTTCGCCATGTCCGGCTCGGAGAATTCAGGCCTCGTCGCCGCCGAAACCGCCAACCCACGCAAATCAGTCCCTCGTGCCATCGGCTCCATCTGGCTGCGTCTCTCCCTCTTCTACCTTCTGGGCTCCTTAATGGTCACCATCAATGTATCCCCCTACAACCCCAACATCTTCGGCGGCTCCGGCACCAACGCCAGTCCCTTCGTCATCGCCTACCGCGACGCTGGCCTCGAGCCCCTCGCGCACATCATGAACGCGGTCATCTTCATCTCCGTCCTCTCAACCGGCAGTATCTCTGGCTACGGCGGCTCTCGCACCACCATGGGCCTCGCTCACCTCGGCATGGCGCCCCGCCAGTTCGCGCGCGCCGACAAGGTCGGCCGCCCTTGGCTCGGCCTCCTGGCAACCCTCGTTCTCGGCGGCGGCCTCGCCTACCTCAACGTCAACAACAGCGCCTCGAACGTCTTCACCTGGTTCTCGAACCTCACCTCTCTTTTCACTCTGTTCGGCTGGGGCCTGATCTGCTTGTCCCACATCCGCATGCGCTACGCGTGGAAGGCGCAGGGCCGCGAGGTGTCAGAGCTGCCGTGGAAGAGCTGGACCTTCCCATACGCGGCGTGGTGGGGGCTGAGCTGGTGCATTATACTCATGATTGTAGAGTTCTACCTTGCGGTGTGGCCGCTCGACGACAAGACCACGGCGAAGAACTTCTTTGCGAACTATGTGAGTGTTATCGCGATCCTGGTTATTTACCTTGGTGCGAGGGTGTACTATAGAGGTCCATGGTGGGTGAACACGAGTGAGATTGATTTGGATGCGAATAGAAGGTTTTATGCGGATAAGGACCCGGAGAGGGTGAAGAAGACGGGGTTTAAGGCCAAGGCATCGAAGGCGGTGGGGTTTGTTTTCAACTAGGGAGGTGTTAGAGATCTTGCTTTCAAGATAAGAGGGACGAGTTGTGGGCGGTTTAGGAAGTTTCGTTTATGAAGGGCATTGATTTCCTGCTTCTATATGCATCAGGCAAATAAGCCAATTGCATCTTCTTTCTTCTAGTACTGGAAGCTTTCCTCATTCAGGCCTAAGGCTATATGCCTGAGGGAACAATGCTACAGAGACAGGCCCCGAGTCTGTGTACACTAGTTTGCTACTGCTAAGAACAGATACGAGACTCATGATCTACTACTATATATATGAGAATCCATGTGACTGTGCGTCCTTGTGCACTAGCAGACTTTCAAAGTAATAGGTGAACTGGAAATGTAGTAGAGGCGTTTGTAAGATATGTATGATGATGTTGAATCTATAAATGAAGCATGCAGGATTTACGTATGTAAGAAATGAAAGGCAGCCACGTGACTACTCATCACATCGTCTTCTAGAATGCTCTGATTGCCCACGTAATCTTGACGGAACGTTTCAATCTTCCTCTATAATCTAGACTTGAGCGCCCAATAGTTACCAAGGCTACATATAGTGGTCGTACTTGAGTGTCTCTTAGCTCACACGTGCTATGTCCGTGCGTCCCTGCCCAACGTCCTCGAGTTCGCCGTTCCTTTCTCTCCACGAACTATCTCGGCGACATCTTCCCTCGTTTCCTACATTCAGGGTACAGTTAGATTTGTAACAAATTTATCTTAACCCAAAATTGACAGTTGAACATGCTGATAGGCTCTCTTAGCTCGCCGAGGCTGCGGAGAGAACTATTCTACGCGTCGCATCCTAGAATCAATCAACACTGCAGCCAATTGATGGAATGTTAGAGCTTCTGGGGAAGTTTCTGATTTTAATTATGTCTAAACTAAAGTTCCGTTCGGTAATGATGAAGAGACAGGTGGTAGGACAGCATATTGCTTTTGCAATGGGGAGAGACGGAAATCTTCACAGACGCGTCAATACTCCAAAATAGGCTTTTCCTTTGAGACCTGTCCTCTGACAGACATTTGCAAGAGCGTCGTGCGACCAGATGCGTTCTTCTAAATGGAGATCGATTCGCCAGCGTTGCATATGCAAGAGTCCTTGAGAGCCTGGCAACCAGTGGTTCTAAGCCAGTCAAAAGTTGCATGAACGCTGTCGGTGCCTACCTCCTGCAAGGCTGCGCCTCTATACATGAATCACCGGAATCGGAATAGTCATATTCAGCCTTTCGGAGAAGGCAAGCCTTGGGGCTTAGGCAGCCAAAGAAGCTAAAAAGTCAGCCTGCTTCCATTCTATCATCTTCTTAAATCACTATGCTACTGAGCGCCTTGTCGACGGGCCGAGTTCAGGCTGAATCTAGCAGCTATGGCCACTTACAATGGCCACATGAACGAAACAACTGATCAATGCAAGGATTGCGGTCGATCAAGCAAATCCGTCCGGTATTGTGTGGATTGCGACTCGCACACTTGTGGAACGTGTTGGAACCAAATCATGGTTCATAAGCCTGGTAGGACTAATCGCGATGGAATGCCTCACGAGAAGATCGATTATCGGGTGTATGACAGACTGAATCGTATACTGCACCCGCGATCCGATGAGCACTTCGAGCAACTTCACGATGTCGACAGAGATACGATGTGGTTTGGTATGTTCGCCTAGTCGTTCATTCTTATTGTATCTAACGCTTTTTATTAGGCATGACAAGGGACCAATCCGGGTACCCAATGTTGATTGACGGTGACATTTATGCATCTCTCATGGCCCAGGCCCCTAAAAGCGAAAGGATCAAGTACCCACAACTAGTCTCGTTCATAGGGCAAAAAGGAGGTCAATTAAGTTTTAGCAATTGTTACACCACTAATAGCTCCATAGGCGCTGGAAAAAGCACGTTGATCAAGATGCTTATCGGTCTGCAAGAGTGCCGTCTCGATTCATCGTTGAAACCTTCCTTCCCTTCACCAGTTGTTGGATCACCGCTTCAGGAAACGGTACCTACTTCTGCCGACGTTCATCTTTACACCGATCCCGAATCATATCATACCGCTACACCTCTGCTTTATGCAGATTGCGAAGGACTAGATGCTGGAGATCCCTGTCGCAGGCCGGAGGAGCAGAAGGCGCCTCGCGTCTAGTCTGATCTCAGGACGAGCGAGGATGCTGGAGTGGGCGAACACAGCTGACAAGAAAACAAAACAGTTCGCTGTGACCGAGTTGTATCCTCGAATACTATATACTTTCTCCGACGTCGTAGTATTCGTGCTCAGAAATGCGAGGTAAGGACCTCTCAGGCTCCATCTTGGGTTTACCATGCAATACCAGATTTACTAACACCAGTGCCAGAACTTTCCAATCGACTGCTCTCACTAAGCTAGTCGAGTGGGATGCGGCGTCTCTCGAGAAATCAATCAATCAACCAACATTACCGCATGCCATCACTGCCGTGAACGCTACTGAAATTGGTGTCAATAACAAAGAATGGAACGTCGAGTACGCTACGCAAAGCCTGCTGGATTCCGTAGGAGACAGTTTGGGCCGACCGAATGGGGTGCCTGCGTTGATCAAGCACGCAAATAAGTGGCGCAATAAAGGCAAAGAAATCCATTCCGTTCTTGACTTGATACACTGCTATTATTCCTCCTTCAGTGTAGTTCGAATCCCAGTGGGAGGACGGTACTCCTTGCTAGAAGATCAGATCAACAAATTACAAAAGAGAGTCAGACTGTGCTGCGAAGTCTCTTACGACACAAAGAGCAAGGCGAGAATGATTTCCAACTCGGACGAGCTCAACGTCTATCTTCAATTAGCTTATGACCACTTTGCTAAGAGGTTGGACACACCTTTCAACTTTTTTGAGGTATCCCTCAAAAACAACCCGATCCCCCTCGATTTCGGCGGCCACATACTTCAACTCGCGGTTTCAATCCAACTCTACAGACCCGAGCGAGAGATCAATGAGAATCACCTAATATTCGAAGATATGAGTAGTGTCGTGGCGTCCAGTGTCTCGCTAGACTGTGTTCGATTCCATCGTAAAGGTATGCCTACCATAGCTCTTCATCGCTTAAAGAACAACTTCAGTAACGAGAGCAAAGGTCTCTCTCAAGAGCTGTTCAAAGAATATGAGCGGTTCTTCGATTACGCCCTTCGAGAATTCTGTGCTATGCATCTACCTTGCGAGTTCAGCAACCACAAGGGCAAATGTGTCAACATGAGTTCACGACATAATCCGAAAGGCCACCAAAATGAAAGAGGGAAAATCATCGCGGCCGGGAAGCACCAGTCCGGGTTCATCGCAGAAGAATACAGCGACGAGTGGATGGACTGCCTTGAAAGGGAGGTCGTCAATTGCCAGAAAAAACTTCAAGACTCCGACAATGAGGAGCGTATCCTTGAAATCCATCACCGACAACTAAACGAATCCTACAGATCGTTAGGCCCTGCAAGTCACTTCTTATCTCATTCTACTTGCTTCTGCTGCCTCATGAAAGCCCCTCAGCATCTTCTTCCCTGCGGTCATATTCTCTGTACTGCTTGCGTCAATCTTACGGAAAACGAGTCGCCAAATTCGTCATCAAGATGGAGAGCTGTCTGATGCATTCCTACGAGACTCGTAACCTTGTGTCATTCAATTCAAGCCTGAATATGCTGGTGTGCGTCTACTTTCATTGGATGGGTGAGTTCGTTCATGAATATGGACAGATACGTGTAGTCGCTATACTAACGCATTTATCGTAGTGGTGGAATAAGAGGTATCGTTGAACTCGAAGTTTTGCGTGCCATCCAGGTCGATCCGGGCAATCAAATTCCTATCCGTGCCTTCTTTGACCTCATGGTCGGAAGAAGGTACGCTTGCAGTATTTTCCGAGACGAAAGCTTGACTGATAGTTGACGAAGCACCGGTGGAATTATCGCTCTTGCTTTGGGCGCTAAGGCTTTGCCCGTTGACAAATGTATATCGCTTTTCACGGAACTTTGCGATTAGGCCTTCACGCCTCGCGAATTCCACGGCGTCCCGGGGTTAGAACAGATCGCGATCCCCAAGCATGGAAGCAAATATAGAAATAGTCCACTTCAAAAAGCCCTTCAGAATGCGCTGGGACTGGATCGTCTCTTTCGGGGGTGCCATGAGGATGAACATAAGTATGAGACAAAGGTGGCCGTTACTGCAACCGACGAGACGGGCAGAAAGGCTATTACACTGGGTAATTACAGCAGACCGGACGCTAGTAGAGGCAACCGACGGAGATCGAACTACGAATTTCCTCGGCCGGACGATCCATTTACGGAGCTGACGTTGTGGGAAGCAGCTGCCGCTACTTCCGCTGCTCCGCCATACTTTGAGCCGTTCATTCACAGCTGCACCGGACGGACTTACCTTGACGGTGCCTTTTACAACAATAACCCGGTTCGGGTAGTTCATCGTGAACGCAAGCTGCTTTGGCCTGATTTGAATGGCAAACATCCCGATATCCTCCTATCACTCGGCACAAGCCAACATGAGAGTATGATCAGAAGAGAACTCGAAACGGTTCAGGGAAGATCCGAAGCGAGAAATGGGTAAGCCTTATGTGCTTCGGCATCGTCTCTGTGTCGACTCCGTACCCTCCATCCAATGCCGCTTATACAAAGCTAACGGCGTCTTTCCTAGGCGGAAATGCCGACAAGATGATTTAGCACAGATGAGGCAAAAACGGTTTTTTCCTATGCTACGACAGATGCTCCTAGTTTTAGTACGTATTTCATTCCTTTTCGTTATCTCACTATATGTCTAGGCCCAATAATATAGGGGGAGACAGGAGCCTCGACAAGAGAGCAGGATTATCCAGATATAGAAGAGGCTTCTCGAGATATCTAAGCTAAGGTACACAACAGAAACACCGATTTGATAGCATTCTAGACGCGGAGGTCGCTTGGAGAGAGTTCCGCATGGACTTTGTTGATACCGACCACGCAGAAAGCAACGGACGTCGATACATACGGATCAACCCCAATATCAGCACCAGCCCTCCGAGTCTAGACGACAAAAGCCAGCTAACGCAGCTGCAACTTGACACTACAAGGTCACTGAATAGATCCGAAAATAAGAAGAAGATCCTAGGTGTTGCGCATGCCTTAGTCGCAAGTTGCTTCTACTACGACAAGACGTCGGCCCCTAGAAACGATGCCGACGGTGTATACTCGTGTTCTGGTATGTTAAACAAGTTCTTCATTATTGACTGCTGACTGAAATCAACTAGGAAAATCTGCTGTAGATTTGAGGACAATCCACCATACCTGCGGGCACTAGGCGATTTCTTGCATCTCCAACAACGCCGTGACTTCCAACCTTATTTTGAAGTCGAAGAAGACAATGTTCAAGCCGAGATCAGAAAGGTAGGTAGCGGAAACTCGCCCGGAATGCGTGACTAATGGACTGAAATTACGTTAGATCGTGATAAGTGAAGGCAGTATTCAGAGAATGCAAACTCATGCAGCTTTCGAGTTGGATGTCGGTGATATGAAAGTCTCGAAGAGAACCGCACAAGTATCTATATCGCTTTTTCTAGGTTCAAAAGCAGTGGGAAAGACACCAATCAGTGGATTTCCACGACAACTCATGATCGAAGACTCAGCGAAATGTATGTCTATTCAACTTCCGTGTTCAGAGTTAAGATCCAGCCAGCTGACTTGCAGATAAGTCGCCCAGCCCCCACCAGATGAGACCGAGCCCGAAAACTTGGTACCCAAGAAAAAGAGCCGCCGCTCAAGAACATCGACAGGCATGGACGCTACTCCCTTTCACCAACGAACAGCCAGTGGAGAATCCGAGCGTGACTTATCCCAGCCAGCACAAGGCACGGGAAATCGAAGGCCTCAGGTCCAGAATGCACGATCAAGTGAAGCGGATTCTCGGGCAGCAAGATATTCAAAACAGCCCCAAACGCAAAACACTGGTGACTTTCAAGAATTGAGTAGACACAACAGCATTTTTACGGTGGAAAGCTCGAGGACTGCCACTACAGCAAGTGAACTGGCGCCAGGACGGACGTCGTCTAGAGATTTTCGTCCAGAGGGGCGTACGCGAGCTATGCCTCTCCCTGAAAACCCTCAATTGACGCAATTACGACCAGATGTCCGCGGGCTGCAGCACACAGAATCATCAACAGTCCCTTCCGCGCCTGGAAAATTAACGCGAAGGGCCACGTCAGATGGTGTTCCGGACGAGAATGAGACTCATTCACGCAGACAGTCACCACTAAGAGCTCTGAGGGGCCGAAAAATTTCCATGAAGGATCTCACGCAAGATCGACCTCCTGCGAGTGTTCCTAGGCGGAACAATATTAGGGGAGCTATACCTGAAGACGAACCGGGCTGGGAAAGCGCTCTTCCACAGGCCTCCGAGTTTGAATCAAAGCAAGTGAATCCCGCAAGTCACGTTCGTCGGGGAAAAGGTCAATTGAGTATCAACCCAAGAGAGAGGTGTTTTCGAGTAAACTTGACCAGCTTAGAGGGGCTGGATCTGGAGAATCACGGCATAATCGGTCGAAATTTGGTCGGTCACAGGCTTCCTCGTCTCAAAAAGATACCACAGAGCTACCTAGAAGGAAAGACCGAGGGCATACCATCCATCCAACGCAACCCTTCGAGTCCGAACGACCTCAATATCGGCAAGACCTGGAACACGGTACTCAAGAGCGAACTTCGTAATCGCAACAATCAAGAAGAGAGCTTCTGTCCGGACAACCTGCACAGATAGTGTTAGGCTTAAGACAGAAATCGGAAGGCCGCGTTGAGATTCGCAGACTTCAGAAGGAACCGTCCCTCACTTCAGAGCCTAGTCTGCAAACTGTTTCATCAACTTCAGGAAGTCCGGAATCGAATATGGGGCGGCGAAGACCTTTCTGGGATCCTTCTGCCTCTCAAAGATACCTCGCCATTGAGTCTGCCTTGTCGCAACTCTCTGGTGAACCATCGCAGCTTCCGCTAGAATCGAGTGATACTGACGACGCTTTTCGACGACGATTCGAGGGTACGCGCTATTCCACCCCGCCACAACCGTCATCGAGACGCTGAGAGCCAGATATGTAGCGACTCTACGTGTAGCTGTCTTTCAAATCACACAGTGTCCAATTCAGATTACATCTGACTACTGATATTTAGGATCCTTTAATGAATTTGACATTTTGCGATCGAATGTTTTTCTCCTTGAACGTCGAGCCAAGGCAGTCCGTGAAATCGACCTTGCGGCACAGTCTGAAGGAGTTGCAGCAGTTACATTCTCTGTACATAGATCTGTGTACGCTCTTCTGCCGACGCTTGAAGTGCCTCGATCCACTTTCGGATTTCCGAAGCTCACAATTTTGAACAAGTCTTAAGCTCGCGAGCCCACCTCAGGTAGCGGTGGACATCGGTACACAGAGTAAGCGTGGAACCCATATTTTCGTATTCCTATAAGTACGTTGAAGCACTACAAGCAGTGCCAGAGAAGTGGACATATATCGATGATAAGGCAGTGCAGGACTTACTCTGGAGTCCGTCTCCCCAAGTCTCATCATCCTCAACTCCACGTCACCCACCCATCGCATTAGGTCTGCAAAATGCACTGGAGCGGGACCTGACTACTTATTTCAACACCGTCTGACTGCCCTCACTAGGGCATAAAGTTTCTACACTTGATGTAAAATGCATGAGAGCGTATATCATGCAGGGTTTTGAGGGTGTAGTCGCTGCTGCGAGGCGTCTTTGACGTGGCAGCACTGTCAGCAAAACGCCAGCGTAGGGCGCTTCAATCTAGACTATCCGAAATAAATCTTGAAGCAACCCAGCCATTATCGCCGCTCCAGAACTTGTATTCCAGCCATCTTGACACCGTCTGACTGCCCCCGCAACATCATAAATTCTCCACTTGTGATGTCAAGTTCGTCGCAGCACATATTAAAGAGTGGGTATAACGAGTTTTCAGCCGGCCCGCTGCAATATTTTGCCCTTGGCGAAACAGCCCTGCAAACACTGAGCCGGAGCCCGCGAAGTAAACGCAAGAAACCCACGAGGCGAAGGAAAACATAAGAAACCTACGAGGCGAAGGACAACGCGAGGAACCTACGAGGCGAAGGACGACGCAAGAAACCCACGAGGCGAAGGAAGTTCTCGGCCTTTGCTAATTAGGAATGGTCATACTCCTAATTCGCTCTCTTGGAGTCAAACCCCGACTTTGCGACTCAACGCGGTGTTTCTGGACGTGCAGGCGGATACAGGCCTCCGTATTCAAGACCAATGCACGAAAAAGGACTGCGATTTCCTAGAAAATAACTTCAGCAACTCCGTTGTCTTCGCTCCCCAGCGGCCAGAAGACCAAGACATTATACTAGAGACGTGAATTCCCCACTGCGCGAAGTTCCTCGAGCAGATTTTGCCCTTGCTGTCTAACTGCAAGAAGACCAAGACATTGGAGACGTTGACTACTCACTGTTCGAAGTTCCCCGAGCAGATGGTGTCTTCGCTATCCAGCTGCCAGCAGATGAAGACAACGTAGCCGTCAACTTCCCACTGCGCGAATTTCCCGAGCAAATCTTCTGCACTGTTCAAAGAACACCGACATTCTTCTCCGCTCTGGCATTGTCTTTTTCTATGCGGAGACGCGGTGCCACAGCCCGTAACCGAACGGATTAGAGATTGGCTTGACAAGGGGCAGATCGATCCGATGTTAGTCATTGGGACGACTGCTATCGTGTATTCACCATAGTCACCAACACGACCATGTGACTGGCTTTAGCCCGATGCCTAATCTTGCATTCGGAGGCATTTCGCTTCAAGGTACAAGGAATAGTACATGAGCTCGGTGGAGTAAAAAGGTCCATTGCCCTACGACGCGAGGCTGCCTCTGTCAGATATGTTGAGCATCGTCGGCTCGCCGGACATAAGACTGCAAGTGGGTTGCCCTCTCTGTATACTTTCTTTCTTTATTTACCAGCATAGAAGAAGTTACTCCTTGTCCAGAACAGAAGACGCATTTACGGTCCGTTGCGTCAGTACCCGTGTCGGAGTTAGAATACAGCTGACCATCACGACAACATCGGCATTGCAATATCCGTCCTTCTCGGTTTTCTCGAATGCTACAAAGAGACAATTTCACAGTCCGGTGCCCAAGTTACCAGCTTATCATTTTCGTCTACACTCGTTATAGTTGATGGCGGTCCGACGCTGCACCTACATGAGTGTGATTACTCCGATCACGTGATAACAAAAAATGGAGGACAAAAGATGTCGATTCTATGTAGGAATCTAGCTAGGCTATATACACGTAGGGAGGGCCTGTGCGGCCCTGAATATTGACTAGATCTATAGTAGGACGGCCTCCTAGTATAGATCTACACATCACGTGTATAGAAACCTATACATCACGTGTCTAACCATCACGTGCCCGAATATCAGCCGGACGCTGAGGATTCCACATGAGGGTAGCTCATATTCCGGCTACAGCTTCCTAATAAGCCAATGGGATGTGGCCGTCGTAGTCGGTATCTTCGGCGTTGCCCAAAACTGGATACTGGACTTTCTTCAGTATCATTCGAGAAACCTACGCTCTCACGTCGAAAAGGTCTTTGTATACCTACACGAACATCAGCACGATATACGCCTCTGTTATTACCGTTGGATTGCGAGCAACCGATACAGCTGCCGTAAACCTCTTTGAGAAACCCTCGGCATTGCAATCTGCTCTTTCGCACTTGTAATCCTACTCTTTCTAGGAATGCGTCGGTAATGTATAGAGAGGCCCTGCCACGTTGGGTATCTAGTCACGTGCCCGTGCATGTGGGAGAAGGGCCGATGTGTCGCCTAAATATTTTAGCGTGATCGCTTGCCTTCCACCCTTCGTGCCTTCTTAGCCTCGTGGCCTCTAGGCCCTGCCGCCGATCGTCCCATCTCTCACCCCTCACTGGACACGACACAAGCCCCGTGCATTTCCGCAAAATACAGTTCGACGTCCTAAACACCGTTCTAAAGGTACAAGTCGCCATGGCCAACGCCAAAGCCCAAATATTCGCCCTGCGTCGACTGCGCTCCACCGATGAAGTCTTCATCCAACTTCGCCAGGATCGCGAAAATCGTCACCGCCAATACACATATCTTATGTTCACTGCTCACAGAGCTCGGGTCTCGTCGGAACTTCCCCTTCCTCTTTTACCAAAAGACCATATACAAGATGTCTGCCATAAGTCAACAGCTCTTTATTGCATCGTAGGTCTACGACATGACTTCCCAAGTGTGCATAGTTTCATGCACCGACAATGGCTCGAACCAAATCAGACAAATCGGACAAACCTGGAGTTTTCAAGTTTCCTTGCAAAGGCTATAGACATCGAACGTCCTGTATACAGCACTGGATCGTGCCCAACCGAAGAAGTCGTTGCCCTCCACAAGGCCCTCTGCTCCCAGGCGAACAACTTCGATCCTTCCAAGCACCCAGATAGCGTGGTTACAGGTTACAACCATGACCAGCGCCACTTATACCATGTGAAGCCACTCTTCCGTTCTCTGATCATCCTTCAAACACAAGATCATGAACCTGCGGAAGACCCGTACAAGAAGGCATATCGACTTATTCGTACGCTAGACGAGTCACAACTGTCAGCCCCCATCGACTTCGGCCCCATTCAGGACGATTGCGAAGGATACGTCGATTCGAATACTACAGAAGTAATGACGGACCTCATCACTGCTGTGAACTTTACCCTCCAGTTAGAAAGCCGGGAGAACGCCTTTGCTGGCGAGGCCATCGACGCTAAGGTTCTGGATGACAGGCTTGGGAATGAAGATTGCACGAACATCAGAGCTGCTAGCTGGGGATACACCGGTCCGCGCATTCAGGGGCCCTCCAGCGACTGGGTCGACGGGGATAGGCGCATGCTGAAGAATCGGCTGTTCTACTCCTGTAGGTGGAAGTCCGAGGGGTGGTGCTCCGGGACGCCACCTTGATGCAGCTGGTACGAGAGTCCGCCTACGAGTCAGTTCTAGGAAGCCGAAACTGGCTCTCGTTGGTAACATGATCATCATTGCGTGGTACGATAACAGTTATAAGCCTACGAATGTCGAGAACAAGAAGACCTTTTTGAAGATAAAGCTGTAAACTCAAGAATGTCCACTGGGACTAGACGAAGGCTCTGGATTGGACCCTACACGAGAATCTCATACATGTGTTTCTTGCAACATCTTCACTTCTTCCCAGGATGCCCATGGTTAATCTTGGCCGTCGTATCTGCAGGGATTCACGCCTAGGTCTTAGTCATACTGTACTTTAAATAAGAATTGGTGTAGTTATTTTGGGCTCGAACCTACGTGAAGTTACCTACGCTCACTCAAGCAACCTACATCTTTTGTGTCCACTTGAGGTTAGCTAAACAGCGCGTCAATCAACTGATTTTTGGTTATTCAAATAATGACCGCAACCGCGTAGTTTTATCCTGCCGCAGGTTGCATTAATGTAACCAGAGCCAACCAAGCAAAGAGTTGCGGCTGTGCACATAGAGCTGAAATACGGCGATGATGCCCAGGGGGAGCAAGGTGGTCCGCGATGTTAGCTGTAGAAGTCGCAGTCCTTGTTCGTGCATCAGATCTCGAATATGGAGAGTTTCAATCTTCTGGTAGCTAGAGGATCAGGATAATAGGACTCGTAGAGTTAGTTCCCTGGAAGACATAGGTCATTGCTCGTGCATTGGCCACCGCTCTGCTTAATATGTTCGATAGCATATCGAACCGTCCAAAGGCACATGGCGGGCGTCATTGCGATATATTATGGGTGGTACGGGGGATGAGAGTAAATCTAGGCGTGGATAGGACCTTAAATGATTGGTAAATAGTTAGTAAATGGTGGAGTGGAGTCGCGAACCCTGCAAGCTTCAACCGACGTCACTCCTCAGACACGTGAAAATCATCGCGACAACATCTCTCCATCACTCCTCTCTCATCATCCCCCAACATGGCCTCCCCCGAAGACGACTCCTACGAGTCCAATAGCCTAATCACTACAATCAAAGTAGAAACCTCTCACCCCTACCAATCGCTTTCTGCACTAACCACTACCTCCAGACCACCCTCCTCACACCCCGCCGCCTCCTCCTCTCCCGCACCTCCATGCGCGCCTACCTCCGCACCGCTCTCTTCCTCCTCGCCTCCATCGCCCTCTTCGCCATCGCCGTCGCCGCCTACGCCAGCTTCTACTACGCCTACGTCCCCGCGCGCGGCTTCACGCTCCCCGTGCACCTCAGCTTCGACGAGAGCTACCTCGACGCGTGGGGCCCGGCCTCTCGCCACAGCGGCGGCGTGCTCGAGAGCGTCGTTGGGAATAAGCACGCGCCCGCGAAATTGGTACATCCGTCTGGGGTGGTACCGCTGGCGAAAGGGAGTGTTGCGAGCGAGCAAAAGTACGATGTCAGCGTGACGCTGGACCTGCCGCGGTCGGAGCAGAACCTCGCGGTTGGGAACTTCATGGTCGAGGTGGCGCTGTTGGGGCCTGGGCCGCCGACAGCGACGGGGGAGATGCAGCTTGGGGCGCCGGTGCTGGTGCGTGAGGAGCGGGCGGCGATGTTGACGTACAGGAGCTGGATGGTCGAGACGGCGTGGCGGGTGACGCGGCTGCCGTGGTATCTGGTGGGGTGGCAGGTGGAGAGCGAGCGGGTGGTTGTGCGGGTGCTGGAGGCGGCGCGATTTGAGAAGGGGTGGCGAAGTCAGCCGGGGGGTGTGCGGGTGGAGGTGAGGAGTGGGAGGGGGAGGGTGCTGCAGGTTTATGGGGTTAGTGTGGAGTTTAGGGCGAGGTTTGAGGGGTTGAGGTATGTTCAATTCATCTTCTATTTTCGATTTCCGCTTTTTGGCCACTTTCTGTCACGTGTGTTTCGCCAGGAGCGTGTTGATATTGGAAGACGTAAAGCGTTGGGTAGTTGTTTACTATACCGGCTAGAATTGGGCTAACCGGTCATCTAGATACATCATGTACAACCACCGCATCATCTCCCTCGTAGTCTTCACAACCCTCTTCTGGACCGTCGAAATGGCCTTCCTCCTCTTCACGTGGGGCCTCTTCACGCTCTTCTTCTCTAGCTCTACTTCGCAAACACAATCGAAGACCGAGCCCAAAAAGGAACAACAATCCATTAAAGCCGACCCCGATGCCCCCTCAGAAGACGCCGAGTCGCTCTCCGACGCTTCCCGCACCTTTCCCACTTTCTCGCGCCAGCCACCGCTCCGGTACTCGACACCGCGCGTTAAAGAAGAGGAGAATGAGGGCGCAATGGAAGATCTGCCGCCGCGAACGCCCGGGGATGCGGACGATGAAGACGAAGATGAAGACGCAGATTTCGTGCTAGATGAGACACCAATGATGGGCGGGCCGCTGGATGATTCGGGCCTCGGCACAAGTATGGAGAGTGGGGTTGAAGGAAGAGGTACCGTGAGGAGAAGATCTGGGGGGCCGGCTAAGGACAGGGCCTAAGTAAGGAATGGATGGCGTAAGGTTGATGAGAATTATACCCATGTATTGTTTTTTTGCGAGAGCTGATATCCAGGACGTTGTGAGTTCTACTTGAAGAGTTTCAGGAATTCCGATGTTGAATCTCTTCCACTAATTCGCCATCGTCATCGTTCAATGTGCCTGAATTTGCTTGGACTGGATAATCCGACCTGACCTCAACCGGTCTATCGTGCGTAGGAAGCTCGTAGAAAATGGCAGGAAGGCTGTTCAACTCGTGTGGAATTTGCGACTGATGCTTTACTTCCGCTCCATCGAGTTCTGGTTTTCCGTGTTCGGCTCCGGTTTGGTTGATTTCGCAGTTTTCAGGGCATGCCGCAGTCTCCGGACGTACATCCCGACCCCTAGGAAAAGCAGCATGACAAATTATAGCACCCCAACCGCTATGCCTGCTATAGAGCCTTTCGATAGTGGCATTCTGGGTTCGCTGTTTCTACATTGCATTCGGAAGGCGGCATTCAAACCATCCTAACTTCTGTATCTTCCGAGTAAGTTTCATGAATCCCAAACATTAAACCTTACAGAAATTCACTTTTGAGCAAGATGCCATCCCCACGCTACGTTATGGCCGAGAAACGCGGCCGTCGACTTCTCGACGCCCTACAAGCCCGCCCAGCGGATCAAGCCGCAGTAGATGTCGTTAAGCCCACTATGACGACCGAATACCGCGTCGAAATCGAACACTTGCCGTTCGAAAGTGGCGGTTTTAGCGATGAGGTTCTGAGGGCGATGGAGAATGAGGGAATAGGACGAGTAAAGTCTTTAAAGTTTATTCTCTCTTGCAGTCTAGCTAAACAGTGTGTTTTTCTATATAGCTAGGCTGGAGGAAAACGACGGATACGAGCCACCATGCAGGAGCCCAAGAAGGCTACAGCTCCTGGATGAGCCCCCTAGAGGAGACGATGATTGCTTCGTCGAGTTACAAATGGAAAGACCTAAACGATCCTGTTTCGAGGCTAGAGTCTTCCGAAATCCTCTTCCAGTCGTGGGCCAACGCATGCGCTGAATCTAGCAGCGAAGACGCGTGCACTATATGGCGATGGCAAATTGTGAATCCTGATACAGTAAAACCTACGTATAGTGATAGGGGTCGGTCAGGGGGGTACTATCACTGCATAGGGAGTATCACTGTTACCAAAGTCACGTGTTGGTGATTTATAAGCCAGTCTGTCCCAAAACAGCCCAAAAAAGGGGCGCCAGAGAGGCCACGGACCACTCTCCCATACAAAACCAAGCACAGTTAGTATGATATTGTATAAGAGGGGCTTAGTGATACTATACTAAGCAGGGAGCTAGTGATATAGGAGGCAAATCGTACAATCCGGCGACTTGTATCACTGTATAGAAAATTTCACTAAATCCCTATATCACTATAAGTATGTTTTACTGTACTCCGACGAGCACGAATCTCTGCGGAGTTCAATCAACACCATCCTCGGGACCGAAACGGAAAGCCAGCTTTGTCGCCACCGCCCACACTATCGCCCAGCGCGTCTCCGTCAATGGCAATGACTTTGGCCAGCTCGTTGGCATTCGGTCCCCAGACTCCGACAACCCGATCCAGGACGTCAGCTCTGGGAACATGGCATGCAACACCGGTTTCCACTCGCCCGTATCGTCAAAGGTCATCGATGTGCCCGTTGGCGCGAAGGTCGGCGTCGTGTGGGGACACGTTATTGGGTGGCCCACTCGGCAGGAGACCCAGATAATCCCATTGCGAAGAGCCATAAGGGGCCGGTCATCTTCTACATGTGAGATCGGTCAGGAAGAAGTTGGGAGGGAATGGGGCTGATGTTTGACAGGGCGAAAGTCGATAACGCAGCGTCCTCTGGCACGAGTGGGTTGAAGTGGTTCAAGGTGTCCCAAGACGGTCTTGATAGTAGTGAACAGTGGGGTGTGGATCGGATGATTAGCAATGGCGGGTGGACTTACTTCACCATGCCGAACTACCTTGCGTCAGGGAACTACTTGCTCAGGGCTGAGATAATTGGTGAGTCTCCTGCTGGGAGGTGATGGTGATTGATAAGTGGCTGACTTGTGACTAGCTCTTCATTCTGCTTCGACGTAGAGACAGGCGCAGTTCTATGTGAGTTGGCCCCCATCATCGGTATATACTGGTGGAACGTATGCTGACGACTGACTTCTTTCAAGTTGGAATGGGCTCAGATCAATGTAACGGGTGGGGGCTCCGCAAACCCTTCGACTGTCAGCTTCCCTAGCGCATATAGCGCAACTAATCCGTGAGTTTCCCAAAGCATATATTTGTTCTTTGAAATTGGAAGACTGAGCCGTTGCAGGGGTATTTTGATCAACATCTACGACAATAGCGGTAATCCAACTGGTGGTGGCAAGCCTTACACGGTTCCGGGTGCTGCGGATTTCACTTGTTAGGAATGGCTTCGTTTCTGTACTTTGGTTGGATATGAAATGAAAAGGACAAGGAGAAGAGAGCTGCGTGGACAGCATGGATTTGAAAGTGCCTTGTCGTTGATGTGTGCTTGCACCTCGGCCGAGGTTTCTGTTGGGCAGCGGTGACCTATGAATAGCAGTGAGAAACAACGAAGCCGGAGTCGTCTAGTCTTGTTGCCGCGCGATATCACAGGTGGCGATTGCTACGCCATGTTAATTAGACTAGGCCGAGCTCAACATGTACTATCTCTACTTTTTCCTGTGCTCCCACATTTTCTTAGAAACCACGCGACATTGCGGGATACTTTTAGCCAGTTTTCCATGCATAGCTACCTGGCTTCGGAATCTCGGTGACAGAAAACGGGAGTGAGTCGCACCGATCTGCTTGCTTTTGGTCGTCTGTACACGGTATTTCTCGGCCACGTTGCCGAGGCTGAAGGGTCATCTGCGAGACTAGAGAATAGAGGACAAATGATGTGAGATGACTGACCTGATATGAAAGTGGCAATCGCCTTGATTGGGTCATTGACTAGTCGTTACGTTGTTCATATGATTCCTACGCGTTTTTGGAGAATGCTAGGCCGTCTGATAAGCCCTGCCTCTAGCAATGAAGCACAAGCTGGGCCAGGCCGACACCATGCAAGAAGCCAATCAATGAATCAACCGGAGGCCACCGGATGAGGCTGGGGGTGATCATATTGAAACCTAGGAAGTTTGTGATGGAGTGTCTTTGATTCGTTGGGGTCGTCTAGGAGCCAAGCTGACTATAAGACGCGCACTATACAGTGTGTATCGTTGATGCTGCCGAATCCCTCGCATTTTCAGAACTAGGATCACCGTGGTGGAGAATGATACTGGGGGGGATGCGGGCTGTCGATGAGCGAGCAGTGAATGTACCTTGGCGGTGCATGATCGGCCCTAGGGTGTCGGGTGCCGCTGGAGATGGACTAGGATCGCTGGACCCATGCTCGGCCGAACTTTCAAAAGCATTGGCAATGCGTCGAACCAGCCCGCCGGGAGTGGTGACGGCGGACGGGATGGTGGAAGCACGACAGAGAATCGGGATCCCGTCTCCGTGGACGCAGCGGTCCCACGACGTAGGCGCGTTTTTGACATCAACCACCACGAAGCATGAGCGAGCAGACTCTACGCAACCTCGAAGTGGTGGTTTTGAGAACAGCAAGCGGGAGCGGAGCGGGAACGGTGACGGCCCTGAGGAGGGAGGGGAGGGGAGGGTTGCATGTCAGCCGGAGTGGGGAGGCTAGCTTTTTAGAGGTCGAGGCGCGTAGGTGCCGTCATGGACGACCGCTCTCTACTGCTGCAATATTGCTGGGGTCTCATCTGGGGCATCGCTGCTGGCTGTAGTTTGTGGTGTTTCTTTTGCGGTGTTCTTGAGTGTTCGACCAGGAGACGCTACAAAAAGGGGTCGTTAACGAGAGACTCATCGGATACCTATGTTCCTTCACCCTCGACCCAGGCCGCTGTGCCACCCAAGCGTCCCGACTGCTCTGTCCTCCGCGGCATCTGCATATCTCGGACTTAAGCTTTCTTCGCATCCTCCCGGCGCTCTTTGGTATCCACCTGCGGACCCTGTAGTGCGGCTGACCGCAGCAGTGAGAGAGAGAGGCAGGAGCTGAAGCAGCCTGATAACAAATTAACTGCACGACGAGGCGGCAGGCTTGCACCAACATTGCCGTGGCCATGGGCTCGAGTGGCTATCTGCCGCACTTGGGCGCTGTCGGGCCCATCCACAATCACCCTGGCGTGCCGGGAGTTCGGCACGCCTTTTGGCACTGACTGCTCCACCACCCAGGGATCTCCACCAAGTGCGGCAACCGTCTGAATCCCCACATACAAATGTACCCCAGGCCCCGTCCTGGGCCTATGAGCCATAATTCGCCCCAATCCGCAAGAATTACCCCCCCTTCTCTCCTTCTACCTCTTTCCCCCCGCTGCTTCCTCTCATGCTGGCTTGTATCTTTGCTACCTTCGTTCGGGATACGTCACCATCTTCTGGACTGGAACCCTAACAAACAACGCTTCCTAGACACTCGATAACACCAATTGTCGTGTTTCTTGGCCAATCAAGATGCCCGAAACCCCGTTCGGCTCTCCTGCTCGGCGCAGCGAGATCATCGAATTGGCAGCTCTGGAAGGTCATGACGCCGATGTGCCTTCTAACGTGGGCTTCATAGAAGAACATGAGAAAGCACACCACCGAAAGCATTTGCCAGAGGCCGCAAACTCCACAGACGTTGACCTAGAGAAGGATCTAGAAAAGAACGGCGACACCGCATCGCTATCGAGCGAAGACGATGTGGCCGGAGAGGCTGCAGCGGAAGCAGAAGATCCAAATGTGGTTTGGTGGGACGGGCCAACCGATCCGGAGAACCCCTTGAACTGGTCCTTCTTTAAAAAATGGGGAACTGTGGGGATTGTATCCGCCCTCACCTTCCTTACGCCCCTAGCATCCTCTGCCTTTGCGCCTGGCGTCCCCGAAGTCATGGCAGAATTCCATTCGACAAGTCAGTTACTGGAAAGCTTCATGGTGTCTGTCTACGTTCTTGGCTTTGCCTTTGGACCACTAAGTGAGTCTTCATTGGTGACGAATCTTGGCAAGCACTGATTTATTAGTCTTTGCTCCTTTATCCGAGATGTACGGTCGATTGCCGATATACCACATCTGCAATATTCTTTTCATTATCTTTACCGTGGCTGCTGCGGTCAGTACTAACATGAGCATGTTCGTTGTATTTCGATTCTTCATGGGGTGTAAGTAAAGTCCAACCTCTAGAGTGTGGCAGTCGTGCTAATCCTAGGCCAGCTGCTGGAGGAGCTCCTCTTGCCCTCGGAGGCGGAACGATTGCAGACTTGATCAGCAGAGAACAGCGAGGTACCGCTATGGCTATCTGGCTACTGGGTCCAAGTAAGTGTTGACCTTCCAACTCATTCATGACCACCGCCTGACGAAAGCAGCCATGGGACCATGTATAGGCCCAATCATTGGAGGCTTTCTGACTCAAGCAAAGGGCTGGCGCTGGAACTTCTGGCTCATAGCAATCCTGGTAAGACAACTGAACCCTCTTAGATCGCACTTACTGATAGTATTACAGACGGGAGGTTTCGCCTGCATATCTTTCGTTCTGATGAGAGAAACATCCGCTCCCGTTATTCTTGCCCGGAAAGCCAAACGACTCCGCAAAGAGACTGGAAATCCGAATCTTAGATCGAAACTAGAGAGCAAGCTCTCTGGCAAGGAGCTGTTCTGGCTGTCCATCATACGGCCAACGAAGATGCTGACCCGCTCATGGATCTGCTTCCTGATTTCGCTATACGTGGCTATAACTTACGCGTACCTGTACATTCTATTCACCACCTTCACCAGCGTTTTCGAGCAGCAATACGGCTTCAGCGGGTCTGTCGTGGGTCTATCGTTCCTTGGTCTCGGCATCGGGTCGTTAAGCGGCCAATTTGTCTTCACTTGGGCTGGTAACAAGACGGCGACCAAGCATATCAAGGCAGGCGACTTCAAAGCTGAACATCGCCTGGAAATCATGTTGCCGGGCGGTTTCTTCATTCCGATAGGACTGTTTTGGTACGGATGGTCCGTCCAGGCAGGGGTCCATTGGATTGTCCCGATCCTTGGAACCTTCTTCGTAGGATTTGGATTGCTCTTGACTTTCGTAAGCGTCCTATCATTCTAATTTTTCCTGATGGTTGTATCTCGCTGATAAAGTCTTGCAGATGCCTGCCAACACCTACCTCGTGGAAGTTTTTACGGTGCACGCAGCGAGCGCAATGGCGGCCAATACCGTATTGAGGTCTATCGCTGCATCACTACTCCCACTTTCAAGCCAACAGATGTACAAGGCGTTAGGATACGGCTGGGGCAATTCCCTACTCGGCTTTGTCTCTTTGGCCCTTATCCCCATCCCTTTCATCTTTCGGAAGTACGGCGAGAGGATACGCAAAAGTTCAAAGGCTATAGCCTGAAATGCATGGAATCGTATTGCTTTCGAACTTTGGACAAAGAGGAGAGGATGTCGAGCTGGATTGGACCTCCGTTTGCAAACGCTTCGATTTACATCGCAGTGTGCTTCCTTAGTCTACCGTCAGCTCGGTCTGGCTAGGCCTCCCATCAACAGCCTGTTTTGAAAGTCACAGAGCAACAGTTCAGTTCTTCGTCAGGCACCGCTATCTATACGTAGTGTCGAGGACATTCAGACAGGATCAACCTCTTATGGCATGAGGGAACGGGGCCAATTGGATGACGAATGGACTGCAAACATAGTCCTGCTACGTACCTCCTTACAAGCCAGCTTTGGCAACCTGCCAAGCTACCGGAAACACGATGTCAAAGTAGTCGAGCGGCCGGGTGGATGTGAAGAAGACATAAACGTACAATACTAAGAAAAAAGTTTACTTACATCGTTTTGACACCGCTTATGTTGAGCCAATGTATGTACTAATACAGAAAGGGAGTAACGAGTCACAGGCCTGATTTGTGTACACCTGTCTGCTACTGCCTGAGGTTGCTCGGTGAGTTTTCAGACTTCTTGAAAGGATAAGTTTAATATGGTCTAGACGGCCGAGAGTCCTTTGAGGCACTACAAGCGGTGTCGAAATGATGTAAGGAAATCTATGTTCTAACATTGTGCCAAAAGCTTGCGAACAGTCGGTAGCGTGCGGGCTAGGGCGAACGTGAGAAATGCTGAACAACCTAAAACCCAAACCACCTAAAACCAATGTCATTGAGGAAAAAACCAGATATCCACTTCCATGCTCAACGTTTTAGCCGTCTTCATAAACATCGGATTACCAAGATAGACATGACTAGTTAAGCCTCCAACCATCAGCAAATGCTGACAACTACCAACAAAGGCAAAACACACCCCTCATACCTACAACGCCCTCGCCCTTAAATGACTCGTCCACTACCCAAATAAACAACTATACCTCGGCCCTACCTATCACACCTCATATCCCAGCGCGCCCCACTTGCCCCATCAAGAAATCAGCTATAGCTCCCCAACCCCACTATTTCCCTAGCCTGCTTCACGATTAGAATAAAGTCCTTCCGACGACGTCCGCGATCCCAATTCTCGAACACCATGCCCACCCCCACACCTATCTAATCACCCAACCCCCAATTGCGTTCTCATAACCCGTAACAAAAAGAACCAAACTACACAACCGCCCTCTCCTAACCCGCGCCGCGAAGAACCACCACCATGTCCACCACCACCACCACCACCCCCCTCCCGGCCACCTCCAAATCCCTCACCTTCCTCGCGCCCGCCACTCCGCCGCACGTCATCTCCACGCCTCTCGCGGCCCCGGCCGCCAGCGAGCTCGTCGTAAAAGTGCACGCGGCCGCGATCAACCCCGTGGACATCCAGCTCTGGAACTCGGCGCTGCTGGGGTGGCTGGCGGGGAAGAAAGAGAAGGGCATTGGGCGGGACTACTCCGGGACCGTGGTCGCGGTGGGCGCGGGCGTGAAGGGGTGGAAGGAGGGGGATGAGGTGTTTGGGTTGATTAGTCGGCCGGTGAGCGTTTACGGTTTTTGATTGATGAAGAAATGGGTTATTTGGGTGCTTTGTGAGCGAAGTACTGATGATGAGTGCTATTCCAGACAGGCGAAGGCACATTCAGCGAATACGTCCACCCCATCATCGGCAAAGACCCCATCGCGAAGAAGCCGACATGCTGGACGCACGAGATGGCTGCCGCGGTGCCGCTGGTGGTGCTGACGGCGTTCTCGTGTCTGGACTGGCTGCCGGCGGACAAGAAGAAGAATGGGTTTGGGCGCGTGGTTGTGGCGGGCGCGTCCGGGGGCGTGGGGATGTGGTGTGTGCAATGTACGTTTCCCTACCCCAAACCCACTCCCTACTCCATCTGAAAACTCGTGCTAACGGTAGACACCACCCAGTGGCCAAGAAGCTCTACGATTGCAACGTAACCGGCATCTGCTCCGCCAAAAACGCAGACTTCGTGCGCCAGATGGGCGCAGACGAGGTATATATAAATCCCCCCCCCCCTTACCCCTACCCCTCCCTCTCCAACCTTCCCTCAATTGCTAACATGCACATCGTTCCCCAGATCGTCGACTACACCTCCGAATTCGTCAGCCAAGCGCTGCTCGAAAACCTGCCCGCGGGCCGCCAGTACGACCTCTACATCGACTGCGTCGGCGGCACCGAGCTCTTCGCCGACCTGCACGCCCTGCTGCACCCGCAAGCCGCCTACGTGACCATCGTCGGCGACAAGACCAGCCGCACCGCCATGGGCGGCCCGCTGACCTACCTCTACACCCCCGCGCAGGTGCTGCGCTTCCTCAAGGGCTTGCTCTGGGGCCCGCGGTACGCGAATGTCCTGCTGTACGCCAAGAGCGAGCTGCTGGAACAGGTGGCGGGGCTGGCGGAGCGGGGGGAGGTGGAGGTGGTGGTGCAGGAGGTTGTGAGGGGGTTGTTGTTGGAGGAGGAGGGGGGTAGTGAGGAGGCGTGGAAGCGGGTATATGAGTTTATGGAGGGGGGGCGGGTTAGGGGGAAGATTGTTGTTGCGATTGAGTGAGCAAGTTTGTTTATGTGAAGGTCACTGTAGTGCTATTACTTGATATTTGGCTGTAAATACTTCTAGACGTTTTCGTCTTGTTGTTTTATGAAGTAGGTATGTCGTCGCATTACGAAAACCAATGGAATAGACAGAGCACACAGTTGCGAGCTTCTGACCGTGAGACCTAGGAAGAGATGAATGAACTCTTATATTGGTACCGAGAGCCTATCAGCGCATGCCTTACGACACTGCACATACCCGGTTGTAAATGATTTCCTAGACGCCTCCCGCCTATTTCCATGATATCCGTACCGCCAATCGCAGCCGCCTATTGATATGCATTCCCTAGGTCATGCTCCTTGAGATAATCACTGCCCTTGTCGAAGTACTCCGCACGAGTCACAAACGCCTGCTTCGCGTTCGCGCTACCAGCCCACTTGGCCGCTCCCTTCCAAGCATCCAGAACGGGATCCTTAGCCTTGCGAACGGTGAAAGGAGCCTCATGAGGCAGAACGGCGAGGAGCTCAGTCCGTAAGCGCTCCTCGAATCCCTTGAATAGTGTATTACCACCCGTCAGGAAGACGTCCTTCAGAACGTCTTTCCGCTGGGACTCCGCCAAGCGCTCATTCAGGATGCCAGTCGCAATCTCCACCAGTCCGACTTGCTCGAGTCCTGCGATTGACGGCTGGAAGACGACTTCTGGGACTCTGATCCTCTCCACATTGAGATGGATCTGATGCATCTCGCGCTGGCTTTCAGGGTCATAGGGCGCGGAACCGTGGGCGAAGGCGTGGGCCATGCTTTTTGTCCAGTCCTGTTGGGCCTCCCGGGTACTGTCCTCGGTGAAGTTTGGATCGTGTTTTATGAGCTGGGCTTCGATGACTTTGAGGTTTGAGTTTAGGTCCTCCTCCTCTTCGTCGTCGCTACCTTCGCCCGTCGCGATTTGGCGGTAGACGCCCCAATCGTTGTCGTCAGCGCCGAATGTATCCTCATCACCGCCTCTCCGACGTTTCTTCGCGGGGGTATCAGAGGCTAGATTTGCGATCGACTTCATTCGCATTTGGTTTGCGAGTGATTTTCGGTTTCCGAGGTCAGACTTTATGCGTTCACGGTCCTTGATCTTTTGGATGATAGCCTAGGAGCTCAAATGTTAGATAGCGTCCTAGAGTGACACAACTTATGAAACCTACCTGACGAGCGACCCTTCGCTCCTCGATCCATCCTTCAGGATCATTCGCTCGGCGTTCATTATCCAGCCTCTCTTCTTCTGCAATTCTGGCTTTCTCGCGCTCTTTCTCAACCTTAGCTCGAGCCCGGGCTTCGTGGTTCGCCTTCATTAGTTTCTGCTGACGCTTCTGTTTTATCCCGTCTTCGTCGAGCTGGTCATCCGGAGTATCCACCAAAGGAAAAGTAGGCTCCTCCTGTACTTCTTCCTCCAGATCTCCAAGATCTTTGTTCCTGGCTTTCCGGATGGACTTTTCCATTTCACGAATCTTCTTGTCGAGCTGCGACTCATCGTCGAAGTCGTCCGACTCGAGTAATCGTTTTCCTTCCTTTTTCGTGGTCGCTTGGACACGCTCTAGTAGCTCCTTGTAGTAGGCCAGCTCTTGCTCTTTGGCCATCAGCTTCTCCAGCCTCATTTTGGCCGCTTGCTCTTGAAGCCTTCTTCCACTCTCTTTCCGCTTCTCTGCTGCCCGAGCCAGCTCCGCTTCTGTTTTCTGAATTACGACTTGCTCCGTGAATGGGAACTGAATAACGTGATCGCGATCTTCGAGGCCTGTCCAGTCTAGGTAGTGGCTGATCTCATTTTCGTAGTCCTGAGAAACATAGCAGTGCTCGCGGACGATGTCCACAGCTTGCGGGTCGCTTATCTTCCCAGGGAAGCTTGGGTACTTGAGCTTCAAGAGCTTCAGGAGGTATTCAGCACTTTGGAATCGGCCCCAGTTTAGACGTGTCGCTTGCGATAAGAGGGCCTTTGATTGTACGACCGGTATGAGATGTGTCGAGGAGTACGATGAGGAAACAACTAGGCCATTGTTGCCGCCATTGTAGTTGTAGGAAAATAAGGAATCGATGCCGTAGGCGACTGAGGGGGCAGAGTAGCATTCGAATAGGATTTCAGACATTGCTAGCCGTGGAAGTCAGTACTATTTCTGCGCGGAATTCAGAGTGTAGTGTGCATACTCTTTCGTGAATATCCTAAGTTTGCGACAGGCTCGGTCATTACTATTGGCCTGTCGATGCCATTGTTGTTACCTTCCACTCCAAGCTTGACGAAGACATAGTCTAGAACGCTTTCAACAACGTCCCAGTTATTGATAATGTTGCTTCCCGGCTCGTAAATGTTCTTCGACTGGCCACGCGCGGTCCCATCGGAGTAGACATCAGATCCGACGAAGGTGAATGTCCTGCTGAGCTTACGATCGCGGTATCGCGCGGCGAGAGGGGGGAGGGATAATCGAGGTTTGTCGTCAAAGGACCAGCCGGCGCGTACAGTAGATGAGCCTGGTAAAATATGCATGAGCAATTGCTGTAGCGTGGACGCGAGGCCGCTGCCGGGTTCTTACCATTGTCGATCACGATTGCTGTGCTCGAGGAGCTCCGGCGAAAGCCATCACGGTCTATGGGGCGGAATCCTTGAAAAGGCGGGTCTGCGACCGTCCAAATTTTGGAGGGTGCCTTCGGGGAGTTGCGCCCTGAGGGAGCTGGGTGGTCGTTAATCGCAGACGGAGCCATGGTGGACGTAGTGAGAATTGGCTTGCGTGTTAGGTCATGGGTGTTGGGCGGAGTGGTGTGAAAATTGCGCGTGTTCAGGGCGATATTGTAAGTGAAAAGGTTGCATTGTATTCGATCTGTGAAGTGGTATAGTGATGCGGCGACGACCTCTGCTGAACCAAGTGAGGCGCCCAATCTTCAGTCACGTGACTATATCTCTAAAAGCCACCGGTACCATTCCAAACGCCATGATCTCGTTCCCCATAATTCAGTATGTGCAAAAAGCAAGCAAATTTCTATCGACTTCGCACAGAGTCCATCGGCAGGGTCATGCTGGCTCCTTGAGGCTGTCGGTGGCTGAAATCATATTAGCTCTGCGGTCCGCATTTGGACGGGTATCAATATCTGACCTTCAAGATGGAATAGCACGTTCGACTGATAGTTCTTGAACATCTGGGCAACCAACTCCACATCCATATTCTGAATGTTAATCTCCTGGAAGTAGTACTTGGTCAGAAGCGCAACGCTGGACAATCTGGATGTCCACGAACCTGCAGATTCTTGTTCAACTGCATGATTGCTTCATTGAGCTTCTCCTAGGCCACCGTGAGCAACTGCCGTAAAAGTCTTGGATAGAGGCACTTACCACGTTTGTTATGATTCTAGAGAGCAAGAGGCTCTGTTGGTGCTCGTGTGGACTTTCCTATGCATCATCTCAGCACAGGACAGCAGTGTGAAATTAGAGAAACTTACCATGGCAAACAGTAGTACCCCACAAACTGGTGCGCTTTGAAGGTATTCGTAGTCTGGTTGTCGATTGTCGAAGTGTTGCTTCTCATATTCTACAAAACAACGCGCTAGATCACGCCAAGCTTTCAAGCCAAAGGCGGTAACCACCTCCACGCTCAAGTCCGGAAACGACATCCTCCACACATCTTCAGTCACTCTATCGCAAAAACCATCTTCTCCACTCCACCATCGTAACACACACCTCACGACCGAAGCTACGAGTAACTCAGAAACCACTCAACATCATATCATATCACGTTCAATACTCGCTATCAACCATCATGGCACCTCTCACGCAAGCCTCGGATGAGCACACGCATCAGGCCCTCCTAGACCAGCTCGACATCTACGCTGTCCCAAAGCCATTTCGAAATCCCGGCTGGAAGGCGGCCCAGCGCCGAAACAAGAACGTCAAGCAGATCATTGCCGATGCCTCCCGCAAAGAGAATTCAGTCATGGCCACACAAAACAACAGCGGCGCCTCCACGCCCCTTCTCCCCTATTCTACGACAGCGACAGGTGGAGCTGGCACACCCATCGGTGGTTCTCACCCAACTTCAAACATCGCACAAGCCGCCCAGAGCCTCTCTACCCTCGTCTTAGAGAAGAACTTGAAGGCATCTGGGCTGACTAGCGGACCTGCAGCGACATATACGAACATTGAAGCGGCACCTTCTCTGCACCCGGCCGCCCACAAGAAGTACTGCGATATCACCGGGCTACCAACGACATACACCGACCCCAAGACTCGCCTCCGTTACGCCAATAAGGAAATGTTTGGAGTGGTTCGAAGTCTGGGCCCAGGGCTAGCGGAGGGGTATCTGGCAGCAAGGGGTGCTCACACGGTGTTGAAGTGATGCATCTCTAGCTCCTGGCACCGGGCTGTCTGGATCGAAATGGCGTATTGATATTTGCACAGGGAGCCGAAGTCCAGACGAAAGACCAAAATACTCCCCGGCGCAAACACGGAGAAAGCCAACACCGTTGATAGGAGAGGAGGGTCCAAGGAGCTCAAGAAGTGACAGTGGCGGTTACTCAGACAAAATCGACGACTTCGCCGGAGATAGCGGCTACAAGGGATGCCGTTCCGGAGGAGGCTACAGAAAGCCAGTTTACAGAAACTCAAAGCCAGTTCCAAGAAGACAATAGTCAGTCGTTGGATGCCAGGAACCAGTCATGGGAATCCGACAGCGCCTACTACTCAGCCAAAAGCCACTTATCAGATGCCGAGAGCCCGTTGTCAAGATCAGGTGCTAGTAATGCTGTGGAGGCCGGCACTGCGTCTACAGATGCCCCAAATACATCATCCCAGTCTCCTCGAAACGCACCCCGGCGATCTTCTAGGAGAAGGAATGGCGACTCGCAGGCATCGGGGAGGAGTGAATATCAGACGTGGTGTGAAAGAGGATACGGTATCTATTATGGTGACGAGAGTGGATAGCCGCAAAACCGCCTTCAACTTTCAACCTCGATCCGGTGCGAGCTTGCGAGTTCCCGCCTTATTCAGCGCCCTCAGATGCTGCCATTGTCGACTTGCTTTTTCACTGTGGGCAGCCGTTAGATTATACACCTCTAGACACATTGTTTACTGCATTGGCATCAGATTTCTTAGACTAAACCCCCTTTGGTATTCAGTAGCATTCTTACTATCGGTGATAAGGCACGTTAGAAAAAAGCCACGCAAACCTTTGATGTCTCTGAGACAGCGAGAAGGCGAAGGCCCAGGCGCATGAAATAACATAAGTGAAGATGGTTCTTAATGTGTGATGACATGGCATTAGCGACCTCGCTATACGAGTTTAGCATGTGGATGGTGAGGGCGAATGACGCGCGATACGGAGCTCAAGATGCGAAGTAGGATGATTGGATTCTGAGCCCCAGATACTTCTCAAAATTGAGCGTCCTCGATACGTAGAGATACCGAAGATAGTGATCAGCAGTCTTACAGCTGGCAATGGTGAAGGCCGAGTGCGCGCAGGAAACAATTAGCGAAAGCTGAACTCTTGGCAGCATGAATGCGAAATACCTGAGGCCTTGCCTGCTCACTCCACGCCGTCTCCGCCTTTTTCTACTCCACGTGTGTGTCCGCCGCCCTCCTCGTGCAGCCGTTGCCTCGTGTGCTGTACTGGCCTTCAAAACCACCCCAACAGTACACGTCATTCTCAACGCACCCAAGCCAAGCCGACTCTCGCCGCTGGCACTGCACTGCCCTTTGGCCCGCAAAGCTGAACTGACTCGGACAACAAAGCCCACAATCGCTCCCACACCGACACTGCTCTCCAGTCTGTGACTTTTAGTAGTACACAGATATGTCTGTTCCAACGCAGCTAGCTTGTACGTTCTGCCACCCTCTAGGCGTCGCCTGATGCTAACAATTCTGCCTAGACCGCACCTCCAAGGGCATCGGAATCCTCAACGCCGCCCCAGTATATGAACAACTGGCTGGATTCGTTCGGTATGCTCTGTTACAATCCAACTCAATAGTATTCAAACTGACTTCTTGCGCTCCAGCCCGGAAGGCAACCTTCGATGCTGCTGTTACAGCCCAGACAGCCGGTATTTCGCATGGGCATCACCCGAACAGTAAGCGCAACTCACTGGACGCCTCATGCCAGAAGTAATACTAATACGTCTTCTTAGGGTTTCGGTCATTGATTGCTCTGTCGGCTACATCGTTGCGACACTGCCTACCCCAAACGTCTTCGAGCTTGGTTTCTCGCCATTGGGAACCTACATTATAACATGGCAGCGGCCTGGGAAAGACGACGACGGCAATGCTATCAAGAATCTGAAGGTCTGGAAGACGCTGGTTGGAGAGGATGAAGAGCCAACAATGGTGGGCAAGTTCGTGCAGAAATCACAAACTGGCTGGAATCTGCAATACACGTCCGACGAGAAGTTTTGCGCTCGCTCAGTGACGAACGAGGTGCAGTTCTACGAGTCTGGAGACTTGGGGACGGTCTGGAACAAGCTCATTGTTGAGGGGGTCACGACTTTTGGGGTCTCGCCTGGCAAGAACCATTCAGTTGCTGTTTTTGTTCCGGAGCGGAAAGTGAGTTTTAGAGCTTCTTCGGTATTGCCATCTACTAATACTACCTTAGGGCCTTCCCGCCGCCGTCAAGCTTTTCCAAGTTCCCCAGTTCAACTCTCCAGTATCACAGAAGACATTCTTCAAAGGGGACAAGGTTCAATTCAAATGGAATGAGTTAGGCACGAGCGTAATTGTTCTTGCTCAAACAGAAGTCGACAAGACGAACAAGAGCTACTACGGCGAAACAAACATGTATGTTCTTAGCGCCAGTGGTGGATTCGACTCCAGAATTCAACTCGGTACGTAACACTGTCGGAATCATCATGTGAGCTAGGCTGACCTCAAGTAGACAAGGAGGGCCCGATCCATGATGTATCATGGTCACCAAACTCGAAAGAGTTCGGTGTTGTGTACGGGTACATGCCAGCTAAAACCACCATATTCAACGCACGTGGCGTTGCGACCCACAGCTTCAATCTCGCACCGCGCAATACGATACTATTTTCCCCTCACGGTCGGTTTGTTCTTGTTGCTGGATTTGGAAACTTGGCAGGACAGATGGACATCTACGATCTTGAAAAAGATTATGCGAAAGTATGCACTATCGAAGCAAGCAACGCCAGCGTCTGCGAATGGAGTCCAGATGGCAAACACATCCTCACAGCAACCACGAGCCCTCGTCTCCGTGTCGACAACGGAATCCGTATCTGGCATGTGGGAGGTGGCATTATGTACAACGAGGAGATGACCGAGCTGTACCACGTCACCTGGCGCCCGCAGTCGACGCTTACACATCCGCTGGAGGACCCGCTCCATCCGGTCCCTACGCCGCACGCTTCTGCTCTGGCTTACCTTGGCACGGTGAAAACGTCGTCTAAGCCTGCAGGAGCATATCGTCCCCCTGGTGCTCGCGGAACTAGCACACCGCTGCACTTCAAGCGCGAAGACGAAGGCGGTGCGGCGTATAGCAACAACGGCATCTCGTCGACTTCCGGAAACAGCTCCAATGGTTTCGGCAAACCCCGTCGTCGTGAGGTTCCTGGTGCAGAGCCAGTCGAGCCACTTCCTCCCGGCGCCGCGCCTGGCGGAGGCGTCAGTCTCACCGGAACTGGAGAAGGCGAGGAGGCGCTCTCAAAGGCCGCACTCAAGAACAAGAAGAAACGCGAGGCAAAAAAAGCTAAAGAGGCGGCTGAACGAGCAGCAGGACTAGCAGCGGGTGCAGATGGCGAAACTCCTAACGGCCCTGCTAACCCAGGCCGGCCTGAGCAAAGAGGGGGACCACGTCACGAACGCAGCAGGAGCAAGAACGGAGGCTTCGGCAGCCAAGGCGGCGGGAGGAGCCCGAGCCAGCAGCGTGGTTATCAAGGCCATAGTCCGCATCGCCGCAACAACTCCGGCTACGACGAGAATCAGAACCAGAACCAGAATCAGTATCAGAACCAGAACTACAACAACCGCTATCAGCAGCAGGGCCAGCAAGGGCAGCAGCAGCATCACTCACGTGCAGGATCCGGGTACCAGGCCGGACCAAGACAGCCTCAGCAACCTCAACAGCCTCAGCAGCAGGCTCCTCAAGCTGCCACTGCACCGCCGCCTCGAACTCCGCCGATACAGCTCCAGACGCAAACCCAGACACCGGCTATCGTGCCGGACCTTGCCGTCACGTCGCCTGGTGGTGGTGGCAGTCCGCAGGATAAGAAGGTGCGGTCTTTGCTGAAGAAGATTCGCGCGATTGACGATTTGAAGATGCGCCAGGCGGGTGGGGAGAAGCTGGAGGATACGCAGGTTAAGAAGATTGGGACTGAGGAGTCGATTCGGAAGGAGCTGAGGGGGTTGGGATTTACTGAGTAAACTCGTGTGGATGGAGGGGAGGTACCCGATCTGTGATATATCGATCTGTGATCTATCATAGATGCGTCGCTGCGGTGCGGCGGGGATGAGGTAGATGGGAATGAGATTGAGATGAGGGGGCTCACGCCTGCTGGTTGGGTGAGTGTAGATAGAGACACTGAACGGAAATTATTGAAAAAAAAAGATAAAAGTCGGATTTGATCCCACATGGGGGGCACGAGCAGTGTGATTTCATGGTTGGTGACTCTTGAATCCACCACTGACTTCAAGAGCAGGATAGTGCACGCACGTACGCTATTAGGCACATCATCATCAACCACGTTCTCTTTCTGATACTCACACGCAGCCAGCAAGTTTAATGTGCTGTGCGTCGCGCTGTCATAGCCATAACTCACGGTACAAGAAGATATGTCAAGCCCTTTATTTTCTTTCTTCATCATATCAAGTTTCTCTGCTACCTTTGTATATCCAACAACGATTTACATAATTCAAACACCACAGTCTGCGTCGAAAGTCTCGAACGTCTCACATCTGAAACCAAAACTCACAAGTCTATATCAGAGCTACCCCAAGTTCTGGAAACCTATCTTGATTCTACGCTGGTAATCGAACATGGCAGCGCAGTTCCCAGGTTGGCAGTGCTGCAAGTGTGGCAGCAAATGGAGCTATGATCCCAACTGTTGGCCTTGTTGCCCTACATGCCGGCATATAGATTGCGGTGTTTGCAAAGGGCTGTAAAGAGGGGCAGAGATTAGGGGGGGCATGACGGCTGGGGGCTTAAGGGGAGGGGGACTTAGTAATATTCCTTTTCTTGCTTTACTTACTGAACAAGTTTCTCGGTAGATAGACAATGAAAGACTTGAATCTTCCACACTAATTTTCCTCTACTTGTCTTTCTACTCGCGTTCTACTTACAAGGAGCGTTCCAGCTCTTCTCTCTCCCTACTTCCCAATTCCTTAATCTGTGTACATTCACGACTAATCCCTTACGTTTAATGAAACCAGTGTTTCTTCGCAGTATTCTTGACTCCCTCAGCCCTCAGCCCTCGCCGTGACTAACAAGAACAAAATCTCACTCTCCTGTGTTGCGGTCCCATGGTCAAGTATCAAGGATGGTTACACTGGTGGCAAGCGCTTGAAGTTTTAAGTCAGCTGAGGAACGGCTGTGTTGTACGTCGACAAATACGGCGTTTTTGCGGCGCTAGTGGTTTCCCATTGGACGGCTAAGAATTATGGGATAGCACAGGCAGCGAAACACCTTTACCGCAATCAACATCATTATCCTGACTACCTCGCTCACCAAGTAACATCGTCAAGCGTTTGGCTGTCGTTCCGAATATTCAACTGAATATGCCGTTCCGACTTCGTTCTCGAGCGCTCATTCGGTATACATAGCTGGGCTCCCTGTTTCGCCGATGGTACCCCTTGCCCCTCCGCACACTATAACCGCCTCTCTATAGAAACATCGTGGGCCTACAGTTCTCTGGCTTTGGCGTTGCTTCATAATAGAAACAATAATGCCGAACCCGGCCCATCTACCAAGGGAACTATTCAATAAGGTCATAGGCTACGCAATCGATGGCAGAAGCGACGTTAACTCGCTTTGCAACCTTTCCCGCGTCGATCGCGAGTGGCACGACATTCTGATCACTCGAATCTATTCAAGATGGTTGTACGACGTACTCGCTCCTCAATTACTTCTTTGTGGAAGTTCTTCCGCACAATAATGGGCCGCGAGAATATCACAAAGAAAGTGCGTACCCTGCACATTCGCAATTGGACATTTGGGCTCGTCCATGGACGCAGTCGTTTCGTATTCCCTGAAGACGGTTGGGAAGTCGAACTGGTCCGGGACGCAATCCGTATGGCCGGAATTGAGCACCTAGAGAGGGATGTCATGGAAGCCCTACGCAAAAGCGATCCCAGGCCACTGATGGCCCTGATGCTGACACGCCTGGCAGAGTTAACAACATTGTACGTTCATTTGCCAGAAACGGAAATTTTCCTCGCCGCAGTGCTCAAAAAGACCCTGGAGGGTCAACAAGACGAATCTCACAACGGACATCTACCACTGCAAAGGCTGGAGGAGGTCCATCTTACCAGCGCTTGGAATTACCGGAAAGACTGGCGCGCTCGTGACAACTATGAGCTCAGACTTGACCATTTATGGCCGGTATTGCAACTACCAAGTCTCCGCAAGGTCTCTCTTTTCGACTTCGAGCCACTTGGAGCGTCAGCTCGCTTCGGAAACAGTACTCGGACTTCTGGTATCAAGGACTTGACCATTGTTCACCACAATGATTCCCAGCTTACAGCGGCCGACGCACTAGCCCTTCTCGCTTTCCCCAAGGCTCTAACGCGCCTTTCAATCTATCTGAATGACTGCAACGTGCCGCAGGAGAAACCTAGACAGCTCTCCAACGCCGATCTGTGGACGAATCTGAGACCCCACCGGAACTCCCTTGAGCGTCTGGACTTTTACCGCGACTGTACCGCGTGCAGCCCACCACTGCACAGCCCTGCGAACTCATATTTTGAATCTCTGCGTGCATTCACGCGCCTGAAAAGTCTCTGCGTTCAGGCAGAAGCGCTGCTGGGCGGTTATTGTGAAGATGACTTGGCTCCTTTCCGCTTGAAAGACACATTGCCCCCGAACCTCGAGTCGTTAACCATCTACGGAGACGAGGGACTGTCAACTAACAAAACCCTGGGCGAGCAGCTGCAAGAGGTCGTGAGGAGTGCAGACTTCCCGCGGCTTAACCGCGTGGTTTTGGAAACAACGTCCGATGGCATTGACTGCTATACGTATCCTGCAGCTCCACCGCATGAGGAAGTAGAACGAGTGTGCAGAGAACGGGGCGTTCAGTTCAAGACAATGAAGACTTCGTCGCTAACCAGGGGAGGTATCGGGCTCCGATACTACAGATACGTTAAAAAAAAAACGCGTCGTGAAATGATTTCGCAGACGGCGAAGTGAGGTTCGCTTTGTTTGAGCGCCTTGTTCGGTTGCGAGCGGCTACGTCTGCGGATGCACGGCTACCTCTAACCAAACCGCCAGAGCTCTCGTCGGACGACCTGGATTCGTACGAGTTGCCGTGGGAGGAGCTGACGCCGGAGGCGCTGTACCCGGAGTATTCGCACGAGATGGAGTCGGAATCGGGGGAGTCGGAATCGCGGGGGTCGGACTTGGAAGAGGCAAGTTTGGATGAGCGTAACTCGGAGGATGGGAATTCGGAGGTTGAGTTGCAAGAAGGGGAGTTTGAGGACGAGGATATGGACACTGGATCTTCCAGCTTGGTGAAGCAGGACGCGGACGCAGACAAGGAAACTTCTAGCTCAGAAGACCTCGACTCGGATGGAGTCTGGTAGTGATCTGTTGTCTCAAGTGTTTTCACATACGGCCTTTTAGGCAGAGGCTCTCTTGCATTACTCGGGAGTCATGTGCTGGGCGTAGACAGCCGGGGAGTACGAAGCGGAAATGGACTTTGGTGGGATCAGTTTTGAGGTAAGAAAACATCCCATACAATTCTAGATAATGTATGTACCAGAGGACTTGAAGCAGTGATAGGCAAGCGTACACACGGACGGAGGGAAAGTGCGTACATTACAGAATGAAGATTAGAACGGAGCTTCGTGGCCTGCCTCTTCTTGTTGAAGGGCGCCTGAAAGGGGATTTATATTACTAGATCGCCAATGCAGTGTAGGTAATCGTTGGAGCAAATTCGCGGTAGAATCGCTGTATGCATTTCCAAACTCATGCGGATTGGACTGCCGCGAGAGAATGAGATGACACCTATTACCCCGTACCCATACCACGAGGACAGCCACGAGGCCGGATCGAGGTCTACTGAAAGGATCCACAGCGTCGATCCTAGCGCCGATCTCATGCAGGGTGTTAACGCTAAGAGGGAGGAAGGCATAACCGATCTTCAAGGGGAATAAATAAGGTCTGAACCTTTTAAGAGGACTGGGAAGGGATGAAGGTTTTGAAGGGAACTACTTAGGAAAGCTCAATAATGAGAGAGTAGTACATTAGTAGATGAAAAGGCGGGAAAAGGTAGGAAAAATGGTGGTTCCGGGGATATCCGGACGGTGCGGGAAGTGAAGGGCGTGTTGTAAATATACATATCTGGTTTGTTATGGGTGTTCTTAGCTAAACTACTCAACGTCGAGGTTTTAAAGCTATATGACTCCAAGTATCGGCGGTACCTATATAACTATCCATCTCTGCTCACCAAAATCCACTCATCACATCTCCACCAATCCAGCACCTAAAATGTCTAAAACCAGCCTCAAAATCATCCTCGTCCGCATCAGCGCCGACCTCGCCGCCACCGTCCAGCTCTTCAAAGACTACGTCGCCTGGCTCGACATCGACCTCGCCTTCCAAGCCTTCGACGCCGAACTAGCAAGCATGCCGGGCAAATACGCCGCGCCCTCTGGCGAGCTTCTCCTCGCACGAGATACTGTCGGCATCGCAGTAGGCTGTGTCGCGATACGGCCGTTGAGCTCCGGATGCTGCGAAGTGAAAAGACTATGGGTAGCGCCGGCGGGCCGGGGACTGGGTGTTGGACGGGCGCTTGTGGCGGCTGTTATAGAGGCGGCGAGGAGGAGGGGTTATGGCGAGATGAGGCTGGATACGCTGCCGATGATGGGTGCGGCGATTGGGTTGTATGAGAGTTTGGGGTTTGAAAGGTGTGAGAAGTATTATGAGACGCCGATTGAGGGGACGGTGTTTCTGAGGAAGGTGTTGGGGGAAGGGGTGGAGGATGGGAAAGAGAGTGATTGAGATGAGTAGGGGGTGGTAGAATCCGAAGCTTGGAAAGACTGTAGGCTTATTTCGGCTTCACGCGTGATCTGGAAGAGGCATCACCGCAAGGTGCCAGGTTTCGAGTGGATGATGAACGTCATCCGCAATCGCTTAGGTTTTGATGTGTTGCTAGTATGTACGCGTCCCTTAAATAAGCTAGTTAGACTACTAGGTTTAAGAGGACTTGAAGCAGTTTGAATTCTCAGTGCCAAGTCATATGACCCCCATACCCTGATCATATGCAGATTTCATGATAGATATTTCCATAACGCCGTAAAGTACCTAAGAAGCCGTTAAGCAGGTAGAAAATGACTGTAATGGCCCGGAACTCTCGCTCGACACTTATCACAGTCGTCGCGGTAGCCCATAGAGAACTTCCGCTTGTCCGTAAACGCACCGCTTCTCGCCCTTCCAGTTTTGGTGGTCTGGCTTGGCGATCGCACGGCGTCTTCCATGTCCATTTCTTCTGCGCCGCCGACGGAGAGACGCGAGAGCTGGCTCTCTGTCGCTTCGTCCTCGCTGATGGGAGAGGGCATGCGTCGATCTCGTTCGGGCGGCTTTCTGCCAACGACCGGAAGCCCTGACAGATCTTCTAGGTCCATCGAACTGACGTCGCTCGCAGAGCGGGTTGGTAAGCGGGGATAGAAAGCGCCGTGTATGGGCGTAGGAATGCGGCCTCCTGAATTCGACTCCTGAAACAGCTGGGCGTTCAAGCGTGGGGGGCGCAAGAAGGGAGCCGTAGGAGAGTCTGGAGGCTGCGAGCAGATGATGTCGAGGTCATCGTCGTCCATATCGACATCGTCCTGGCTTAACGAGGCAGGAGAGGCGTCACTGGAGTGCTCCGAGTGAGCAGGTGTCATGGCGTCGGGGAAGCCATAGTACCTCGGCGGGGTCTCTGAGAGTCGCAGGGGCAGCTGGTGGAGCTGGGTCGATGCGGGCTGCTGGTCGGCTGGGTAAAAGGAACGACTGCGCGATCTCTGGCGGTCTGGATAAGCAGCTGGAGGAACAACGGCTGAGGAGCGGTACGAACCTTTAGGGACCTCTCGTCAGCTGAGTCGGAATCGTCGTCGCGGCGACGTTTGACATGAGCCGGGAGAGTCAGCATGGCGGCGCGATGCGGCTGGAGTGGTGGTGGGCGGCGTGGTCAACACGCGAGAGCAACATGAAGAAGTGAAGAAGAAAGGAGAGATACAGCAGCAGAAGGCATGGCGGACGCGGTGAAAGGAGAAGCTGCGGGTGTCGTGGTGTTTCAGTTGGGCGCGAAAGCCTTCCAGGGGGTCTTTTCGCAGCATCCACGGCCTTGAAGCACGCTTGACAGGGAGTCGTGTAGGCGGTGAGGGTCTATGCCCACTAACCCCGCGCCCTGGAGTCTAGAAAATAAAGCACGGCGAAAAAGAGTCATGGTGAAGCTGAACGGCAGACCACTTTTCTTGAGATACATAAACCCGACCCACACCTTCTGTCTTCTCTCGTTACTCATCAGTCGCTCCTCGATCCCGTTCTTCATCAGTTGAATATCTACGAGCTGTATTAAAGCAATTGGCCTTGTGGAACACCCTGCCACTTCATTGTCTCCATACTGTGACTCCGCCTCTCTTCAACTTCTACATTCCCCACAATGGCCTCCACCGGCGCCAAAAACGAGACCAGCGACGATGTGCGCGGTATGCAGACCTCATATGCCTTCCCAGACTTAATTGACATCCTCAGTCCTGGGCTACGACCCGCTCATCTCCCCCGCGCTCCTCTCCGCCGAAGTCCCTGCTCCCGCCTCCGCCCAAAAGACCGTGATCCAAGGCCGCCGCGAGGCCGTCCACATCATCACGCAGCAAGATGACCGCCTGCTCGTCATGGTCGGGCCCTGCTCCATCCACGACCCAGCGACCGCGCTCGAGTACTGCGCGCGCCTCAAGCAGGTCGCCGACCGGCTCAGCGGCGACATCCAGATCATCATGCGCGCCTACCTCGAGAAGCCGCGCACGACGGTTGGCTGGAAGGGCCTGATAAACGACCCGGACATCGACGAGAGCTACCAGATCAACAAGGGCCTGCGCGTCAGCCGGAAGCTGTTCTGCGATCTGACGGCCCAGGGCATGCCTATTGCTAGCGAGATGTTGGATACCATCTCCCCGCAGTTCCTGGCGGATCTGATCTCGCTCGGGGCTATTGGTGCGCGTACTACGGAGTCACAGCTACATCGTGAGCTGGCATCTGGTCTCAGTTTCCCAATTGGCTTCAAGAACGGCACGGATGGTGGGTTGACGGTGGCTGTGGATGCTATTGGTGCTGCGGCGGCGAAACACCATTTCATGGGTGTGACGAAGCAGGGTCTCGCTGCTATTACTCGGACGGCTGGGAACGATCACTGCTTTGTGATTCTCCGAGGTGGTACTAAAGGGACGAACTTCGACAAAGAAAGCATCAAAGCTACGAGGGAGGCCTTGAGAAAGAAGGGCGTGAGGGAATCTATAATGGTTGACTGTTCTCATGGTATAATAATCCCTACCCTTAAATCTGCTATTACTTACCGATATTGCAGGCAATTCGAACAAAAACCACCGCAACCAACCCCTTGTCGCCCGATCTGTAGCAGAGCAACTCCGCGAAGGTGAAACCGGCATAGTCGGCGTCATGATTGAGTCCAACATCAACGAGGGCAACCAAAAGGTGCCCGCTGAAGGTCCCGCTGCCTTGAAGAAGGGCGTCAGCATCACCGATGCTTGTATCGACTGGGAAACCACTGTGACGGTACTCGACGACCTAGCGGCTGCGGTACGGGAACGAAGAACTAAAAACAGTGCCATCAACGGCACCCACTAGACGTCAATTCCCTTCAAAGTTTCACACTACCAGACTCAAAAACTGTCCTTCATACCATGCATATTCGCTTCATACCGGGAAACCAAAAGTTCCGTTTGGGTAGGGATTTTTTAAAATAAGAACCGGTGTTTTGGGATATCCGGCATAATTTGTTCAAAACCATACCAACATCTTCGCTCCTGCGTAATTACTTCAATTGCTTGAGACCCAGAAATCTATTCCATGACGTGCCGTGCCGTTGCGCCTAGCAAAATGTCGACAGGCCCAAGTCAACTCCGCGTTTGAGCCAACGCTTGCTTAAAACATTCGTATAATACACTCCCCGCCCTCTCCCACCCTCCTTACCCACCCTCCACCTCTCCCTGGCCCGCTACACAGGCAGCTCTGAATTCCTTGCCCCCGCGCCCACCCGCTCCAACACCATGGTGATGTACGGCCCAACCACTGGTATGTTCCCCGCAAACCCTACGATACGTCAGCAAAGCACCTTTCAAACCTCTTAACCTCCCCATTTCCCCCCCTCCCCAATCTCCTCCATAACCCCTGCTCGTATGAAAAACGTGGGGCGCGCGTACCAGCAATCGTAGCAAAGAAGTCCCCAAACAGCACAAAGATCCCATACAGCTCGACCAGAAACCCGACGAACGGCCACCGGAGCAGGATCAGCAGGATGCCGGCCGCGAAGGCGGCGGTGCCTTTTAGCTTCTGGCGGCGCGCGAAGAAGAGGGCGGTTTTTTGAAAGCCGATTATGCAGGTGAGGCCGATGAGGAAGAGGATGTTGCCCATTGCGAGCCTGGGGAGAAGAGGGGGTTAGTTAGAAGGGAGGTAGAGGGGATGGGGGGATTGAGGGGGTGTGAGGGGAATGGGAACGTACATGGCGCGATCAAAAAACATCATGACGCCGCCGAGCAGGAAGAAACCGCCTGAGTCTCGCGTTTAGGATAGCTGGTTTGGGGAGAGAGGGGTTGCGTGTCGTACCTACCCCCAGAGCAGAATGCGACTCCGATTTCTGCGGAAGGAAGTTAGCAATGTGGGATTGAGTTCGGTGGGGGGAGGCGTACTTTGCGAGTCTGAGAGCCACATGGTAGGCATTTTGGCGGGCTGGTTCGTGGGTGAGGTTTGCGGAGAGGCGCGAGGAGGAGAGGTGGTTATGTTGAGAAGACGCGATGGTGTTCTTTAGATTGGCTGCGGCGCAGGTTGATGACCGGGGTTTTGCCGGCGCGAGATTAAAAGATGGGATGAAAAGCTTGGCTGGACTTTCCTCTGTTCTTCCTCACTCGAACTCAAAGGGCATCAATACTTTGGCTGGTTAGGTGTATATTATTGAGCTGAGAGCTGCTGGATCAAGCTCTTGTATGGATCGTAAGGCTTATGTATCTTCTTCCATCCGGTCTGGTCGGAATGCCTCCGGGAAGCTGCAAGATGGGTGCCTACATACAAGGAACACCTGTTCAATGGCTGGAGGCATTGGTGGTATAGTATAAGTCGAAGCCTGGAGGCCGCGTCCCGACATATGTAGGTCATCAAGGATAGTATCGCTAGGTAGGTAGCAATTGCGAAGCTTGCCAGTCACCTCTTTTCATATCCCATCTCAACTCCATCAAAATACCAAATGAATTCAAAACCCGCCTTGACGACAGTAGCTGTCCTTGCTACTGTAACTACGATCTCCTCCCCATGTGATCCTGGTATTCCGTCTTGGCGAAGAGCGAAAAATCTCAGACCGCCATAAGCCGGAGCGTCCTCTTGAGCCATGCTTTGAAAGAAGCTTGGTGGGTGGAGTGAGCTTGATTTGGAGAGTCGAACATATTCCGTTTCCCTTCAAACTGGTTTCAAGTGACCTGTCACGCTCGACTTGCAGGTAGGTAGACTCGTCGCAAAAAAAAAGTCCAAAAAGAGAACAAAAACTTCAACACTCCAAGGCCTCGAACTCCTAACTCTCAAATGGCAAAACAGGAAGGCGATCCAGCGACCCCTACGCCTTAGACTATAAGGTCGCATTACGGGCTGGCTGAATAGGCCACATCTGTTTATGGGAGGCACCCAAAAATAATAGAAATATATAGACTGATTAAGGTTGGACCCTGAGAATTGGGATCTCAACAAACGCGCGCCCCGGTGCTCAGACCCTATCACGTCATCACAAATCGGCCATCTCACTTCAGCACGTCGCGATAGTGGCGAGGCAGCGCTCGAAGCTATTGTAGATGCACGGCTCACAGTCGCCTTTGCGCTGCCACGAAGTCCAGGCATACTGCCGCCGACAGCCCAGCTGTCACTGCGCACAATTCTCTGGAGTCGCAATCTTTTATGGCTATAAGCTATAGCTTTTCTTGTAGTCTATAAGTAGCAGTCTGTCTCGATAGAATCTGCACATCGATTGACCTACGTCACCGAAAGCAGATTCACGTTGCCAAAGATAGTCCCGACGACAGTGTCCCAGGGAGTAGGCCTCGAGGTGCCTCAGACTTGAGGGATGGAATCTTACCTACGGTCTTAGTGTGTCCAGTCGGAGTCGTGGAGTTCGGGAGTCAATGAGAATATTTTGGCTTGAAGGCTCGGCTGTAGATTTCGACGTGAAAAGACACACACGATGTCTTAAGAGGAGGTTGCAAGCGAAAATTTTGTGAATTCTGTGCTAGCACCGTACCGATTATATGTGATGTGAGGAGTCATCCCAGCATTTAGCGCTTTATAAATCTCAGATTCCCAATGAAGGTGATCTTTTCAATCAATGAGATTGTAGTTCAGGATTGTCACCCAGTCGGGTTATTTAGTCGTTCAAATTCAAGAGCAAACTAGATCAGATCATGTGCCTTTCCAACTGGATAGAGCGCAAATGACAGGTATGATTGTATGTTGCATGTACGTACTCTCGACGTCCCTACTCGGCTATGGTAATTCGAATACTTTTGTCCTTGCTCTTTGCCGGGTCTATGACTCTCACACTAGCTACCAACCAGGCCGACATCTTAGTCGACGTACTTTAGGTGGCATAGCCAGCAGCCGGTGCAAAGTTAGGTTCTCCTACGGCTTCAAAAGTGCCATTTGGCAAGCGGCGGAGAGCATTCAAATCCGCTCCACGTTCAGCGCAAGTGATATTATGCCCTAATCCTCTCAGGAAAGCAGCGGTTGCATTGTTGTATCGATAATTAAGTTCCAAGTTGTTTGGAATTAGCTGATCGTGGAATCTCGGTATGTCGAGCGCAGTGTAAAGATCCATCCGACGATCCAAGACATTCCAAAGGCCTTGGATTACAGCCGTGATGATATGCGAGCCTCCTGCGCCTCCTAAGGCGTAATAGAGGGTGTTGTTTGAGAGAAACTCGACGATAACGGGAGCCATCGACGAAAGTGGTCGCTTTTCCGGCCGTACAAAGTTTGCAGGTGACGGGATATAGCCAAAAGCGTTCGAAACTCCAGGAATGGAAAAGTCGTTCATTTCGTTGTTCATGATTATCCCGGTTTCGGGCACCATAACAGTGGATCCGAGCCAAAGATTGATTGTACTGGTCAAAGAGACCGAAAGACCTGATGCATCGGCGGTGACAACATGAGACGTGCCTGGAGTTTCAATTGATTCAAAGCCGCTTGGATTATATGCTGACACTGGCAATGTATGCTGGTCGGATATCTTAGAGCGAACTTGGCGACATATTCCGGAGAAATTAACTTTTCGTCAAAAGTAGTAGTGTTACTCATGAAAGCCGGATCACCGAGCTCCGTCCTCTGTTTATCGTAGTCAATTACGATCCCTTGCCAGTTGGTGTGGCCATCTACTCACCGCTCCGAATGCAAAACGAATGGCTTCATCTAGTCTGTGTGTACTGATGTTCAACATGGAATGATCGCCAATTGGCTGTACCCTTCGACTGTTTTCAGGACGCTCAGGACAACCGCGCCGCCACTAGGGGCTCCCATAGATGTAATTTTGAAGTTACGATAAGTGATTGACATGGGCTCTCGCTCGATGACGTGGTAATTCTTGAGATCATCTAGGGTCATTGTTCCGTTTGTCGCCCGCAAAGCACGAATAGTAGCTTCCGCTATGTCACCTTCGTAGAAGACGTCAGGACCTTCCTTTGCCACTCGCTCGAGCACAGCTGCGAGCCTCTTCCTAGTGAGTGTATCGCCTAGCCCAAGCAGCGTGCCGTTCGGCGCAAAGTCCACTGCCCAAGCTGGATCTTCCGTAAGGAATTCAGGATTGTCGACCCCTTCGAAAACTTCAACCAAAGACTCATCTGCAATGAAACCATCTCGTGCGATTCTGATGGACGGTTCCACCAAGTCTGCCCATGGCAAATACCCGTACCGCTCGTAAAGATGCTGTAATCCTCTCAACTCACCGGGTACACCGCTTCGAACAATCAGCAAATGAATCGACAGAGTCATAAACAAGTACCTAGCCAGCCCTCCAGTCAAAGAAGCCTCTTCATCATTGACATACATGTCCTCGAATGCCGCAGCTGGAGCAGTTTCGCGGAAGTCGATGGCCTCATAGGTCCCATTCGGGGCTCTGATGACCATGAAACCTCCCCCGCTGAGGCCTGTTGATTCCAATCCTAAACTAACAATTAACAGAGCCTTGTTATTGGATGATGATGCATACCAATCACGCCTACGCAGAACTCTGTCGCAATCATCTAGTAGGATTAGGTGGGGCTCTCCATAGCACAAATGCACCACTCACTGCGTCTGCGGCATTTCCGCCCTTTCGCAGAATATCAATACCAATATCACTGCAGCGAGCACTCATCGAAGTGACGGCCCCCAGCTTGGCCTCACCGTGGTCATGCGACGTATGGGGCTTGTTGACATCGACAGGCAGATGCGTGGCCCACGAATTAAGCTTCGAGTAGGATAGGATAGTCAGGACAGAAAGGAAACAAACGAAGCAGGCCATAGCGAAGGACTTTGGGATGCGAAGGGGCCGAATGGTGGGCAGCTCCATTAGGGGAGAAGGAAACGAGGGAGGGGGGGCCTGCTTGTGGAATTCTCGATATTCGGCTGATAAAAGAGAGGGTTGAGTTGATGGTAGAGTCGTCAAGAGGAAGTTAGAAAAGGAAGAGGCGAAGGAAAGTAGAGGGCTGTCTGTTAATCACGAGGCTTCCGCTGAACCGCGGAACGCCTGCCGCAGTAGGTGGAGCTTGTTCCGCGCGTTAAAGCAGCTGTAGAGAGACAGTTGCCGAGAGGCAGTCGCGGAGGTTGTTGTTGACGGGCCCCTGAGCTCCTTCTCGGGGCCTTGTTAAGTTGAAGCTTAGAGACTGGCGACTCTTTTAGGACGACGCGCCTGTCTCTAAGCTAGTTCTTCGGCGACTATATTAAAAGAGCTCTCGACTGTCGACGGTTAATTGATCGTCTTCCTTCGATCGCTAATCCTTATTTGATGCGTGAGGAGGCTCTAGTAAGGTGGAGGCTCCGTAGGCCGTGGGATCGTCTGTCGGCACTCCGGTACGAGGATGAGAAAGGCCTTGTGCACCCATCGCATATGGAACCGGGGCAGGTGCTCATGTTCCCCGACTGGGCCTCACTGCGTGCGTTGTCTTCAAGCGAGGCTATTGTGCAATGTTTCGTGCATGAGAACGTCAGCCTCTATCGTACACTAGAGCATCCGACCGATCGTTGCCCAAGAAGCTGTTTTTAGAGAGTGGTGTCGACGGCGAGAGAGGCGCATTCGCTCACGTTTCTTTGTGCATTTGAACTCGAGTTCTATCTGCTTCAAGAAAACAGCAGTCCTATGAGTGACCACGAAAGTGTGTCGCATTCATCGGAGCTGATACCCTGGTGCTCCTCGCAAAGACTGCATGGTGGAAGAGCGGATTGTCTTCGCAAATGTATGCTTGCGCTAGAAGATACAGAGATTTTCGTCGAACATGGACATGCCGAAGGATCAATTTACCAATTCGAAATATCCACTGGGCCCCTCGAACCTCTGGCCGCTGTGGACGCCTTCTATGCATCCCGAGACATAATCAAGAGAACGGCGTTGAACAGTGGCTACCAAGCAACATTCATCCCGAGACCGATGTTGGACTCCTCGCCATCTGGTTTGCATTTGAATCTCTCAGTTCACTCTTCCACGGCATCATATCTTAAAAGTTCCGAGGGAAGAGTCGAAGCAAATGTAGCTGACATGTTCCTTGCTGGGATACTGACCAGGCCTCCGGCTCTTTGCGCCATCAGTATGCCTAGTTCGCAGAGCTACCTGCGCGGCGCCACATATGAGACCATGGGCGAGTTCGTAGCTTGGGGCAAATCCAACCAATCCGTTGCTTTGAATGAAAGAGCACGAGGCTATTGGGAAGTGAGGTCTCTGGACTGCTCGGTAAATGTTCATCTGGCTGTTGCCGCTTACATTGGGGCTGGGATACTTGGACTGGAAAAGAATGAGGCGCTACCATCGAAGGACCCCGTTGTCGCAGTCGAAACCCTTCACCCTAAGGACCGGTCGTCCCTTGGGATTACTAAACGCCTTCCGGCATCCCTGGAGGAGGCTTTACTAGAACTTCAGGAGCAGAAGGCGATCGATTTAGAAAGTGTTCTTGGGTGCAGAATGCTAGAGCTCTACCAAGAAGTTAAACAAGCCGAACTGAGAAGATTTAGGAAATGGGAGGACGAGAAGAAAAGGGAGCTATACATGTTTCATTTCTAGCATTTTTTGTATACCTACTTATTCGTAATATACCCCTCTTTGCATATGAGTGAACAAATAGACAATAGAAAATCGAAGGTAGTAGAAGTGAAAGTCTAGAAGTAACGTGTATATTGGTTGAAAGTCGGACCTTGAACATTAGATCACAACAAACGCGCTCAGGCCCCATCACGCCATCGAACGGGCTCTCGCGCTTCAACATGTCGTCGCTCTTCATCATGTCGGCGATGGTGTCAAGGTCTTGCTCGACGCCCTCACAGGTACACGGCTCGTAGTGGCCTTTGCGCAGCTACGAAGCCGGCGCATCCGGCTGCTCGCGATGCTGGGGAGCGTGGAGGGGATTTCGGCCCCTTCCGCGCCGAGAAGCACCTTGAAGTCACGAGCCACTGCAGAGTAACGAAGGTATCGAGGAAGTATCGTTGTAGCCTTTGCCCGCTCATGGGTAAGGTAAGTTGGCCATACTTTTCGTGTCCTTTCACACTGGTGTCTCTCAGCGCTCTTCTGACAGTGTCACCTTGAGCTCCCCCTTGACTACGAAGTTCTCACATGCCCTCCACATCGTGTGTTTCGTGTCCGTGAGCCGATGTGCTTCCCCTTAATTTAGAGGGTTTTTCTTCCTTCGTATGTGTTACCTGACGTAGAAAACATTGTAGCAATCAAGCGGTTAAAGTGAGTGCGGCGCAGAGAGACAGCCTGCAGCCTTGGGGCGCCATCCACCACAGACGGCCGACAGGCAATTGAGGAGTGAAAGGGAAACTTGGGTGCTGTAGCCTCAGTAAGTAGAACGGAAGCTCAGCTCACGGCCTAATGAGCGATAGAGGTCGACTACACAGCTAGCTCGTCTGAGTATAGAGTTGCAAAGAGCCGCTGCCCATGAAGCAATGCTAAGAGCCTAAGGGGGTCTCAGCATCAAGATAGTGAATGAGGAGGGAAAAGGAAACCCGAAGAGTCTGCTCCATCAAATTCGGAGGCCGGGTAACCACATGATCCCACTTTATTCCTTGTCTAAGATCGCAATTCTGAAATCAAGTCTCCAGTCGACAGAGCGCTACACACTAGTCTTCCTCCTAAATCACTTATCCAATGCGTCATCCCATCCGCCACAAGTATCTCAGCCTCCTATCGGAAGCATGTATCACATCCTAGTTTTGCAAAGTCCCCCATTTTGAGAAAATTGGCTAATCCTATTCCGGCCCAAACCGCGAGGTATGCACGAGCTCGCGCGTTGGGCCACATGCGGAAAAGTAGACCTCATATCAGGGATTCCATCTCTACAGCATATCATTCCGTCCAATGACCCAGCGCTACAATCAAGCCACAAAATTGCCGTGTAAGGGAGTGTTTCTGGACGTCTATAAAGGGGAAAAAGCAGCCTCCTAGCCAATTAATCTTCAAGATAGTTCAACATTAACCCAGAGAAGGTGGTTTACCATGGCTCACTCGGTTTTCGCGCTAGGTCACCGGATGTGATGATATGCTGTACCATCCTCCTACAGCACCTTCGTTTATACCCCATGCTGTGTGTATAGCTTATCCCAATATGACCCAGACCGCGACGTACACATGCGCTCGCGCTCTGGGCTGAAATTGGAAGAGTCCATGTCCTGTCAGGTGTGTTACACTAGCTTCCTATTATCAAATTGCCCCTCATTTCCCGTGTTGAATAGGTATAAACTTCCCATTGCAGCCCGGAGTGCGAGCTTACTATACAATTCGCGCGTTGGGCTACAACGGGAAGAGTGGATCTCTTGCTATGAGCTCTAGTCCATGCTTTTGAGCTTTGAAGCCTTGCGCAAAGCCCATGTTGAGGAGGTTAACTGCTCCTAATATGGCCCAGACCGCGACGAAACCCTTCTCACGAAGTCAACTCGCGCTTTTAGCCATATCGGGAAGAGTAGATCTCCTACCAGAGCGCGAAGTATGAAGTGAGCTCGCGCTATGGGCCATAACGGGAATGGCAGCCTCGTCGCTAGGGGTATTTTGCCTATGTCGAGAAGATAAACTTGCCCTATTCTGGCCCAGAACGCGAGCAAAGCCCTTGTATACCTGAGCTCGCTCTCTGGCCTATAATGGGATGGTTTAGCCTCCCTCTGGGAGATCTTCGCACCAGGTTTCAAGCCCTGTTATCTATGGAATGCTTCTCCCAACGCTTTGGGTTAGGTCTCTTACCCAAATTTCGACTGCTATACCATGTCGTTGCACATTTACATAGGCAAATAGGGTATGCACTCCACAGTTGGTTTTGAGTCTACAAAATAGGTCTTATACAATTGGCTTCACAAATTTGAAGAGTTCGAGAAGGTAGAGATGCCTTTACAAAGTATCTGCAACATCCTTACGTAAACCCCACTTCTCCAGTCTTTCCACGATCCGCATCTTCATCTAGACTTGGTACTCTCCACAGATCCCTTCCGACCATCTCCGCTCGTCTTCACTGCTCACCATCAAGCCTTCTTAAACCTCTCTCTCACCGAGAACATGTCTACGCCCTCGCTCGAAAGTTGACCCACCATCATTAGTCTCCTCCCCAACTTCGCCTCCACCATTCCGCGCGAGAAACCGCACTTATACTCCCTCCCATCAAAGGAATCGTTGACGCTTGTTGATATCCCTTCCACCAGACCATTGCTCGTTTCGCATTGTGGAATTTACATCCTCCCTCGAAACCCTCCCACCAGCCGGTGGATCCCCTGAGAGGGTTGGAAGGCCTTCGCGGAAGTCTATCAAACCTGCGAATTCGAACTGTCTTTGTCTAGCTTTGAAATCTGGGGGCGAGGAGGAGGAGGTTTTATAGCTGGTGGAGATTGGGAGACTAGTGGAGGCACCTGGGGAGCAGGTGCTTTTGGTTTTGTTGTTGGCGTGCTCTCGGGTTTAAGGGAAAGTGGGGACATTCACTCCATTTCAGTCATCTACATAGTATGTTCCTACCACAAAACTCTGTGTACGTTGGATTCTCGCTGTCATAGATACCAGAAGCCCGAAGCAAGTATATCATGCCTTTGCTGTATAATAGAGGATAGGGTTGTCCGAGGTGTTCGATTTGACAGTCCGCAGTCCCCGCCTACCACTCCCACCACTCCCGCTCCCCTCAGACAGCACTCATACCCTGTATATACCAGCACAACGACCCCACTCCAGCGTCTCAACCTCCATCGCCAGCCCCCATCATCGCCCCGGCCTCTGATTCTTCCCCACAAACCCCCCTCACGCCCCTAAACGTCGCCGCCGGCACTGCAAACACATCAATATCCACCCCATCCGGCGTCTCATCCTCCACCCCATCCGGCCATCTCAACCTCCTCCTTCCTCCCCTCCTCCCCGTCGCCATCATTCAACTTTCCCTGGACCGCGCCATAGTTGACGGTGGCAGCCTACTCGCCAACTACGCCCTGCAGGTCTACATCGCGGCTTCTTCTACGTCCCGCTCATCTTAATGCTAGCGGCACTGCTGCTGGTGCTGTTGAATGATAGGACTCAATATCCGGCGGAATAAAGGAGCCGACGCTATCATAAGAGCGATACGGACTGGGATATACTGCTAGAAGACGCGGTATGGGATGTCGAGGGCAAACATTCCTGCATTGCGGAGGACACGCGCGGCGCGGGGGATGTAGTGGATGCCGTGAAGGTGAGCAGGAAAAGAAGAAGATAGTGCTTGCTTTGGATGAGGTCGGGACATGACGTCAGCGATCGTGGTAGCTCTCATGAGAGAAATCCTTGGAGTTGGGAGCTGTGAAGCTTGGGAGCTGAAGGCGTGGTAGTAGAGGCATGAAGTACAGAAAAAGAAAGTATCTCGCGACTCTCAACGACGGATCATCGGTACGGAGGTACAGCCGTCCCAATACTTGGCCTCTGCAGTAACGGAAAGAAGAGTGGACTCTGGAGGAATATTTCTAAAGTCGGACAAAAATAGTCAATGCAAATTCAAACTCCAATCACAGCAGGAGTTGTAGCGGATTCCTGATTAACAAAGCACGGTCATGTTTCCAGCCAATCGAAGGATGTAAAGAATTCGGGAAGAAGTCCCTGATTCCTTACCGCGCCTCCTATAGCCGCAAACATCGTGGACCCAACGTGTTGCTTCCTAAACTAAATCCACAGCACTCGGGCGTGTTTACAGAGTGTTGGCACAATGTTAACAGCTTGTTAAAACGATTAAGCAAGCGCGTTGTGCCGTGAACCGCCTTTTAGGAAGCAACAGCGTAGGACCTCCGTGGTTGCCAATGTTGAGAACCGGTACCGGCGCGGGAAGGTTCAGTTATTGCGACGCGAGAGCACTTCACACAGTGACGAGAAGGGACTTTTTTGATCATGTTTACTACATATATGACGGCCAGTCTCGTAACCCGGGCGAAGACTGAGCCGTCTGTTACCGATTGCTCCACGCTTCCTTCTATGTTGAGTGACCTGAAAGTGAGCCTGAAAATGCAGCACGAGAAAGGGAGAAGAAAAGAAAAGGAAAGAATTAGATTGAGCCGTGGCTAGCCCAGTCAGCTCGCATGAGCTTTTTGAAAACGCCTTTTATCAGAGAGGAAAAGGAGACACGTGATTCAGATCATGGGAGAGACAGCGGAGTAATGTTCGCAGAGGGTGTCTGGCCTTCGATCAGTTCAGCCATACAGAGGCCCGTACCGGGGGCTTGGGAGATGCCTGAAGGGTAAGCGTTAGCATGAAACGAGACTTGTCGAGGAGTTTCGAAAACTCACCCCATGCGCCGTGTCCAGCAGCGACAAAGACCCCGCCTTCGGCTGCTGGACGAGTGGTGAGACCGCCGCCGAGTTTCTCATCTGGAACGCGTGCGATGATGGGTCGACCGCTGGAAGTTACTGGGCGGAAGCACTGCGAAAAATGAAGTTAGCCATTGTTCTCATTCTTGTGACCCGAAGCCCACAAGCGTGAAAAGACGTACAAGTGAAGCCCTAAGCACTTCGATCGCCTCCCCACCCCCTTCCAGCCCCAGCATGACCGCCGCGCAATCTCGCAACTGATTGATAGCCGTTTCATTAATCTCAATATCGGTTGCGACCTCCGGTAGTTTGATCTGCGTGGTATTTAAACCCGCGATGTAGAGCTCCCCGCCGAGGCGACTGAACAACTCCGGCGAGAACCCAAGCGTGTCGGTTGCAAAGACGGCGTAGCAGTCTTTGTCGGCGTCTGTGGCGGCGTTGTAGGTGGGGTTGCGGAAGAGTAGAGCATGGCCGGCGAGTGGAGCGATGGGGATCCGAGCTTTGGAGGAGGGGAACAGCGTGGAGAAGACTTTTGGAGCCCAAGAGCCGGCCGTTATGACGAGGCGGGTGCAGGGGACTTGGAGGTATTAGTGGCAGGGCTCCAGAGTAAGTTGAGGGAATGAGGGGACAAACGGTCAGTTTCCGTGCCGTCGGCGGTGCAGATACGGACGCTGGCAAGTTGGCCTTTCACGTCTTTGGAGACAGAGAGGGCGCGAGCAGGTTGGTGGAATTGCACACCGCGCGAGCGACATTCGTCGAGGAGGAAATGGGAGAAGCGGAGCGGGTCGCTGTGAAGTGTTAATGTTTGTCAATTGGATAGGTCGCGTGCCTTTGGGTAGACATATTGAAAATTTGGGACGACGAGGCAGTCTCAAAGACAGCTTCAACTTACATTTGTGCCGTACTGTTTTCCCGGCTGATGACCTCCAAGCTTGAGCCCTCACTCACAGCTAGCCACTCAGGCCCATTTGCATTGCCAGGCGCGCGAGCTCCAGAAGCCTGCGCACGACTAGTGCCATTTCGTAGGAAGTCTTCTCCGCTTCCGCCGACAACGTCACTGTCTGAGCTGAGGGAGGTTCCAGTGCTGAGGCTGTAACCCCATCTCTTTCTTCCGTTGTACTTCTCGGCGAGCTCCTTGTGCAATTTGAAAGACAATGCTCCAAGGGGAGCCACTGACGGCGCAAACCCTGGCGCGAATGGTGAGCATACTGCTCGAAAGAAGGGCAAAGTACTTACAATCAGCAGCCAAGAAGCCCCCGGCAAGGCCTGAAGCGCATTGAAAGAGTTCAGGCGAGGACTCGACGAGGTGAATGCTTTGCGCCTGCGTACGCGGCGACTGGGAGAGGTAGTAGGCAGTTGAGCATCCTACGATGCCGGCGCCAATGATCACGGTGTTGGACATGGTGAGTATTCGAAGATGCAGTGAGCACAGCGGGCGAAACACGGGAGTAGGACGGCCATGGTGGTATTAAGAGTCGCGGCAACAATGGGCTGAAATAATGGCATGCGGAACGGAGAAGTCGTACGATATCAAACGCTTTTTGCCGAGTGACGTTGGAAATGGGCCCACACCCCACCTCAGGCGCGCCAGATGATCGCCGCGGAGGGGTTCCGGCCGCCTTTGTGTGCCCTCCTGCGTGTCTCAATACATGTCTGAGCTTCATTATTGGGCTCAATCGAGGTTGACGATCACGTCCATATTGCGCGGTGGAGTTCTGGCCGGAAACATCTGACTTGCTGTCTCACAACACCCGCGAAAAGCCACTCCGAAACGCCATGGCTTCACAACCAGGCAAGGTCGTGATATTGACCGGCGCGTCCAGAGGTACGGTGCCCTCCCGCTGCTATTGGCTATGCTTAAGCCGTCGTCTCCGTGTGATTGGAGCACATAGCTGCTATCGCTTCTTCCCTTGGTCGTATGAATACACTGACAGCTGAACGCAGGCATCGGGCTTGCAATCGCCCACTTCCTCCTCAAACAGAAATGCAACCTCGTCGTGGTAGCCCGTAGCAAGGAGCCACTCGAGGCTTTGCGAAAAGAATATCCGGACCAAGTGCAGGTGCTTGCTGGAGATCTTTCCGACTTCTCGTTAGGACATCAGGCCGTCGAGCTCGCGACTTCGACATGGAGCGAAGTCGACGCCCTCATCCTCAATCATGGCGTTCTCGACCCCGTTAAGAGAGTTAGCGACACAGACGCTGAAGAATGGAGATCCTCATTTGATGTCAACGTCTTTTCAGTTGTGGCACTGGTACGTCGAAAGAATATATGTATTGCTATTGAAGATTTGCTAAAAGGTAGATGTAGGTGAAAGCTGCTCTTCCGGCGTTACGGGCTACCCATGGGCGCATCATATTCACGTCATCTGGCGCAGCAGTGAGTTCATACTCTACCTGGGGTGCTTACGGTAAAATTCATCGTCCTTCTGCCCTATCTTCATCGCGCGAGGTGACGAAGTCTCAGTCAATGCTGACTAGATGGACAATAGGTGCGTCAAAGGCCGTCCTCAATCACATGGCCAGCACCCTAGCCACAGAGGAGCCCAAGGTGACGACTCTCTCCGTCCGTCCCGGAACTGTGGATACGGAAATGCAACGAGAGATACGAGAGCTGCATCATAGAGCCATGGATAAGAAAGACGCAGAAAAGTTCGCAAGCCTACACTCCAGTGGTACTCTCCTGAAGCCCGAGCAGCCTGGTCATGTCATTGCTCGGCTGGCTCTGGATGCGCCGAATGATCTTAGTGGAAAATTCCTGAAGTAAGTCGTACGAGGCTCAATCGAAGGCATGTGCTGACATCACGCAAGCTGGAACGACAAGGACTTGGCGAAGTTCCAGGAGACTTGATCAAGAGATGGAGGGGATAGCTTGCCCGCATTCATGCCCTATGCGACTAAGTCAGCCGAGGTCATAGCACGATAGTTGTAAAAGTGAGAAGAACAAATCAAAAGCATATCAGTCGAAAGATGAAAAGTCTCGAATCATTGTAACACCATGAGGCCGCGAAGCCTTCAGTCTTAGCATGGAATGATTGTGTCATCATAGCGAGGGGGTTACGGAAAAGCATGAGAGGCGCTTACCGAAAAGGCACGGCCAGGCTGTGAGACAATGGTAACAAATAGCACCTGAAATAGCACCTGTACTTTGAGGAAGTCAGCGTCGTATTCCAAAAAAGATCGCTCGAGAGAGTGGCAAGAAACAAACGTGTCAGATAATCGAACTTAGTTGATTCGTCATTAGATTCCGAATTTGATAGTACAAGGTTTACTCATCATGTTGTGTATGTGTGGGGGAAGAAGAGCGAATGAGACGTACCTTGCGGTCTCAGGCACAAACATGCGGGTTAGAAGACGGCACCTACGTGGTGGGACAGCATCATAGGCTCCAATGGATGTTGCCTCGTCGACCAGCAAGGATGGACTACTACTCCGAGATACGATGGGTCGCGTTGTACAGCTCTAATCTTCCAGCGGCTCGACGAGAGCTCTTCTAGTATAACGCGACTCTACCTCAATGCGTGTACGGTTGTGGCATGATCGAATGCATCATGTTTCGTGACTGTGGGAGGAGCATCGCCAGCGATGAAGAAATTTCTGTTCGCAGTCAGTTTCTGCGCACAACCCATGATTTGGAAAAATTGCGGGTGTGATAGGTATCTCAGAAGATTCCGTTTGGCTTAGGATGGTCGATCATCAGAGGAGTAAACTCCATAGTATGATAGGGGCGACACGAATGCTCATCATCGAGGTGGACGTGAAGGAGATTTTGGGTGGAGCTTACCTTGAGACGTGGGCTCGTCATCGCGGCCATGAGTACACGTAGACGAGCAATGCATCACTACCACATGCTACTGAAGAGGTAGATGCAGCGGGGGTGATGCGGACGCGGGTGGTCGAAAAAAAGTGTGATGTGTTGGAGAAGAAAATCAGAGATGAGGTCGCGGATATTATTCCAGGACCGGGCTTGGCGGCGGTGGTGGCCCGAGCGCCCCGAACTAGGCACGCTTAAAGAAAGGAAGGAACCTCAGCTTCCAGCACATATAAGAGCTCCCACGTCGCCCGCTATTCTCGAGATGCGCGCCCCACCCACCACCATTTACACCTCTGCCCGTCGCGCATCTCGCTCCACCAACGTGCCTTGAACACAGCCCCTACATCTTTTGCGAATATGTCTGACCGCGAGTTTGGGGGTAAGCCTCGAAGAATTCCCATTCCTTTCAACCGTTAAAGAAACTAATTCGCGTTTGCGCAGGAAATGATGAGCTCTCACTTCCGAAAGGTATGCGACTTCTTAGAAACCGGCCCCATACGCGCGAATTTACTAACTCCACCGATAGCCACAGTCCAGAAGATCATCACCGAGATTCTCCACTCCGACCCAGGCGTGACGTTTGCCAAAGACACGCGCGACCTCCTCATCGAATGCTGCGTAGAGTTCATTACTCTCATTTCCTCCGAGGCCAACGAGATAGCTGAGAAAGAGGCGAAGAAGACGATCGCCTGCGAGCATGTCAAGGCAGCGCTTGAAGAGCTAGATTTCGGCAACTACGTGCCTGCCATCCTGGAAGTAGCGGCGGACTACAAGAAGACCCAAGCTGTATGTTCTCTCCTCCCTCAGGCCTAGCATAGAGACCATGCTAACATGCCGTGCAGAGCCGTGAAAAGAAGCAGACCAAGATCGAGCAGAGCGGCATGACGGAGGAGGAGTTGATACGACAACAGCAGGAGCTATTCCGCTCCGCGACCGACAAGTTCAACTCTGGTCCGCAGTGATCGAATTCGGAGGGTATGTTTGCTTGCACTGGCGTTTTGTGGAATGTGCTTTACTTCCGGCGTAGGGACTGGGTCTTCGGGAGTGGTTGTGAAAACCGGCGTACAATATAGGCATCGCGGTGCCTGCGTGCAAGCGTATGGGCCGAACTGGCGTTTTGATTACCTTGGCACATGATGGCATGAGGCCTTACTTCAGGTTACTTCATTTGAATGCGACAAATGCAAAGGGCTACTTGCTTCAGCATCTTCACATGAACCAGCCTTAGTGAAGTCAAGATGATGAAAAGCGAATACTACTGAAACTTCAGGCGTAAAACTAGATAGATCGTGAAAGTTGAGCTGAGGGGCTGTCACATGGATGGAGCAGCGGATGACGTTCCAAGGTTGGCGCCGTGACTTTCTTGAGGCGAGCCTCGCGTTGCGCGCCCGCAGAACTAACCACCTACCTAGGCTTCCTCCACCAACCACTATCAATAAAGGACCTCCCCTTCTACAACCCACAAACTTAACGTCCATCATGTCCGGCTTAGAAAAGGCTCTTTTCAACCTCAAGTTCACGACGAAGCAGTTAAACCGGCAAGCGGCAAAGGCGGGCAAAGATGAGACCGCCGAGAAGGCCAAGCTAGAGAAGGTATGCGCCCTGCGGGATATTCACATCATGACTCCACTCACGAGACTCCCCAGGCTATGAAAGCAGGTCACAATGATATCGCCCGCATCTACGCCCAGAATGCCATCCGGAAATCAAACGAGAAACTCAACCTCCTCCGGCTCGCTTCCCGCATCGACGCTGTCAGCAGCAGAGTGCAAACCGCAGTTACAATGCGACAAGTTACTGGCAGCATGGCGAATGTAGTAAGGGGCATGGATTCGGCCATGAAGGCCATGGATTTGGAGAAGGTGCGCAAGAATGGTATATCGCTTTTGGACACAGCAGACTGACTCCGCATTTGCAGATATCCGCCGTGATGGATAAGTTCGAGACCCAGTTCGAAGACCTCGACGTCGCGACAGGATACTACGAGAACGCGACTTCATCCGCAACCGCTGTTGGAACTCCGCAGGAAGATGTCGATCGGCTGATGAACCAGGCGGCAGACAAGGCAGGCGTGGAGCTACATCAAGACTTGGAGGCGGCAACGCCCGCGAAGACGAAGGTTGGCCCAACGGAGCAGGAGGAAGAGGGCTTGAATGAGAGGCTGAGGGCACTGAGGAGCTGATTTTGCTTCACTGGTTGTGTTGCTGAAGCCACGGAGTTTATGGGCGTCTTTCGGGGTTATGGTGATTGCCTTGCACAAATGAATGCTACGAGGGCCTCGACTTGTAGCCAAACTGCAGATTCATATATCCATCTTACTACTATCCTACGATGAGCATTCAAACAAACTACCATTTGCCAGTGAACGTGAATGCGGGGGTGGTGAAGAGGGCTCGTGCGCCGCTATTGGATCTGTTATTGGTGCCATTGTTGTACCACGAACAAACACCAACCACCACATTCATTTCCTTACTGCCATGTCACAGCCACCTGTCTTGTAGTTTTATTTAAGATTTATCTACTGTATCGCATTTACCCACACCTCCATCTCCAACATTGAACCCATGGCAAACCCAGCAGAGAACGCACCGCAGACGTCCACCGGGATGGACGAAGCCGAGTGTGTAGCCGCCCTCGCATACCTAGAAAAGCTGCAGGACCAGGTGCTTTCATTTCGACCCTTCCTATAGAAGCTGTCACTGACGATATACCAGCTTCAAGACCTCCGCCTCACAATGCCTCGCATCCTAGGCCCCCTCCGAACGCCTCACCCATCACCTGCAGCCCTGTACCAGGACTTCAGACACGCGTCTATGAGCAGCGTGAATGACCTCAAGAAGTTTCGATCAACATGGCAAAGCCCAGAGACACAAACACTGTTCGAGAAAGCCAAAGAGAGCCAGAAAGCGAATCCCGACCTCAAAGCAAACAACGATGTCCCACGATATGGCTGGACAGAGGAATATGAGTCCGCTGTGAAGAAAACAGCCAAAAGTGATGATGGAGCTTGGCCAGAGGAGTCTGAGATGGAATACCCTAGTATCCTGGCGAAGTTCAAGGAGGACCATCCGAATTTCAAGGTCACAATAGAAGCGGACAATCGAATTTTCAACGTACGACGCACACTTCCGCATACTAGTTCTCGTATTGACAGTAGTAGATTGGATATAAGGCCTCTATGCTCTATTTGAAGTTTCGCGTCGTTCGTGCCAAGGAAGCAAATACAAAGCGTAAATTCGACGTTGAAAATTCCGGGGCTATGGCTCTGTCCCCGGCCATCACTCGATGCCTAGCCTCAAGGCCTAACCCAGGTAGTCTGCGCAACTTGCTGGTTCGTCTCCATTTCTAGTTCTTCCTCCATGGTACTGATTTTTCCAGGACATGATCGCCGCATACACCGATGTTAGAAAGACGCGCTGTGCTAAGTGCACAAAGCAGGTCGATTCTTCGGGGCTGACTCCCGCTGCTCGGCGAAGGAAAGCCGTGGACAAGAGTGAAGCCCAATCTGAGACAGTTTGGGAATCCTTTCACGAAGGCTGTCTTTGACGGGCTAGTGATGGTGGGCGAATGGGAAGTCGCCCAAATCGAAATCATCAAAATCATCGAAGCCAAAGTCGTCATCGAAGTCATCCTCAGAGTCCGGCTGGTCCTGCCACCACTGTGCATTCATATCCTTGAATGCATATGGTCCTATTCTCGCATTCGGCTCGGGCCGCCACCTTACATCCATCCAAGAATTCCCCTTAGGGTAGCGATACTTGCGAGCCTTAAAGTCGTAACTTACTCCGGGTTGTCGATGTTTTTGAGTCCACGGCATCCCGCGTAACGCTCCATCTGGCCCGCGATGATCGACGTCGTTCCACCTCGCCCACCTCGGTTTCCTCTGTCGATTGTACAGGTGGTCTTTTCTGTCCGCGCTTATTGTGACATGGATATCTGGACCCTTGTTTTGGAGAATGTCTTTCCATCGCCCAGAGGTCGTTCCGCGTTTGCCGTCCTTGGGCCAAACGAAAGCGTAGTGTGGCTTCACCTTAGAAAGTCGCCGACCACCCTGATACCATCCTGATTGTACGTCCACTGGAATCGGAGGGCCTTGGAATATCTGTCCGAATGGGTCTTCGAACAAGTGGCCAGGAAGGTGGACTGGCTTTCCTCGCGGGACATACTCGGCCGGCCTACGCTCCCACGGGATATCCACAGGAACCCAATTCGGGACGTCCATCGAGTCGTTTGTCACAATGCCGATATCGTTGACGTGTTGCGCATATGATTCTATGCATATGTCAGTGAGGAAGTGACCGTTTGAATTCTCTGCAGAAGAGCACGTTGAACTTTTTAAAGAGCTATATACCATTTCCGCCTCACTTTTTCTGCCATCTTATCTACACGTTTGTACAAACAAGTTAGCTTCGGACCCACCGTGTTTTGTAAAGAATCTCGGTATCCTAGTACTTGTCCGAATGAGCATCGACAAACAGTTTTCGACTGCGCTCAAACGGCCGCAATTGCGTGCGTATGTCGAACTCTTGTGACATACGCGATCTCTGTATGCATCTCGATAGGATTTAGATTAGCTTTGGCAATCATTTTGCTCGTCGTGTCTTGATAGCATTCTCAATTAGGTAGACAGCGAATGATCAGTGGTATGTCGAGATACTTCGTAGCAAGCTCAATAGCAATCTTAAGAAACTCAGAGTATTCTTCAGAACTCTCAGGCGTGAATAATATGAGAATGAAATAAGCAGTCTCAATTAGCAGGCACATGAATTGCAGAAGTGACTCAAAATCTAGCGTTCATCAATATGCTGGCTTATGTAAAAGGCGATCCGCTGCCTGGCGTTCGCTGGTCAAAGCACAGGTAACCGTGCAGCTCCAGAAAACATACGCGATCGAAGCTCACCAGCTTGACAACTCAACTCCCACCCTCCTCACTCCACCGCAGCCCCAGCGCTCTTGGGAGACCCATCGCGCCGGTCATGTTCTCTAATCTCGGTATCACCACAGGAGCACCGCCGTTTGGTAGCAATCCTGCGACGACCTCTGGGCAATCCGGTTCATCTTTGTTTGGCAACACTGGCACCTCCTCTGCCGCACCCAACGGAGGCCTCTTCTCCAATCTCGGCGGCGCTCAGCAGGCCACTTCTTCTGCAGCACAGCCTACTGGAGGCTTGTTTGCACGCGTCCAACCCGCAAATACTTCTGCGCAAACCACGTCCGCTGGAGCAGCTGCTCCTGGATTGTTCTCCAATTTAGGCACGACGCAAGGCCAGGCTCAGCCAGTTTCCAGCGCCGGGGGACTGTTCGGTGGACTCAGTGGACTAGGAGCTTCGACAAACCCGCCTCAGCAACCTGCCACCGGGGCGTCAACTTTCGGGGGCTTTGGTAGCCTAGGCGCCTCCACAAACCCACAGCCAAACAACGCGAGCCAACAGCAAGGACAAGGGCAGGATCCGTCTTTGGCTCAGTCAACGAGTGCTACGGGAAAGAATGCACACTTCGACCAGCTTCTGGAGCGCGGCAAGAAGAGGAACAACCAGGCCAATGGAGTATCTCAGTTTGGGGACTTGCCAACGTTGCAGCTTGGGCTGGGAGACATTGCGAGGAAGGTTCGCAATCTTGGGACTGGTGGGCCTTCGGCGTCGCAAGCGGCACAGGGCGACTACAGCAGAGCGTACGTTCAAAGCGATGGCTTGAGGCAGGACAAATATTAATTATTCATACAGACACTACGTTCTCGCCGCCTCTGGAATCTCTACTGGACGAACGCTTCGAGACCTCAATCAATTCGGCTCGCAGGTTGGCTTAGGTGTCGCAGGAGCTGCGCCTGCTCCTCTAGACTCAGATGTCGACAGCTATCTCTCCAATTTGCAGTCTCAATCTACGCTCGCATTGATCCAAGAAGGACTAGAACAATCCAAACGCGACTTCGACACTTTCCTAGAGGACAATGTCCAGATGGAGTGGGACGCGCAACGGAAGCGCATATACGAGCATTTCGGGCTTGGGAGACAAAGCGAGAACCTAGCTGCAAGCGCTACGCCAGGTCAATCCACTCGCGGTGCTTTCGGAAGGTCCTCACGCCGAGGAAACGGACTGGGCGCTTCAACGGCTGCTTCTGGAGGCATGTCGTTCGGAGCGACTGGAATGCGGTCGGTCATTGGAGCTCCCGCATTTTCCGGCCGTGGTGCGCCTCCCCAGGACTTCTCAGAAAAGACCGCAGCTGGTGCACAAGCTGGTCCAGAAGACAGAGTCGTCAGAGACAAACAAGAGAGATTCGCGACGAGTGTCCGAGAGCTCAACCAAGCCAGGCTGGTGAAGAAGGTCTATCCTGTGCTATCTAAATTTGCGGCCGTTGAACGACCTACGGGGATTGATGTGAGTAGCTTTCCTGGTACTACTATTTACAGACTAATATCATTACCTACCCAGAGCACCCAGAAACTCGTCGACGCATACAATGCGCTCATTGAGATCACAAAGGAGAATTCTAACGTGACGAATGTCACAGATGAGGGCGCTGTCAGAGAACGAACTTTTACGAGGGCTTACCTTGCAGAGAACAGCAATTCGGCAGATAGCTTAGCTATTCGGAAAGCTATTCTGAACGGGTCACGGCAGTACTTGGAGAAGAGGTGAGTGTGCGTAGAAATCCTGGTGATCAATGCTTACATGTACAACAGCTACCTCGAACAAATTGCGAGCGAAATCGACAAGAACCCTGTGGATGCTAATCCTGGCGGTGTTCCTTCAATCGTCGCTAAAATCCGGGCATTTATCAGATTGAAGTCGTCCCGCAAGGAGCTTGGGGCCGACAGCGATCACCTAGCTCGGATTGGTGACAATGATGATTGGCCATGGGTTATGGTCTTCCACCTATTGAGAGGTGGTCTACACCAGGAAGCTGCCGCTTATGTCAAAGACCCGAAACACCAACTGTTCTTCAAGGCCAATGACCGGCAGTTCATTGCTGGGATATCGCAATACGCAGCCAGCCCAGACCGGAAGCTGGCACCACAAACGCAGCAAAATCTGAGCCACATATATGCCCAGCGCTCACGAATAGGTCCCGAACATGCTTCAGATCCGTACCGTATGGCTTGTTACAAGATCGTTGGACGCTGCGAACTAAACCGACGGAGTTTAGACCGTATCAACCAGAATATGGACGACTGGGTGTGGTTGCAGTTCAATCTCGCCCGTGAGAGCAGTCGTATTGAAGAGAGCGCTGGAGAATCTTTCGGACTGGAAGAGCTGAGAGCCAGCGTCAAGGAGATAGGACAGCGCCACTTCTCCGCTGGATCTGACGGTGCCAATGGTTTCGGTGTTTTCTTCTTCTTGCAGATACTCGCTGGGATGTTTGAGCAGGCCATCAGCTACTTGTACCAGCACAGCTACGTTTCTGCGGTTCATTTCGCCATCGCTTTGGACTTCTACGGGCTGTTAAGAGTCGCAAGCCTGGCTAGCGCTGGCACGGAGATTTGTGAGCGACGAGAACAGCAATTTTTTCACTCAAGTACTGACATACTTTAGTAACTTTCACAACCCGGGACCTACCTCAGCTGAATTTCGGTCAGATGGTTGGGTACTACACTCGCGACTTCCGGGCTGCAAAAGCTGAAGCGGCAGCTGACTATCTGACCTTGCTCTGTCTGAACGCTGATCTTGATGGCGAAGCGGGGAGAGAGCAAGCGCAGCTCTGTCATGAGGCTCTCCGTGAGCTCGTACTCGAGACGAGGGAGTTTGCCGAGCTGCTTGGTGATATCAGAGGGAATGGTTCTAGCATACCAGGAGCCATCGAGCAACGACTACCCCTGATCAAGATCGACGACCGGAGATCCTTCATGACGAAGATCACGGCGCAGGCGGCTAAGATAGCTGACGACAGTGGACGGACGACGGACGCGGTACTGCTCTATCACCTTTCCGAGGAGTTTAACAACGTCATTACCATCCTGAACCGCGCTGTTTCGGAAGCGCTGTCGGTTGACCTGGGCCAAGAAGCTCTGCGGCTGGAGCCTCTCAGACCCCGAGTGAACGCGGGCATCGTAGAAGGCCAGCAGCAACCACCACAACCAGGCTCAAGCCTCAGCTTGGCGGCCATAGATGACCCGATCCAGTTGGCCACGGCCATGAACAACATGTACGAACAAAACGAGGCGTACTACAGCAAGATCTCGCGCGAAAATCGACAAACAATCGCAGTGCTACTAGAGTTGAGCAGGGCGAAGAAGCAGGTAGAGGAGGGCAAATGGGCCCCAGCTTTGGATGTGAGTTTATTTTATACCTCCTCGTGTTCCTTAAAGGCCACCCTAGGTACTAACACGTCTGTAGACTATGATTGAAACGGACCTCCTCCCACTGCGGGCCCAAGGCAGACTATCTGAAATCCGCAGCTCGGCCACCAACTTCGGCAACTTTGCACCTGAGGCTGCTAGGAACGTTGGCCACGTCCTCATGTGGGCCATCATCTGCTGCGGCAAGCTTCGCGAGTACTTGCTCGGTGGTGCCTACGAAGATCCTACGAAGAGGAAACTGGCCGATCAGTGTCTCCAGCAAGCCAAGGACCTCATGGTCTTTGCTGGGCTGATCAGATACAAGCTTCCCCCGAGGGTGTTTGAGGTGCTGGCCAGGGCGGGCCAGGACGTTGGGGTGTATTAGCGTGTGGAAGTCTCTACAATGGAGTCGGTTTTCTATGGTGGTCATTAGAGCCGTGTTTCTCTTCTCACACTAAAAATCTGGCCCTTGGAGTGGCATGATGGCTGGATATCACGATGGTGTTTTGGTTGCATAGCATAGCTAGCGCAGTATCGTCATTGGATCAGGCCGGCTTTTGAAGGCTCTATTCATCGTGTCTTGGCAGATCAATGTAGCGAGCGAGTTCTTCAAATTCTTCACTAATGACTATGAGTGAGGCTCATATCAGGTGCTCCTCGCGTGGACAAGAGCTGCCAGGCGGTCCCACACAACTATAGCCGCCGGAGCTTGTCATGAATCGTCCCCCCCATTCAGCCCACTCAGCACTACCGTACGTAAATGTCAGGGCTACTTCCCCTTACAAGGCCAAGCTATAGTCATTCCATACCGAAGCAGAAAGGCAAAAAGGCCTCAAGTCTCGGAGATGGCTCGTTCGATCATTCGCCCCAGTGACACATCCTTTTCCTTGCACACTAGTGAAATACTACTCGTGATGCTCGGCAGTCACTTGCCGTTCACCATGTCGGCCCTTCAGCAGACTTTTCCTACGTTTCTATGAGCTAACAGAGCTTCAGTAACAGACGAGCCCGAAAACGCGTTACAAGTGCCGGCCATGGTAACATCGACATCGCGCTGTCCGATCGCGACGCAGCCAACCGGCAAGCCCGGCACGTTCTGCCCAGTTGTACCCAGCCCTCACGGAGCTTGGCTCGGCTGGTGTTTGCCCTTCTGAACTTTCCCGAGGGATGGAGTAACGATTTGCGGCCCTGAAGGATTTGTGCCGCGCTGACAACAGGCTTGGCGGGGTCCACCGACGTCGGTGAATGCGCTAGCGCGGTGCTTGGAGGATCTGATAAGTGGAGTCACAGAGTCGATGAAAATGATCAGGGCTAATCAATCCGATTGATAAAACTGCGGGTTCTCGCACCAACGAACGCCACGGTTTGCGCTTTCACTTTGTCTAATCAGATCGCGATTTGATAAACACTACTTATGTCGAAGGAGTACGAAGCAGCCGTGGAAGGGCGGAGTCCTGAGCGCCATCATCATCGCGATGACGATCGGGAGGTCCTGCTCACCGGCGCCACCAGCCCGGGCGTGAAGCGCATTGAGGCGATTGCGGCGCATATTACGCTCGTGGATCGCGTGTGTTTGTTTGTTGGCGTGTTCTTGATTGCGTATGTTTATTCGTTGGATGGGACGTTGAGATATGTTTATCAGGTCAGTTTTTGGTTCTACCAAGATCGTTCTACCCAAGATTTTTACCCTTTTTGCGGGCCTGTTCTTTCTTAACCTTCTTTCTATTCCCGACATGTTGCTTTTCAATGAATTGGAACTGATGGCGATACTAGCCGAACGCTACAGCCAGCTTCGCTCAGCATTCGCTGCTGGCGACGGTGACGGTGCTGAGGAGTGTCATTGCTGCTGCTGCGCAACCTACTGCTGCGAAGATTGCCGATGTGTTTGGCAGAGTTGAGCTGGTGTTTGTTTCGATTGTGTTCTACGTTATCGGCATGTCAATCTTACCCTCTCAATGCTTCATTGCTAATGAAATTTCCAAGGAACCATCGTCGAGGCCACTTCTACTGGCGTCAAGTCTTTCTGTGCTGGTGCTGTGCTCTACCAGGTATGATCTGCCAGCTCAAACTCGGAAAACGTGGAGTCTCTGAACCTTGTACCAAATCTAACGAATCCATCAGGTTGGATACACTTGTGTCATTCTCTTAGTTGAAGTCATCGTCGCCGATGTCACTTCTCTCAAGACTCGTGTGTTCTTCTCCTACATACCTACGACTCCGTTCATTGTATGTATTCGATTCATCCAATTCCTCAACATTCAACTAACTCGTACGGATCAACACCTGGGTCAGCGGAGACATTGGACAGGCAACTCTGGATAACGCAGGATGGCGATGGGGTATTACAATCCTACTCTCAAGACCTCGCTAAATGTCACTAACTATTCTCAAGGCATCGGCATGTGGGCCATCATCTACCCCGTCTCCGCCATCCCTCTCATCGCCGCCCTCTGGATCGCCCACCGCCGTGCAAAGCGCTCCAACGACCTCGATAACTACCGTACCCCCTACCAAATGCTCGGTTTCAAGCGTCTAAGCGTCTCCCTCTTCTGGCAACTCGACGTCATCGGCATCATCCTCCTCATCGCCGTCCTCGCCCTGATCCGTACGTAAGGTCCTAATACACATACCAGAGTCCTCTGGTGTCATTGTTCTGGGAACTGTGTTGAGACACGACACATATCGTGTTTGAACACCCATTTAAGTCGCGTTTAAGCACCCAGTTCAGTCGCTTTAAACACGGGCTCAAGGAAAATTGGTGTTTTAAACGCGATTTGAGTGGCACTCAAGGACAACCAACACCAGAGGATCTAGTATCTGTCTTAAAACCCCCCTTCTTTATGAAACTCCGCTAACATGTGTATTACTACCTTTAGTCGTCCCCTTAACCATCGCCGGCGGCTACTCCACCAAATGGCAAACCGCCCACGTAATCGCACCCCTCGTAATCGGCATCCTCTGCATCCCTGCCTTCGTCTGCTGGGAGCGCTGGTCTCCCCACCCCCTCGTCCCCTTCCGCCTGCTCAAAGACCGCGCCGTCTGGGGCGCCCTCGGCATCGCCGTCATGCTCAACACGGCCTGGTACCTGCAGGGCGACTACCTCTACACGGTGCTCATCGTCTCCTTCGGCGAGAGCGTCAAGTCCGCGACGCGCATCACCTCGCTCTACAGCTTCGTATCCGTCATCACGGGCGTGTTCCTCGGGCTCATCGTCGTCAAAGTGCGCCGGCTCAAGCCCTTCATCCTGTTCGGCACCATCCTCTTCCTAGTCGCCTTCGGCATCCTCATCTACTTCCGCGGCGGCTCCGGCGGCTCCTCCCACTCCGGCATCATCGGCGCCCAGGTCCTGCTGGGCATCGCCGGCGGCCTCTTCCCTTACCCGGCCCAGGCCTCCATTCAGGCCGCCACGCGCCACGAGCACGTCGCCGTCATCACGGGCCTGTATCTCGCGTGCTACAGCGTCGGGTCGGCGTTCGGCAATACCATCTCGGGCGCTATCTGGACCCAGGTCTTGCCGACCCAGCTTGCGTCGAGGCTCGGCGGGAATGATACGCTTGCTGAGGGCGCGTATGGCTCCCCGTTTGTGTTTGTGGTTGATTATACGATGGCGACGCCGGAGCGGCAGGCGGTTGTGGGCGCGTATCGGTATACGCAGCGGTTGCTGTGTATTACGGGGATTTGTCTGAGTGTGCCGCTCATTGCGTTTGCGTGCTGCATCAGGGATCCGAGATTGGGGGATGAGCAGAGTTTGCCGGATGCTGAGGGGAAAGGGGAAGGTGGAGGAGGCGCCGGAAGTTGCTGTTAGGAAGGAGTAGGGTTGGTAATGTCGGCAGAGATGGGGGCAATGAGTTGTGTACGATGGTGTACGTGTAGACAGTAAGAAGGAGAGCGAGAAAGCGAGAAGAGCATATGATGGAATACTCATAGAGCGAGGTGGTTCTTTGCTTCTAGCTAACGTTGAGGCTGCATATATGAGTATAAAGCTTCTTCTTAGATCTGTGCGCTACTATTGGAATCTGTCCTTTCATCAGTCGCTGAACTCACCACGGTACGCTCTGACAGTGGCAGATAGGTATGTACAGGTTGGACTGGTAATCTATCGCCCCAAAGCTCTTTCAATACGCTACACGTAGTATCGAGAGAGCGTACGTAGACGGGTATCCACCTTCTACCTACTTCTCTTCAGCTACCTCAAATTACTCTAAGCCATAGGTTGGTAGATTAGTATGTTCTCGTCCACACGTCTCGCGAGCCCTCGAGGCTCTTTCAACTGCGTTGAACGAGCTTACACAGCCCTCTTCCTCGAGCTCCTCGCCGTATATCCAACTTCTCCAAGCGGCGTTAGCTAGAGTGCACCCGTCCTTCCCAGTCTTCTTTTAATACATCAAGGCATTTCTAACCGTAGCTAGACAACTATACGCAAATACAGTGACCCAGAATCCCCTACACTCGGCGTCGGATTAGTGCCTACTTCGTCATCGGAATCATCGATCGGATCGTCATCGTCGATTATGTCTTCATGGCATCCCGGTACTGCGTTGCTCTCCGGCTTGCGTTTGATTTGCTCCAGGTGCGGGTTCCCTGAGATGTGTTGAAGCAATTTTAGGGGTGGGAGATCGTTGTATGGCATAGCGCAGGGCGGTGTATAGTATAGAGGAAATTCTTAGGGCGTGTTGGAGGACTTCAAGCCGTGTCAGTCGGGTGAATACGCAAGATGCACACCCAAGTCTCCCAAAGTCCTTCAAGCGGCGCTCGGACTGGTCCCGGGTGTACGCTCATAGAATACGCTTGTCTCCAAGTTTTTCTCGAGCCTGTTGAAGCACTCCATACGGCTTGCAGACAAGTGTACTTACACAGACCTTACTTATGGAATCCATTCCGGCCATTAGAGATGCTGTTCCGTATCCGGCGGAAGCACTGTTGTTCGGTTCTCACTTCCAGTATCAAGTACTGCTCCCTATCCAGTTCGAGAATTCCCAAATCCATAAGCAAACCCAGATACCCCCCACGCCCATGATATCTACTGCGGGGCTTGATCTGTTAAGAGATGTGGGGGTAGAGTATGCGGGGAAGATAGAGGCGGCCGGGAATCTGGTTGTTTGGAGGCGTTTTGACCAGTTAACGCATGGCCCATGGGTGGTTGAAGAGGGGGGCCTGGAGTGAGGAGGTAAGAAACGCTGTCAAGAAATTGGCGGGGGAGATCAAGGAGATAGCTTATGGTTGAAGGTAGAATCTGGCATAGTCTAGGTGAAAAGTATAGACATCCTTCTCTGGCTCTCATCACGCTAGCAGTATACGAAAGATATAAGATCTTTTTAAATGTGCTCTGGATACGCCGAGGTACTTCGAGCAGTGGTAGGTAAGTGTACAAACATATCCGTATATTGGGATTTCGTAAACCACATCGAAGTCCTTCAAGCGGCACCAAACGAGTATACACACTCCAGCCTTACCCCGATTTCCCACACCACATAATGCATCGGAGGACTTCAAGCAGCGCCAAACGAGTGTGCATACATAGACTCACATCTAGACTTAGTATAGTAAGTTGAAGTGCTTCAAGCAGTGTCAAACGAATGTACGCACATGCACGTATTCCCCGAATTTCGTAAACCCCGTCGAAGTCCCCAAAGCGGCGTCAAAGGAGTGTACACACCTAGACTTTAATCCAGATTTCTTTAAACCCCCTCGAAGCACCTCACACGGCTGCAGACAAGTGTGCACACATATGTTTATGATGCTTGTGAGTTTATTCCGGCTATTGGAAGTACTGTTCCGTATGATCGTCCAAGCACGCTCCGTATCCAGCCGAAAATTCCAAACTCACAGGCAGACCCAATTACCCCCCAGGTACAATCATGCTAGCAGCATACACCGCAAGCATCGCCCTGAGAATCCATAACAGCAGTACCTGCCATACCCGCCATACACGCCGAATCCACCGTTAGTAGCCCAGCAATCCATCACCGAAAGCCATGCCATGCCATATTCCACCCTCCCCGTCATCACTCGCTGTGCGGAACGCTAGACAATGCTCATCGCTTACCTCTTTAAGAACCAAGCATGCTTCAGAACATCAGCAGCGCTGATCCGCTTCTCCCACTTCAGATCCAGGCAACGCTCAAGCAAGTCGATGAACAGGGCGATCTCCTTCGGGTCAGGTGGGTTCTGCAAGCCGGCGGCGGCCGCCTTGACGGTATATCGAAGAGCCCGCGTCTCATGCGGTTTGTTGAAGACCAACGTCTTGCTGACGACCTGTTTGAAGTGAGATGTATGGACTGCAATGGAGGGATTGGGGGGCGCTACCTTGCCAGGGTTATTCGGGTCTTTGACAACGCTCACGAAGGACCCATCGCCGTTGAAGTGCTTTCCAGAGATTTTGCCCTTCCTCAGAAGCTTGGGGGCGAACTTGCCGCGTACCTCCATGATGGCGCGCAGCATCTGGTTATTAGAATCGCCACGGAAGAGGATGTCTCCCGTCCAGAGCTCGAACATAGTGCATCCAGCAGCCCAGATATCGATCGCGGAGGTGACGGAACCTTGTAGGATGACTTCTGGCGCCCTGTAGAAACGACTAACGAGATAGTCCGAGAGGTCATGTGTCTCGTGGGGCTCGCAAGCAGAGCCAAGATCACAAATCTTCAGTACCTTATGAGTCTGGTCGACTAGGAGATTGTCGGGCTTGAAGTCGGCATGAATAAGATCTTGCTTGTGTAGGAAGTCGAGTCCGATGAAGATCTGACGCGCGAAAGCCTTCACAGCTTCCCACGTCAGACCAGCACTTCCGCCGTATTTCTTGAGAACGTCACGAACGTTCATGCTGTGTGGAGTTAGCAATGTAAGCGAAGCGGGAGTGGAGCCATTTACTCTAGGTTCTCGAATATCAGACAGAGATGTTTCTTGTGATCGAATTGGCCATAGTATCGTACGACGTGCTTTCTGTCCGATGGATCTGCGGCATTGACTTTCTCCAAGAATTGGATTTCTTTTTGACCAATGTTCTTCCTGTAAAACAAATTAGCTAATACTTATGCCGACCGCCGAGATACTTACATGGTGTCGTTCTTACGGATGATCTTGATAGCGACCATTCCGTTTGTCTGCAAGTCCCTCGCTCGGATAACCCCAGAGAACATGCCTTTGCCAAGCTCTTGCTCGACAACGTAGCGACCGTTCATTAACTCTCCGTTTCGGATAACGTAGTAGTTGTCCGCGTCAACCCACTTGCTCATCATCTTCTCTCCCAGCACCAGAGGCTTGCCGGCATCCGAGGAAGACCGTCGCAGCTTGACGGGGGTCTCTGCGGCAAACATGTCCTCATCATCAGTATCTGCGAACATGTCGAAGTCGTCCTCCGAGTTCTTGGTCGGGTTGACGTCATGGCTATCGTCCACCTTCTGATGACCTAGCTTTTCCGCATCTTCCTCTCGTGCTTTCTGCTCTGCGCGGAGTCTGTCCTTTTCTTGGTCCATTGTTGGATCGTAATTGGCTGCCGAAGGGCCGTCGTCTTCGCCGAGTGGGCGATACTCTTCGGCTTCTCGGGTGGAGTCATCTGCTTTGTTCACAACAACAACTGCCGGAGAGTCGGTCGCGTTCGCTTCGCCTAGGTTTCCAGCACCGGGTGTTGCAGGAGAAACTGGCAGATATTGTTTAGTACGTTCATGATTGTAGAAGTGGACATGCTTACCAGAACGGTCTGATTCGTCAACAGGAGTACTGATTGCCGGAGAATTTGGGCTTGAAGCGCTACCGATAAGAACTTGCTGAAGAAGCGGTAACTCTGGATTCTTCGCGGCAGCTCTAGCTTTGATGGCCTCGCGCTTGGCGCGACGCCTGGCGATTTCCGCGTCTTCATCGACAGGGACAAGGTTGTCATAGTCGATATCTTGGTCCTCGGGTGGCTGTATGGTTGGCGGGGCAGACTTCGAATCATGAGTAGGCTGGTTGACTTCTACGCCGTTCGCGTGAACTTTTCTAGCAGTGGACTGGGCCGTCTCCTGTTGCGAGTCGCGAGGGCGGTTTTCAGCAGACGATCGAAAGTTCTGGGCATACTGTTGGGGATCACCCTGGTTGCTCACCGACAGATCTCTGGAGTTTCGGCGGCTGCCGCTGTTCTGCCAGCCGTTGTGGCCCTCTCGTCCCATAGACGGCTCTCGCGAGTTCCGGTGGAATCCTCCTCCGTTCTGTGCATTGGCGTAGCCTCCTCGACCGCGATAGCCGTTCTTTCCAAAGTTGCCTTGGCTGTACTTGTCATGTTGGCCACCTCTGCCACGACGATCCGAGCGGTCCCGATTGCCTGCACCTCTGCCTCCACGATTCTGGCGGCCAGGCGATCGGCTACGGCGTCCAGAGTTATTCTTGCGGTAATTGTCGCGGCCTCCACGCATGTTTCCAGAACCTCCGTAATCTAGATCAGCATATGAGATCTGGCTCCGGCCGTTCGGCTGAGGATAGCGGCCGGCATCATCATAATGGACCTTAAAGCGGCGATTGTCTACGCGGTCGTCTTCGCGGTAGGTGTAGTTGTCGCGGGGTCGCTTCTCTCCACGGGGTTCCTCACGAGGCGTCGTCGGGTGTCTGTACGGAGATCTGGACCTAGACCTGGACCGGTAGCGCTCGGGGATTCCATTGAAGGGCCTAGGTGACTGGGAAATCGATGGGCGTCTGAAGGATGAATCAACATAGGCGTTGGATTGAGGTCGAGAGAACACTTTTGCCTTCGAAGCGACAGATCGCTCGCCGATCTCGCCGTCGGAGCCTGAATTGCGGCGATACATGGCTTCTGGCTGCGAGTACCTGGGAACGAGTGCGGACTTGACGTTAGCGCAAGACTCGAACGAAGACGGGAGGCTCCTAAAGAGAAGCCGAACCAGTAAGTACCGTGTTTGTCGGTGTCCTCACAGGTTGCTCATGCGCGCGCTGATCGATCGGGAAGTGGAGGATGTGGGGTGGAAAGGGTTGTCGAGGAGAAGGTGGTGGGGTGGAAGTGACGACAGTCGAGGTGAGGTGAAGTGGAAGTTTGGTGGTGACAAGAAAGTGGGACAGTTTAGCCGCGGGTAGCTGACTAAGCTGGGCATGGCTAAACGATATAGCACGCTAGGCTCCAAACAGGTGCACACGCAATAAGTACTGTCTCGAGCAGCCGTGTGCGCACCTGTCTGCAACTGCTTGAAGTGTTTCAATGAGCTTCCACATAGCCCAAGGCGAATCTCGTTCAGATTTCCGAATTTGTATTGACGTACCCTAAGTAGTGGTATGCGGGCGCAAACACTCACGGCGGCTCGTTAGAATATAGTAATTATAGTGCCACAGTTTTCAAACCTTTTTTGAGTAGCTAACTAGCACAATACATGATATACTCACGCACCGCGAAGGCTACAATAGAGACGAGTTCAACGGAGCTGGATTGCAGCCTCAGAACTCAGGCATCAACGCATAGACTATTTCAAAACTTTGGAAGTGGTAGTGTAAAGTAGTAGATATCCCCAGCCTATCTTCTCCTTAGATAAGTTTAGATTCGATTTTGTTTTCCCTCTAGAGATACCTCCGTTGTTCCGGCTTAGTTACCTACTTTAATAGAGCTCTAATTCTCGCATAGGATTCAGGTGCTTGTTCGAATTTGGATTTTATGGAACTGCTATTATATGGAAATGCTGTTTTTGGCCAAGGTACAAACTTGCCAATAGCACAAGCTTCGCCATGCGTTGTTGGCGTGAACAGGTCAACCTTGTGAGCGGCATTACACGTCTGTCCTAGGTGGGGACTAAACTCGATGTCGAGGAACCCCTGTCTAGCTCCATCTGAACTACACGTCCCTTCCTCAACCTCAAGAAAAAGATCCCTCACCGCGTTCCTCCACAACAACCATGAATTGCATACCCGGCCGCCGGGCCACCTCCAGCCTCCGCTCATACTCCCAACTCCCCAGGAACCTCACTACACGCTCCAATCCCCCACCGCGCACGCGTCCATTCAGCAGCACCCCCTTCCGCGCCGCCTACACACCCACCACCCGAACCGCCGCCTCCTCTCCCACCACCGCAAAACCCACCACCGCCTCCACCTCCTCCGCCATCCCCAACAGACTCGCTCCCAGGCCCGCCTCCTCAACCACAACCGCCAGACCAGCCGCCACCCCCCCACCAACAACACAGCGCTTCTCCCCCGTCGCCGCCGAGCCCCCGCCTCCGACCGCGCGCACCTCCGCCCTCGCCAGCGCCTCCAAGAACCAGCCCTCCCTGACCGACCTCAGCGCCGGGTTGTCCGACGCCCCAAAGCCGCCGACCGACGGGGATCTAACCGAGCCCAAGGCGAACACGGACTGGACGACGTCGTATTCGGGGCTTGGCGACGCGCGCTTCGAGCAGGGCGCTGTCGACGTGCTGCTCGCGCCGGTCAGCGAAGAGGACGTCGAGGTGAAGCCGGACGGGATACTGTACCTGCCCGAGATCAAGTACCGGCGGATACTGAACCGCGCGTTTGGGCCGGGCGGGTGGGGGCTCGCGCCGAGGGGGGAGTCGATAGTGACGGGGAAGCTGGTGACGCGGGAGTATGCGCTTGTTGTGCAGGGGCGGTGAGTTGAATTCCGCTCTTTCAATTGATTTGGTGTTTGGGGGAGTGAATGCTGATGATTTGGTATAAGGTTGGTTTCGATTGCCCGCGGTGAACAGCAGTATTTCGACCCCGAAGGCATCCCGACCGCGACTGAGGGCTGCAAATCCAATGCGTTGATGCGGTGTTGCAAGGACGTGGGGATTGCGAGCGAGCTGTGGGATCCGCGGTTTATCCGCAAGTTCTTGGCGCATTACACGAAGGAGGTTTGGGTGGAGCATCAGACGACGAAGAAGAAGCGGAAGCTGGTAATTCGGAAGGATGATGTGGTGAAGTATCCGTTCAAGGAGACGAAGATGTAGGGGCGTTTCCAGATATACTTGCTAGTGATTAGGGTGGCATTGGACAGGCCGGCTGTTTGGAGTCTGCGATTACATGGCATTCGGGATCTTTAGATTGGATGTGGATTGTGGATACCAGTCCACTTCAGCTGTGTAAAAAGGTTGTAGATTTGTATCATAGCTCTTTTGAGCATACCCGTTACACTCTGTCTAAATCGAAATGTCTCGCAAACGCCCGTCCGTTTCATACCCACCGTGCCGGCGAGGCGACTAGTTATCTATATTACCCATTTCATCCATCCATCCAGTCCCAAAAACACCAAGCCTAAATTCCAAGTCCGTAGTTTTCCGTCGATTTAATCCCTAGGATACGGGAGATCATATCCTGACGATGACCTCCCACCATCATACCCAGACGACGGCCTACCCCCATCGTATCCAGTAGACCTCGCACCATCATACCCCGACGACCTGCCCCCATCCCGGCTCGAAGGCCTCTTGGCATGCACATCTCCATACGCCAAGTCCTCAGGCTCGACCGGCTTCTTCCCCGCCCAATTCCACGGCATCCAGCCCCCAGGCTGTCCACTAACCCTCCTATACCCCGCCTCCGGCCTACCCCCGGGCCCCTCCCTCTCCACCTCATCCCTCTCAATCCGATCAAACTCCACCTCGCTGCGACTCTTCGCCAGCCCGCGATACCCCCCCTCCCTCGCGTCCCGCTCCTCCGCCAACGACCCCTGCTCGCGATCAAACGCCTGCAGCAGCACCATCAGCCGATTCCTCTGCGTCGCCAGATAACTCGCGCGCTCCTCCTCATCCAAGCCCGGCGGCACCAGCGTCCCACTCGCACTCAGCTCCTCCGCCTGCGCCTCGCGCGTCGCGCCGCCAAACCCGGCCGTCGCTCCGCTGAGCGTCTGGGTGATCAGGCCGTAGAAATCCGTGTCCGCGCGCGCACTCGGCATGTTGAACCGCCCCATCAGGCTCTGCGCGTAGCTGACGCCGCGCCGGGGCTCCGGCTCGGGCGCCTGCGGCGGCAGGCCCAGCACGTTGACTTTGGCCCACTCGATCGCGAGCTTGAGGTACGTGAGGCCGGCGGATTTGGAGCGCGCGTGCGCCGAGGAGATGAAGTCGTCGATGGCGCGCTCGTGGTCGCGCAGGAAGGGGTCGATGTGGGTTTGGTAGAGGAAGCTGGCGCCCTGCGAGCCCGGGAGGACGAGGTAGAGGTGCGCGAAGAGGCGGAACCAGGCGTAGAAGGGCACCCAGTCGAGGATGAAGGCGAAGGTGGACTCTAGCAGGTGGGCGAGGGTGAGCGTGACGAAGTACATGAGCCATGGGGCGAGTAGGGCTGGGTCCGAGGAGTGCAGGGCTTTGTAGGAGGCGAAGATGGGGAAGAGGATGGTGATGGTCGTACTGGGGGAGGGTTAGTGAGGTGTGCGTGAGGAGAGGGGGGGTCAATGTGAGGAGGGTTGAGGTGGAGCTGAGTCGGGAGAGCTGTATGTAGGTGCAAATATGCACAATGGCGGGGTATGAGGGGTGTCGAGGACGTACTTGAGACCGTCGGCGATGAAGTCAAACATGGCTGCTACCTGTGCCTCGTGGGTTGATTTTAGAAGCTGTAGGGATAGGAAAGAGTGCGAGAACGAGGGCCGGTGGACGAGGAGAGTCGAGGTAGGCAGCTATGCGGTACGTAGAGGTCACGATGCCGTCGAGAGCTTATGCTTATCGGCCCGCTAGTACGCCCGGACTTTCTTTGTCCCCGCAGTACGCAACGAGGCTGAATGCTAGGATGTGAGCACCGTCATCAAACCCTACTACGACTATGAAATGGTCACATTCGATTTTGGATTGATGTCGTGGTTTGTGTGCCATTGGCAAAGCCTCGACCGGTCACGCGTGTGACAAGCGAAGTACAGCGAACTTGGTACCCATGATTCATTCCAGATATCTAATTGCTCTCCCCACGGTATCATGGGTTCCGCCCCTCTGTTGTATCGTAATCATACGCAAAAACGCTTCAGCTCCATCCGCATGCTCAAACTCCGTATTCACAGCTCCATGATTCGGTTGGTCTGGTGCCTTACGCAGGACCGCCCCTTCACAGCACTTGTCTTAGCATTGTCCGTTTGTGAGAGTGTCGAGCGGAGAGAGAATCCGGCCAAAGAGAATAGCGGTGGAGGAGGTGGTGACTGAGCACTGGGAGGGAGGTAGTAGAAACGAGCTCACTTCTTTCCCGACTTCTTGATGCCCTGGGTACCCGTGTTCAGAGGGCCCTTCTTTCCCTTCAGGCCGCTGGCGAGTTCCTGGCGGGCTTTGGCATCTATAGCGAACGTTTGTGTTAGCTTCGAAGTATGACTATAGTGTGCATCTGTGGCAGGGTACGGAGTAATTCGACACGGACGGCACGGAAACTTCGCAGACGCCACGAGAAGATACGCAACGCATTCCCCGTGCGCAGAGCGTCTACTGCGAGCCTTCTTAAACGTAGCCTGGGTCGAGAGTCGAGGTTGGAGAGCGAACTATACGATCATCCCACTGCTTCAACGTCCGCAGCCTGCCCCTCGCACGCGCAACGAAGAGAGCGCAATACGCACCAGCCTGCTGCTTCGCCTTGAAGGCCTTGTCGTCCTCATCCTCCTCAGCGGCCGGCTTCTTCTTGGGCTTCTTGTTGTGAATCGGGTTCGTACCAGCTGTTGATCAGGCGGCAGTTAGCGGGGCATTCCTTCACCAAAATCTTTGCGGACTGGTAACACACCTCCTTGACCGGAAGGCATGGCTGCGGCACGCTCTCAAACTACTCGGATAAAGTAAAGCTGGCGAAATCGATCGAGAAAGCGGGCCGGATCGCGGGAGACGTTAGGTGTGGTGTAGGAAGTCGGAGATGCAAGTCCTTCTCACCGCAAACAAAGAATCTAGCCGTGGTCTTTTCATGCGCCACTCAGCTGCCCCGCCACCTGCACGAGGCCGAGATCTCCACAATACCCTGGTCTCGCTCGTTTAGGCACCAACCGTGGAGCTCGGCCGGGGAGAAGGACGTTCTGAACACCTCGAAGTCCCTCCTTTAACCCATCCGCCCTTGGCAGGACTATATATTGCGACTCGATGCCTGCCCCCACTGTTCACGTGACTCTATGTCGCTGTGGCTCGGGAGTTGACACGGACACCAATTAACGAAATCTGACTAAGATGTGTATTAACTAACGTAGTCGGCAAGCTAGTGGGCCATGCAAGCTAGTGGGCCACCCAATTATTGGTGCGATTTAGACCTTTTAGCACCCCAGCAATCTCAACAATCACAGAATATTCCAGGTTATGACTTAGGATAATGATATCCGTGGTTATTTTAATATCATCTGTTAATTTTTTAGATCTCTTGATAGCCCTGTTTAGCCGCAGTAAAATGTTGCCTAGTTTTGGCCCCCAAAATCAAGTAATACCTACAATATAATAGGATTACGCTGCCATACTGCTCCAAACATTCTTTTAGCTATTAAAATGAGCTAGATAGTATATGCAATCTTAAAGCTATACTTTATATCTCGTGGTTGTTGAGATTGCTGGGGTGCTAAAAGGTCTAAATCGCACCAAAAATTGGGTGGCCCACTAGCTTGCATGGCCCACTAGCTTGCATGGCCCACTAGCTTGCCGACTACGTTAACGTATTTCACGAGTAATTGGGCCACCCGGGTGAGTGGGCCACTCGACCAAAAGTCGCGAGACACGACGCGTAATATAACTACAACCTTAATGATAACGCTATAACTAGCTATATTAAATATAGGTCTTTATTGTTAAGTAATTTATAGTATTCGGCGTTGTGGCTTAGTAGGGTGGCCCACTTACCCGGGTGGCCCACTTACTCGTGAAATACGTTAACTAGCTAACTACAAGTAGTAGTTAACGTGTTCTACATGCATGTGGTGGTTACAAGCGAGTGGTGGCGCTTAATTTTTGGTGCGATTTGGACGTTTTGACACCCTAGCAATCTCAACAACTATAAAGTATTAAATAAGATTATATGAATGCATATAGTATTTAGCTCATTTCAATGGCTAGGCAATAGTTTAGAGTGATGTGTCTCTGTAATTCTATTATATCGTAGATCTTACCCAATGCTAGGGGGCCAAAACTCTACTATAACTAAATGTGGCCATTAAGAGACCCTAAAAATTTGTCTTATAATATTGAAACAGCTATGCATATCTTTATTCTAAGTTATAGATTTAAATCTTTTATAGTTGTTGAGGTTGCTGGGGTGTCAAAACGTCTAAATCGCACCAAAAATTAAGCGCCACCACTCGCTTGTAACCACCACATGCATGTAGAACACGTTAGTTAAACCTGAGCCATGAGTAAGCAACATTCAGGCTCCCGAGGTCCACCGCAGCTCCACGATTCATATCTACAATTCGATTCCGGATACTGGTCCTGTTGTCGTTATGACCTTTCTGAATAGACCTGTTTCCCTCAGCGCAACCGCCAGACTTCCGCCATGATCTTCATCTCTTGCCAGGAAGGCGCAGGTGGATCCGGATCCAGTCATGATACTGGCAAGTGCGCCTTTCTCCTGACCAGCATCGATCGCAGATCGGATTTCGGGCAGCAACACAGCGGCCGCTGGTTCAAGATCGTTGCGAAGTAACCCGGCCAGCTCATGTGGTGGCGCAGAGGCCCACGGTATCTGCAAACACGTCGCGTGCTTCTCTTTGTACTGCACCTCGTCGAAGCAACCATCCGCTAGAGCGTCGAATTGCGCAAATACATGTTTCGTAGCGAGGCTGGCTTTGGGCATGCCCAGGACCCAGTGCCACGTCCACGTGCTAGCCTTCAGCTCTTGCAGTGGTTGTCTGTGGCCGATGCCAACCGCCATCATTCCTTTGATGAAAAAAGGCGCGTCCTCACCGACCTGCGCTCCAATCGCTGCCAAATCATCTTCACCGAGGCCGAGCTGCCACTGAGTATTGCATCCGACGATTGCTGCCGCGGCGTCTGCACTTCCACCGCCAAGTCCGGCCTCCGTTGGTATGGCCTTTATCAGCTCAAAATGCTGATTCGGTTTGATACCGACGTGTTCTCCGAGCCGCTGCGCGGCTTTTATTACAAGATTTTTCGAGTCGATTGTTATCTTATCGCTGTCCTCACTGGAAACTGTGATGGCCAGGCCAGTTTGATCTCGTAGGGACGAGTCTCAGCTCATCGTAAAGGGCAATTGCCTGGTACACTGTCATAATATCGTGGTAGCCGTCTTCTCGTGACTGTCCGGCTTGAAGGTATATATTCAGTTTAGCAGGTGCTCGAAGGATAACGCACTCCAGCTCCAAGCTGGATGAAGCCATGTTGATGAGAAGGAAGGGCTAGAAACACATCTCCCGACTCCCGAGTGACGAATAACCTCTCATTAAACCTCTCATTAAACACCTAATTTTCCGGTGAGTAGCTGCACGCTTCAGGTTTCCTATCGACAACTTTTCAGAAAGGCCAAACCCGGTCACCGGGTAGCAAGCAGTAGCAGCACCGATTCGTACGGCTACCACATAGCTCTGCTGACTCTACCTGAATGCGGCTGGAGCAAGAGCGGTTGCACCGCACGGGGAAGCTCGTCTCTGGTCCGACTGGGTTCTGTATGCATAAGCCACAAGAAGAAAATTACTATTATTAGCAAACTGTTCACCGGTAGAAAATAATCCGTGGTTTCTATTTGCTGCAGATTATGTTGTGTAATGTCATTCCGGTCAATCGATACCTAGCCAAATTGGAAAGGAAAAAAAGGGATTTGTGGTCCCTACGATAGAATCCGATAGCCTGCGCAGTCAAAGCTGGGCCCGACAGAATCGTTTCAAGGGAACTCTTCTACGCCGGAATCTCACAAAGATCCCATTTCGGAACATTGCTACCATGGACACCGCAGCCGCTATCGCCATATCTTCCTTGGTAATTGCAATTTTAGCCTTATGGGCAGCAATTGCTCAGGTGAATATACAAGCCTCAGTCGAGGCGAGGAGGAAAGGAAAGACAGATAAACTCGCTCTAGGGGAGTGGGCGATAAAGTGGCCTCAGACAAAGGCCTTCGTTTTCAAAGCACTCAGTATCATCTACCTTCCATCTCCATTTGGCGATCCCCAAGTCCTCGCAGTGCCATTTATCACTGTGGGTGCCCTAGAAGACTGTTTCAGACATGAGCAAGCGAGATCCAAACGGGGTGCCATTGAAAGACGCATAAAAAGGAGGCTCGTCAAGTCAGCAACCCAGGCCATTACCACTGGCGGGGGGAGATTCACTGGCCGCATGTACGCTGTCCGTAGCACCACAAGGAAACGGTCCGAAGCTTGTTGGGCTGATGCTATGGACATGTGTGGAATTACTAGGAAGGACTGGCCACTCATGACGGGAGCCAGCGCGTTGGCATGTGATGGTGCAATACGACCGGCCAGCGCCGTTACCAACCTTCATTCTCTCTGGGGATTTGCTCGAGTCATGGATCTGAGGACTGTCGAAATCAAAGGCACAAGGATCACAATGACAAACGGTGGAGCCTCCATTTACCTTGATCAGTACGCTGGTGTCGATCGGCCAACAAAGCTGGCTCATTTCAGCGGCTCGCCCAATGGACGATACAGCATCGTGGAAGAAATGTCGCAACACACTGGAGAATCTATCTATGCAGATGCAGTGTGGTCTGACGGTTTTGTGCCTCTGCCTTCGCGGCTAGAGCCAAATCATGCGGCAGTCGCGATCAAAGCCGTGGGCAAACGGCGCGTAATTTGGCCAAGCTCCATAAAAGTGCCCATGCTAGACCGTAACGACCCTGCGTCAGATGAGAAGTTCTCGTCCTGGGCCAGTCAGTTCCTTGCCGACTACGGTATCTGCCAATTCAGTCCCAATAGAGTCTCTTACGCTCAGCTGATTGAGACTGACGAACCGGCTGTTATATCATGCATACGGACGTACCCAAGAGGCGAATTATCCCCCGAACAAGTCGAAGCCTCCGTTGCAGCACTTTCGTGGTGTATGGATCACTGGTGGCGAGATCAATACCAAATGAGCCAGAGACAGCAGAACGAAAGCACCATCCCTCGCCTCCCAATTGCGGACATCAATCAAATTAGCTCCGAGTTCGTCACCGGACGTGCGCAGGCTTGGAAATGGTGTGATGCCTTCAGAACTTCTAAAAGCGTGCAAGTCGAGTCGGACTGCTGGAAACACTGTGTGACGTATGTGGAGCAGCATAAGAGTGGCCACAATACAAAATCTACCTTGCGGCATGGGGAGCGAGCCGTGCTCGTCAAGGTATTTCAAACATGGAAACTCTACACCACATGCGATAGACTGCATAAGAGAGGAAATCCAAGGGATATTGATACATCTGTAAGAGCGGCCGCAATCTGCGAGATCATGCTGTTGTCCATGGCTCTGCTTGCAATTGCCACGGATAGTTCGCAAATTGGCTCCAGCGAAGTGAACAAAGCATTGGAAATTGAACTCAGTTAGGTCCATACTTAATCTAAATACCTGAATTGGCTGTAAGGCGCCGGAGCACCTCCCAGTAGATAGCTGTGTGAGCCCTTCAAGGAGCACTCACAGGCTCCTCACGTGCTAGAAAACACGTGTTCGCCCAGGCTCATAGGATTCGTCCGATACTCTAATATAGCCTATTCTCATCATTTTCATCCTGTTGCATACAAGTAGACAGCTACAGGGGTAGAGTCTCATTTCCCGTTTAGTTCATGGACACGTGACTTATGTCACGTTTCTCCAGCGCGGCTTGGCGCCCGCCTCGTCTGTGTATCAGATGCCTCGTAGATAGCCACGCAATACAACACGGGACGATTTCCATCACTGCATGCTCGTGTGCCTACGACATATCCAAAAGCCCCTGTCATGACCTTTACTTAGACAAGTAGGTCATAAGATTTCGAATGTAGCTGCAAATATCAAAGATTTCTATCAAAATTAGAACTTCCCACCGTCTTAAGACTATAGGCATCTTAAGAACATGCCGTCTTAAGAACATGCCGTCTTGAGAACATACCGTCTTAAGAACATGACTATCTATGGAACGGCCCGTAATATATCACAGAGTAAGTTTACTTAAGGCTTGAGGCCTGGAAACTGGAAACTGGCAGTAGAGTGAATAGCACCAGGAGCTTGGGTTTCGACTCTACCCAGTCTCAACTCAGGATCCGCTCACCCCAGCTCAGCCACAGCTCAGGTTGGAGCATGAGCAGCTCAGGTTCTTGAACGGGAAAGGAAATTGCTTGGGTGCACATTGGGATATCGTACTTGCTGTTATATTATGCAAGCCTCTATTACAGTACTTTTATGGTGCATGGATTACTAGAGCGGAATTAGTACTATATAAACTGGAGACAGTAGAATTAAAACAGCGTCCCTTGCCCGTTAATTATAGACATTAATTAAATTAACTCTAAGTTTATTACCGGATATGCGCTGGCTTAATTACAAGTTATGATTACACCTCTAAAACAATTAAGAGCGTGGAAGTTAAGTAGAACTGCTAAAAATACTATATGGCGCATGTGAAGCAGCGGAAGAGCGACCACGTTATAAACTTCACTTTGCGGCTTTAAGAGCGAGCTGTGTTTGTTAAGGTAATTTGAACGTGAAAACTTTGTGCTACACGCGATAGACTGTGTAAAAGCGGAAAGTTGAGGAGTATTGATATATTTACAAGTCGTCGCAACCTGTGAGATTACCTTGCTGGCTATGGCTCTACTTGCAATTACGATGAATAGTTTGCAAATAGGCTCCAGCGAAGGGAACAAAGCATCGGAGATTGAAATAAGTTAGGTTCATACTTGGAAAATACTCAGTTGTTCATACTATCATACCACCACAATGTGTATACTACCTAACCCGGGCTGCTTACCCGCTATGTAGTATCGTAAGTGCCTACTAGATATCGTCACGTTTTAGCGAGGGGCCTCAAATTTGTCCCGGGTCACGAATCAGGACCCCATATCGTTTTGTAAGCCTCAGAAGCTCAAGCTCCTTTACTCAGGTTGAAATTGATGTGAACTCTGATTTCTATAGACGTCTAGCTAGTTGTATATATACTAGGGGAAGGAAGGGGGCCACCCCCAGGGTGGCGCGCTAGTAAGTTCAGATGAGCCCTGCACAGCTGAGGCTTCAGCTCGGTTCTCTACAGCTGAGATTTCAGCTGGGTTCTCTACAGCTGATGTTCGGAGAGTAGCTTTCTGGCATATGAGTTGTTGATCCTAGGTTGTAGTGCTGCAACCTGAGTCCTTTCCAGGGATGATTGTCTGCCCTTGCCATGGATACGAAGCTCTTCAACTACGAGCTCGGCTTCAACGTCCGTCTAGGTATGTAGAAGGCGCAGCATTTGATGACTGGTGGGAGCGCTATGACGCACGCTATAGTGCTAACGGGCGTGCATGTTATTGATAGCAAGCCGGCGCGGCGGCTTGTGGAGAATTCCTGGTCTGTTACCGCAGGCTCACATGGTACTTTGTTATGAGCGATGAATGAACGGATGGGTTTGTTGTGTACCAGGCGGTGGTCGATCTGAGCGCAGTAAGTGCAACAGTCCGGAAAGAGCTTGATCCGAAGCCGAAGATGCTGGAACGGTGGGATTCGATGGGAGCACTTGGTTAGATTTGAGTCTGTCGATTTTTTGGCTTATGGGTTGATGGCGGAGTTGGGATGGGCTGCGATGGATTTTGGTAGGGTTCGTTCGTTAGGCGCTATGGTTTCCCCTGATGTTTTTGGTTCGGATACCGAGTCTAGCGTCGTAGATGAATGCTTTTTGACCATTTAAATCTGACCGTTCGTTGGCTTGTCAGGGCTTGGACTCTGCTGGTCAGGTTGGTTCTGACTCACCCCTCCATCATCAACATCTCCATTCACGCGCGGATCTTGTTAACCCGAGGTATGCGGAGGTCTTTGATGTCAAGAGAGCAGTATGGGAGAACAAACTGGCCATCATGACTGCCGACCCAGCCGAGCTAGTTGTTCAAGAAACAGACGTGGATTTGCCGGATTTGAATATAGATATTTCTAGCGATTGGTGGGTTTCGGATGTCTTTACGGCTTGGGATTTCTAGGTGCGTTCAAGACAGGCTTATTGCCGTGCGATCAACATATCATAACGAAAGGATAGCAAACAATATATACCTGCGCCATGCGTATGTTGACAAGCTTCATGCATAGATTTCAATAAGCTAGATCTTCTTCGCACTTATCCCAACTTCGAGTTATTGGGTTTCAAATCAGCGGACATAGAATAAGGCAGACGCAGACGATCGTAGATTCTGATTATTTCCTGGACGACAATTACCGAGCTCGCAAGGGGGCCATGCCTACTACCTTGCGTTCCAGCCGGTCCATATCGCAAGGCTTCCAGGCCCGCTTCTCTTGATCTTTTAAAAGATATAGGGTCCATCGAAGTAGCTCCATCTTCACTATTCATTCCTTTTATATATCAACTTGCGTATCAAATTCGAGGGTATCCCTGTCTACGATTTCTCTTTCGGCATATATTTTGACTACTGCTATGGAGCCATCACTAGTCCTCGACCACGAATCAGAGAAAAGTAAGAGCGATTTTACACGTTTACCATCTCGAATTGGCGACAAAGTAGAAATACCACATGACCACGACCACGAACCAGAGAGAAACACGAGCTTCTCCTCGCCTTCGCCGTCCGAAAATGGTGAAAAAGCAGAAACACCACATGAGGATATCGAGCCCTGGAAGGAATATCTCTCCAGTACTAAGCTCTACCTTACCGTGAGCTCTGTAACCATTATCTGCTTTCTTTTCCTGCTCGACATAAATATTATTGTCACCGCGATTCCTAGCATCACCAATCATTTTCACAGTCTCCCAGACGTTGGATGGTACGGTGGTGCCTATACGCTTGCAAATGCCACATTACAACCACTCACTGGGAAGTTATACACATACTTCCACCTCAAACAGGTATTCCTCGGTTGCTTTGCTATATTCGAGGTAGGATCTTTGATATGTGGCTTAGCTACTTCCTCGAAGATGCTGATTATCGGACGAGCGATCGCGGGAATGGGCTCTGCCGGCCTACAAAACGGGTCCCTCACCATGCTCGTTGTAGCAGTTCCAAGGGAGCGTCGACCAGCCCTTCTAGGAATCTGCATGGGAGGGGCGCAGCTCGGTCTAGTTTTAGGCCCTTTACTTGGAGGCGCTTTTACTGAATATGTGTCATGGCGATGGTGTACGATCCCGTTTTCTTCCCATTCACACACACTGAGAGACCCTGTAGCTTGCTAATCTTGCGTCTCTCGTCACTAGGCTTTTATATCAATCTTCCGATAGGCGGTGTCGCTGCTGCCGCGCTCCTCTTCATCCACATCCCCGATCAAATGCCCAAGGACAAGTTCTCGAATGTCATCCGTAATGTCTGGCCGAAACTCGACCTAGTGGGCTTCGTGATATTCGCGTCCGCTTCAATCATGTTTCTCCTCGCGCTCCAGTTCGGCGGAGTACAGCACCCGTGGGACAGTTCGACCGTCATTGGGCTCTTCTGCGGCGCAGGCGTCACCTACCTGGTGTTCGGCCTATGGGAAAAGCGAATGGGTGACAACGCCATGATCCCTCTTTCACTAGCCTCGCAGCAGATCATAATTTGCAGCTGCTTCTTCATATCCTTCTTGATGGGCTGTACTTTTGTCGCCTCTTACTACCTGCCTATCTACTTCCAGACTGTCAAAGGACGCTCGCCGTTGGCGAGTGGTGTTGACCTTCTTCCGAACGTTATGATGAACATCACTTTTGGAGTAAGCACGGGGATTGCGAGTATGTTGTCTAGCCTGAAGAACGCTTTATTTAAGTACGAAAGCTTATAACCAGGCAGTCTCGAAGTTTGGTTACTATCTCCCATTCGGCGTGCTGTCCGGTATTTTCTTGGCCACTGCAAATGGCCTCTTCTCTACTCTTTCGCCTACTACGCCACTTGCGCGCCAAGTCGGTTTCCAGATCTTGCTCGGCGTGGGCCAGGGCTTAGGCGTTCAAATTGTAAGCAAACCTCATCTGATCCGCTGGGGCTGGGTCCTACCATCACCCAAATCCTCCATCCACCACAGCCCTCCTCCCGTCCTAACCCATTGAAACACACCCCATTAAGTCTTCCCCCCAGGGCATGACCGCCGCCCAAAACGCCGTCTCAGACGCCCAAACCGCTCTCGCCATGTCCCTCATCATGTTTAGCCAGACCTTCACAGGCTCCATCTATCTCACCGTTGCCAATACGATTCTCTCCAACACACTGAAGAGCAAGATCCCGCAATATGCGCCCAGGGTCAATGTGCAGGCTGTTATCAACGCCGGCGCCACGGGCGTTAGGCAAGTGGTACACGGGACGGAGCTGGCGGGAGTATTGAGGGCGTACACAGATGCTATTGATCGAGTGTTTTATTTGAGCATTGCAATGGGGGTCGGAGCTTTTGGGGTTGCTTGGGGGTTGGGGTGGAAGGATATTAGAAGGAAGGGGCCTGCAGAATCGCCGGCGTAGGGAGAGCCGGATGGCCGGGTATTATAGGAAGGGGGATGTGGTTGCTAGATGTAACGGATCGTCTCTTACGTGGCCCGTATGTGTTCACACAATACGCGATATAGGTAAATACGTCGTCGGGGTGCGATAGTCTCCAAAAGGTCGGGCAATAAAGCAATAGAAATCAGGCATAAGACGGGTTACTCTACTAACTATAGATAGTATTGTAGAATCTTGAGTTGAACACCAGATTCTTATCTACGAGAACGAGTGTACTTAAATACAAATCTGTGACTCGTCGTCGAGCTATCGATCCTGGTTCGTCCGCTCGTTGACCACCCCAATCTGCACACTACCTACCCCTCTGCTCACATTATCCTGCGCCACTGTGGCTGAGATCGGCTCAGGCCCGGCTCAGCTTCGGCTCAGCTTCGGCTCAGGTCGGCTCAGGTCTGCTCAGGTCTGTTCAGGTACCTCACCAAAAGCTGTCAAATATTACATCAACACGATCATCACAATTTGTGTCACAATTCAACCGCGTTTTCTAGCGAGTCACTACAATCACGGTCAGAAAAACATCACACAAATTCGATACTCAACCATGGGATTCCCACTACAGACGCATCTACAGGCTCTGCTTGCTCCTGGTCCTGTAGCCAGCAGAAATATCGCTTCAAAGAAATGTCTCACAACGCGCTGTGGTTGTGTTTCGCCGGGCGCAGGACAAGGGGCAATCAACCTACTGCCGCAAACCCCCCCAAATACAAGATACGCACAACACAGCTACAGCCACCCGTAGCCATAGCTACACTACACAAATACTATGAACACTTTAGAACTAAGGATCTAGGGCTGGTACGGCAGATGTAGGATTCATGTAGCAAGCTGGCTATGTAGCGCCAATACAGGTTATAGGGTAGGACTGCGCATTACCACACACCGCAGCCCTAGTAGTGCCTGCGTGGTATGGGAGGAATTGGCCGCCTTAGGGTGAGTCACAGATTATCCAATACAACTATAAAAACACCTGCTAGCAGGCGCACCAGACACATAACGGGTGCAAGCACCAAGGAATTAAAGGAATATACGTTTATAGAGATTGCTTGGGCGGAGCTAGCGGAGGAGGGCTTGCACTGTGCGCCCCTGGCGCTCTACATCCGCAATATGAAAGAACCAACCAACCAACCACAATCACGGTCAAAGGGCTCTCTGCCCAAACTCTATTCCCTAATGCCCGTGAACGAAACATGCTATACGGTGAACGCGGTAATTGCGCTTAAAAGGTACATCTTTCAGCATCCCGGACCTAAATGGTCTTCCGGGACTCTCAACTAACCAATAGAACTTTTCAAAATGCTGCATGAGCAAAACCTCGGCATGAGATGAATTTCAAGTTCTTGCTCAACGGTTGGACTTCGTACTGTCAACACCCAGGCTTGACACGGGAGTCTAGGCTTGTCCACAGCATCGGAAAGGGGCATACATAATCGCTTGCCGACCTTTGAAATGATCTATAAAGTACGGCTATCACTTGACAACTTAGCTCGACATTATATCTTTATCTCGCTCACAGATCTCACCACACTTCAATCCGTTTCAGATAACTGCGAATATGCAGCTAATTCACGCTCTTATTTCTTCGTCTCTGCTGCTGGGTAGCGCACTAGCAAGTGTCGGAACACAACAGGTGCTCGGCATTCCGCAAGAAAAATCGAACGCAACCCGTCCTGTGTATGCTATCGCCCATCGAGTGTTGATGACGACTGGCATCTGGGACGCCTTGAACGATGGCGCAAACGCGCTTGAAATCGACATGATGCCCAACAAAAACGGTTGGAACGCGCAACATGACGGAGCAGCCGGCAGGGGCGACACGGCAGATCTTATGTTCAAAACCATTGCCGAAGCGCGTTCTCAAGGAAGAACCGTCACCTTTGTCTGGCTTGATCTGAAGAGCCCGGATTGGTGTCTCCTCGAACATGGACCAAAATGGAAACACTGCACTATCCAAGCACTCCGCGACCTGGCAGCGAAGTACCTAGAGCCCGTTGGCGTCAAGGTGCTATATGGATTTTACAACGGAAAGGAGAAGGCGTTGGCGTCCATCGCACCGAATCTGAAGAGCTTCGAAGCAATCAACATGAACGGCGAGGCGCAAGAATGCCTAGACGCGTTCGATAAAGTAGCGACCAATGTCGGCCGCTCAAAACTCATTATGTCCTACGGCTTCTTTGCCTTGTCCGCCGCTTTCGGCAACTGCCACGAGACGGGCTACAAAACGTGCACCGAAGTGAGGAAGGGATACGAAATGAATAAGTTCGGCAAAGTCTTCGGGTGGACGAGTCTGCGGGGCCATGCTTGGTACGTGGACAAGCTGTTTGCGGAAGCCGGTGTTGATGGAATGATTTATGGATTCAAACTCAATCACTACGTGGGTAGCGAGGCGACGAAGGAGGCGGCCACGGATATCTTGAATTGGGCGAAGAATCACTCTCGGACGCATCATGTTGCTACTTTAGCTGATGCCCCCTGGTGATGGAAATACGGAACTCAGACACCCACATACTAGAGCATTGACACCACATTTGCATTGTCTTTCTCCCGTACTGTTAAGTTGGAAGCTCAGAGTCGTCGTACAATGCAATAACTTAGTGCAAGCAGCCAGGGATCGCCTAATCGAGAATTACTTACAAATACCGTAACGCCGGAATTGTGAACTGCTATCACTTTATTACTCTTTAGCCTTTAACCACCAATGTTAGTCCCGGGGATGCCAACCTTCAAAGGCTGGCGTAAGATGCAAACACCTGCCCGATATGTGCTTCTAGCCCTCAATGGCCTGCGTCAACTCTATCTGACAAGAGATCGCCACCTCATACGCAGAAAGGAAGGCGCAGCTAGATCCGCGGTGATAGCAGGGTCAAGAGATTTATGGTAATGATGTTCGCAGCGAGCTCCGCCCCTCCCGGCTCCTCTTATTGCCGATATGATGCGGTTGAAGCGTGATTATTTGATGTCCATGGGTGGATGATTTCCCATTGAACTTTTTAGCGGGGCTTCAATATGCCGCGAAAGGAGGGCTACTTCCGCCCCTGCCCTTCTTGAGCCACCTACTCCATGAAACGATATACTCAGGGAAGCACCCTCTCTGTATATACACTGCCTGTCGGTCCACCCCATTCCATCTCAATCACCACTATCGGACTCAGGTTGAAAATTGATGTGAACTCTGTCTTATTTCGGGGGCCCGAAGGCCAAACTATATACTACGTAGGAAGTAACTGTATGAATAGGCAGAAGCACTAATTGGAGGCAGCAGTAGGCAGCATTAGGCAGGGTAGGCCACCGTACCCCAACCCCTCTCTGTAGAAGTTGTAACTGGCTAGGCATGTAGGCAGCTACTATGCCAGCAACTCCAAGTCTGTACGTAGGTGACCGTGAACCGTATGAGTTGTTGATCCTAGGTTGTAGCTGTTACAACCCGAGTATCGGCCCGTTACTAAACGCCGAGATGCTTCCGTGGATCATCAAGAAGACTAGGTTCGAAACTTCGGAACACAGCAAGACTGCTCATACTTCTCTTCTGGTCGCCGGGTGACATGAACTCTTTCAAAGCCTTCGGTCGAGAAAAACCACTCGTCGGTCCATATGACCCGAGCCCACTGCTCTGGCTTCCAGCTTAAATGCTCCAGCTGCCCATGCCAAGCACACCTGCTTTTGTGCTTTAGTGAGCAGAGGCTTCGCAGTCGCCACGCGGCGCCCGTACAACTCCATCCTAAACGCTGCCATCAGGGCTTTGCGGGTGTTGGTGTCCAAGGACAACTTGCAGAGTTGCTACAATCAGTTAAGTGGGGCTCACGGGTGAAGATTGGATTGATTGACTACTTACTTAGGTTAAAGGTTTCCTATATAGGCTTAATTCCATACTATACTAAGGTTAGCGCCGCTTGTCCAAGAGCAGATTAATTGATTGTTGGCAGCTCTGAACTGTCGACAAGACGGTCAAGATCTGGGACGCGAGCAGGAGCGCGTGCCTGCAGACGCTCGACGGCCATAGCCGTATTATAATCTCAATGGCCCGACCTGCTCCGGCCACAGCCTTGTTGACACAAGCTGTTACGGAAGCACTTTCTTGTTTCCATCGGATGGTAAGTGTACTCAAGAACGGGGGCCCTGAAACTGGACCCTGGTAAACCTGCGGGCCTGGAAATGGGCCTTCTGAGGCAGGGCGAGGACCACAGTCTCAACCCTCCCTGTCGAATACAGGGCCCAAAACTGGGTTCTAACAAGCTGCTTAGTCTCGAATCATAATACGCTCACCCCAACACAGCCACAGCTCAGGCTGGAGCATGAGCAGCTCAGTTCCCTGAACGGGAAAGGAAACTGCTTGGGTGCACATTGGGATGTTGTACTACCTGGTATAAATGTTGCGCAGAGTGTATACAACGAAGAAAATTGCTAGCTTTTCCAGGCTCTTAGCTCTCATTAGATTAGACGGACACCGAAACCAAATCTTTCCCTATTTCCCAAAAGCACAAAAGGTATCATATCATACACCAATTCAAAAGAAACCGTGGACCCGCATTATCAACCACATTATCATCATCCCGATTGAATAGGCATCATCCCGATTGAATAGGCACCATCCCGACTAGCGATGGCATTACCTGCAGTGCCGTCGGGTCCATCGACCAGCTGTTGAGGTCGGCAATCTGGGCTTGGAACACCGGCGTCAACCTCGTGCACCCAGCCTCCGTGTCCCAGTAATGGCAAGCTTCATTGGGGAAAGGCCAATTGATACAGATGTGCCCGATGAAAGCCCCCGGCCTGAACTCGGTGGGATGGTCATAGAGATACTGTCGGAGTCTTGGCCTACGCGAGTCAGAATGATCCAGCTTGTGGCTTGACCGGAAAGCTTACCAAGGAATAAGATCCACAAGAAGGTCATACGCCGTACAGTCCTGTCGAGCTAGTGGCATCAGCCACTCTGGTAGCTCGTTCATATTCTCAACGCTTGGCCATATCATCCACTGTGGGCATACGTTAACGACACGCCTTCTTACTGAGTTGCTAGGCAACATACCTTCATCATCTTGGTGAGCAGGTATGCAGATGCGAGTTGAATTGGTAGAGGATGGCTTCCGAGCATCTTATTGATTGTACGCGACGACCAGGTTGGGACCGTCTGTCCATCATAGGCGTCTGTAAACCCTAGTAGTATCGAGTCGACGTCTACCTCTCCCCGGCCAAAGATTTGTAGCGGATCCCACTCATTCGCCAGAAGCTCCCGTTTGGTCCTTCGATAAAAAGCGCAGTCGAAGCTGAATTTGCCCACGGGATCATTGGGTATGTAAGAGAAGGGTAGTATTGGTGGCTCGATATTTTGGTGCAAAGAATAGTGGGAGCCGTTCTGGCTTGAATCTCGACTGTTCCCTTGGTTAGTACTATGAAGCGCGACCCCTTTCCACTAGATTCCTCGTACCTTTGCTCCCGGGACGAGCTGTCGTATGACGATGCAACTAGGTTTTGGGATGTTTCCATTTGTAAATCGTTGTCTGAGCTTCCTCCATCGCTTTGCTGATTTTGAGACGAGTCCTGGACAGTGATTAGTCGTGTTCTCTTTTCTTGCATGCAGAGAAACCAACCATAAGAGTCTTGGACATTGCTTTGGCAGAGTGGCGCGCAAATCCATTCCTTGACACTTCTTGTGCAAGCTGGAGCGCTGCTGCTCTGTTCGACGCCATGGCTAGTGGAGTGAGTAGGGACTTAACGTCGTGGAGTTCTCTCTCCAGTCTTTTAACATGCGCTCGAAGCTGTGTCGTCGTCTTTCCGTCCGCCATGTCGTACAAACACGGGAGGTTCTTCGCTTGACAAGTGTTACATCTTGGTCGCACTCCGTCGCACTGCGAGCAGATGTTAGCATCATTCAGCCTGGCAGCAGCACTTTCATACAATTCGTACCTTTGATTTCCGTTTCCTACAGCTTTCACACGCTATCGAGGTTATCTTTCCTCTTGGTGTTCGAAGCGCGTAGGTCCCAGATATCGGAGAGACTAGCTGGGTTGTCTTCGAACTCCCTAATGAGCCGACCATGCCTTGCTTTGGTGCTAGAGGCGCCTTGGATGCCTGTTCTCCGGTGGTGCTATGAGGTCGGATCTCCAGTGTCGCGACCTGTGGCGAATCGAAATGCGCCATCTGTGGCTGCTCATCACCCGCCGATGAGGACGAAGACGACGAGTTCGTGCTATTCAACAGTCAGCTTCCACGTTCCAGCTACCACGACAACGGAATGTAATGACGACTCTCGTGGACACTCGAAGAAAGTTAGAGTCCTTCCAGCTGGTACTTTCCTGCGTCTTTCAGATAAGGATTGCTCTAGCCTCCCCCAGGAACCTCTCTTTCTTGGCCTTCTTGCATTGGCCCTCAAACAGCTTGGCGGCTGTTCATGAAGCAACAGCAGGCTTGCAGCCATGTTGGTCAGAGATACAAAAGCAGGGCGCTGATGTCCGATCAGGCAGCTAATGGGGACATGAGTCTTCCCAAAACCATCTAGGCCAAGGGATATGCGGCTCTATTCGCAAAAATGGATATATCGACAGAGCGCCAACCGTCATGTCGATATGACAGGTAATAGTAAGGAACTCGGGGCGAGGGTTGAGGGGCCGCTCTGTTCTGCAACACAGAGGAAGGTATCACAAAAAATGAGATTGCTCACCCATTGTTGATGAAATGGGCACCAGGCGCGTCATACGAATCTTTCCTCGAGATCCTGCGAGTTTGGTGGTCGGCGGACTCCATGAAGCCGTTGGTGTTGGGCATGACGTTGGCGATGCCGCTGCCAGGCCAATAGTTATCCCCTAGAGTTGCGGCGTCAATACAGGGTTGATAGGCAGGAACACGGCACGAACCAGAAGACATTTCATAAACTCCAGGGGTCATCAACGCGATCATTGCTTTGCTTGGGGGAGAGGGCAGCGAGTGGGGTCAACGACAGGCAGTGATGCTGATATCAAATATCAAAGGGTGACGGAGGCGGGATGCTTTGAGGAAAACATGGAATGAAGCGTGCCTTTGAAATGGAATGGCTACGATCTATCTTGAGCTGCTCAGTTGCTCGGAGCAGATCCTACCGCAATCGGAAAAGTATAGGGACGGTTCGACTAACTACCGCTGCGACCAAGTACCACGGGTGGGCCCCAAGCTTAGGAGGAGACTTGGATAGACGCACGGGCATACCCAACCCGCGGGGAACCGGCAAGTTGAGTTGGTGGTTGAGAGAGGCGCCGGGCGGCCCTTGGACCCAAATGCTCCAGGGATCAAGGGACGCCTGCTGGCAGTAGTCTTGGATGGTCTTGGATAGGGCTTGACAGGGACCTCGCTAGAGTCTCTGGGAACGACGGTCTTTGCATGCAGCCACGCCGTCAACGCAACACCAACCGCTTGGAGAGGTCAAAGGCCGATGTAGTAACTTGGACACATGGCTGTCATATGCCTCATGCAGGAGAAGTGCGCCTTGGGGGGTGGGATATGGATGGATGACGCAGGAGGCCACTGGGGGAAAGATGCCGCGGCTGCTGTGCACGGCGGAAGACCAAGGGGCCTGGCGATGCCTGGCGGGAGCTAGATCTGAGGTCCAGGCATGGGTCTAGGCCTGCGACAGCCATTGTGTGTGGACGCAGCCCTGCAGAGTGGAGCCGCCTGGCGCACCTTCGGCCAACAGCGAAACTCGTCGCCAACCTCGCGTATATCGGCCCGACTGATGTGCCGCCTGCAGACGTCCAAGGCCTACCCTCCTTCGCCCTCCTCCAGCTCGTTCTGCCCGTCCGCCCGCCCCCGCGTAGAGTTGGGTGCGTCGCAACACCAAGACGCGCTTGTGACGCCATCATGGCCCCTGCTGCGCTGAACATGCCAGCCTGGCGTCGATCTCTGCCCCCCCTGGCCGTGCCTACCTGCACATCTCCTGCTGATTGGAAGCCGGGAGAAGGGTCGCGGAGGATGCCGACGACATCAAGTCCAGGGGCCAGGAAGGCTATCTGGAGTGCACCTTGAGTGCTATCCACCGCAGCCGCGTATGGGCGGAGCGCACACCTCCCACACCTCCCACACTCCCCTCTACCCCGTAGGTCTGTGTGACGAGAACATCACCACTTGCAAGCCGTCATTGTCCTCCCTTGATACCGCTATCGCCGTCCAAGACGAGCGTGGTGGGATCATTCCAGTGCTGTGCACGGATTGGCAGGGTCCAGTCCGGCTGTAGAGCTGTAGAGCTCGCGTTTCCACAGCCACTCCGGCGCCATGTTCCTTGGCCCTCTAGGAAAGCCGTTGTGTCGCTCGCGAACTACTCCGCACTCAATCGGCGTGCTAGAGAATCCGCTTGCGACCCAGGAATCTGTTCTCCCGCTGCCCACGCTTAACTCCATTGAGCAAGTACAGACGCCGAATGAGGGCCGACGCTAGGTATCATACAAATCGCAGCCAGGAACCTGGGCCCTGCTATCAAGTTTCACGGCTCCCGGACGCTGCGATAGGAGATCATTCCGCGTCACGAGACAGCGGCAATGACTGCCGCTGTGTGGCTGTAGTGCTGACCCCTCACACTCCAATCTATCAGGCTTGCCCCCTGTCGAAATGTCGAGGCAGCGACCGCCAAAGGGCTTCCCCGCTTCTACTCTCTGGGAGGTTGCACCCCTAGTACCTGTCGCATTGTCCAAGGGTCGTAGAAGCAACCGAATTTGACTTTCACGTGGCTTAGTCTATCGGCTCATCACTGCTTGGTCATACGCAGACTAGTGGCAAACTTTCCGCCAATGAACCAGGCAGCTTACCTTTAGATGTGGTCATGTCTCGAAAATCATGCTCCTCGGGAACTGGACGGTGGACCAAACGCAAATCTTCGTTCATCATTTCTCCACGTAGTAGGTGGTATTCCACAATGTTTTCAAGCCCCAAGCTGCTCGGTTATATCCGACCTCATCAATGATGTTCTCACTATCAAACCATTATGTTCCTCTAGACTTCGAACTTCACATGGCTTAATTCCTCACTTCTTCGATGGTTATACAGGGGCTACCCTACTAACAACTAGCCTCACTATGTCCATCTCTCAGCCTTGTGTCGGCGCTCAAGCCTTCCCCTTGTCGTGGAGCTCTGTTTCACCGACTTGAACCTTATGCTAGACCTGCTTGAGTGAATTGCAATGAGAAATGATAAGATGTATGCCGAGAAAGCTACCCTGGACGAGAACGACTGCGGATCCCTGTTGCTCAAATCGACGCTATCATCACCAATGATCCTATGCAGCGCATTGACACTCGAATTGAAGGTGACATGCATCAGGTGCCTAAACGAATGGCTTGAGATGGTGCAAAACTGGATGGGTGGATAGGCCTTTTCATCCTGGTTCCATGTCAGCCAAGCACCCATTCGTCTCTCTGTTATTATGCCAGTTCAGTAAAGACTAGGGCTCTCATCTTTCCAACCTTCACTAGCGGGGCTATCTCGGTAGCTTTTCAGCCTTTTGGTGATTTTCCCGAGATATCACCCGTTTTCCAAGATATCTGGAGGTTTGAAGGGTCACTTGCACACTTTGTTCCCCTTAAACTGTAACTGTAGCTTCCTTGAGTTACCTCATTTTGAGACGGAGACGCCTATTCAGTAGCCAGAGCCGGCACTCAGCCGCTTCCCCGCTCTTAGTCAACAGCGCCAATGTTAGGGCTTTCCTTTTGGCCTTTGGTGAACACCTGAACTCGTCTATTGTTGCAGCTTGTCAAAGTCAGGCCATAGTCGGGATTGCTCCCCAATAGAGCCGTTGCGTAGCTCAACACCAAGGCACCTCAACGGCCTTGGCCAATTGAATCGCTTTTACCCCTTTGTAGCAGTCCTGATGTCTTTCATCCTCTCATGTTTCGACTCAACAATTTCGACTCGACATACTCGACTTCTAACCACCCCTGAACCTGGCAGTTGTAGGCTGCGCACCCAGGGTCCGGAGATCGTTCCGGAGATCGTTCCGGATGGCGCTAAATCACGTCAGCCATTTCTAGGGCGCTGTGGCCTCACCCGGTCGCCGGATAATGATAAGCCCATTTGAGCTTGTTGCAACCGCCTGCATTGCACAGCTGCTGGACATCTGTCTCCTGCATTAGCACAGTCGCATCCCAAACGGCGGGGACATCCATCGCATGATTATCGGTAAACTGAGCGTGTCGGGAGCAGCGGCACAGACTATCTTGATCTGTCCCGCGAATTGCATGAGGCTTGCATGAATAACGAAAGGACCCGTCTAGAGCCGCCAAGGCCACGTTTCTCTTCTTCACCGGTCTGTCTTTTCCGCATCTATTCGCCGTTCTCTTTTCATTTTTGCAAGTAGGGACTCTGCTTGTTTGTGATTGTGATGTGGCTGTCATTTATGATGTCTTTGATTCTTTTATACCGTGCCCTTCACGGTAATGGCTCCGATACTTCACTCAATAATTCGTCTTTCTACAAAAGAGAACACCGACATACCACCGGGAATATGCATTGCTTAAATTCTAGAAGGACGGCATCCTGGCAACTGCAGCGACGAGCGGATGCATACGGCCTGTGGCGTGTGCGGGCGTGACCTCTAACGACTTTGTCAAACAGCGGCTCTCTGTGTGTCTCACAAGTCACAATTGGAATTCCTTTTAGCATAATATTTCGGCGGCTGCGGCGGCGGCTGCATAGGCAACTTCGGATGTGGCGTGCTTAGCTCTGCGGGCGTGGAGCTTATCAACTTCGCCAAACAGCGGCTCCCTGCGTTTCTTACTCAATAGCGACAGACGACTTTCAGGTAGTCAATTACTCTAAACCTACACTGGAACCATCCTGGCGACTGCTGCAGCCCGCGAGTAAGACATACCTATCGATGCGACAGTGCTCAGATCTGTGGCGCAATCTCTATCTCTTTTTCTCAAACGGCGGCTCTCTGCATGTCTCACTCAACCAACTATAGGTCACCTGTAGAGCATCGACTGCTCTGATCGCATATCTATACCATTCTGGGCAACACCTGCAGCGGGTGGTATCCACATGGTCGACATAGCGTTCCGCGGATCTGCGGGAGTGAACCTTATCGACTTCAATCGGCGCCGCCTTATGCGTGTCTCTCAACGGCACGAAATGCTTTCAGGGACTCAAGTACCCTACTTCCGCGATACCACCCCGGGCGACGACTGGAGCGGGTGGCACACACATGGCCGCTATAGCGTGCTGCGGATCTGCGGAAGGCAAAGGCTATCGACTTCGCTGCCTTAATGCGTGTCTCACTCAACAGGACATGCTTTTTAGGGATGCAACTACCCAAACTCCACAATGCCACCCCGGGCACTGCCTGCAGTGGGTGGCACACACATGGTCGACATGGCGTGCAGCGGATCTGCGGGAGCAAGCCCTATCGACGCCCATCGCACGCCTCACTATGCGTGTCTTACACAACAACACCACGAACCATTGTGACTTTCCAAGGAATCAGTGCTGACCCCATTCGGCTCCCTACAGGTTTTAGCTCGGAATTCCACGATCTATCAGAGACATGGTTCATGACCGGTGAGGGCACTGGCAGCACCTTCTACGCCGGTGTGTGTCGCTGATGACGACGTCGATGAACATACCCCGAAACCGGATCCTGAGGACTCCTCGGAGAGGACTCCTCGTAGAGGGCTCTATTGAGGGTGCGTCGGGGTCTTGGCCTGGTCCCGACTTCTACAGTCGGTTGAGCGCCTTTTGGTGTTTTCTTCGCCAAATCTTCAGGGGCGACCTCCTTTACGGCGAGGTGCTGTAGAGGGCGTTTCGGAGTATTGGTCTTGTCCCGATTTCTACGATCAGCTGGGGACCTCTCGGTGTTCTCGTCACGGAACCTTCAGGGGGCGACCTCCTTTACCGCGAGGCTCTGTAGAAGGCGCTTCGGAGTCTTGGTCGACCCCGACTTGTGCAGCAGCAGCAGCAGTAGTGGAGGTCCCTTGGTGTTTTCGTCCCAAACCTCAGGGGTGACCTCCTTTACGTCGAGTTGAGTCCTTCCTATGCTGTTGATTGAGAAATCCTTCAAGCCTGAAGGTAGAAATAGCATAGCTGGTTATGAGCTGGGCACTCTCTGACTGCATGGCTGTTTCGAACACGGGATTCTCGAGCAAGGGGCTCAGCAGGTCATGGCCCGCAGGGATGGATGCGATATACGCCGCGTAAGAGATCCTATCAACAATCACCATTAAATTGAACTTCAATACACGCGAATTTACAGCGAAGAGGCAGAACGTAAATCAAACAGCATCTCGAAACTTTCTCTCTCACACACACACGCGTATTCTCTGTCTCGCTCTCTCCAGAGCATCATCTCCCAGACTTCTACGCACCTTCCCATACCTCCTCGCGCTACCCCAACCCATCTCCCAAACTTGCCAGCACAATCCACATCTCTCTCTCACTTCAAACAACTAACCACTTCAACCAGGCCACCCAGAGACGCGGCCAACCCAACACCCAACCCCCACCACAAACACGCCAGCGCTCTCCCTCTCAACCACGCGTCCACGCGGCGACAACGCTGCTTGAAAGCGGGTCCCACGGCCAGAGAGGAAGGAAGCGGTGAGGGTGAGGGTGAGGGTGAGGGTGAGGGCGAGGGCGAGGGCCTAAGCTACGGCGGCAAGCGCGCGGACACGCCTTGTATCCAGCCTCACCGCCAGACCGCCAGACCGCCAGACCGCCAGACCGCCCCGCTCTCGTTTCTACATCATCTACTATCCAACACGTCCACTCACGTACGCGGCATGCAATCCCTTGCTAGGTGACGCCAGCTCGTGCTCGGAGTTGGCGCCTGGAGAATGCCAGGCATAGACATACGAACGTCGGAGGACGACCTATGCGTCGCAATCAATGTGCCACGTAAACGTGCTCTCCGTGCCCCTTGATCGTCGAAGTTCGGCGCGCGACCTGTCCAAGATTGCTAGGATCAGTGAGGGATTCAAAGATTGCCCTTTCGTCGTCTTGCCACAAATCTGGCTTGGGCGCCCGATACCAGCAGCTATCTGATTCGGACGCCCTCGCACGGCTTTCTAAGGGCAAAAGCTATACTCAGCACTTACACTCTGGCCAGATCACGGCAGCTCATTACACATAGCCCCATAGAACAATAACATCACCCATAGAACAATAACATCACCCATAGAACAATAACATCACCCATTGTACTATGAAAAGCACTCTTCATCATTGAAAGTTCATTCGGATTCGAGTATAGCATCAGGATCTCATCGTATCCATTTCGCTGGGTATCAGGGTATAATCCGCCTTACCACGCCCCAGGCATAGCCACCTCCATCACCCATACAACCACCCAACTCATATGCCCAGCATCAAAGTCCCGCCTCAAATCGCCCAAACATCACCTCAAGCAACCCCTCTCGGCCTCCCTACTCCCTCTTCGGCTTATACTCCTCCTTCAGCGTCCACTTCCCCCGCCCACCTGTTCCCTTCTCTAGCACTGCAATCTCATTCAGCATCGCCTTAAACTCCGCCGTGCGCTGCGCCGTACCACAGAAGCGGTTGAACTGGTTGATCAACGCCTGCGTATGCACCTTTCCCCCATGCACATTGATAAAGTCGCGGATCAGCACCAAGAAATCGCGGCCCTTCGGCTGCTGATTCTGCGTCGTCGACGACGTCGCGCCACCGCGTCCGCGTCCAGCGCCGTTCTGGCCGCCCTGCCTTTGTCGCATAGCCAGATTCGAGAGGACAGACGAGCTCGACGGGCCACCACCTCGTCCTCCACCTCTGCCGCCACCGCGGCCCGCGCCCAGGTTGCGCGGAGGAGGTAGACGTTGTTCAGGGCGTCCAGCGACGCCGACGACGCCGGTCCAGGTGGGCACGCCGGCTGGGATAGTCCGCGCGATCTCAGCAGAGCGCTGGAGCTCGCGGGCGGCTTCGGCAGCGACCTTGCGAGCCTCCTGCGCGATGATCTTGGGGTCGGGCGCGTATTTGGGCTTACCGGTTCGGGAGTTGAGGATGACGTCGTGCTCGAGCGCGGAGTGGACGCCAGAGCGGGCGAAGATGGTGCTGAGGAGGCGGTCGCCCTTCTCCTTCGGGGCGTCGGTGTCGTTGGCGTTGTCGCTGGAATCGGACTCCTCAGGCGCGTAAGCTTCCTGGCGAGAGACGCCGGTGATGGCTTCGAGGTGCTGAGCAGATGTGCCAGCGGATGCGCCGTTGTGAGCGCGCTGCAGTTGCAAGGATTCGGGATCTGTTGGAGGAGTAGGCATGCCGCGGTTTGGTGCTGGGCCTGTTTTTGTGTCGTCGAATTTGACTTCGCTACCTTGGAACAGAGTGCTGGTTTCGGTCTCGCCGTCGTTGGCATTGCCTAAGGTGAACAAATCCTGCAAGTCGCGGAGCTGGAAGGTTTGGCGTTGCTTCGGATCTCGAAGAATCTTGTTAGTCAGGAACTGCTTGAAGATCTGGCGGTGGTAGATCTTTTCCTCGATGGTGCCCGCGGTCATCAGACGGTAGATCTCAACTTCCCGCTTCTGGCCAAGTCGCCATGCTCGCTCACGAGCTTGAATATCCGTCGAAGGGTTCCAGTCAGGGTCGAAGATGATTACACGGTCTGCACCGGTCAAGTTAACGCCAAGCCCACCGACCTTGGTAGTGAGCAGAAAGACGTGAAGGTCCGGATCGTTGTTGAACTCATCGACCATAGCCTGCCGGTCCTTGATGGCAGTATTTCCATCCATACGGCGGTACTTGAAGTCGCCTTTCATGCCCTTGACGAACTTCTCGAGGATGTCCAGCATGATCCGATGTTGAGCGAACAACAGGGTTTTGTGACCGTCTTTCTTCCAAATCTCCAGGAGGGCTTTGACGACTTGCATCTTTCCTGACTTGACGCCGGATCCATAGTTGAAACCCTCTTTCTTTGACAAGGTCTTATGCTGGACTAGATCTGGATGGTTACAGATCTTTCGCAGAATGTCAATACCGAACAGCATCTGCCGCTTGCCGTTGAGGATCGAGGTCATATCATCCGATGCCAGAAACTGCTCGTAAGCCTCTCGTTGCTGTCTCGTCAACTTGCAGAAGAGAACACGCTCGCTCTTTTTGGGCAGATCCGCTGCGACATCGACCTTGAAGCGCTGTAACAGATACGGGCTAATGGATTCCTTCAACGTCTCTGCGCATCTCATAGCCGTTTCGACATCCAGGTTGGAAGCATTCGCATAGCCACCTTTCTTGATCGGAAACTCGAACGAATTTCGGAACTGGACGAGGGTGCCCAGCCGCATGGGAAAGACGAAGTCGAAAAGAGACCACAGCTCGGTCAGGTTGTTCTGCATTGGTGTTCCAGACAAGATGACCCGATTTGGAGTCCGCAACTCCTTGCAGAATATGGTGATGGCAGTGTTCGGGTTTCGAATCTTGTGGCCCTCATCCAATACAGCATACTCCCAGTCGGTAGGAATAAGGAACTCGGCGTAGCTCTGTAATCCGGAGTATGTGGTGATCAACACATGGCCGTCACGCTTGACCTTGTCAACGATTTTCTTAGCGGCCTTCGCAGCCTTGGTGAGAGGCTTTCGCTCGTCATCGTAGCTCCTGGACTCAAGCTCTCGCTCCATCTGGCTCTCGCGACGGGTATCCATCATACCACTTCCAGACGTATGCAGGATAGAGACTCGCATAGGAGGCCACCATCGATGGAATTCGTTGACCCAATTCTTCATGACAGTAGCTGGAGTAACGACGATAATGGGCTTGGTGATCTTCTTGGAGTAATGAAGACCGGCCAAGAACGAGATGATCTGAATGGTTTTACCCAATCCCATCTCGTCGCCGATGATTCCACCGACCTGCTGACTGTACAGCTCGCCCAGCCATTGTACTCCAGTTTTCTGATAGTCGAAGAGAGATGGATAGATATCACCAGGAATGTACAAACCACCCTCTAGCTCAACATCAGCGCGAGTTGGGTGTGGTTTGTACCATTCCTCCTCATCCGGATCATACGCATCGTCGTCACCTGCTGGGGCCGCATCAGCTTGAGAGGCACGCTTTGCTTTCGCTCGTGTCCTAGTTTCCGAACGGCTCTTGGCCCAGTATTTCAGTCGGCTCTCGTATACTTTTTCGTTACCGTCATCAACACCAGCGAGGTCTTCCTTTTCTTCGACCGCTTTAGTAGCTCTGGATTTCTTCACAGGCGCTTTGCGCTTGCGAGCTGGAGTCTCCAAGGCGTAATCGTCTCCGGAATCCTCCTCTTGCTCATCATCCGAATCTTCAAGAGCAGCTGGAGTGTCCATTTCAGGAGCAAAGGCGTCGTCAGATTCTCCCCTCGGGCTCTCTGCTGGGGTAGAAATTGGTGTTCCATCCGACGATCCGACTCGACGTCTCTTCGATGACCGTTCAGTGGAAGGAGGAGACGGGGTTGAGCTGTCGGTCTCATCCGCAAATCCTGGGCTCATCAGGTTTCGATGCGATACTGGGCCCGAGAATTCGTCCAATAGAGCTGTCGACTCCTCCTCTTCATCGTCCGCAGCTTCTGCATCGAGCATGACATCACCGAGGTCATCCGATACAGTCGGGACCTGCGCAAGCTTCGAGAAAGGTGTGATTTTGCCCGTTCGGATCAAGAATTCGCGACGAGTTTCGTTTGGAAGCGGTTTATTGCCTGCAACCTCAACCTGTTCTCCGGCTTCGGTGCCATTCTTTCGCCTCTCTTCAATACGAGCCTTGATTTGCTTCAACTCAATGTCAAGTTCTTCGATTCTAGCTTCGGCATGCGCAATGTCTTGACGAATTTTGTTCTTAACGGGCTGGCCAGCGGGAATCTTAAGACGCTGCTCGAGTCGCTTGACCTGGGTGATGTATCGCTGCTTCTCGCCCTCGGTCTTGTCTATGCGCTTCTGCTCGCGTTCGTCGGCCTGCTCGTTGAGCATCTGGTCAGCCTGGCGGCCGATGTCTCGCTCGAGATCATCTTGGTCGCGAATCGCAGTGGCAAGAATCTTCAGACGGGCTTCTCCATCGGCATCTTCATCGAGTTCATCTTCTTCGAGTGTGGTAGGGTCGTGCGCAGGGACGTCCTGAGCGTTTGCTTTGGATTTGCCCTTGTCTTGGTGGCCAGCACCAGACGAGGCGAACGGAGACATGGTCGGGTTCGACGGTTCGACGGGTGGGGACAGATCGGTGGTGGAGTGCGACATGGTGGAAGTACGGTGGGAGACGGATTTGGAGGAGTCGGAAGGGTCGAGGGATGTGAAAGATGCGTCGCAAGCTGGTGAATGTGGCGCACAAGCTCTCTTCACCGGGAAGCGCAATGGAGAGCGGTGGTGGAGAGGGATTGAGAGGTGTTCATTCTTGAGGGAGAATGAGAGAGACGAGGTCGCAGCGAAGGCGAGAAAAGTGCAAAGGCTGAATAGCGAGGGACAATAGCAGCAGAGTGAAGAGTGAAATGTGTGCGTCGACGGCTGCAGCCTGCCTGTCAATGAAGTCACGGTAGATTTTAGCGCCTCGCACGGGCCCGCGCCGATCCCTGTCACCTTCTCACTTTCCCCCGCCTTATCCCCGAGAGCCTCATCTCGACGCCACCACAAATCAAAGGCAAACCCCATTCTCGACGCGTCTGTAGCTACATGTAACTTCTACCTTCTTTGTACGCTTTGCTTATGATCTACTCAATCCCGAATGGTGGGTATTGCCACCCGTTGCCCCCCCTGGCCCAATCCAACCTCGAGAGCACCTAATCTAGGCGCGAGGACGCAAATAATCGAATCACGCCCGAATAACTTACATGTTTATTACCGCTCAATGCGCTTCTGCAAAATGGCGTCGATAGGTTGTTGAGTTCTTGCTTGTTTCATACCTCGAATACCCCTGAAGTGTAATGAGTATCTTGCTCGCCGAAGTCTTTGAGCAGAGCATACAAGTGCACGTCTCGGCTAGTAAAGTAAGTAATTTTTCGCCTTATCCTTTGTCAGTCTGCGTCTTTCTCTACAGCCATCAGGTCCAAGGGGACTTGTCATCGATAGTCACGATACTATTGGCTTATGGCAGTCCGTTCGTGTGCTGTCGGAGCAGACAGCCACAAAATATTTATGAGGTGCCGTGTTCTTCTTACGTGGCGACGGATTGATTGTAACATTACTCAGCTTTCCATTTTGAGCCTCGCGTGATGTGATGCGGCTTCAGGGTGGGGGCCAAGTTTAGCGGCCCTGATTTGAGCACGGTTGCCAGGGAGCCCTGGAGGTGACTAGGCGGGGCTATTCCCAGCCTCGTCCCTCGCAGCCTAGCATCTCCATCCCTTGAGAATTGCAACTTCGCTCCCTAACGACCGCGTTCCTGTCTACAGTCTTGACCATGTCGACCGACACGTCGTTATCTATTGACGTCTTCGAAAGCGCAATATCTCCCATCTTCCAGGGTAGCGACCCCCTAGCAGACGCCGACATTGACACCATCTCGGATCTTTTGGTCCTCCGCGGTAAAGAAGAATGGGCACTCAGGCCAAGAACGTACGCCGTTCTGCGAATGATGAACCGGCTTGACGCAATGGGCACTTTCATCCATTGCAGACTGAATGATTTCAATATTCCGTATACCGTGGACCGCCTACTCTCAGTATTCAGCGACTACAGCAGCAGGGAATTGTTCGTAGAGAAGCAATCGCTTGTCGTAACAAAAGAGTCGGGAAAGGCCTATGATCTTGAGCGGAATCGTGGCCGCCATAGGCATTTTGGTCAGCTTTGCCGTGATGGCCTACGTAAGACAGCACTAACGATCTATAGCGTATGATGCCGACAGTCATTTCGTCGTTATCAGGCGTCTCGGCCGTGGTGGGTTTGGCGAAGTTGACTGTGTGAGAAGCAAACTTTCGCTCAGGGAGTATGCGGTGAGTAGTCTAGTCTTTGGGCAGGCCCCCGTCTGAAAGCTAATACTTGGCAGCGAAAAAGAGTGCACCGTGTGAAGGCATTTGCCAGAGAGCACTCTGCTCTAAAACAGTTTGAGAACGAAGTACACGAGCTAAAGCGACTCGACCACCATCATCTTGTTAAATTCATTGGGTGAGTTTCTCACGCCTTTAAGACATTACTTTACATGAGGCTTATTTTAGAAGCTCATATACCGACCCTAAATACGTTGGGCTCATAACGTCTCCCGTGGCAGACTGCGATCTACGTGCTTTCCTTGATCGGACGCCGTTTACTACTTCTGACGCAGAGCTACTCCGAGGATTCTTCGGCTGTCTATGTTCTGCCGTGTCTTATTTGCATTCGCAGAAATGCCGGCACAAAGACATCAAGCCGGCAAATATCCTGATCAGAGGCCAGACTGTGCTACTCACAGATTTTGGAACAGCGAGAGACTGGAACGACATGTCTAAAAGCACGACGGTCGACAAGCCAGGCCCATACACCCCCGCATACTGCGCGCCAGAAGTTGTCGCGTGGGAATCCCGGAATTCGTCTTCAGATATATACTCCTTGGGAATGGTGTTTCTGGATATGACTGTAAGGATCTGAACTGTTTAATAATGAGTCGCGGCACTGACTTGGCTTACTAGACCGTGTTGTGCGGAGAGAGCCTTGAAAGCAAACGTCGATTCTTTGAAAGCCACGGCACCAAGGAGCTGTTTGCTCGCAACAACGAAGAAGCTTTTCTTCTATGGCTGAATAAACTTGCGAATTTTCAAGACGGCGCCCCTGTGCCCTGGATCAGAAAAATGACTCTGGGGCTTCCGAAAGATCGCAAAACCGCACCGGAGATAATGGAGGACATCCTAAGTCTCGAAAATGAACGCATTTACTACACTTCATGCTGTAATGGAGAGTATACAATTTACGACGAGACTCAGAGTGATGAAAACTACGAGTTTTCCGATGAAGAGATAGACTCGGCAGCTGTAACATTGGCCGCCGGTGGTGGCCAAGAGGCCGTAATGAGTGGGACGAGCGCTACCTTCTTGGACCTTTCTCGAGCTATCACCAAGCACAACTTGATTGAATTCAATAAACTGATCGAAAAGGGGTCTGATTTTCGCGAACGAGACCCCAAGGGAAAGACACTGTTGCACATCGCCGCAGCTCATGGCCAACCCAAAATCATGGCAGCACTTTTGGATCTTGGTTTGGACATCGATTCTCTGACACATGACGAATGCACACCTCTGCACATAGCTGTGCCAGAAGAGGAAGAAGAGGCGATTAAACTGCTCTTAGAGCGTGGCGCGAATCCGAAAGCTCGAAACACTTCTGGCAATACTCCGTTGATCCTAGCTGCTCAGAACGGCAACACAGAGATTATCGAGCTACTGCTAAGCAAAGGCTCTGATGTCAACGAAAAGAACGATATAGGCGCGACAAGTCTACATCAGGCCATCGAGCACAACGAGCCTGCAGCGGTGTTCACGTTACTCTCGCAGCCGGGGATCAATATCGATGCAAGGATGACGGATGGATGGACGCCACTGCACTCGGCGGGTAGTGCTGGGCTTGGTGTGGTTATCGAGTCACTATTGGTCCATGGAGCTGACATTTCAGCTGTGCAAAATGACTCATTCTCCGCTCTACATCTCGCGGCCAGGAATGGACACGAAGATACCGTCAAGACTCTCCTCTTCAATGGAGCAAACTCCGACGCAGCATGCTTTTGCCATAGCATAACTCCGCTCTTTTTGGCCGCACAAAAAGGGTATACATCGATCGTACGGCTCTTGTTAGACAACGGAGCGAACGTGGAGGCGACATCGACCAGCGGGAATACCCCTTTGCTGATAGCTGTTAGCCAAGGCAAGGATATCGATACGATACATCTTCTCCTGAATGGTGGCGCATACGCTTTAGTTGCCGACTCGGGCGGCTTAACTGCACTGCATCTTGCCGCGGAGAATAACAGCCTCCAGATACTGGATCTCCTTTTGGAACACTTTCGCACCCATCAACTTGGTGGAGTGGACTTTCCGGATACCGATGGGGAGACGCCTCTCCACATATGCGCGCGCCACGGGTACGTGGCCATGGCGAAGCGACTCCTCGACCACGGTGCCAATATAGAAGCCCGTGATAACAAAGATGCAACTCCGTTATGGCTAGCAGCTGAACTTGGACAAGTCGAGTTCGTGAATTTGCTTGCATCACGTGGCGCCAACCTAGATTCGCAGGACGAGGAGATCGGTTTTGCGGCGATCCATCGCGCTGCTACAAAAGGACAGGTTGAAGTCATCAAAGCATTAATCAAGCTTGGGGCTAACATGAATGTTCGAACCTACAGTGTTGACTTCATGCCAATCTACTATGCGGTGCTAGCAAACAGTGAGGAATCGCTGAAGGTCTTTCTCGATCACGGGTGTTACGATGAGGATATGTTGGTGTCGTGCCTCTACTGTGCCTGTAACGAAGGACACAATAGCATAGCGCGGTTACTCGTCCAGGCCGGCGCTGATACCTCTGGCTACGAATCCTCGGTGCGGTTGTTGATGGAAGATATGGAGGAAGAGGAGCGAGACGACTTTTTCAAGGACACTCGAAGCATTAAAAGGGTAAGTTGCTGCACCTACGTACAAGTGTGATATGACACTAACAAGTCTTCCGTTCCAGCTATGCAAGTCCATAGGACTAGATAGCACTTTCATGAGACCTGCCTATCTGATCTGCGAGAAAGATGAGGATTTAACAAAGGAGCTCGTACTCGACCTGTTTGAAGAAAAGGACTCTATGACAACACAACTGTCCAGTGAATCCGGTGGACAACCGACCATCCTTACCCCAGATAGTACAGTAGAGGCTGATCCAAAATCGCCGGAAGCTCCCCGTTCTTCCCCACGCCCACCGTCGGCATCCCCAACTACGTCGCCATCGCAGTCCCAGTCATCAATACCACCGCCAATCAAGCCCAAGCCTAAGCGCAAACCGCCACCGCCACCGAAGAAGCCAGCTTTCCTGAGTGTGGGCAGCACAAGCTCGACATCAACAAGCCCTACAAGGTCGCCAATTGTGCCGCCCAAGCCTCAAGAGCTTGGAACTTCAATCCTAGAAATAGGAAACTTGGACATCCCAATCACAAGCACCCCATCCCCTACTCCATCACGCCCAATAATCACAATCCGCCGTCTCGACCCAAGCAAGATCGCCCCGTCACGTTTCCAACAGTCAGACCCTGTGAATTGGGACGCTGCCACGCCTTCGCCTAGGCGCACAGCTTCGCCCAAACCCTCGCCCACTGTTAGATTTGCGCCTTCCCCGAGACTCACGCCGTCGAGATCGCCAGCGCCGCGGCGAGATAGGTATGAAAGCCAGGACAGCAATGGGGATGCGGACGAGGAGATCCAGGCGGCGATTGCGGCGAGTTTGGAAAGCTTCAGATGAGGTTGGGATGATGGATGAGATTTGCGGTCCTGCAGCGTAGGTTTGGGCGCTCTCTTGCCATGGCTTAGGGTACACCTATAGGCCTTTCAAACTGCAAATATAATACCTGCTTACTAGGCTACTTCTCACAGTAGTATTAAACGAGCAAGAGTGGAATCCGTGCAGTGTTGTTCTTGTGTGCCTAGCTTATAATCTAGGACTGTATAATCCTGTAATAAAAGTTTAAGCAGTTGCACTCTCTTTTGCTACTGCATGAGGTACCCGTATGGGCTTTTAGAACTCTAAAGACGAAGTTAATGAGGATGCAGTGGGTATTAGGCGGCCTTTTAACTGGCTGCATACATGCTAGCCAGGCTACTCCTTACGGTGGTATCGAGCGATCAAGAGTGGAACCCGTGCTATGGTACAGTACTAGGTCACAAGTTTGGGCATGTCGTCTTTGATCTCTTCCAGTAGTATAATAATGCTGAAGTACCCCACCCAAACAGTGGCCAAGTAGGCCGAGTTGTAAGCGCATAAAACCTCTCTAATTCAAACTCTTAAGCTCTTTACATCTAGTTGAAAATCTTTATAATGCGACGAAGCACCTCAAACGGTGGTGAGCGAGTGTGCCTAGACTTATGGCAATCCTCAATCACCGCAAATTCCCCGGCCGAAACATCTACAGTACCAAAGGCATGAGTTTGGGCACTCCTTGCGACTGTTAGGGGTTACCCCCACAGGCTTTGGAAATTCCAAATACGATATAAAGGTCAACGCAGTTAGGATTAGACTTTCTTTTAGCTAATTAAAGATATGATATCTAGGGCACCCCTTACAGCGGTGTCGAGGGGGCAAGAATGAAGCTAGAGCAGTGGTATATCTGTGTGCCCGGACTTTTGGCAAGGCACTGTATAATCCAGGTGCCCGAACTTATGACCTAGTACTGTAAGATACTCTGCAGTTGCATAGTAGCGTATATGACGATGTTTTCACGTGTGAATTGACGTGGTTTGGTCTGTGCTACTCACGTGCTCTAGTTTCTTTTTGGGGTATAAAATCTTCGGTCGCGGTTTGTGAACTTTCTTTCTAAATGGAAAACTCGTTTTGGGGTTGGCGGTGGGAGAGATCAATAACTGAATGTCCACACACGCTATGAGTGTTGGTTCAAAACCGAATACCCTACTAATACATGGGATCTTGGTGGGCAAATCAAAACCTGCGATAAATATCATGCATGAGTGGCGTTTGGGCTGGGGGATCAAACCAATTCGAAGCATCGAGCCATGGTCGTGGTCGTGGTCGTCGATGCGTAAGACGAACTCTGCAAAGATTGATCATGCTATGTATCGTAAAATCCTCCAATGGCCATCTCCGGGTAGTGCTAGATATGAATAGTCTTTGTTATCAACGGTATTCTTTCCCATTATCTCAGACCACTGGCCAATACCATCGAAGAGCATTCAAAAGCACCAACGGCTTCCTTCCTCCGCACACAGACACCATGGTATGGTAATGATCTCCGTTTGATCTCCCACCGCAGCAACGTTGTATCATTATCATGATATTGTTGATACCACTGCCTCCTCCTCTCTTAGCAACATAGGCATTTCTGATGCTGGGTCTTACACGGCAAGCCCAGCCATGAAGCCTGACCACGTCTGCTTCTAATCCCCACAGCTCTTCCTCCATGCCGAGTCCAGGGCCGCGCGAGGGAAGATTTTATACTCAGCCATGCATCTCGTCATGTGAGTCCCACGGGGTTTTCGATTTCGATCTCGTGAGGAGCCATTGTGGTTACAACCCTGTGTCATACTATCTTTATCGAGGCTTCTGAAACCGGTCGAGTTCCTTCAGTACGTCTCTGAAAGTCAGGAGGGAATGTGCATTTACACATACTCGACATTTGAAGAACAAGATAATAGACTGCTTAGTTCCATCGTTGGAAGGAATGATACCAGATGTACGTTGATTCTTTGATACTGTTCGTTTACCTACCCCTTCAGCATCTCTTTAGAGTCTCAATATTGTGATCATTACCATCATTCAAAGAAAAGGCCAATCGTACGCATCTCCCATGCTAGATGCCCACCCTCTTGAACTGAAAATAGTAACTAGCCTCACCAAGTCTCAACTCTACCCGCTCCTCCCGGCCATGCTAGAGCCGTAGCCTGTCTTCGCTCCGCACCACCAATCATCGTGCCTTGTTGCATCGTGGTTTCGATCCTCCAATCCTCCCACGCTTCCTCCATCTGGAAGCGCTTACTGCGATTTGATCCACCGCACCTCCCAGCCATTGCAGACCTTCGTCCCGACTTTTGATCCTCAATCCCCCAAACCTCTCCATGTAGAGCACATCTTGGTCCTTTTTGATCCACCACACCCCCCAATCATAGATTCATTCTCCTCGCCGTTTTTACCCCCCACCACACCACTTAACCATCGCGTGAAAGCTCGGGCAATAGTTTTGATCCTCCACACGACACCGCAGTCATCGGGGGTGGCTCAAACCGCTTTTGACCCTCCACACCGCCCATGTTTCTCTATCTCTGTACTCTTTGAACCCCGCCCGGTCCGGACCTTCTCTGTCCTTCTGAGTCCAGGTCTGGAGCGAGGAGGGTGGAGGTTGTATAGCCGAGAAAGACGGAGGAAAGATAGAGGGCACGTGAAATTCACGTGGGCAAAGAGCAGCATTGGAGCAACGCATCGAAGGAGTAGAATATAAGGAGAAAGAAAACTATTATGGCAAATTGCTGCTCATACTGTCTCCATCAAGCATCTGCAACCCATTCAAACTCTTTCCGACATGTCCCCAAAACTTTGGCCGGAACGTCATCAATCTCAGGACTCCTATATCACATATTCTCCCCACCTATATAGTAGAACTCGTCAGCACCTCAACATCAGCAAAAAATAATCATCGAATCTATAAGCAGATCAACCACATCGTCCTCTACCGATCTCCATTCTTAAAGTTTGGCGATGGCAACCTTCACCGAATCTCAGCTCTATTCTACCCACTCCCCCCCACCGTCGTGTCCCAGGCCTTCAAATGTTGACGCACCACTCGACCAACCATGGTTCGGTAGCTGTCAACTTTTTTACTCACCACCACACGACCCATCGCACATAAGTCGTGGAATGATTTTGATCCACCACACCCCTCCAAACCATGGATTGGACAGAGGATCAATTTTGATCCACCACTCCACCCATCATGTGGGTACTGTCGAGTTTTCGAACCTCGCCCAGTCCCAAATCCCCTTCTGTCTTCTTGAAGCCACAACTAGAGCGAGGAGGGTGGACGTTGTATACTCAAGCCAAACAGCGCCAAGCCAAAGCGCACGTGACGCACACGTGCCTAAGCTACTTCTTACCGCCGCTACCAAAGCTTGCAAAAGCAGAGAAACACAATTGTAAAAGGTCACTCACTATACTTAGGATTAGACTACCCATACAGCCGGCGGTTCATCCACAAGCTGGGCGGGCTCCCCCGCTTACGGTGGTGCTGTAGAAGTGTGCAAAAGGAGAGAACAAACCGATGTAACCGGTTAATAAGAGGAGGCATTAGGGTTCCCTTCTGGGGGGGGGGGGGGGGGGGAAATCCTTACGGCGGCGGTGATGAAGCGTGCAAAAGCAGAAGAACACGATGTATAAAGGCTAGTTACGGGGAGAGTTGCAACTCCCTTTCGGCTGAGTCGGCTTACTTACTACCTCCTACTAGCTGAGATATTTCCGTACGGTGGTGACGAGATACCGCGATGTCCCGATTACCGGTTCGCCTTTCCCCCGATCCTCGCCCCCTTCCCCTTGCCGCATCTTAATGTACTCCCCTGGAAATAACCCCTCGCAAACTCCACAATACACGGCTGTCGTGGGGCTACACCCAGGAACGTGACTAGCGCAGAGCTAGAGTACGCTGAAGAAGAGAAGAAGGCCGTGAGCAGGGTACCTCAAAAGGCCATTACGCCAAGTCCGGAGCGGGAGAGGAAGGAGTGGCCGGGGAGGGAGAGATGGGAGAGGTGACGGGGAAGCGTGGTTGATGGGACAGCGAAGGGGGGCGGGGGAGGCTGAAGGCGACGATACGCCTGTGGGAACTAGGAGGAAGGCAGGAAAGGATGCAGACGGGCTTGATGACGAATAGATGGACGTGAAGTTCGCAGAAGGAAAACATACATGTACATACTTAACTCAAACATGGCCGGCCCCCCGGGCAATCTCGGAAATCGGTTGGGCCGCCACTGTCATCGAGTCCATCACAGCACCACCTCATCAGCAATCCTGCTACCAGCAACCAACGAGCACGAGTTCCAGCATCCCGCAGTAGTCAGGCGTCCGTAGGCAAAGAACACAGAGGTGAGCCCGTCAAATCACACGGACTGCATACTAGCGCACCCACCTCTGCCCAAACTAGTTGCACACCCCAAAAAACGCGATTGGCATGAACTGTAGCAGGTTGTTGGTTATTGATGATACGAAAACGCACAGCTGAACAAGGGCGCTTCAAGTGCGCGTGATGGGCGGGATAGCTGCATATGACTTTCTAATACGAGAATGCAGAGATGTTGATTTGATGGGAAGTGATGCCAAGGAGGATTTGCAGGACCTGGCAAGGGGCTGAGACGAGGAGGGAGGGATGCGGGACGATGGAGGAGGTGAGGGAAGTGAGGAGAGCTCAATTTTGAGTTTGACTTAGGAAATTGGAGTGGAACTTGAAAATGCAGTTGCTTGAGTTGAATCTATAAAATAATAGTTACAATATTCGCTATGGCAAGGCTATTTTGTAGAGAAGATCTTCTACCTGAAGAACGCTTGTAGACGTTAGTAGATTATGAGTGGTCTGCTTCGCGACTTCAAGGAGTAGCCATTTGATTACCTCTGTCGAGTCCTCCTTCTCGCTCAAGAACACAATACCATGCCAGCTTACAGAGTGGTGCAACGACACTCAGATCCACGTCCCAGGCCAAGCAAAAGCGACTCTTGGCCCTTCCGCCTCCGTGGCCGCAGAGCAGGCCAGGACCCTCGGCCATGGCATGCGTCAACTACAAGCTGCCAAGACGTTGCCGTACAACTTCGTTCCTAATCGCGGGTCGGGGAAGTCTGGACACGAGGTCCGTGGGACACAGCCAAGGAGACTTGGTTGCACGGGAATGTAATGCATATGTTTGCCAAGAGTCGGTGAGATATGTTGTGTTATAGTCGATTGTCTTTCCGCGGACGATCATGAGAGAGAAGCGGGAAGCAGGCGGATGATGTGTTTGATCTGGATTGGTGGCGTGGAAAGCGATATTTTGAACCAGACTTTCCTTTGAAACGGAAATGCTGGGCGTCGGGTAGATAAGAGTGTGCTACCATAAGACTTACAGGTTTTTTATACTTAGCTATACGAAAAGAAGTTTTGTATACGGAGACTTAAAAGTCGATAGTCTAAAATAAATCTCGACGGGATGCCCCGCAGAAGAGCATAGATGTCGCAAAGCAAAGCTTAAGAGAGGAAAACCAGCTGAATGGCCCAAATGGAAAGTGACGGGAACATGCTTTGCCAATTTTGCCAATTTTCGTTTCCGGAAGTCGGTGTGGATAGGCCTTTTTGGATGGTTAGATTAGCCCTATCCAATCTTGACACGAAAATGATAGACCTTCCCCGTTATGCCCAGAAGACCCGTTGCCGGATTTTTCTCGCCGAGACACTTCTCGATCACTGCTGCCATCACTAAACACATGTTGTCCCCCTGTTGAGAGGTGGATGAGATGCATAGCAGAATTCTGTCACATTCACGATCAACGTATTCGAACACCTTCAACCCCGCCAACTTTATGCCAGACAAGCTGCATGCTCCGCTGACCGCAGACTCTTGGGAGCGCTTGGCATGCAGAAATGCGTCCAATTCGTTCTCGATAACACTGAAAGAGGTTGAAGAGTCCATGATCAGCTCTTACCGGCCGACATGAAGGAGGCACGGCAGCAGCTTTGACGAATGCGCGCATGGAACGAGGAAGGGCCGTTGGCAGTTGCGCGCGTGATGGGCAGACGTCCGCTGATCACGGGATAGAAGCAGGAAGAGACCAAATGGTGCCCAGGAGCCAAGGCGCGGAGTTCAGCTTGGCGCTAGAGCGGAGGGCTGTAGATTCGACGGCGGGAACCAGCAGAAGGGAAACCCTGCCGAGGCAAGGCGACGTGCATGATGGCGTTGAGGCTGTGTTTCTGGCCCTGTGATGTCGATGCATCAATGGTGGAACGGTCCCACTGGCACATGCTTCGCAGAGGTTCGCAGGTCGCTCGGTGATAGTGGAGTGGTCTGACAAGCTGGTCGCGTACTCATGAAAACTGCAGTCAAGCGTTACGTACCTGTTACCTCGATCCGAAATTCGGCATCTGGAGGGCGAATCCGGCGGAGCAATTGGACAGATGGGCCGGGGCGCGCGCTTTTGAATTTATCCAGGACGACATTTTCGAATGTTCCCCGGGCGCAGGAATGAGTGATGCGATGTGACGGGGGGCATATCTGACATGGCTGTCTGCATGCGATTCTCCAGACGGCAAGCTTGCGGACCACAACGGTGCAACCGCCGCAGAACAGAGTGTGTTTGCGCCCTCGATTGCGGTTGCTGCGCGTTCGTTGGGCAGCAATATCGGACTCGGCGCCGTCGAGAGTAATAGGGATAGGTTTAGCCTTATTGCGCCTGGCCCTGCACCTGGCATTGCACCCCGCCGACACCTGTGCTCACACACACCCTGGTGGTCCGTATGCACAGGAGGCCCTATTTGGCAAGGCAGAACGGCCGGGACAGAAACATTTTGGGGGTGCGAGGCGGGATCAGATGAGTGTTGGACAACGGGACGTAGGACGACGTCGACAGCATCCCGCGCATCCTTCGCCCACGCATGCTCCAGCAAGGGGTTCCAGACTGCCTCGAAGCTTTCGTATCGCCATCCGCCAGGCTCCACGCCACAGGGAAGAGGGGTGTTGCAAAGAGGGCGGACTGGCGGGCGGGAGAGATAGCGCAGCCCCGGGGAGCCCCAGTAACCAACAGGAGGCGGCCGTCAGGGAGGCCAGTCGATCCCCGTCGCGCCGCGCTGGTGGATGTTTAGCCAGAAGAAGGAGGCGTCCTGGCCATCTCAGGCCTTGAGGCGTGCATCCCAGCCGGAATAATCTCGTCTCGGACGTCATCCCAGCGGCGTTGACGAGCCGTTGCACAGTTGTACAGTGCTCCGGGCACAGAAAGCAAAGAAGGGAGTGATAGCAGCCGAGGGCCAATCAGGGGCGCACGTTCTGCCCCTATCGCCGGGGTGTGGTGTGAGGCCAGTTTGCGGTGAGGGCGTGTGCAGATGAGGGTGCGCGATGGTGTTTGATGGGCTCGATGGGCTGGGCCGAAGCAGTTTGGACGGATCCGAGGCGGTGGACGTGGATCTGCCAAGCGGCGGCGAGCGACTCTAGCGTGTGTTTCGCGTGGCCGCTGCAGCTGAAGCAATGACTCTGAATCCGCGTCACAGCCCTTGGCGTGGTGTTGAGCCCAAACTGGTCCTGAGCGAGCAAGGCGAAACGGCTCCCGAGCGTCTGCTGACGGCGGCGTGGCCATGTGCTTAAGAATGCTGCCCCCCAGCGCGAGGGCAAGCCGGGCCTCCTTGAAGGCCAGTCCGTCCTCCACGTTGCCGCCGCGGTGAATTGTTTGTTTCCAGCACATTCCAGACTGGGAAGCTTTGTTGTCATTTATCCGCCAGCTCCCCGGCCCTGACCAAGCCAGCCCGCCCGCCGCCAACTCTCACTCACCCGCCCGTGGAATCCGCTTTATCTCGACGTCGCCCGCGCTGCTTCCGCTGTCCTCCGTTTGCTCCATCCTCGAATCACAGCCGGCCACGAGCACGTGCTGTCCTGAAGCTCTCCGCCTGTCATCGCCCGTCAGCTAGCCGTCGAAGCTTACCTCGATTCCGGCCTATCAAAGCCGTCTCTCGTCGACGTGCATTACGCTGGAGTAGGCACCTGCAACTACGCACTCGTCGCCGAGATAAGCCTGACAGTTACACCGTCTCGATCATCATACATAACCGCGCCACATCGCCTGCTGTGTCTGAAACACTGCTGTAGAACTACAACAGCAAGATTCGTGCCCCAAAGCGGTCACGACGTAATATCGAACCACAATCACGACACTGCCCAATCAGCATTACTGCATTGGGACTCCCAGGGACAACTTCCTCTCTCATCCAAAGCAACTGATCAACAACCTCGAATCTTATTCTTCTCAACGACGCCTCCACCCATCTCACCGTCATCACCCAAAACCTCAACACCAACATCAGCCTCACCCACACACTCATCGCCCAAGACGTCTCCATCAAACTCGCACCTCGCGCATCGCAAACATGTGCGTCGCCGAGCTTAACGTCTCCATTCTCCCCTGCCGCCACCGCTGGTACCACCTCGTGCGCCCCTGCACGCCCTCCGCCAACCTCTCCAACTGCGGGGACAAGCTTGCCCTCTCTGGCTGGGAGATCAAATGCGACTTTTGCCCCTACTGCTCCGGCTGGAACCTGACCAGCTCTGAGTACCGCCTCGTTGGCAACGACCGCACGCCCTCCGTCGGCGGCCTCTCCCGCTCCCCGAGTCTCTCCCTCTCATCGACTAGGCGCGAATCCCGCCGCGGCAGCCTCGCCCGCACCGACAGCAGCACCAGTGTCACCATGATGGCCGCCCAGGAGAAGAACCGCGCCCTGAATGCGCGGGTCGATGCCTATCTACGTGTCACCCCCGAACACATGGTGATGATGGAGCCGAAAACCGGCGAAGACGAAGCCGACGGCGTTGGCGGCCCACCGAGTACGAGCGACAGCGACAAGAGCGAGGGCCAGGGCTCGTCTGCGCACAGCGAGGCAAAGGGCGCTGGGCTCTTCGGCAAGGGCTGGAAGAAGTCGAAGCGCTTTAGCAGGACGCTATTCAAGTGATCCGCTTCACAGCACGGAGAATGCTGCTCTGATGCTTATGCCCCTCGCTCTACTCTCGGTTCCTTCTTTCTCTCTTGTCTTTTGCCATCTCTCTTCTCTTCGGACTTCTTCTTTAGCGGATATACCCAGACTCGGTCTCATCTCAGCGCGCGGCATTGGAAGCGTAATTCTGCTCTGCGGAGCGGCGCTACGTGAAGGAAAAAAACAAACAAAAGATTCATACTCTCGGGGCGGGGGTTCTCTTTTCAAAAAGATCTCATAAAAAGTAAGGGCGACCTTCGGCTGTTCTGGAGGGATTTGTGTTACGGCGTTTTCTAGGGAACCGGCATAGGAAATGGGATCTGTCTTCCTGTGGGATTGGGATACCAGGACCCCCCGGGATGGGCTGGACCGGCCTCCTCCGGGATAGAAGACGTTCTCCGGGACTGCCGGCTACGAGTACGAAGCAGACTTGACTCGCTTGATTACTTTGTGCAGTTTCCTGTCGCTACGAGGATCTGGGAATGGCTCTTGGCTTCCGGTGGCTATGTAGCGAAGCGAATGGAACTCGATCTCACCTCTCACTCTGACACTCTTGCTATGACTACCGTGTCGTTCAATCAAGCTACCCTTCACTCTCCAACGCCTGAAAAAAAGAGGTAGGACTGTCACCCGCCGCAAGGCCCCGCAAACCCATCAGGCGACCCTCGATAGCGTCGGCCTTGACGGGGCCCAATTCGCTTCCTCTCGCGTGGGTTAGTTTGTTGTGTTGGTACGTACCTACGTATACCGCGTGGCCATGACCAAACCTCTCCTTGCATCAATTGCCCTGCCTGCATTCGCCGCTCTCCACCGTTCTCCCCTCATTCAACTATACTTTCCCGTACCCACCCCTTGCGCAACCTCATAACATCTCTCTCCATTGCTTACATGCCCATCACACGTGCCCGCTCGCCCCCCTTACTTTCCCTGCCTACCCTCCTCTCCTCCGCTCACGTGTCAGCGTGCTAAGCTCACGTACCCATCACCCATCACCCCTCCCCCCCCAACCCTCCTTTTCCGAACGACAGAAGAGCGAGGCCTAAACCAGCCGGGCGGTTCAAACGAAGCAGCGCAGCAGCTCCCTATGAGCGGGGGTCTGAGGATTAAAAAAACTGATGTACTGCACCTTATGGCTGGGTGGAGTGGAGTGGAGTGGAGTGGAGTGGAGTGGCGTGCGGTGGCGGATCAAAAATCAATCGTCCGTCTCCCGATGGCTGGGCGGTGGTGGGTCGTGGAGGAGGATCGAAGTACACGATGACAAAGAAGCCGTGTAAATGTGGGGTGGTGGAGGAGAGCAAAAGATGGAGAGGAGTGGACCCCATGGCTAGAGCGGGGGAGGAGCAAACGGAGGGAGTCGAACAGCCCATGGGTGGAGGGGGTTGGGTGGTGAACATCGGCGATGGCAATTGCCGATGATTGGCCGGTGGGGGGGGCGAGGGTGGTGGTGGTGCTCAGCATCATGCAGGGGGGTAGATGGCGGGTAGCTGAGCCGGGGAGGGGGGGTGGAGGGTTCGAAGAGGTTGGGGAAGATGGGGATTGTGGTTGGGGTGGAGTGGTGGGTATGGGTATGGTGGAAAACGGTGAAGAGTAGAGAGAGAAGAGATCGAAGGGGTCTATTAGAATTGCATCTCTGTGATGGTTACCAAAACCTGCACCTAGCTATTAGTCTTCCTGATTTTGAAGAAGAGCCCCCCAAGTGCAGCAGCCCCTTTGTTGGTTTATAGGCCGTAGCATCTGAACATTGGTGGAGCGCGAATGTAGTACATGAGCGCCCTGGTTGCTACTGGCAGTGATTAATGTAGGTGATTGTCATAATCCAACAAAGTGCAGCAGCCCCTTGATCGCCATGATACGATCTCTTCTACTCGGCGTGTAAAGATTCCTCGACGTGGTTTTCGACATCGTCTTGGATGTGCTCCTCGACGTGCTCCCCGATATGCTCCCCAATCCGTTTCCTTTCGCGGGTCTCATCATCCCACTCGGAAATGTTCCTGATACGACTCTTCGATTTGCTATGGTCCGTTCCGTCATCGACATCTTGTTCTACCTTCCGCTTCTTTAAATGAGAGCTATCATACTGAGGCTCGATATGCTGAACCTCGGTCCCATTCTCATCGTCCTGCTCTAGTTTCCTCTTGCCTAGATGGGAGCTATTGTGCTGTGCTCCATCTGATTACGCCTAGGTGCCACCATCATCGTTCTACTCCAATTTTGGCTTCTTTGGGATGGGAGCGTCAAGGTATGACTCGCCAACTTCATGCGTGGTTTTATTTTCCTCGCCGTAGTCCAAGTTCCGCTTTTTGAGATCGGACTGATCATTCTGTGACTTTCCAAGTAGATGCCCAGTTAGACGAGCACTGTCATGCATTGGCTCGTCGGGTTCAGGATCCGTCTCCTCCTCGTGGTGTGGTTCGTCATCCAGAATCTGGATTTCTGGACTGGGGTAATCGGAACCGCTGTGACAAGAGTCGTCGTCTCGACATTGACCCCTTGGCCTTGTTCGATCGCGGATACTTTGGGTGGGTTTCCCCGGCGTATGATTGAAACTTTCCTCAAAGCTCTTGACCCATTTATTGGTATCATCTAAGAGTCTGTGCATCCTTTCCATCCCAACATCTGGGTGAAAACAGGTGAAGAGCAGTATCATATTATCGTCTCCGTCGATTTGAACAGGATGCATTCTTCCAGAGGCGCAGAGGGTACGAACTCCCCAAACCCATTCCCCACTGTTCCCTAACATAATTCTGAAATCGAGCATCAACTGTGTTCCGGAACGGAGGCGTTCTTCAAACAAAGGTCGTTCGTCGGACGGAATGCTGTCAATTCCTACGTGAGCGTATTGAAGGGTTCCTAGACCAAATCAGCAACTGAACGAGGATGAAAGTGATATACAACGTACTCGCTAGCTTTTGGTGCTCCACCCAGAAGTTTTCCACCAACACCACTCTTTGATCTTCAAGTCCCGGCTCCGGGTATTCGAAATCTGGCCAGCTGGCCCTAGGCTTTGGTCCCAAGGAGTTACCAGTAACGACCCAAGCGATCAGAAAATCTTTATTCTGACTCTCCACAGACCCAGGCGGCGCCCAGTGAGAGCGAACGAAACCATCATCCGATCCGCTGTCACTAGAAACTTCCACCGCGAAGCTCGGGGGCGCAAATGGAGATGAGCCGAAATACTCATCAATTTGCTTGGGTGGAACATACATACACCGTACTATACCGCCGATATTTTGTCTGCCTATTGGCTCGGCCTGATCCCAATATTCCTCACTGATGCTAGGGATGGGCCTCACTTCATCCTCTGATACTGTCAAGGGTACACTCTCGATATCATCAGCACGCCCACTTGTGTTTTTCTCTTCTTGACTGTCGCCATTACTCAATGCGTCGTACTTGAAAAATTGCCGCAACATAGCGTCAGGCCATAGGCTGTTTTCTGTTGATCGGTTAGATCAAGCGTTAACCCGCCAATATTTGACGGTATTCTACGTACCTTTCTTATTTATGTCTTCGTCTTCTTGCATATCCACGTCTTCGTCTTTGTGCGCATCCACATCTTCGTCTTCATACTCGTCATTTTTCATCGCTTCTTCATTTTTCTTCTGTGGGGGTGCCAGCGGGCCTGTGCAAAACACAGAAACGGAAGCTAGTTCATGCCATTTCCGTCCGCCCATCAAATCTGGAGGAACAGGTTGAGGCGGCCGAGATTCTGGCTTGACCGGGGTTGATTTCTTTGGTTCGAATGGCGCGCCTGAATGAGCATGCGCCGAGAAACCCCCGGCAAATTTGATTCTGAGATGTCGATCGATCATCCTGATACGTTTGATACCGGCAGTTTCGCGATCTTCCTCGATGATGACTCCATCTCTAGCACGTTTCTTCTTGGATGGAGGCGCTGTGGGCCCAAATGCAGGCGCGCCGAATTGCGCTGGCAACTTCCATGGCCGCGGTAGGGAGTGGGAGGGTGGTTCAACATCGTTGATCTCGGTCACTCGCCTATACCATACACTGCAAGTGGAACTAATATGTTCAGCTAAACACTGTGTTTTGGTCGCGACAAATGAGCGAAAGGCGAAAAAAAGGAGTACATACCATTGCACTTCTTCACCCGTTGGTTGGCTGGATATAGAATGACAATTAGGACAGCTCACCAGCTTTTTGTTGTCAGCTTCTTTAGTGTCACTTTGAAATATCAAGCTCATGTCGACACGCTGGCCGCTAAAGAATGCTCCCTCCCACAAAGATGTCCTGTCAATTTCACGGCGCGTGCTCTGTTCTTGGATTACGAATTGTTTCCTTCGAACTTGCGAATATCCCTTTAGACCTTTGAACCGAATTTCAAGGACGGCATCAAACGCCTCCCACGAGGTAATGAAACGGAGATGTACTGGCGCTACGCGTCCAAGTGCGTCCTCTAGAATGAATGGGTCCTCCGACAACGGGCGATGGAGAGCTGTCAGTGATTTCCTGATGGCTACAACTTCGCGAAAGATTGCCAAGTTTCCAGCTATAAGGCGCGTCATGAAGATCTTGAGGTCCGATCCGAGATTCTTGATCCATTCTAAACGTTCTGACATCGTGCCAGCGAGCGTGTTCCCCGCTGTAATCAGCTGGTCATTATCCTCGAGCCGGGCGCGGACTTCCTCCAACACTTCATCTTGGTTTTCGAGAGAGGATTGTATCCGGTGTCCTGAAGCAGTTATCTGCGAATCTAAATGATCGTTGGTGACTTTAAGGAGAGTCCTGGTTATAGTCAGCATGGAATTATCGGGTATTGAAATACATGTCAGGATTCCATACACGTTCGCCGTTGCGAGTAGCATGTTCATCGAATTCGTATAAGCCGACAGCTCAGTACGAAACCTAACTACCTCGTCCTTCCGCGATATATGCCATTGAATCTTCCTGGCCGCATGCTTCACGGCACTTCCCGAGCCCGTGGCCGAAAGACTAGAATTGAATTTTCGGATGCGCTTTGTGAACCCATCGACTGAAACGCGGCATTTCTCGACAGTGCGGCTCGCCGTCTCGCAGAGCGCTTGTAGTTCCGGAGTTGCACGATGGCTTCTGGAGAGCTGGACAACCTGGAGTAGTGCAGTGTCAAGAATATAGAGCTCGCGGACGACTGCCTGATATTCTGCAGCTGATCCGCGGCTGTCATTGAGCGCGAGTAGAAGGTCTTTGACGAGGAGGCTGACGGAGATGATATCTCCTACTGAGCCGAAGGTGATGGGCATTGTTATGGGCACAGAGCGGTATAACGTCCAGAGTATGAAAGAATGAAGAGAGACGATCAAGATACGGCTTTGAGGTCTTGCGAGGTCAATATATGAATGAGTTCGAGCCGGTGGGGCTATGCAGCTCCGCCCAATTCAGCCTCGTGTGATTTGCGAAGTGATTGGAGGGTATATTGCAGCCTTACAAATGGGGCCGCAGATGATATGCATGCTTATCGCTGGCACTTGGCGTGCCACGAGTGTATTTGGCCATGCTTTTGTACTAAGCCACCAAGGCAAGGAGGTCTGTTGAAGTCCCATCCTCAGGAGGAGTTCCTGGAAGTTGTGATGCATCTCGCACATAGAACCCACGATTCCCTATCTTATTTCGAAACAGGGACGAGAAGGTATACGATCTCGCGGGATCCAATCCGTGAGATACCTCTCATGATAGACGGCGAGGTTTTAGGAAGCTGCCATGCGAGATTGAGGCTTCGATTTGTCTGTGAACGGGTGCGTGATTGATGAGATGGTAGAAGTAGTCCTAGGTAACAGCCCTGCCCAGGATTAGAGCATTCTGATCACTAGGTTCAATTGATCCCTTATCTCGACAAATATAAGCAGCGGCATAGCGTAGACGTTACACGTAACGTCAAATACAATGTATTACCGGTATAGGAAGGATGTGGGAAGGGTGTTGAACGCAGTGCGCAAATGCGCAAAACTCTAGCGCTGGAGATGGTCACGAGACTATTCCGCAGATTTACACAACACCAAATAGCTTCTTATTATGGAAACGATTCATTCAACACAGATAAGAAAGCAGTCTGCTATCTCCAACTGCAAACAACGTAAAGGCTTGAGATTCTTCCAAAAGGTCAGGTCAAAGACCACGTGACACAATACCCCCTGCACCTCGAATCTCAGACCTCAGAGTTCTACCGCCACCAACTTCCACACGCATTCAATCTTCCTCTCCAACCAATTCGCCCATCATAACGCACCATGCCTCCCTCACGCTCCCTCTTCCCCTTCCGACCGACCTTCCGTCCCACATCTACCTCGCAACTCCCTCAAACATGCCTCCTCCGAAAAACCTTCACCCCAACCTCCGTATCAACCTTACCCCACAAACCCGCACCCTTCAGCTCCTCATCAAAACTACTAGCACGGAAAGGCAAAGGCGACAAGAGCGACCCTAGGATAAGTGCGTGCCTCCCCAATCCCTCCCTTCCCCCTCCAACATCCCCCATTCCCAACTTCTCCGCCCGAGCATCACGGAACAAAGATTGATTCTGACTAACGGATGTATAAAGCCTCAATCCGCTACCACCTCTCGCACGCCCTAACCCCCCGCCCGCTGCGCCTCTCGCGTCTCCGCGCGCTCCGCCACTGGACCATCCACCGCGCGTGGCAGCTGCACCGGTCCAAGCAGCGCGCGGCCGCCGAGCTGAGCCTCGAAAAACAGTACGCCTCCATGCGCGCGGCGTGCGAAGCGCTGCGGCTCATTGACGAGAACGGGATGACGGTGCCGGGCGGCAGCGGGCTGAGCGTCGGGGAGGAGGGGTACGGGGGCGGCGTCGGGGTCAACGAGGCGAAGGGGGTAAAAGGGGAGGGGAGGAACGTGGGGCGGCTGTATCGCGCGGCGATGGATAAGACGGGGGTGTGGGATGGCGTGCCGATTGAGTATGCACGGTGCCAGACGGATTTCCCGGCGCGGGAGGGGTGGAATCATGGGTGGACGAGGTGAGGGGGGGGGTGTTTGAAGATGGGTGGATGGGGTGGATCGAGGTTTCGCATTGGGTGAGGATGGGGTGTTTGGGATGTTGCAATTATACAGTGTACCACCAGCGTTAGCATTTAGGGGAGCGAATGATGTGTATAATACGCCATGTCACTTTTACTTGAATAAAACGATGGAGTGTAACATCTTTTCAAGTCAACAACGACTATGATGAATAAAGTCACAGCAAAGCACCGCACGACATGGTACGCAGGCCGTCCCAGCGCAAGCCGTCCCAGCGCAAGCCATGCCGCTTCGCTAGAATGTAAAAAGCGCAGCAACTCGCCAATCAGGCCCAGAAAAGAATAATCGCCACTGCCAACTTTCTAGCCCCCCTTTATCCCCCATCCATCCATCCGTTTCCTCCAGATCCTGATCAAAAGAGCGTGGAATGATAGGCGTTCGTCGCACATATCATCATAAAAGATTAATGTGAAACCCATAGTGTGTAGGCTTCTGATTTTTGCAGTGTAAAGCAAGAAACAGGAAAACACAAGGTTTGAAACGAACAAAGTTAGCAAAAATCCGCTCAAATAAAACGCCGTAGGGGTTCCTGGAGAACCCGAGACTCCGCCCAATGCAGTTCGATCCGGGATGGTTGTGAGTAAGTAGATAGGTATGTTGGTGGCGAGGTAAGGGTGATCACAGAATAATGCAGCAGCCGCCTCCCTCGCTTTTGTCCACGGATAGCAGCGCGGCACGGGTAGCGGCTTCGAAGACGTCGTCCACGCCATCGCCTGTCAGGGAAGAGCACTCGAGGTATTTTCGCGCGCCAATTTCTTCCTTCATGTCGTTGCCCACTTTAGTTGATGTAAATTTGAGGGACTTCTTGCGCATCTCCTCAATGGCCAGAGGATCATCACGAAGGTCCTTCTTGAGGCCGACGAGGATAATAGGTACGTTAGGGCAGCGTTCGCGGGCCTCTTCTGCCCACTTGTGTTTTACGTTTTCGAGGGAGTCGGGCGAGTCGACGGAGAAGCCGATGAGGATCACGTGGGCTTTGGAGTAGGCGAGCGGGCGGAGTCGTTCGTAGTCTTCTTGACCCGCGGTATCCCACAGGGCTAGCTGAACTGATTTACCATCAACACGGCAATCCGTGACGTAGTTCTCAAATACCGTGGGAACCTGTCAGGGGATTAGTGCCCATTTCATTTCTTGAGACAATGGTGTACTCACGTAACGCTAGAGAGCTAGTTAGCGAGAATTTCAGAAATACGACGTCAATGGCCTAGAAGGAAGGGGACTTACAGTGGGGAAGTATCCTAACGTAAACACGCTGAGAAGACTGGTTTTGCCGCAAGCACCGTCTCCGATAATTACTAGCTTCCTGTAAGGGAGATGGTCAGCTGTTGCTCTTCGTAGAGGCGCTAAGTGCACATCTGGGCGGGAAAGGCAAGCGGCAGGAACGATAACAAGAAAGATTGGAGTACAGTGGCACAAAGAAAGCCAGATAAAGAGGTCGGCGGTTCCGAGACGATAAAATGGGACATGGGTGCCATGCAACCCAAAGTTATTTTTAGTCGTGGAGAAGCGGATCGGGAACGCCAATGCAGGCTATCGCAGCTCGCGTAGTCTTTGGCCTGCACGGAGGACCTCTGAAAAGATAAAAGTTCCCCGGTTCGAATTGCTCGCAATTGAAAGATTGGGGGGCAAAATTCGGGGGTTGTGTAAGAAAGTGGAGTGCTGTAGGGATTGACCAAACAGGAACTGTCATGTCATGACCAGAGCAGGTCATGCCATGGTCAAAGCACCAGTGGTGAACAACAAAAGGAAAGATTGCCGTACCTCCGCATCACGCTCTCTGTGTTCTGTGCCATTGCGGATGATGTACCGGGCGGTGGCTCCGGGAAGGGTCTTGCAGAGGCGCGACGGATGTCCTAGGAGTATCAAACTCGCAGATACACCGCAGAGCAATGCCGTGCTATTCCCGCGACCGAGTATGCGCTTTCCGATCCAAACAAAGCCCCTGAAGAGAGTCGTAGTCACCCGCGCGACTGGTGTTCAGGCGGCTGACGGCAGCTACCTAGGCGGGTATTGGGATCTGGTGGTTGGCGGCGGTCGGCGCGCAGCAGGCAGTGGAAAAGGCGAGTTACGGCTGTGACGGGGCCCGTCGCTCAGGCTGTAGGCGTCGGTCTCGTGGTGTTTGTCGGAGTGAAGGAGTGACACGGCGGGCGGCAATGCGTTGGGCGTAGTCGAAACGGGTGGGGGCGCAGCGGTGCGAGCAGGTGAGGGAGGCTGGATCTGGGGTTGAGGACGCCGGGTGTTTTGAACCTTGGAAGAGCGCAGAGCCGCTGAGGCGAAGGGCAGCGAAGGGGGACGAAGAGGTTGTAGGAGTGGTGACTGAGCGTGCGTGAGCAAGCAGACGGGGGAGCGATGACTTTCTAGGCAATACGAAGTACCTAGGTCGGACTCGCTCGCACCTGCGAGCTGCCCAGTGCAACTTGCCGCGTGTTTTAGCCCCGGGCCTCAGCCTCTTTCCAAGCGACTGCTCGTGCACGTGATCCGTAATGTTACAGCTGGCGGTAGATTACCAGCAATACCACCGACGTAAGGGCTTCTCATCAACACCATCGCCTTGCGAAGAAGCGGCTCAAGCCTCCACCGACCACCCTCTTGCACCCGCCCGCCTTCCTCTCGAGCAGCCTCTCACGCCCCGGCCCGGTCGTCAGGCCGTGGAGTCTGCCAATCCCTCGTCCCAGATAGTACGTGACCCGTTTGGAGGGGCGACCAGCCCAACTTGCACCAGACCACCTCACATAAAAAACCTCGCTGCCCGCCCGTCACGACCTCCGCGCAGGCACAAACGCCGAGAGCAGTGTTGCTAACAGCCCGTGGTTCTCCCAGACGACGCCCAAACACACGCTCCCATGGCTCAAGGCACCAAGGGCCAAACAGCCGCAGCGGCCGCACCTCCCAATGGCGTCACAGCAACACAACCCTCAGCACCGGCAACCGTCAATCGCAAGAAGCAGAAGCGCCGCGAGAAGCAGGCCGCTCGCCAGGCTGCAGAGCAGCCACCGCCCTCGGACGCAAACTCGCGAAATGGCCACATTCCCCACAACCACATCCACTCGGGTGGTCCCGTACCAGACTACAGCGGCCCGGAGTTTGATGACCATGGCCAGTATGACGGCGAGGAGTACTACAGCGAAGACGAGGAGCAGATGTACCGTGGCGCCACCCAGAACGGCCAATACCCGGCCGACTACGATCTACATGGCGCTGAGAAGAAGTCAAAAAAGAAGAAGAAGGCCAGATCTGCGACTCAACAACCGCCCTACAGCATCCGCGATGGCTCTGCACCGCCCCCGCCACCTCCTCCGCCCCCGCAGCTATCCACAGACACCTTCCGAACCGTCCAACGAGGCGCAAACTCGAAAGATCGGATCTGGAACACGTCGACCTCCGAGGAGCGGGAACGGATTAAGGAGTTCTGGCTCTCCCTCGGCGAGGACGACCGGAAGTCTCTGGTCAAAATCGAGAAGGAAGCGGTGCTGCGGAAGATGAAGGAGCAGCAGAAGCACTCGTGTAGCTGCACGGTGTGCGGACGGAAGCGTACGGCTATAGAGGAGGAGCTAGAGGTTCTTTACGATGCCTACTATGAGGAGCTAGAGCAGTACGCAAACCACCAGCAAGACGGCGGGCCTATATTACCTCCTCTAAATCGATATAACAGATATCCCATCGGCACGCGAGAGCCGCCGGATCGCATACCTCACATGTCGGGCGGACGCGAACCGCCTCGGATACGAGAGCTAGACGACTCGGAAGAAGAGGACGATGACGATCCCGACGACGAGGATTATAGCGACGACGAGGAGGAAGACGACTACCTCAGCGAAGATGAGGAAGAGCTACCTCCTCGAGGGGAAGCGGCATCACACATGTTCAATTTTGGAAACAGTTTGACAGTCAAAGGTTGCCCCTCAAATCCAGGGGTTTGTATGAGAAAAGGTTCGCTAATAATCATTCTAGGAGGCATACTCACGGTTGCGGACGATCTGCTAAAGAACGACGGCAAGAAGTTCATCGAGATGATGGAACAGCTAGCGGAACGACGAATGCAGCGAGAGGAAGAGGCCCAGTACGCCGCCGCCGGCGTGCATCCCGGGCCACATTCATATGCCAAGACTCATCCTCACAATCACCCCCCACCTCCGGAAGAAGACGAATACGAGGAGGAGGACGATGAGGAGTACGACGACGAGGAATATGACGATGAAGAAGAGGATGAGGTGGTTCGTATGCCTGTTCTATGATGGATTCTCAAAGCTAAGTATTGCAGCAGGATACCATGACCGAAGAACAGCGAATGGAGGAGGGCCGGCGAATGTTCCAGATATTTGCTGCGCGAATGTTCGAACAGCGCGTGCTGACTGCATATCGAGAAAAGGTCGCCGCGGAGCGTCAAGCCAAACTTCTGGAAGAGCTGGAGGAGGACGCTGCTCGGGAAGCCCAACGGGATCTAAAGAAATCCAAGGAGGCCCAGAAGCGAAAGGAGAAAAAGGAGAAACAGAAGCAGATCAAGGCAGAAGAAAAGGCCCGGAAGGATGCCGAAAAGGCTGATGCGGAGGCGGCGGCCAAGGCTGCGGAAGAGAAGAAGCAAGAGGAGCAGAGGCGCAAAAAGGAAGAGCAGCGAAAGAAAAAGGAGGCCGAGCGGAAAGCCCAGGAGGAAGAGAAGCAACGCAAGGAGGCCGAGCGACTCCAGAGACTCCGGGAAGAACGCGAGCGCCAGCAAGAGACCGAACGGAAGGCTCGTGAGCAGAAGGCCCAGGAGAAGAAAGCTCGTGACGAAACGAAGAAGAAGGAACGCGAAGAGCGTGAAGCCCGTGAAAAGGACGCCCGTGAGAAGAAGGCTCAGGAAGATAAAGATAGGCGGGAGCGCGATATCAAAGCCCGAGTGGAAAAGGAGCGGTCCCGGAAAGATGATCCAACGGCAACCCTCCAGCCGACTATGGTGAAGAGGCCAAATCAGCCAGTAGCTGTCGCGCTTCCTCCAGGACTGCTTTCAAAACAATCTTCCGCGGGATTTCCATCACCTCATGTGCAAGTCGCAACTCCGGCCATCTCAAAGGCACCAACTCCAGTGCGACCACGGCAGAGCTCTCAGCAAGGCTCTCACGGCTCCTCTCCAAAGACACCACAGGTCGCCCCGGGCACAAGCAAGTCGATGTCACCAAACAACGCCACCCCCCTTGCCCAGCACTCGATGCAGCCAAAATCAATTCTCACGAAACAATCAACAGCCCAGGCCCAACCTCCTCTCCACCATCCACAGCCTGCGTCGCCGATGCCTCCAATAGGGCCGCCACCTGGAATGCAACCACCGGGCTTTGGAATAGGAGGCATGCCACCCGGGTTGAATGGCTTCCAACACGGTCAGCCGCCTCTAAACCCAAATATGATGGGGCCCCGTCCGCCCATTGGCCACAATATGCCAGGGATGTATCCACCAGGGGGCAACCAGTTTCGACAGTTCCCGCCGGGTATGCACGGACCTCCAGGTATGCCAATGGGTCGTGGATTTCCGATGGAGGGACCGCCAGGCTTTCCCCCGAGCATGTCCGGCATAAACACTGGCGGCCAAATGTCTGGTTTTAGTATTGGAATACCAGCTCATTCTAGACAACAGTCGGCATCTTTTGAGAAACCGAATGTTGAGCCTCCCATTGCCGCTCCTCAGGCCCAACCGATTGCGCGACCTACACCGATCCAGCGACCTTCGAGCGTTAAACCTCACGAGGGCACACCTGAGAACAAGCGGACGCATGGACCGGACATTGATGAGCTCGCCAACCATCTAGGCAGCAAAGCTCTGCTTGATGATGCAGATGATCTTGTTCAGGATATCTCCTCCTTAGATGTCAATGGCCGTCGCTCAAGCATGCAAGCTGGGGGGATGTCAAGAACTCCAAGCATGCCGTTCAATTTCCCACAGGGACAAGGCCAGGCCCGGCAGGAGCCTTTTGCGCCATTCGGTACATCCAATGGAGCTGGTAGTGCTTGGAGTACACCTTCAATGGGCGGCATGGGGTTTTCAATGCCTGCAGCACCTGGATGGGGCAATTCGCCCACGTCTGGGATGTTCAACGGCGGCTTTTCCATGATGGGGAACCAAGGTTTCTCTAACAAAGCGCGAATCAATGCAATCCGCCGTATGGTGTGCAACGCCTGCAAGGGTTTAGCCAGCCGACAAACCTCGGCGGACGGATACTACGCCATACACGATGTATACCAGCAGCTTGAGGCTTTGCGATCGCCCAGCGAGCCCCAGCCCACAATGGGTGATATTGTTGAGGTCTGCGACATATTCGGCGATGCGTCTAATGGTGGAGGCACGCTCGAAACGAAGACGAGTCCGGTGGACAACATGGAACGCCTGATCAAGTTCGAGGACACGGGGATGACGACTCCATCCCTGGGCGAGATAGGCAGCCCAATCCCTGGTCATAGCATGCCCGCGGGGTCTGCTTTCGGCATGAGGCCGCTCCAATCACTTGGCCCCGGATTTCCTCAGCACTATTAAGCATTTTCAGCGACATGCATGTTATACTAGTTCTACCGGGCGGATGCCAGTATAACGCCTCTTGCATGGCGCTTCTGTGTTTCCTTCCACTCTGCACTCATGGATGGTGTTTATTTGTTGCTCTATTGGCATGTCCGGGATATCGGCGTGCTTTCTGCGTCACGTTACTGGGAGGACGTGTGGCATCCCTCTCTGCTTCGTGCAGCTCTGTAGTTTGGTATTCCTGGACGACATGGGGCTGTAGTCATTCGACCAAGAATGAATCTTCTCTTGCAAAAAGAGTATGAATTATCGAACCCTTGACCACTCGCGGGACGTGATGTTTGATTCTGATCTCCAATGACACTTTGACTAACTTGGTTAGGTATCTAGGTTCTGTATAGGATCCACCACCGACCCGGGAAGGGCTCCATAGATGCGTCCTTTGACTAATGCCTTGGTACATATATGCGTCCTCGTCTGCAGTGGTGTGAAGCGCCTCTCCATACAGTGAAAACTCGTTTTGACGTTCATCTTATATCCCGTTCTTGCACGCTATAACGCTTACCCATCCGATACACCTCTTTTTAGTATGGGCTAACGTTATATTCTTAGTTATATCTATGGCGAAGGGTAAAACAAGTAATAAAATATAACTCTAACTAATTCTTAAGGTGCAACACCCTCTAACTTGCTTTCATGTGACTATTTGTTATAACGTTATGCTACGGTATAACGTTCATAACCCCCTGGCCCCGAGCTGAACGGTATAGCGAGTTTTTACTGTACTGCGCAATACTGAATCAAATGTCGAATGCTGACCATTCTTAGTTTGCCCATCCCTCTTTTACCTAGCTCCGCGGCCAGCCCAGGCGGCGATGCAAGCTTCATACCGGTGAGTTCACATGCAGTTCAGCACCATGTCCCTACAAAGCTACCGATACTATTTCGATTAGTGCCTGCCTGCTCCACCACGACTCAGCCCCGCCCAACATCACAACTCTTCTTTCCATCTCTGTTCCCCACTGCCCTGTTAATTCTAAGGATAAGACGTTCTCTCTAAAGATGCCCCAATTACGGGTGGCCAGCAACGCTCGCCGCGGTTGCATGCGGCAGACGGCCGACGATTGGTTAGGCGGCCTGCTCACGCTGCATGATGCAACTCAGCTGCACGTCTCAGCCTCAGAGAACCACAGGCTAGCAGCAGCGGACTTGGACTGATTGTCATTAGCCTGACGTTGCTTCTTTCCCCCCGAGGTACCGCTGGACCTCCAACCAAGATTCTGCTATAACGGCTGCCTGGCCTTTCAGCTTCCGCCAGCACGCGCCTAATATAGGCTAATATAAAGTGCGGTGCTTTCCTTTCGAATTGAATGTCGTCGATGCATTAAGATATCGCACAAGTGCCAGGGTGAGATAGCGCTGTGTTTATTCATTTTCAACCGCACGCAGATCAGCGCGGATTCGGGTTTGGATCTCATCTACCTTCGAATCGGGTGCAGAATCCCTTCTCTTTGAATCGTGGTAGAAGATATGGAGGCACCTCCAGCGGCGCCAGCATCTCTCGTTTGCAATGGCGACGTCCCAGCTGCCTCGCCTCCAGCTCCAGCTCCAGCTCCACCCACCGTTCTTGACCCCGTCGAAGCCACAAACAACGACGGGGACACACCTGCGCCGGACGAAACCAATGATACAAAGGGCACCGAGCCCAAAGAGAAATCCAGCAAGCCGGCCAAAATGTCTCGTAGATATTCTCTCTACTCCTCCTCAATTGGCTCGAGGCCACAGTCCCCGCAGCCGGTCCAGAAAGTCGTCCACAAGATCGAGTATCGTCATGTCAGCACTAACAATCTCGTCTTTGAGGAAGAATCTGATCGCTTTGCAGCGAGTAAGACGCCTCCGGAGCAGCCAGTACTTGAGGTCATCACAGTCGCGTTCACCGCACATGAGCGGTCTCCCTATGCCTACGGCCGCGAAGCCGCGAAGCCGCCGCCAATCCACTCCATGGGCCACAAATACATTCAAATCAACTCCGCGGCTGTTATCAACGCGCTGAGAGCGGTTGTGGAGTACTATCCTGGCCAGAATCTCATTGACGACACGATCACGATCCCGGAGCCGTACACCATCCTCGTGCACCACGAGAAGGAGCTTGTAGCATACCGTGAGAACTTCGTACCAGGAGATAATATAGACGAAGACGAAAGGTGTGAGGGTGAGGCCGATTCTTACGAGCATCTTGGCATTGTGTTTGAATTCTTGCAGCAGACGTTGAAGGACTCCTTAGGGAAAGAGATGGAGAGACATGCTCGCGCTATTCCGGTCACAACATACGAGATGCTTTGGACGCTTTTCAAGCCTGGAACCGACGTCTACTATGACACACATAGCTGTGGCATCCTCGACAGCTACGTCGTCAAGTCTATCAATTGGGAGATCAACAACGGAAGTCCGGTTCGGTATACGCTCTGTCTGTGGAATCTCTACTATGACTCTATCTACATCGGCCCACGGAACCACCTCGCGATAATCCTGCCATTCGATGGAGAGAAAGAAATCGCAAGCCTAGACATTTTCCCATGTGAATACGTAAACATGGAGAAGCACAAAGAGACTGCAGAAGAGATGCGGAAGCGGCTAGAGGAGAGAGGGAAGATGTTCTATCGCTTGACTAGCAAGCAGTGTATGTGGTATGATGGGCTCACAACTACTTTCCCAAAGCATCGCTTTACAGGACTGGTTTACGTTGACTCGGAGTCCTTCTGGACGAGCTTGCAAGCCGACAAACCTCCTCCCAGTGCGAAAATGGCGCCAAATTCTCCCCCGCCTCTGCTGTCAGACGATGTCGGAGAACGTTCAATCGGCGGCATTCCGAATTGCTTCTGTAAGCGATGCGTCAAGCTGAACAGTAGGAATCGCAAGAACCGGTTCGCGGATTACGCCAGGATAAACCCCATTACTGGCGCCGAGCTGACACCCCATCAGCTATTTCTGTGTGATAGGAGTGTGCACGGATTCATCCTGAAAGTCAGAAATTGGCGTAAGTAACCATTTTCTAGTTTTATCATACCTAGCTCTAATTCCGAACACCTCAAAGGTTCCCTTAGCAAATTTCACAAGACCTCATCCTAACAGATTTATAGACCGCCTCGACGCCTCCTGCTTCTCAGAACCCAAATACGACGTCCGCCTGGTCGACGAACTCGTCATCGCCCCAACAACCCGCAACCTCATCAAATGCCTCTCCTCCAAATACACCCGCAGCGACCCCAAACCCGCCCCCGACCGCGCCATCACAACCTCGACCCTCCAAACGCAAGACCAATGGACCGCCGACTTCGTCCAAGGTAAAGGCGAAGGCCTGATCTTCCTGCTCCACGGCAAGCCCGGCGTCGGCAAGACCTACACGGCCGAATGCATCGCTGAGTACACCAAGCGGCCGCTCCTCTCCCTGACCTGCACTGACATCGGCACGAACCCCATGACCATCGAGAGCAAGCTGACCTACTGGTTCAAGCTCGCGAAGCACTGGGGCGCCATCCTGCTCATCGACGAGGCCGACATCTACATGGAGCAGCGCATCACGCAGGACCTCCAGCGCAACAACCTCGTCGCGGGCTTCCTGCGCGCCATGGAGTACTACCAGGGGATTCTGTTTCTGACGACAAACCGCATTGGCACGTTTGACGAGGCGTTTATGAGCCGCATTCATGTGAGCGTGCACTATCCGGATTTCAGGGACGAGGAGAGGGGCGAGGTGTGGGATGCGTTTTTCCGCAAGCTGGAGCGCGAGAGGGGCACGGAGGTGGTGGTGGGCGAGAGCGCGAGGCGGTATGTGAAGGAGAGTCGGGAGGTTAGGGGCGTCAAGTGGAATGGGAGGGAGATTCGGAATGGTGCGTACTCACCCTTATTTCGTATGGAAGACAACGCTAACGTGCAACACTCTAGCTTTCCAAACCGCCGTCGCCCTCGCCGAAGTCGAGAGCGACAAAGACGATCAGGCCCGCATCATCGTCAAGGACCAGCACATCCGCTCCATTGTGCGCATGTCGGCGGCTTTCAAGAAGTATCTTAACACGCTGCATGGGGATCAGTCGCAGCGCGCCGCGCGGCAGGGACTGAGAGTGGATGATTTCGACGAGAAGGAGGGCGATGGGAAGGGCGCTTTTGCGCATTATGTGTAGGGATGGGTTTGGCATAGTGGATTGGTATGTCGAGGCCAGTGTACTTACAGTGTCGTGACAAAGGCCTGGCCACCACTGTCTCAAGCCCTTCGATAGGTGTTGGAAGCCAAAACGGCGCTTATAGCAATCGATTCGATACTCTCGGTGAAGTCGCTGAGCTGCCTATGTCCCTGATCCCATTTTGTAACTTAGACAGAACCCGTTATTTTGGTTAGGTACTTCCACTCCTCCCGTACCCCGTCCCCGTACCCTCACTCCGACTCTCTGGACTCTCCACCATCTCATCCGCTTCCTCCATAATCCCAAGCCCTAATCTCCCAACCTTGAACACGCTGGCGCCCCACTCAGCGAACGCATCTGGGTCCCAGACATCCGACTCCCTCCCCTTCCCCTTCGCCTTCCCACCACCCCTCATCCCTGACCCATTCGCGCCGCCACCCACATCACTAGCCACGGTGGCCGCCCACCCCTCATAAACCTCAACCACCCTCTCCAACACCGCCGCCACCAGCGTCTCCCGCGTGCGACTATCTTCAATATACGCATCCAGCTTCTGCCTCAAAAACGGGACCTCCTTCTCCACCGCCTCACGCACTTGCGCGACCAGCTCCCCCGGATCCGCACCAGCCCCCTTCCCATTACTCTTCCCCTTCCCATCCGTATGCGCAGAAATAGCCGCCGTCATCCTCCCCGAAAACGCGCCCGTAAACTCCGCAATCGCCCCCCGCAGCCGCGCATCCAGCTCCGCCTTCGCATCGAGCATGTTCTCCACGACGCGCGGCATCAGCCCGCCGCCCACCATCCGCACCAGATTGCGCGGGTTGAAGAGGCCGCCGCGCGCGCGGAGCTCCCAGAACGTGTTGCTGATGGAGGCGAAGTCGAAGGAGAGGTCGGTTTCCGGGGTGACGAATTCGATGTCGAAGGCGACGATTTGCTGCTTCAAAAGGAGGAGGTGCTTGATGAGGAAGAGGGAGGCGTCGGTCGGGGAGGCGCGGGTGGAGATTTGCGAGGCGGCGGAGAGGAGGGAGGTGGTGGTGCTGTGGACGATGCGGTGGGCGAGGTCGTCGAAGACGGTGGACTGTTTGCACCATATTAGCACGTGCTCGAAAGTAGGGATAGGGGCATAGGAAGTAAAGGGGGGCTAAAAGGAAAGGACGTACGTGGACAAGATGATATATTTTACTGAGCAACCAGATTGCTTTTCGTAGAGTTGGGTACCAGTCTTTGAACGCGACCTCGGCGTTGAAGTTCCAGCGCGAATCCGCGCCATCTTCTTCTTCGACCACCATGGGCGTTTTGGGTATCGGAGTTGCGTCGGCCGCAGGAGCCTTCTTGCCAGAGAGTGCTGGCTGCTTGCTCTTTGCGCCGGATGTTGCTGCAGTCTTGTTTTTGGCGGGATAATCTAAGTCTTCGGGTTTCGGTTTGAAGTCCTCGATGTCATTCTTCAGGACTGCGAGAGCCAGGAACACAAGTCGGGTTTGCGCGTCTTCAAGCGCGGGATGTACCAGTGCTGTGAAGTCGAGGCGACGGGTGTCGTCTGGTTCTTCCTCCTCATCATCTTCGTCTTCTTCCATATACCGCGTCTGAATGAGCGAACATAGTTCGCAGAGTTTCAAGATTTGGGTCTCGTGAATGGTCCTTGGCCGTAGGTGGTCATATAGCGGCTCGCATATTGCCTCGAGAAAATCGTAGAGTCCGTCTTCCCCGTCGAACCATTCAGCCCAGAGATCATATTCGTCAAAGCAAATGCCACGAATATAGCTGATGCTGCTCCGCGCAAAAGACACAAGATCTTTTGAAGAACTAGGTGCCTGCGCAATGTCTCCTATCTTTTTCGTCACGATTGGTAGGACTAGACGACCTCGAGTGGTCGAGTAGCTCTGATACAGCTCGTTCATGAGACTCTGGTATTCAGCTTCTGCTCCGGGCTCCGAATTGGTGGGCACCACAGCACGCTTTTGTATTTCCAGACCAATTCGCTTGAGTTCTGGTGCGCCTACCCGGAATTTGGCGTAGAGTAAAGCGGACATGGTCGTATCGTTCAATTGACGATCTGCAATTCGCTTCGCAACGTCTGCAGCGATCTCACGGAGGGCATTGGTGAAGTGTACGCGAATGAGAGTAAGGGCGCGGGTTAGAAGTAGGCGGTAGCGGGAACGGTATGTTGCAGACTCGCGGTGAGAAGGCTGCAATGAGTTAGCCAAAAGTCCAAAGTGTAATAGAAGGCACACATACATGGCCCTGCATATAATCCAAGCAATTGTCTAGATTGGAGAGCATTTCTGTAAACTCTTTTCCCCGGACAAAATTTCCAGCACCTGGAGCATTCAGCCTCTTCGTAGTTGGTTCCAGGTACATATAGTATCGAAGGTTTTCGCCCATATCGTCTGCAAGCTGAGTGATACGCTTCTGGTCTTCTATCAAGCCCTCGCATTGTGTCCTGAATGCCGTGGTCTGCGCTTCTACAGCCTGAAAGGATTCGGAGAGTGAAGAGAGTATGTCTAACGTGGAGGTAGTCTCAGAGACGAGGGAGTCGAGGTGGGTTCGTGTGAGATAAAGCTGGTCGCGGTACAAGCTGGAGGTTCCATATTAGCTTCTTCTTCTTACAAAGGTCACATCAGTCCCTCCTATGCGTGGCACGTACTGGTACTCCTCATGGCTCGCATCCAGCAACTCCTCGCCCACCCCGCCATACCACTCCCCGAAGTCCAATTCGGTCTTCATCTCCTCCCGTTCCCTCCTCTTTTCCCTCTCCAGCCCCCTCTCTTTCTTGATATGTGCCCTCACGACATCGTAGAAATCACTATAGCTCTTGGCCCTCCGCGCAACCGTGGCCTTTGGCGGGCCGGCCGACTTCTCTTCGTCCTCGATGATCTCCTGGATGCCTTCTACGCGTGCGACGTCAGCCTGACTGCCCTCCTACAAGCACACCGAAATGTCATCAATATGCGCTAGAACATACCCTTGGGAGAGTAGTAAGTGGTGGAGGCTTACGTTGGGCTGCTTGAGCAGCGACTCGCGCCGGCGGTGCTTGGACCGGTCAGGCGCTGCGTATGAGGAGCGCGGCACGAAGGCATTGTACCACGACGAATCTTCGTACATGGTGTTTTGGCGGCGTGGGAGGTGGCGGAGTGTATTAAACTATTGCGTGGTCAAAACACCAGAGATATTATGTGGGGTGGTTGAGTGTCGTGTCTAGTCAGTTCGGTCTGCAGTACTTATTCTACGGCAGACGGAATCCACAAAGTGTCATGACGTCTAGACTCGACTTCACCACGCCATCCGATGCTTGTGGATAATGGAGGCAATGTCTCTTTCTCGGTTGACTTGAGAATGCTACGTTCTTACCATTGATGCCCAGCTGTATCTTTCATCCCAAAATCGACTAATACCCTCTACTTATTAGCCTACACCACCATGCTCACCACAAGATCTCTCCCCCGAGCCATACCTCGCATCTACAAGAACCCTCGATCAAGTAGTATAAGAACATTCACGAGTCGAAACCGAAATAACAGCAGCACTCGAGTCGCAATTCACCCCTACGCCCATCGTCGTCAACGCCACTTCGTGCGCTCCATCGCCGCCGTCACCACTCTCGGAGCTCTCGCCACGGCCCTTCAGTGGGCTAGTGGTGACAATCTATACCGAGATGCTCACGCTGAAGCTCCACCGGAGCCCGAAATCGAGTTTGAGAAGGCCAGGAGGAAGGCCACGTCGAAGGAAGACAACCGAGCTTTGATCAGCTCACAGCACCTACAAGTCAAGAAGAGCTGGGAGAATCCTGGGGTGTACGCATGGGGATCGAATGCGGGAAAGGTGGTGGCACCGGACTCAGATGAAACATTCGTGAAGACACCACGACGGATATCCTTTTTCGACGGCAAGCTACTCCGGGACATCAAGCTGGACAAGACCTTCGCCGCGGCAATTGACGAGAAGGGAGATCTACTTCAATGGGGCACCGGTTTCTCGAAGGACACTGCCCAACCTACAAAAACCCTCCGAGGCAAGAACCTCACCTCTATAAATCTCTCCCGCGACCGTATTCTGGCCCTCTCCTCAAATGGCACCGTCTACTCCATCCCCGCGTCCCAGGAGGAGCAACAGACCGGTCCCAAACCCTCTTCCTCCTCATGGGCCTTCTGGACCTCGCCAAATGACATCTCTTACCGCACGCTAACCCCGCTTGATCTCTCCCGCGGCGAGAGCATCACCTCCGTCGCCACCGGCCTCGAACACACCCTTCTCCTTAGCTCTGCTGGTCGTCTCTTCACCGCTGCCTCTGCTTCTTCAGACTTCCCCGCCCGTGGCCAACTCGGAATCCCAGGCCTAACTTGGCAAACCCGCCCGCCAGGTGCTTACGACCAATGCCATGAAGTAATCACCCTTCGCGGCTTCTCCATCGCCCAAATCGCAGCAGGCGACTACCACTCCCTCGCCGCCGATCGTGATGGCCGAGTCTTCGCATTCGGCGACAACTCGTACGGCCAACTGGGGTTCGATTTCTCGGCTGATAGCACATACGTCGACGCACCATCCCTCCTTCCCATCCAGAAGTTGTATGCTGGCACAAGCCAAGTACCTAGCGTCAAGGGCGTATTTGCGGGTGGCTCATCCTCCTTTTTCACCGTCGACGCTACCAAAATTGCGTCCCCAGACTCCTCCGAACTGGACATGAAGACTGTCGGTAAAGTCACAGCAGACACCCTAGCCTGCGGCCATGGTATCTGGGGTCAGTTGGGCACAGGTCGGTGGACGCATGTTCAAACATCCCCTACCAAGATCCCCTCTCTATCCGGCCTCTTCGAATACGACGAGACGACGAATAGTGTCGTTCCGATCCGACTCTCACGTTTCAGTGTTGGCGCGAACCATGCTGCAGCTGTCATGGATAATGTGACGCATCTTGCTGCGAGCAAGTGGTCAAGTGAGAACGATACGAACTGGGGCGCTGATATCCTGTTCTTTGGGAACAATGAGTACTATCAGCTGGGCACGGGGAAGAGGAATAATGTGGCACAGCCGGTGTATATCCAGCCCCTGGATGCGGGTGCCGAAAAGAAGCTGAAGGGGGAGCAGCATCGCTTTCAGATTACGCCAAAGAATAAGGTGAAAGTGGGTGGGCGGACAGTGGAGCTGGAGCAAAGAGTTGAGTGTGGAAGGGGCTGCACAGCTGTCTATTCGGGAGTGTAAAAGTGCCCTTGAGATGAAGAATGCAGTTTCAGCTGGATGACACCTTGGGTCGCTTTCAATGATATTGGAGATGGGTTTACGCTTCTTACGCTGTTATGCCTGTACTTGTAAGACTCATACCTCCGCTTCGTCGGTACATGTAACAAAGGTCATCACGACTTATTCACAGCATGCTCTTGCCACTTCTTCTATTGTTTTCACTTTTCATACCGCGTATATTCTCTAAAGAAGTTCCGCATAACGTGCCATATTTCTACCCGGCGTCACTTCCTCTCTACTCCATTTCCGCCTCCTAATCGGGAGATGTACGCAGTGTAGCTGTTTTTACGCTTATAAATACGCGTCGTCACTTTCTCTACTCTCTACGGTCTTGGCCAACTTCTCTGTCCCATTTCGGAAATTCACCCACAGCGGATCCTAAACGAACCAAGGAAACGGAAGATATCATGAGAAAATTATTGAACGTGAGAGAGAGTACGTTCGGAGTGAAGGATCCTGACACTTTGGCTAGCTATCATAGCTTGGGGTCTTTCCTCCTTTCTCTTGATCGCCCGCGCGAGGCCGAAGAATATCTACGGAAAGCAGTACAAGGACGAGAGATGGTACTCGGCACCACTCATCCCGAAACTCTTTATAGTCGCAACATGCTATCCACAATACTGAGTCGCTTAGGGAGTCTCGAAGATTTTGAAAGCCAAAAGAAAGTAGTCACTGACTTGTGCGCAACCCTTGGAATCGAGCACCCGTTTGCTCTGATAACAATGCGGGCAACTGCACAGAGATGGGAGGAACAGGAGCGTTACCAAGATTCTATTGACTTGTATCACGAGCTTCTCCAAATCCAGAGTCAGATACTGGGCCCTGATCACGAGGACGTGCTTGGAACGAGACATGCTTTAGCATACACCCTGCAACAGTCGGGTGACAACGAGGAGGCCATTCGTCTTTACCGGGAACTAATACCTATCCAGAAGCAGGTGATTGGGCTCGAAAACTCGAATACTCTCATCACTATGGGCAATCTAGGCTACACTTTGCAGGCAGAGAAACGCTACGATGAATCCATTGCGATCCGGACGGAAGTAGTCAAAATACAGGAAGAGATCCTCAAGCCGGACGACCCGGACCTCTGCTCATCGATTGAGGGCCTAGCGGATGTTTTAAAAGAGGCAGAGCATTGCCAGGAATCTGCAGATCTTTACCGGCGACTCTGGAAAATACAAGAATCTTCTTTGGGGCCTGAACATGAAGACACTTTGGCTACAATGGAGAACCTCGGCTGTGTTCTGTACAACGGTCAGCGCTTCGAAGAAGAAATCACTGTCGAAAAAAAGCTTCTTGAGATCCGTACGCGAACACTTGGTGAGAATAACGAGGCCACATTACATACGCTCAACAACCTCAGTTCCGGACTGGAATATCTGGAAAAGTACGATGAGGCCTTGACTCACCTCCAGAAAGGGCTTCCGGTTGCTAAAGAGGTCTTGGGTGTAGACCACGTCATTACACTTGCAATGACCAACCACATGGCACTAGTCGAGCAGGACTTGAAGCACTACGATAATGCCGAGCGCCTTCACCGGCGGGTGTTGGAGAAACTTGGCGAAGAAAAAATTCTCACAGACCCGTGGGTTGTCAAGTGCTCCTGGCATTTGGCCGAGGAATTGTTCCTCGGGAAGAAATTTGAAGAAGCGGCCAGCTATTTTCAGAAATTGGTCAACGCATTGCAGACCCTCAAAGGTCCAACAGACCCAGAAACACAAGCTGCAGAAATGTTTTTACGTTTATCAGAACGCAAAAGATTTGAACATCTACGATCATTGTCGCGGGAAAGCATTCGGTCTATCTTCCACCACGTAAAAGATAGTCTTCCTGTTTTGTTTCATCACGATCTGAATAACCTACTACTTGGTCGTGAAATGAAGAAGAAGGCTAAAGTAACAAACAAAGAGAAGGAAACCGACTGTTGAGAATTGAATGTGCTGTATTAGGAGCTAGGTAGTGGTTTCTTCTTGTTGAAGCACGAATCTTAATTGTAATAGTGTGATAGGCTACGCGCTGGTTGATGCTCGTACAGCCATAGGCCTCCGGAGCATGGCTGCTAAGCTGGAGGTTATGCACGAGGTTGGGCTTGGCGGGCCGCGTTTCCAGCTCTACGAGCTGGCTAGCTTCCATCTCTTTTTCCTTAATAGAAGTATTCTGTTTCCTGGAGCACATGCATAGAATACTCGTTTAACAGGCGTCTACTAGCCCTTACATATTAACTTCAGGATGTAAACATTGGTCCCGCGGAAGTGTTTCAGGGATTAGAGAGCTAGGTTGTTTTCAACAGTTTCTCTCTTCCTCATTATAACCTGCTATATCTTCTATATTATAATTAAGCTAGAAATTCTATAGATATGCACAACCCGCACCCGTCCCCGCTTCCTCGCCTTGGACGCATCTTGCGCCCTTGGCCTCATTAACATGCCCAAACGCATATGTCGCCCTAACCCACGCCAAGCACGTGAGATGCTGATGGAATACTTCGTAGGCGGGGTTGCCCAAGCGTCCAGGGACAAGGGGAGCTTCGCTGGCAGCGAGGCGTGGGGCTGTGCACCCATCCAACTGAACACAACCTTTTGGTCGCTCCGTCGTCAGGGTGCAAGGCTCCACAAAACACAACCCTCGAAACGTTCATCAGCGGTCTGCAAATCTACCTCAAGCGCGGTTTCTAGAACCCTTGCATAGTCTCCATTTCTCTCGCCTGGACTTAGCACGACCTGTCCCGACGCTATAGCAGTTTGAGTCGCTACCGCTCGGCTCCTCCCATTGTAAGTTACCTCCCATGTCTAGCCTTGTCCACGACTCGCAACAGTTATTGATGGTATTGAAGTCGACCATATTCGTTACAGCCTCTTCCACGATATTGCTTGAAGGGTCGGACGTTAAGAACTCGTTCGAAAGCAACTGCGCGGCGATTACGGCTATTCTCTGCACTTGGTCGACCCAAGTGAAGCCTGTTACAAACCAGGAGGGGAGACGTATAGTCTAGCACACAAGCTCTACTTCCAGTATAAATACTCCGAGGCAGAGGAGCTGTTTCGACAGTCGATGCAAGAACGCAAGAAGGTCCTAGGCAAAGAGCATAAAGACACGCTTCTTAGCAAGCACTGGCTGGCGGACACACTC